CTATTCAAATCTTTTTTAATTCTTATCCTTGTTGTATGATGGTTAGTACATTGTATAAGTGGGTATTGTACGTGTGCCTGGTATGTAATAGTTCCGGAGATGGTTAATTTGTCAGATTTATTCGCAAGAAGGAACCAGTGTTTGATAGTGGAGTCTGTTCTTCACTCAATTGTGGTGCCTACCTCACATTTACAACTCAAATCAAATCAACTCAACTCAAATCAAATCAAATCAAATCAAATCAAATCAAATCAAATCAAATCAAATCAAATCAAATCAAATCAAATCAAATCAAATCAAATCAAATCAAATCAAATCAAATCAAATCAAATCAAATCAAAACTGAAGGAACACTGCATTGGAACCTGGCTCTGGATCGAGGCGACGCTCCGGATTGGACCAAGACTCTCTATTACAATAAGCTGCAAAATCCTCTTTACATATATACTTGCAAAGCGAATGAAATATTTCTTAAAAAAAAACGGACTGGACTGGGCTGGACTGGACTATCATGGACTTGACTATCTTATATTCTATTTAATTTAATTTAATTTGTATTTAATTTGTAAAAATCTTTGTACACAAAAATCATTTACTTTGAACAATAAAATTTTCCCTTGTTTTTCTTTGATATTATATTTATATTCTTGTCTCTTTGTTTTAAAAATAAAAACCTATTAATCTTTAAAAATATTATTAAAAGTAATATGGTTGGCGGTCTTTACCTTTGTCTCTTTCCTTGCTTTTGTTAAAATATATCTATAACGGAGTATAGGGATAAATGTAACTGAACTGCTAGACCAAAAAAAAAGAGTTAATGAGATATATGCAAAAAGACGTATAGCCCTTAGAGCCGCCAGGTAAGGAAAAGGCGGCATAATGGCTTGGAACTGTTTTTGGTCTGGAGTACTTTAGACATCTTCCTGATCTTGAAGGTTCTATTGATTAAAAACTGTTAATCTAAAGACTTTAGCTCTTGACAGTGAAAATTGAATTGGGAACGTAATATTATATTGGCTTACATACCATATATCATAAGAGTCGTTGTAAATATATAGCAATCGGTTCAATGGGTTTCCCAGAGTTGTCCCTATGACTATAGGAGTGCTAGATTATATAAAAGTCAGGCACAAATTAACCCTTTATTTCATTTTCCAATAGCCAATAATTTTCCCATAGCTTTTTTCTTGTTAGAAAATAATGCCATTAACTATAATTCATAAAAGTGACATGAATTATTACTATTTTTTTCTTTAATAATATAGAGTTCTAAACTCATAAGTGAAAAAATCAAACCAATTTCTTAAAGTAGTTTACAGGTTAAATTCGAAAAAGCTCATCTTTCAAAAATCTAGTCCGCAATTCTCAAATAACAACATAATGATAGTGTTTATATGTTATCTATAACCAAAAATAAAACTATAATGTGCACACAGTAAATACTATATAAGTAATATATTTCTTATAGCTACTTATTGAAATATATATAGCTCAGAGAAGAACATGTCGAGTTTATCCGGGATGCTTTTTATGGAGAATGTCAGGTAACCATTGGGATCACCAAGGACAAGTTGTTAGAGCAGTTTCTTGCTCTTAAGGGTGTAAACCTCTTTATCTCTGCACATTAATAAACACATACAGATATATATATATATATATATATGCAAAAGTTGGATTCGCACCACAAAAAAAACAAGGCCTGTCAAAGAAAAGAAAAAAAAACACATCAGATTTTATCCAAAGTATATCAAAATTTGTTAGCATACTCCAGCAACATTGAATATCTTATGAAACATGTTGTCTTTTCGTTAATAAATCTTCATCAAATACCAGCTTAATTAGTGTGAGAGGGTAATTAAATAAAACCGAATAAGCATCAAATATTTCAATTATGCTAGTCGTATTCTATCAAGGTGTCAAAGACGTTACGGCGAAAATGGTTGTAGACGATACAGACGCACAGCTATTCCTTCAATTTTCCAAGCAAATCCCAGCGAGTTTAGTTAGAGATAATTTCATTTCTTATTACTTTATTATGGACAATGTTTCCATACATACAAGCAAGCTTTTAAGCTATTACTTACCCACCCACACAAAGCACATATGTAATACCCTTTTTCTATATGGCTAATTCTTAAACCCCCTTTGGGAACTGTTTTATAAAGAAAAGATTTGGTTAAAAGAAAACCAGGTCTCACTACTGATCAAGCTGTATAATGTATTAGTATTTGTAGTAAGCAATCTTTTTGAGACAATTTGTGAAGGTTAGGCTGATAAAAACATCAATTTTTTTTAAAAATGTAAGCCTTTTCAAATTAAACCTGTGTCTACCTCAGAAAATTGATTTGGTTTTCTCATTTTTGAATGCAAAACTCTGTATAATAAGGATTCCGTTGACGATTTCTGGATCTTTTGCTCCGTGCTCAAATACCCAAATCTAATCGGTATTAAATTTGAAAGACCTTATGAAAAAAGTTCCAGAACGTAAAATAACTTGTGATAAAAGACATTATCGAAAAGGCATTGTATTAGGATCAATTCTAAACCAATTCTTTCATCGTCTAGAAAAGACAATCATATTTGTGGGATCTTTCGATGAATATAAGCCTTTTTTATTTTACGACACTCTTTAAGATTTTGGCACAAAAGTAGAAAGGGCTAAGGTTACCCTTAACTGCTGTGATACATACTTGCTGATTCGCTTCAACAGCTAGCTTAGCTTTATCTCTGAATTATTGAGACTTCTATGGGTAGGTTTGATTCACTTAGCTAGTAGAGAGCCAGTTTCTAACATAGTATGTTTCTCTTTGTGCCTAGCTGAGCTGCACATCAAAAACCCCTTGTCTTAATGATGTGTATTTATTTAGAATAATGCCAATCTCAATAAGATGATTAAACATGAATTCAGCCAACTTGTACCTCTCCTAGCAGTCAAATTACAGTCACAACCCACATCTACTACAAATACTGGAGCTTATTAATGTCGGGATAGACACACAGGTCTTTAAAAGCATATATATATATATTTTGCTTTAACCAACTTTTATTCTTGGGACTATAATACGTCAAGTTTGATGGATCTAAGTCGATGAAAAGCGGAAAAATTTTTATCAACATACCACACTCCCAGTTGAACATACTTATACTTAAAATTATATTAATGGCAACGTTAGTCAATTGGACTTGAATAACCAAAAACAACCGATGTGCTAAAAACAAATATCATATATGCTTGGACGAGACAGACAAAATAAATAGATCTCTTGCATGGGAGATTGGGGAGTACGACATTGAATATGCTCAGACGCTCTGTAAAGGGTTTATGAACAATTACATTTCTGCTTATAGTACTGTGAACAAAAAGGTGGGTGGCTTCAGTAGAATTTTTTTTAAAAGAAAATGCTTAAGGGTCTTGAGGGTGTGTAGGTAGATGTGTATTTTAAAGTAGAATTTTGGTTTAATGGTGATTCATTCTATATATATATCTTTCCTTTTCAAATTTTTCTATCCCTTTGCTATTTCTTTGTTACTTCAGCTAAACAAGTGAAGTCATATCTCCCTTTCATTTACTTTCTTGTATCATGATTCTAAATGTTTTATCTTTGTAGTATTCTCAAGGAATAATGAGCTATTAAGAACCAAAGAAACCTCGGAAATCAGATCTTGACTTTAGAGCCTTTTTCATTCAATCCAAATCTGCTGTATGTTATTGTGTTGGTAAAAAAGAACTCTATCGAAAATTTTGTAGTGATTGTAGATATTTAGAGGACTCTAGTAATTAAGAGGATTTAAGTTATTATGCGGGCACAGAACTATACAGCCATTTTGGGACACAACGTTTACAACGTATATAGCTTGTATAGCTTGTATATATATATATATATTGCACGTTAAAGTAATATTATTATAATAGGTTTGCTAATTAAATCTAGCTGGAAACTATATTATACGGGAATAAATCAGGACGTTATTAATTAACTACTAATTTGACTTCTATAAGTTACTACTGATAGTTAGGGATCGGATTTAATTGCTGTGTGCTTAACCACCTTCCGCTTTACATGAGTTAAATATACGATAAGAAAGTCCCAATTAAAGCAAAGGTAGCTCCCCATAGAAACATTTGGTGTGGACAGACTAAAAGTTCAAAAAAAGGGCAAAAAAAGGGTAAAACAACTTCATCCAGAACTTAGTCAATCAGACTAATTTATGACTGTCCACACCTTTTTTTTGTAAAAAAAAAAAGTTCAAAATTAGTTCAAAATACATATTAGATAAAATTGTGCATATAATCCCGTCTCTGTCATTAAGTGATAACCTTTTATTGCGGGTTTTTCCAGGCCTCTCATTATATGGCACATATTATCCATGAAAAATGCTTCTCTTCTCAAGCCTAGTGACAACGGAAGAAAGCTAGCTAATTAGAGTCGATTAAAAAATTTGCCCTTTTTTTTAGGTTCAAAAAAAGAGCAAAAAAGGGCAAAATTAATTAAAACTCTCGCCCAATGATATGACTTAGAGAATCTTCAGCAGTAGCTTTTATCCCGACTTTTATACCGCATTTGGACTTTTAGATAAAAGAGAAAAACTTCTGGGTGGAGTGGCTTTTTTTTATGTAAAAGTGACAATTTTTGATTCCAGATAAAATAAAAGTTAGCCGACTGCTGAAGATGCTCTGAGAAGATGCTCTTAGAGATATCCTATTTCAAATTGTTAGCCAATGATATTCTCTTATTTTTCATGCCAAACTGCCTTTAAGAATTTACCAGTAAAAAAAGAGGGAAAATATTTGATATATCCGCATTTATGTCTAGTTAGTGTAGTTAGTCGAACCAGATTAAATTGATCAATGTTTCAATCGCCGTGTATAACATCAAAGACAGTGTAGTACCCGACATTTGAAGAAAAAAAATTTGAAAATGAATGCATAAAGGCCGCTAATAATAAAAACTTCTTTTAACTTTTGATTTCTCTCTCTCTCTCTTTATACAATTATTATTATGGGATTCTCAGAACTACCATTCGAAATTCTTTTGAAAATTGCCAATAATCTATGGAGAAGGGAATTGCTGGCTTGTTCTCTGACGTGCAAGGGATGGAGACACCCGTTTCTAATGGTTCTGTGGAAAGATATAGGCATTCATTTCCCTAAAGAAATGAAAGCATTCATCAACAGTACTAAAGCCTCAAAGAATATATCCAACTCACCGTCCCACTTGATTCACACTTTAAACATATACCTTAATTTCTATGAGCTCAAAAGTCTCGATATGGATATTTCTGTCATATTTAAATACATGGATAACTTAAAGTGCCTGTACCTAGGAGATATAGACTATAAATCTATTTACACAGAAACAACAAAATCAGAAAAAGTGTGGACGTCTCTGGAAAGCTTGAAAATACGATACCCTAGAGCACCTGAGACACAGTCAGCAAAGAACGTACTTGAATTTATATGTGCATGCAACAAGCTTCAGAAACTATACATATTTGAGGAAGGACAGAGTTATAACACAGAGTTTAATGTGGATGACTTTGACAACATGCACCAAAACTTGCAAAATCTATCGTCTGTCAACTTTCAAATATATCTCAACCCTGACTTTTCGACTACAATGAACAAAATCTCAAGTACAAAACCAGCTTTTGGCGTAACATCCCTATATATATGCTCGAGAGAATATCGCAAATACATAAACGGAAGCACATATGTATGTCATAATAACTGGAATCCTTTGTGGTTATGCTATTTTGGACACAAATATCCAAACTTACGTTCAATAACGCTAAATGTTGCGGATGCACAAGATAACCCGATAAATTCCGACCAGAAGCAAGCAGCCATATCTCTTTTCCGATCCAATCCAAACGCATTTCGACACCTGGAAGTATTCAAATTTGCGACCGACACCTATTTCGAGTCTTCGGATTTTGTTTTATGGGATTTGCTTTGTGCGTTAAGACTCCCGCTTAAGCATTTGAAGTTAGATGCGACAAGATCTGGCAAAGTAGATCCTTCGTACCCAATGGACGTCAACAGGATCTTACAATATGTTTCCGAAAAAATTGAAAAACTTTCGCTCACAGGGTTTATATATAACAGAGACCACGAAAATACAACCCTGGAACTATCCTATTATTGTCCGTTTTTGACGAAACTATGCATCAGAGGAAAAAATGTGTCTCTTAATCTAGACAATGTATTAGAGAAATGCGCGGCTCTAAAGAAACTGAAGTTCGCTGGTGAAAAACTATTCGTTAATACGAACATGATATCCGAAGAGCCAAAGCAACAACATGGACTACAGAAACTGATGCTTTATGATTGTACTATAAAGGCCGAATTATTTCATTACATATCCTTCAGGTGTAGAAGTCTGGACGATATGACTTTGAGGAATCTGTTCATCGTGGAATCTATTTGTGAAGAAACCGGGCGTTTATTAGTCGATATGTCATATACTTTCTTAAAGAGTCTGCAAATCGGCAAGATTAAATACGGTAAACCATACCAACAAATTGATCAAGATGGTCTTGGTATGACACTCTTGTCTCAGATAAGCAAACCTCGGCTATTCTATGAAAGAAGCGAAACCCAAGAAAATGAGATAGATTCAACGTGCCATATAATTGAAAGCTACGATCTCGAATGGTTGTATACATATGTATACATTCTGGTTAATTATATTCCCGTCACAGACACTACGGAAATTTCGCACGAAGACGTCCCTTTTGTACTCGAATACTTTAAGAACTTTCAGTTTAATAAGGTCTACTCACCTTTAAATGATCACGACTTGTATTATGAAGAGGAACCAGAGAACTGCTGGAAGTACGAACTTTATAAAGGATACGGAGAATTCAGATTTGGCAAGGTTGAATATTCCCCTTTGATATTGGCAGCGACCGAAGACGAATTTTAGGTAATATGTTGTATAAGAGACTATTTTCAAAAGCAAATAAAGCAAAGCAAAAAAAGATACACAGACAACATACTGTGATGTTTCATTCTGAGGGTATTAAGACAAGGAATTAATCGTGGAAAAGAAGTCATAAAACAAAGTAATAGATCTTAATAGTAAAATATCTAATTTTGAGCTATCGAATTATCAATACAATGAGATAGCTGCTATGTATTTGACTGAATGTTTAAGTGCTGGTTGATAATGTCCATTTGTCACCTCTTCTTGTGTAATCTTTAAGTACTTTGTGATCATTGGGCTTTTATTTTAAAATAAAAAAGACAACTGTAGTCGCACTCTGAAACCTAATTGCTTTTGGTTGTCTGTTATTCATTCTCACTTCCCCGAGCATCTCTCTATTTCTTGTCCTCCATTAAAGAAGTACAATGTGTTGCAAAAGTCAAAAGCTGAATAAGCAAGATATTAGTGTGTTATACATTCATAATACAGTCTTCTTATTAAAGCAAATGGAAAAGGCACTACAGGAACAACTTGAACTGGCTATAGTTATTTGATATCAAATACAGCTATATACGAAAGTATTCTTTTCACAACACTTTTATACTGACCCGGTGAATAAAATGCATTGGTGTTTCTTGTATCGCTCATCGCAATGAACTTAAAAGTAGTTACATAACTATAAAAATGTTCCAAAGTAGTTAAATAGCTCTTTTGTTATTTGTTCCTTAATAAAATTGTCCTTTCTATCCGTATTCATTTTCTTGGCACTGATTTTGACATTCACACCACATATTCTACCCACCATATGTCAATAACAGCAATATTATTTATCTTTAGCTATCTGTGTGTGAATAGCTGACTGCGCCTTGTACATCTTTATTGTTACCTCAATGATTCGAATGTAGCCGAAATTGTGGCCCACGATATCAGTTTTCTGCAGCATTTCTTTTTCTCTTCTTTTAGCTGTCGATTTTAATTTTATCGCATACATATATCCGGTTCTAACCCCACCTTTCACCTCTCTCTCTCTCTCTATCTATCTATCTGTCTTTATATAATTATTTTTATGAAAGCGCCAGATTTACCATTCAAAATTCTTACGCAGATTGCTAATAAAATGTAGGCAAAAGACAGACGCTCTTGTGCTCTTACGTGCAAAAGATGAAGATACCCATTTCAAAGTGCTCTGTAGAGAAACATACGTATTTATTCCGAGAAAGGCACTTAAAGAGTTATAGACATTATTAAAGCTTCCCAAAAGCTTCCCTCACTACACGGTACCTGGGTTCGCAGTTTACAAATGCATCAGTGGAATTCTTATCCAGATATACCAGAAGTACTTATCTCTGACTTATTCAACTACCTGCCAAACTTGAAGCAATTGGATGTAACGGATAAAAGCTGTTAAAGTATTTACAGAGAGGTAGCAAGATCAGACGAAATGTGGAAGTCTTTGGAAATTTTGGGAATAGAATACGGTGTCCATGAAGAGGGACAGAGACCGAAAAACCTAGTTGAATTTATAAATGCTTGTAGCATGCTCCAAAGATTATACCTGGACAATAACAAAGATGGTTTTCGCCCGGAGTTCGGTGTGGGTAACTTTGAAAAGATGTACCAAAACTTACAAAGCCTATTGTCTATCAAGGCTACATTATATCTCACTCCTGATTTTTCAGCTACACTGGATGAAATACCAAATACGAAGCCGGCTTTTGCAGTGACGTTCTTAGATATAAATACAAAACAATAAGAGGCAAAATGCGAGAAGTATAATGAAGGTTGAAGTAACTAGAATCCTTTGTGGCTGTACTATTTTGGATACTTGTATCCAAATTTGTGGTCTCTAAAGCTAAATGCCACGAACATAGATAGCGACCCGATAAACTCAGATCAAAGGCAAACAGTCATATCTCTTTTTCGATTCAATCCAAACGCATTTCGACATCTAAAATCATTCAGCCTTGCAACCGACAAACATTTTGAAATTTTTGACTTTGTTTTATGGAAATTGCTTTGTCCATTAGGAGTCTCTCTTAAACGTTTGAAATTGAATGCAAACCAAGATAACGGGTAAGACTATACACATCCAATGGATTTTAACATAATTCTACAGTCGTTTTCTGAAACACTCGAGATTATTTGGCTTGCAGGGTTTATGATTAGCGGGAATAACAATAATTTGGATATAAGAATATACTCTTATTGCCCATTTTTGACAAGGATTTACATCAGTGGCGACAATGTGGATCTTCTAATAGATGATATATTGGACAGTTGTCCGGCCCTCAAACGACTGGGATTTCGTGGTAGAGCATTTCTCATTAAACCAAACCCAACAACCGAGGATCTAAAACTACAGCAATATGGACTACAGACCTTAAGTCTATACCGGTGTACTGAATTTGCTAAAGTATTGAATTATATCTCTTTAAGGTGCAAAAGATTGAGAGATATGACTTTGAATAATTTGTGGGTCCTAGGATTTAGATGTAAAAATCCTGGAGATTTGCTAATTGATATGTCATATACTCTCTTAAACACTCTGGAAATTGGAATTGTTGAATACAGTACATCATCCAAACAAACAGGTAGAGATGATGCTGTCAGCCTGATACTCCTGTCTCAGCCAAACGACCCTCGATTGTCAGACGAAAATAAAGAAAGAAAGAAAACTGAGATTGATCCAAAATCCCCTCTATTAGCGAGTCACCATATTTATTGGCTATATACATATGAGTACGAGCAGATTACTTGTAGAACTGGCAAAAAAACTATAGTACTTTCAGAGGAAAAAGTCGATATCATACTTAAATACTATCAAAACGTTCGGTTGAATACAACCAGTCCTAATTTTAAAGATGATAGCTCGTATGATGGATACGAGTGAGAGGACAACTGGAAACAAGAGCTTTACAAAGGATACGGCGAATTGAGATTTGGCAATATTAAGGCCGTTTATGTTATGTCTGAGGCAAGTGATTATTGATTTAGGAAATATACTGTATAATAGGTTCTTTTCAAAAGAAGATTAAGTAAAGTAGAAAGCAAGATAAGCAGCAAACCTACTTAAACAATATACTATAAGCTTAATTATAAGCTTGATAGAACAAGAAATAAATGGTGGATAAGTAAATTTGTAAACCAAGGTGCAAAGTCTCAATAGCAAAATATCTAATTTCCAGTTGTCCTGTTACCAATATGATATTAATAACGATAGCTAGTAGCAGTATTATAATCGTTTCTGGAACAAGAATATATAATATATTACAGTATAAATAATATATAAAATAAACCAACTTCTGTCAATGTATGTGATCTTTATATGTATAAATGGTAATGAACCAGAAGCACCAATTGAAACACACACAATTATAAGACCTTGATCCACTGACTTCTCTTTTCCTTATTCTTTGTTTCTTATTCTGTGTGAGGTGTACGAATAAGATTTTAAAAAGGACAATAGGTACAGTGAGAGTGTTGTTTATATAGACATTAGGTTATCTAATTTAAAATATCTGTCAGTTAGTAATCGGTTATAACTTAAGCAGTGTCGAGTGCATGAGTGCCTGGTATATATATATATATATGTGTGTGTGTTACATTCCTGAGGTGTGACCCTGCCAAGCTTATTAGCAAGAAAAGACCAGTGTTTTGGTTGTGGAATCTGTTCTTCATTCAATTGTGGTATACAGACCACAAATACTCAAGATTATCAGCTTTGTAGTGACCATGCTTTTTGCGAATACTTCTAATTATCCTTATATAATATTATACGATTTAAAGAAAGAAAGTAAGAAAAACAGTTAAAATATACACATACAATTTTCTTAAAGTGTAAACAGGATTTCATTGAGAAGGTCAAAAAAGGACTAAATATTTTATCAAATGTTTTCCGAAATGCAATTGCTGGTTTTGCTTTAACATCACCTTAGGTTCTCTTGAGTTAATATGATTTAGCATAGTCATATCATGTGACTTATACATTGAACATGGTGTTATTTTTTATTCTTCATGGGCGACTTTGTCTAACTCCTTAAGAATTGCTGAACCAAGTTCCTTTGCCCTTATTATTTGATCCAAATAACTTCAGGTACTCTCAATAGAACTGAGAGCTTGGCTATTTGACGATCATGTCACTATTGGCACATTGTTAACTTTTTTGTTACATCCCTCAATTATCAGTGCCTGATTAAAAAGAGTAGTGTTTTCTTTATAGATGAGTTTCCCATCATTCCTTTTGCATTGATCATTAAAAATGAAAGGATCTTCCTTTCAAACAGCTGTATATACTCATATGTCCCATAATTTACCGTTACTTTTTTTTAATAGGTTAACTCTTCTTGTCCATATACGAACAGAAAAAAAAACGTCAAAGAACTGGTTCTAAATGGTGTAAAACACTCTCATTTAGAATTGAAAAGAAAGAAAAAAGTCTTTTACATTTTTTTCTTGTTAAAACTGTGTCAGCCTGTCTCCATATTTGATTTGTTATATGTTTAACTGTTAAGGGTATGTCTGTCTTATACAAAATGATGGTGAATAAAGGTGCCGTTAAGAGTACAGCCGATATTTTTTTTTCATAATCTGAAAGTTGATTTCTTTTGTTTCCTAAGAATAGTATGTTTAATATGCTGAGACCTTGTGATATTTGAGAGAGTAAAGCCTTTTTTTCTTTTAAAAAAGAATAAACAAAAATACTATTCGTTTTAGGTAATATACTTTTTCGAGCTTGAGAAATATTTGTTAACTCTTATAATGGTATGTATACGTGTACCCATTAAAGATATAACAAAAGTTTATGACAATATTTTTATTCTGTGGTATGGTATGGTGTACATACTGTATTTCGAGTTGTAATACAAACCCCACATCCAAGTCTCTGGTTGCAAATTTCTAACGACCCTGGCAAACTATCAATCTCAGGGACAGTTACACATACACACAAACCAGACAAGCACATTTACTTTACACTGCCTTAATAACAACCGACCATTATTTGACATATAGCTTTATACTAATGAATCCAAAATTAATAAATAAATCTACTCAATAAGCTATATATTCATTATTATTATTATTTATTCGTTTTCTGAAATATTAGGCACTAATCCCTACACCTAAGCCCAGAAGCTAAACAAAAAATCAATTTTTTCTGAAGCAAATTCATAAAAATAAAATAGCCTCTCAAAGAAAATGTTAATACAAAGCAAAATGGTCTAAGTTCATAAAACCAACGTTGGGTTGAATCACATTCTCTAGATATCTTTTCCATAGTTCCATTTTGGATATTTACTACTCATACCTTCTAATATATATATATATATATGAAAATCATTCTATTGTATTGTACCATATGTCGTCTATCTAATTGAATAAATATCTTGACCTTTTCTTCTTCTTCTTTCAACTCTAATCCCATAATATTGCTTTAAAGTAAATATTTCTTGAATCATTTTAATCTGCTTACACTAACCGTCTGTCTGATCATTCCAACATTCAATATCACAATCAAGAACTAAAAAGAATTGATCAGCACACATCATTACACACGCAAATATTGCGTAAAAAATTAGTGGTTCAACAAAGATTCCATTAATTGGTCAAGCAAGTCTGTAACGAAGCACACATTAAACACAGTAAAATTATATATATTTTATTTCATTTTCTTTAGTGATTTGTATACATCACATACACTAATATGTATTTCCCTGCTTATCGATCAATTCACTTATTTGTGGATACTATACTACATATACATATAACCCTTGATTCTAAGAAAGACAGAAATAAATAAAAACCATGGTAACCAAAATAAGCTCATTCTAAAACACACATATATATATATCACCGAGTAAGACCACTTTTTTAAAAAAAAAGATTTCGAGTGATTTTTTTTTCAAGAAATAAATATATATATGTATATGTTATATGTGTAGTGTGAAGTGTATGTATCAAGACTAGTGTAGTGTCATTTTCACATTTTTTTTTGTTTTTTCAGTAAAATGGACCCTGAACAGTCACTTAGTCAGTTGTCACATCTTGATACAACACACACGCACACGCACATTATGTATTGAAATTAAAATGTGATATTTCGTTTCGTTTCGTCAGCCCTATTCTACCCTACCCGCTCCACCTATACACTCAATACCCAACCTCTTGGACCTCATACACTTCTTCACGGTCCATTTGATCAAATAATACCCTTTATATATACATATATACATATACAATAATGTGGGGGAAACTCTTTCATTTCTCAGCAGACGCAGTACTCATCTCTGCAGTACTTGCTGGCATTAGGCGCAACACAGGATTGCAGTAAGAATCTAATTCTTTCTCTCTCTCTTTTACATTATTGCAAGTTGAAATCTTACATTGTTGCTCTGAAATTCCTAGACCTTCTCTTTCAACAATTGAGAATGAAGACGTGCGCACATATGCCCAAAAGTATCTCAACATAGGTGAATGGGTACTGGATTCCGGAATTGTGTTTATGAACAACTCATCCTACTTTGAGCGTAACAATAACCAAGATGGTGGTAGCTCTAAGCGTTAATTAGATTAACAAGATCATGATTATGATTATGATTATGATTATGAGTACAATTATTTTATTTTATTTTAAAAAAAAACAAAACAAATAATTCCCTTTTTCACATACACACACACACGCACACACATACGTATAAACTTATATTTCTTGTACTTTTTTTTGCTTGCACTAAAATTTATACCATGTAGATAACAATAAATTACGAACGACATACTGATGAATATATCTAATCCATCGGGTAGCTTGTTTGTATATATATATTAGAGAGCAAGAAAGGTAGAGGTAGAGGTATTAGTAGTTTTAAAGACAAACTATATGGTTAATAATCAAATTTGATGTATTCAATTCACTATAGTTATCATTATAAGAAAAGGTTAAAGATTAACGGTTGTTAATGATGATGATGATGTTGGGATGGTGATTACGATGGTAGTTATGGTCAGATAAGGTTTACGGATTTTTGTAGCCTATAGTTTGTATTAAGAAAAAAAAACAACAACAACAAAGGAACAAGATAGTAAGTGGCTTCTTTGGATTACGTAGAAATTAGCCATTTATTTACAGGCACACAAGAATAAATAAAAGCTTATTTTGTGGTTATCAAAATAACAACAACAACAACAACAACAATAATAATAATAATGGAATATTTGTTCAATCAATTCAACCCTCATCCAATGATAATAATGATAAATATGATGATTATGATGGTTTATTTGACTCTTTAATTAAATAGATGTACATATATGTTTGTAGCTTGTAGAATGAAACTCCCTTGTTGACTTCTTTTTTTTAGATAAAGGATGGGTGTGGTGGGTAAGAGTGTGGACTTTGATCATTGGAAGAGGATGACCAGGGAGAAATGGGATGACCTGGTGAGACGGGACCTTGATCTTCCCAGAGGGAATGGGACGAACCTAGATCTGGAGAGGACCAGGGAGAATACTGCAAATCATCTTGTGTTTCATGTGCTGTGTTGAACAGTGGCGGGATGGCGATAAATGTTGGCCTTCCTTTACGCTTTAGGGACTGGGATGTAAGTCCTTTTGTTGAACTATGTTGGATAGGTATAATCTTCTGAGATGGTTTGTCTGGGACAACAGGTACACAAGTGACTGTGACGGGTTCCAAACTTGAATCAGGAATCATTTTTATTTTATTTTATTTTATTCTATTTTATTGTAAAGAATCAACAAGCCATAAAGAAGTCCTCAAGGGAAAGGAACAAATAGAGAGAGGGAGAGAGAGGGAGGAGGAGTAAAAGAGTAGAGATGTGGGATATTTGTTACTGATATTTATCGCAAAAAAAATATGTGCTAAAATAATCAAAAATATATAATAGAAATAATAATAATAATATTTTAATGTGAATGTGAATGTGAATGATGATGATGTAAATACCTAATTTATAGTGCAATTCCATTTTGTATTTTAAAAGACCATTTCATTCATATAATCATCTTGATTTTAGCTTTAATATATACAAAATTCCTATTTTGCTTTGATCGATTAATTATACAAACAAATACATACAGATATGCTTTTGTAAAGAATTGTTTGCATTTAAATAATAGTATCAAGTAACAAGCTCCTTATTATTTATATCTGTTTATTCACACGCACATTTATTTGGATCAAACTATTCAATTCCCCCTCCTTCAGACAAACTACACAAGGAATATTTGACGTCATTAAATCTAGCTTGGACGATCAATTTCATTATTTTCTTTCCCCACTTTCTCCTTCTCTTTTCATGTACTGTCATGTACTGTCATGTACTGTCATGTATTGTCACGAATTGTCACGAATTGTTATGGCTTGCATAATGTATTAATATTTATTTAATTTTAACGTAAAGTAATGTAATGTAATGTAATTCAATTCAATTCAATTCAATTTAATGTGATTTGATTTAAGTTATTTTAATTTAATTTAGTCCACTTTTATTTTGTAATTTTGTGATTTTGTGATTTTCAAAGGTCGCGTATATGCTCAACATGTCCACATTCCTTTTGATGCTCCCCACGGTACTTGATAACATAGTAACCATCTTCCTTGGCTGCTACCGTCTTATTTACTGAACAACCCTAAATTATTATTATTATTAATATCATGAAAATATTCTACAAATATATATGTATATATTACCTTTGAACTATTTGAACACTTGTAATATATACTCCGGCAACCATTCTTCTTGTGAGTTGTATTGCCATTATTTTTCCAGAAATAATTATCATTGTATGGGAATTCGCGAGTTTCGACAATCTTTGTGACAGCTTGCATTTCTCGTTTCCGACGCGAAGAGTGTCGATCAAAGTTTGGTTGGAGGAGTATATCTTTAGTCAGCATTTTTATTGGCGGGTCTGTTTCATATTGCTGGTGGTAGTTCTGGTTCTGGTTCTGGGTTTGACTTTGGTTGTAGTTGTAGCTGTAGCTTTGGCCGTTGCTATGACTACGACTGTGGCTGTGGCTATGGTTGCGACTGTGAGTGTGGCTGATTATGTTGTTATTGCTGCTGCTACTGCTGCGGTGGTGGTGACGATTTTCGGGCTGTGGGTTGAAAGGAGAAAATGCACTATATATGAAAAAAAGAAAGTAAATAAATAAAATAAATTGAAGATAGTGTTGTTGTTGTTGTTTTGCTTATACTCTAGTTTACCTTTGTATAGGAGGAGGTGGAGGAGGTGGAGAGGTGTGTTGGGTGTGAGAAATGTGAGGAGTGTGATGGGTGTGAGGTGGAGAGGACGCAGTGGACAAGTTTGGAGATGCGGTAGAATCTGATTTGCCATTTACAATAAATAAGGACCCCATGGCTACCATGGCCTCGGCAGCAGAGTCTCTGCGTTCTTCTTGTGCAATCAACTCTACAGACGGGGCTCTGAACACAGAACGGTGGTTAGATGCCGATGGTCTCCTTGAGTGTTGTAGAGAATAAGGTGTATTGCGGTTCTGGAGAGAAGCAGAGTCACTACTAGACGACGATTTTCTTCGACGGATAGGGCCTATGAATGTGGGAGTAGATGTAGGAGTAGATGCGGATGTAGAAGTAGATATTGACGTAGACGTAGATGTGAATATGTAATTGGTTGTGATCTCTTGGCCATTGGTAGTCGTAGTCATAGTAGCAGCAGCATTATTATGGTTATGGTTATGCTTTTGATTGTGATTTTGATTGTGATTGTGATTGTGGTTGTAATTATGGTTTTGATTATTATTAGATGAGGGCCCACAATTGGTGCCCACATTATTACCCCCACCGCCACTTGTACTGGTGCAACTGGTGGTGCTGTCGGAGCGGTCTAACAACGGACCATCGGCAGCCGTTGTTGATCGAAACTCATGTCGGCACTTTTGGAGGTAAAGGTCGAGTTCTTTTGCCCGTAGTTTTGCTTCTTCGGTGCGACGCTTGTCTTCTTCAAGCTTCCCGTTGAGAATGAGCTTGAGTAATTCTGGCTGAGACTGGTATTTAGAGACGACTTCTTGGAGATCATAAAAAGATGGTCGGTTGGATATCTGGTGAGTTAGTTTTTGTTGTTTTTGAGGATTTAAAAGGTTGGCGAGAGTATTTGAGGACGGCAAGACGTATGATGTAGGTTGTGAGCAAGAAGACGAATGTTTGTAGAAGCTTTGTTGATAAGCAGTCGAATCTTTCATGATATGTAGATATGTAGATATGTAGATATGAAGGTATGAAGGTATGAAAGTATGTATATATGTTGGTTTTAATGGAGTATTTAACAAAAGGTGATGAATAAAGGTAAAGAAGCTTATATGTATTTATATGTATTTATATATTTGTATAAGTGTGTGTGTGTGTAAATTTATACAAAAGCAAAGTTTCTGGACAAGACTGGAAAATAGTTTAAATGTAAGTTTTTTATTTATTTATTTATTTATTTATTTATCGATCTATATATATATATATATACTGATTTTTTCATTCTAAAAAAAAAAACAAAGAAAAAAAAGAAATGTCAAAAAGCCAACTGGTTCCTCTTTTTGTCGTACCTCCGCCTATACCGTTCAGTCCAATAGACGGGATTTTCATGTGCGTAGGAAGCATGGTCGACACCATCTTATCCCCTCTGTACAACTAATACAAATGAGCACACACACACACAGATTCACTCACTCATAGACACACACTCATGTATACAACATGATGCTATTTTATTTTATGTATTTGATAGGTTGGTTTCTTTATTAGCGATTATCTATTTTATAAACTTAAAATATGTAAAATATATGGATATATAAAAAGTGGTCCAAACTAATTTGATTCAAGCAAACAAAGTTTTATGTATGTAAAATTTTTATATATATGTATCTTTATCCATAGAAGTAAAAACCCACACACATAAATATATACCCTATACTCGAACCCTTTGTCATTCTCACATGGCTGAGTTCTGGTACTCAAAGACCGACATTTCCGAGGGGAAGGAAGGAAGGAAGGAAAGGTCGAACCCCCTTTCCCACCCTTTGCCGCCAAGTCCCGTTTACCCCACATCTATCAAAAAAAATGTTTTTATATATTTATGTTTATATACACAAGACTGTATTGAAAAACTGAATACAAGAATAAATAAAGAAATATATATATATATAAGAGAGAGAGAGAAAGAGAAACAGAGATAGATACAGAGAAATAAAGAAATATAAAGGATAAGATATAACTATTCTTTGTCTATTAGCTTTAATACCGCACCTTATACAGCTACCACTTTTACCGCTTCTCTAATATCTACTACTTCTCCTATCTCTACTAATTTTACTACTACTTCTTGTAGCCTATAACACAAACCCCATTCACACATTCACTATCTCCTTGAACTCGGAGGTAATGATTATCTGGGCTATAAAGTAAATATACCATTGAAAAGAATACATGTAATTCATACATGTAATTCATATTCAATTTATACTCTCTTTTTTTCCCTCACTCTTTTCTCTTCTTCTATTTTACTTCCATTATTTTTATTAAGCGAATGGACGGATTTCATTATACTTTTGCATAAAATATTATCCGTTCAAAAATTACAAGTAGAAACCTCGCCAATCAATAAGCCTTTTAGACGAATTGAGACCATTCACAACGGCAACAACATGCATATCAGTAACGCAGAACATATTATCTTATCAACCAACTCAGCCATTGTTAATGCCAACCATAGAAGAATAAGCAAAGAAGGGAAAAAAAAAGAGAGAAAGTCTTTGTGTCACACCAGACCCAGCAAATCGAATCAACTCAGACTACTCATTACCTGTACAAAGCACACATCTACACATCTTCACACACCCACATGTACATATATATATATGTATCTGATAGATCTCATTAGAGTAAATCAAGAATCTTTATAGTATTTGATATCAAGATACTCTTGTATTGACTTTACCAGTCTATCTTATATTTCTTGTATGACAGATCATTATATTCTTGAAATTTCACAAATGTTTGGATAATACATACCTACAAAAAAATGAGGTGGTGGGTAAGAAGGAGGAGGAGGACGAAGAAAAAGAATATCAAGTAATTTTTTTTCTCTTGTCCGGAACCAATCTTTCCATGACTCAGACTTTGTCCAGGCCCATGCCGATGCCCATGCCCAAGCCCATGTCCAGGTTTCTAGTTTACTATTATAATAATTATTGTAACTACCTTGGTTGTGTAGCGCGATTCCCAATGGCTGGCCTGAAAAGAAAATAAAAGAAAAAAAATTGTTGGTGCTGACAATTGATGAATACATATGTCACTTGACAGCATCCCCACGAAATGCCCAAGCATGTCAGCCAACCAAATAGAAAAAAGGTTCGGCCTCCGTGTGAACAGAATAAATAGAATTGTGTGGCAGAATGAAGAACAGGCGATCTGGGGAAATTTATTTTATTTTATTTTATTTTATTTTTTATGTATATAAAAGAAAAGAAACGAGGTGACACTCGGAAATAGTAATCTAAAATAATCAAAGTAACTAAGCAACAAGGCACACACTATCATACACACACACACACAAATAAAGTAAAGGTAACTAGGCAACTAGGTAACTAGGCAACTAGATATAAAGTACTCGTCGCTAATCTCGGTTCAATCTTTATACAATCTGTTGACATGGCAATTGAAGATCTTCATGATATATTTTTTTTCTCTTTTTTGTTTGTTGGTGTAGATTTATAGATTTGTGAATTGCCATTTATAGAAAGTGTCTTGACTGTTTTGTGACCAGGGTCTATCAGAGCTCCCCTCCTTCCGTCTCTATCTTTTCTTACTCCTTGTCTTCCTCCCCTTATTCTTAATATTATTGTTATTTTGTCTGTTTCTGTTTGTACAAGATGTGTTACTTAACATAACAATATATTTCAGACATTTTAAACCAAAAGCTTATCTACCTATCTATCTATCTATCTATCTATCTATCTATGATTTATTTTATTTTATTTACTGATTGATTGATTGATTTGTATCCGAGAATTAAATGAATAAAAAAAAACTTTCCAAAATTATCAAGGTACCTTTCTTTGGTATTTTGGAAAAGAATGAAATAAATAAAATAAAATAAAATAAAATAAAGGGGGAGGAAAAGTAAAACTATAATTTATTTATTTATTTTTCATCAGAAATTCCTCACACACTTCTTTTGTTCATGATCTTAAAGAAATCTATGTCGTTCCTTTTTGGTTTATCAGCCGATACTTTGCATCAATATCCACACACACACACACACATACACACTTATATATATGCACACAAAAGCATTTTAAAAATGTTGCTCATCATAGAATAAACTTGCTGTAATATTCACTTTTGTACAACAAAAAAGAAGTCTTTATTATTATTATTACGATGATTTTAACACACTTTTAATAAGAGTATTTAGGACTTAATCATAAACAGCCAAGAAAAAATTAACAAAAAATTAGGTTTCCATCACACCACAAAATAAACTAAAGACGACTTTACTTCAGCCTGTCTTGTAAGGTGCTTTATATAGATATTGTACCGTACCGGAATCATCTATTATTATTATTATTATTATTATTATTATTATTATTATTTTATTTTGACAAAGAAAGAAAGACGTGGTAACATGAGGGATATAAGATACATACCTATACACACATATACTGTTAAGATTATATACGTCTATATACATGTATAGATTTCTATATGGTTTGTAGTCCGCCATCGTTTCTTTCATTTCTTTCATTTCTTCTTTTGATTGTCTCTAACCGGCCTTCGTCTTTATTTGTAAGAAGTTTTTGCCTGCATACGCCAGACACATGAGTACCACAACCTGGTTCTCAAATATCTTGACATCATAGTCTTTATTATTATTATTATTCTATTAGAGCTCTGAATACTAGCTCTTTATCAAGTAAACACAAATAAATAAATAAAAAGGGGGAAAGGAGAGGGAGAGGGGAAGAAGGGGAAACGTGGTACTTAGGGCACAGTAATAATAGATGGTACAAGGTACAAACAAACGCATGTATTTATATACTATATGATATAATATGTATGTACGCACACACACACATATTTACAGTAGAATACAGTACATTTCAGTACAATATAATACAAGGTATCAATCTATCTACGTATATGTATATATGACTAAACCAAAAAAAGATTATCAAGATGATTAAAATATATACAAATGTATATATCAAGAAACTCATAGAGATTGTATTTGATTTTGATTGGATTGGATAGGATTGAATTGAATTGAGTTTAAGAATTTAGGTACCTAGCTAGTCTTTATTTACTAAATCCATCAGTACACAATACACGGTACACAATACACAGTACACAGTACACAGTACACAGCAGATAACAGAATAGGACGGTATTTACTATATATATATATATATACATGATATTAATTCTATTATACAGTAAATAGTTTTTATTGAATTTTTGTTTAGTCATAAATACTTCTTTAGACAACTATTTCAATCATTTATGGCTAAAAATTTTGCACTTTTTTTTTCTTTACTCTATTTATTTTTTCATTTGGTTTTTAGCTTTGCCTTGGAAACAAATGAAAGGCTTTCTCCAAAAATAGCATTCATTTGTTATTATAATTACTAGTATCTTCATTATTCAAATAATCTTATTTTTCTCACCATTACTATCGTATTTATCACTGACTTTACTTTACTTTGTATTAAATAAACTTGTTGAAGTTCCTCCTCTTATTTTTTTTTGGTGTAATTTAAATGATTATTAAAAAAGAATAAATATCTATGTAATAATCATTGCTCTCTTTTTTAGATAATTATATACAAATATCACATACAAGCACACAAAATAATACACAATACAGCTGAAATCTGGTATCCACAAGAAAATTCAAAATAAACTTTTCTTTTTCTCATTCTTATAATTAAGGAACTAGAGAGGGTAGTCAAGTTGTGATAATGACGGCTAAAAATAATTATTTGTAAAACTCAATCAAAAATAAATAAAACTCAGACACAATTATGAGGATTTATAAGTTGAAATCATTAATACTAAAAAATGTAAAGGAAATAGACATTAATAAACATGACTTTTCGAGGCTTATTCTATTAAGTAAGTGCAAAGAAGCGACTCTTGGCTATCATATATGTTGTTTTAAAGGGGAAGAAAAAAGCTAAATTTCTAGTAGACATTTAGCGAGAATTTGAAGCCAAAAATCAGGGATTCACTAACTTTTGACGTCAAATGCTCACTAAATGGCTTCCACCATGAAATTTGCAAAAAACATATTGGAATTTAATTCGCCGCGTAAAATACAAATTTGCAAACGCTTGCAATTCAGGTTCGAAGACATCCTCTCTAAGAAAGAAATAATAAATAATCATAAATACACTATCTCAACCGTCTGCTATATAGAGAATCATAAGGAGTTGTTGTAATTAGAGTGTGACGCAATATAGCTGGATATTTTATTGTTTATTGGCCTTCTTACGCATATCATGTCTTTCTCTTTCTTTCCCCTAATTATATTCCCATAGTTTGACAGCACCAACTAGCAAGTAATCTACATCCACTTTTTTTTTGCAAAGCACAAAAGAAAGTTGTATACAAATATTCTGGATTCTGGCTGGTATTAATTATTATAATAAGAATGGATCCTTAGGGACCAGATAGAGTTATTCCATGCTAGTAGAAAGCTCACGATTTGTGGTTCGGTAGAATCAAAATGTCGCACCTCTAAAATTAGCGTCAAGGCTGTCCACGCTGTCCTGCCAGGCTGTCCGTAAGGTTACCCTAAAAGAATAAGAATGAGTAAAATGGATAGCGTACACTCTCCTCATGGTAAGCTATTTTTTGAAAAAGACTTGAGATTTTGAAAAGTACTCAAAAACATAGATAGCTATCTCCAATTGCACCATATGTTTCAAGACCACAACATCTCCATAAAATCTGGTGAAGCCGTCTCGGATGCTACTTCGCGTGCTATTGCTGCTAATAATTGCCTCACCTCTGATTTCAGTCTCAGAATAGATCTACTGGTTCATAATCCTTGCTACAATATTCACAATGAGCACTGCTGTATTAAATTTAAGAGACAAGACGCTAGGACGGGACTCTTAACATCTCAACAATCAAAATCTATTCGTATCAATGGCGCCATCCTGAATGATTTAATAGTCAAGACAAACGCAGATGATATATACTTAGCTTATATAGATTTTTGGGGTAGTGATGGGTATATCGCTGGCATGAAGCTATTTGAGAATGTATACCTTGTTGATCAAATCAGCTCTATCCATATGTCTGTCTACCTCATCGAGATCGAATATTTTTGCGCCACTATTAAATACTTGCATCAATTGCGTCAACACATATTACATTAAATTCAAAAGCTAGCCCTCTGTGTCTTCAAAGAGAAGCGTAAGTACGAGACAGTTGACATCAGCCGCCTATCCACTCCTATATGCCTCAGCCCTGAAAGAGTACCCGAAATGGAGCCATTAAATATGTATTACTCTCCTAGTAAAAACAAAACAAAAACCAAAGGAAATTAATAGTCAATGATTCTGTCCCATGTGCTGTACCAACCCTTTTACCTTTATCTAATACCATAACCATTCATATGCATTCATTATTACAAATAAACACGGTGCTAAACCCCTTTCATGCTTAATACAATAAATAATAATTAAAATGTCGAAAATCAGCCTTGTTTGAAATTAGAAACGATAATCTACACTTCCTTCTTGAGCTATGATATTAAAGTATATCTACGTATATTTGTAGAGTAATTGGAGCAAATATATTAAACGATTTTTGTTAGCACCGATGTCCCTCATCAATGTTATTTCTAAATTTTATGTTTAAACCCTTCGCCTTTTTTTTTAAGAAAAAACTTGGACTGTGCAATAAAATATATCAAATTCTTATTGTATATTATCATTATATTCTAAACACTGTCAAGAATTTGCAGAACTTCATTCAGCATTCTATCAACTGTTTCCCTAAGTGCTTAAATAAAGAACATTTATAATTGATTTGACCAAAAATCGGTCACCTTATTTTGTAAAAAAAAAGGTTAATTTTTTCTCGAAAAGCTGGTCAAATTAACTTTAAACAAGCATCCTATCTAAAAGCAGAGTATCTACAAAATCCTTATAAATCGATGATTATCACCTTTCTAAGAGCATCATAAATCCTATTTGACAGCGCTTCTTCATCCAAAAGAGCCACTCTTTTAAGCTTGCTTTTCACTACAGGCCAAAATTCTTCAATAGGATTAAGCTCCAGAGAGTAAAGTCGGAGATAGGCACACCTATACCCTCTACCTTCAATATACAATTGAATGTCTTTTGATTTTGTGGACAAGGCGTTGTCTATGATCAAATAATGGCCCTTAAACTCCTTGTGTTTGTCCATCGCATCTAAGGTACCAGTAAGAAAATAGAAGTAATACCCAGTGACAGTTCCTCCCTTAGCTGTTTGGGTTTGAACAAGACCACTTGCACCTTTTCTTTTTTCTTAGGGTGCTATAACTTTTGGAAGTTTTGGCTTAATGTTTGAAGTGCCGAAGACAGATATGGCTCCAATTTTTTTTTGGGGACAGTTACAACAACCCGTCTTCCTTTACCTGATCATGCATAGTTGCGCTTCATATTGATATGAAATGCCACCTCGTCAACGAAAACGCTATTACTTACAACACATATCGGTCTCTTGTCCTTGTTTAACCCAATTGTATCTGTATTCAATCTTCGCAGGACTATTCCGCTCTACAAAATGGAAAGGACCCTTCTAAGAAAAAAGTGGCATTTGTCAGTGAGGAACTCGTGCAAAGCAGATTTCTCAATCTCAAGATCCATAAACTGAGTATTCAGTTGCTCCGTCATTTCCTCCAAAACTATACCCGGCTTCTCATGCACCATGCCATTCAAGAACTCTTTATACTCATTATACAGCTTAGACAGACTTCCAACCGAGCTTACCTTCTTTCTGTGAGGTAGATCCTCGTCTTTTTCCAAACTCTCCATACACTTTTTGTACTAGTTTTGGCCAGTGCTAGCTAGAACTTTGACCATTCTACAGGCTGCACGGGTGCTCAACTGCTTTATTTTCACTCTTATATGATCAATATCTGTTTTTTTTAAAGAAAAATATATTTCTATTGTGAACTTTGATCCTCTTTTTCTGAGCTAAAAGTTTTATTTTTCTTGATTGGCTTTTATGGGGGCTTCAAATCAGTATATTCCCCAAAGCCGTTTATATTAGCCAAGGGATACTGTTCTTTGTCTACTTCTATAGAAAGAACAGCAATTGATGTACTCTGCTCATCGTAGAGATTTCCGCTTCCATCTTCAAAAATAAATCGATTCATAGAACAAAGCAACAAAAAAAAAGTACATCAATGATTTCCGGAAATAGTCTATATACCTTAAAAACAACATATACTAATTAGTGAAATTATATTACTCAGTATAGTTGATATTTAGCTTTACAGATATTACCTATGCTTAATAATTTAATAATTTAATAATTTAATAATTCCAGGCCCTTTCAATTGATAAAGAGTCGTGTTTCAATAGACCAGCTGGTCTAATAGTAATTTAATTAAATGTTACCAAAGAACGTCTAGGCATAGAGCTAAAATAACCAAGATATAGAACAGATATATATATATATAATTGTGCCCTTGAAACAATGGATAAATTAGGGTCTTGATAATATAATATTTTGTATATAAGTATTCGATCCCACTTGAGATCCACACATACTTTATAAAGTGATTTTTGCCATTTAATGACATGGGAATATTAATATATACACATATAGGTATAGACATACTGGATATACATACAGATCTGTACATGATATTATACATTATCAAGTTATAGACCCTATATATGTATTACATATAGCTTACATCATTTTCCAGCCTTTTGAATGCCTGGGAATAACGGTTGTCACTATTTAAATATCAAGAGAATATATATATTTAAACAAAAATATAAAATAAGTAATTTCCATGGCTTCCAGATAATCCCGGTTTCACCGCTACGGTAATATTGGAAATATTGACAAATACATAAATTTATATATACAACTACATAAAAAGGTAATTCTGTGGTTCAAAAGGTTCGGGTGGTTTATACTTATTTTGTTGTTGTTGTTAACTTGAAACACTGGTCCTGTCTGTGAAGCGACATATATACTCATATACATATATTTTCTTCTGACCCTTGGTAAAGAAGATTAGGCTTAGCTTTTTAGGCTTTATATATTTTTTTTTTTACTCTTCACCAGAAACAACACCCTCAAAAAAAATTTAAAAAAAGGTTGAGCTAGAAAACACACATAACTTATCACTGTAGAACCCACAATTGGCTTCTAATTCCAATTCTCCTTCGTTATTTTTTCCCATTTCTCCCCGTCTGCTGAACAAACTATAAAATAATCACACACCCAAAACGCAGCAAGAGGGAAAGAGGAAGGGAAAGTAGGGGGAGTGTAGGGGAGTTTATAGTATTTTTGGATGAAATTGAGACGATTTGGATTTTTTTTTCGGAAGAATGAACTTTATTTTTAGACAAGCTTATTTTTTTTTGTAAACAATTAGAGTTTTTCTTTCGAGACAATAGAGACGTTGGACACATCATATATTTTTTTTGTAGGGAGACTTTTACTCAAATAATTGGTGAGCCTCTATTGCCATAAAGCAGAAGAGGACGCCACGACTTGTTTGTGTATTTTATTTGTTTTATAGTGTTTTTGAGAGTTTTCTATTTTATAAAATGAAAAAATGGTACGAACCCAAGAAAGCACATCCCGTAGCCATCTCTTCGCAAAGAGATGGGCCAGATCTGAAGGCTTCTTTGTTCGACCGAGGAGAGAGTGACCTAAAGTCAAACAAAGAACGACAGAGAAACAGTTGGGAAGACATGCTGGTTGACAGCAGAAACAGAGAGGGAGAAGCAAGAGCAAAAAGTGACCAAGAGGGAGAGGAGGAAGCAGAAGTTCTGACCGAAACCTGGAGGGAAAGACTGGGGGCTCATTGTCATGCCACGTGCTATGATAATAAGCTTCACGATGGGGATATCAGCATAATCTCATTACCATAGGGCGAACCATGGTAATGAGAGAAAGGGAACATGGGTGGAAATAGTGACCGAGAGAGTGGGTGGGGACATAAAAGGGGTGGCGACGTAGTGACAAACTCTTCACACTATCTTCCCCAACCAAAGTGATATAAATGCGAAAGAGCTGTGTGACATAATATCCCGATAATAAAGGCTTACTATTACCATAATTTCCAATGATTCATGCAGTGTAAGTAGAAAGCGGCGGCGATCAGCTTCATCCAAGGGACGTCGATAGAAGTCCTTATCCATACCCGGAATAGCAGCAAGGAGGGCAGGAAATGGAGTAAGGTCCGTAGCAACAGGGCGTTCAGAAATGTAAGGGGAGTCAAACCCTTCAGAACCAGAAGTAACTGGATTATGCACAGGAAGGAAAGGAGCAGCTTGGGTTTCCAGGGCAGCAAGACGAGCCTACAAGGCTTCAAGTGTGGATCTTAAATCATTGGACATGGATCGTCGATGAGTCGAGCGGTTGAATACCAGGAGTTAAAGAAAAGATGACAATGAGTATAGAATACGCATAGCAACAATTTATTCTGAAAACGCCGTAATAAAGTAATGATGGTAACACAGCCAAAGTCTCTGTCGAATGAAGAATAATAAAAAGAGATACACGCAGTATTAACTATTTTGATCTTTGTATATTTTTCTTTCTACAATTAAACTTTTCTAATAATTCATTATTTGTTGTCAAGCTATCAGAATTAAATAAAAAAAAGCTCATTAGCAGCAGTAAATGTTTCTATGGGTATTTTTGTTTTTTGATAACAGGATTTGTTTCAATGAGCTGTATAATGTCATGAGTTCTACTTGTCAATCCAGGAAAGTCGATTGACACTAAACAAACATCATGCTTTACTGCTTTCAAATATGTCAACCTGTTTATAGTGGATTGAATTAAACGTTAAATATGATCTTTTACAGTTTGCATATATTTTATTTAAGTTTTATTTTACACTGTGTATTCCGTATAACTTGATCCTATTTATCGATTATACTATCATTATTTTCTCAAATCTCGTTTAAAACACGGAATGGGAGAGTAACTGCAGGTGGATACATATACTCTGCTTGCAAATGACCGTTCATGTAAATTGTTCGCCATAGCTTGAAGAAGCTTGGTTCTATTGTCAATATTATCATCTGTAAGATATTTGCAGGCATAACATATAATTTCATATACGTTGTGAATGCGTCGATCGACTTCGTTCCATCCTCAGGTGTGGTTTCGTTATTCGTATTGGTAGAAAAAATGGTCTCAGTGATTTTAGCTCCTCGTTGGTGTTGATTGTTCGGTTTGAAGTAGTGTCTCTCAAATGTGTCACTCATAGTGCTCCAGTTCCTATGCAATTTAACCTCTTGAATGGGCTTTCCATTCAACACTGCGTGTGTACTAACAGCCGATCGTGTTGAGTGGGCTGTTAATCTCTCATGTATATCTGCTTCCCTCATAATACTCTGCACCCAACTAGCAATGGTGGCAGGTCTTGCACTTGCTGGCATAGGAGTATAAATGTATCCCAAAAAGAGTGTGTAGCCGTCGGGCAGGTTTGTGCGCAGATGTGCAGTGCGTTCCGTAAATATATATAGTGTAAGTGCGGGACATCTAATCGTGTCAGAAATCATGCCCAATCTGGAAGACTTGGGTTGGGATTCTTTTGGTGTACAGGATATCAAAGTGGTGCCAGTTACTTGGTGAAGCATATCTCTTTGAAATGTGACATCCCTTTTCTGCACTCGACCAAGGTCCGATCTGAGCCTCCACATAGTCGCGAGGCGAAGGGGCATTAAGGTCTTACGTAGCAAGGCTGTGAGAGAAAGAGTTTCGTTGGGACCCCAAGAATGGAAGAGGCCGAGTACCATTCGAACATCACATGTTTCCTGAGAACTATTGTGTAGTCGAATGTCTGTCTTCCTCTTTGCTTTAAAGTAAATTTGGATCAAAGTATGGTCTGCCAGTGACAACTCTTGGAGATGAAGGATTTTAAAAAAGATGCAATCGTTGAACGTATAACATTGACATGTTGATTAGAATTATCTTGAAGTGTAGGCAAGTATTTTACTACAAGTTGGGGATTGTATGTGATTGGGTACAAAGGTGGTGATTTATGTAAACAACATTCTGCCCATCGATGCCAGTAATGGTTATATGCCTTTTGGGTAAAATTCACGGTTAGAGGATTCGAGAATAGTGAGCAGGTGCTCTTCTAAGCTGTCTTGGCGCCTTGCTTCGCGGATAACCGCCAAGCGGTCAGTGACCACCGTTTGTTGACCTGCATCTGTAGCAGTGTCGCAATGCTCATGCTCAGGACAGTAGGCTACCAAAATTTGGTGGGTAATTTTGAAGCGATTAGAGCTGCTTGCTTGACCTTATCCATCTTTAATTTCTATAATACTCGCGGGAGCATCTTCCACGGGGGGGTATAGGTACATCCTTGTAGGTGCCCAGTGTTGTTGAAAGGCGTCTATGGCCGATGCCTATGGATCCGGAAGTAGACTCCAATATTTTGGTAGACATGTATCGTGACGTACTGCGAACGCATCGATAGTGAGCAGCATCTTCCAGTGTTTTTGAATCGTGCTGAACCACCGCCATGGTAGCGCCCACTCGTGGATGGGTTGTCTCCGTCGGCTAAGGCTGTCTGAAGTTGAGTTGTTTACTCCTGGTACATGTCGATATTAGACTTCGGGGCGAAATTCGTTGTAAACGGTCTTTGTTGTGAGAGCCAGGTCCTGTAAGAGAGGTGACGCTGTTCCCCCCGACTTCCAAACGTACTTGATTGTTGTCGTGTTGTCGGAGAACAGAAGGGGGACCTTACGGACAAGTTGACGGGACAAGATTTTGCGCCAAATATTTATGTCTCTGACGTCAGATACTTTTGGTATAACAATCTTTTTTTTTTGGGGTGGTCTTGATAAATTGTCTTTTAGATTACCAATAAAATCACTCTCCTTTTTTTCTATAACGTCAGCACATAATTTCTTTGACATTTAACATGAGCAACATCAAAAACACCAACATCACCAACGACCTTGTCATTGTCAGAGAGACTTCTTCCAAGAAGTACGATGCTGCTTTAACTGAGTTTAGATTTAATTTTCTTGTCGGAAGACAATTTTCTTCAACTGTAGCTTGCTGTTCGTGAAGCTGCCAAGGCATATGGTTTCACGCATAATATTGACGACAAAAAAGCACTAACATATACAATTTTTTGTGTTTTCCCTGAATCAAAGCAGTCCTTGTGTTATAAACACGTCAAGAATAATTTCAAGAAGCAATTGCGGGCAACAATGAAAGGAGAAAAGAACGAGGAAAAGATAAAACAAAAACAAAAACATAAAGGATGAGTAAAAAAAAAGTAACGTCATTTTAACCTCAGGCACTCTTGTAGATCGAATCAATACTTTACACTTTTTTTTTATTCTTTATATATTTAGCCAGTAGTTCAAGAAAGATTACTATAAAAACGTGTATGCTTTGCACAATTTGTAATTAAGATATGAAGGCTTTAGACGATTTAAGAGAATGAATGAATAATAGTGATGAAAAAGAACATAATAAGACCTATTGGCAGCGTTGAACAATCCAAATCACTTTGTTTTTTTTTGCTCACCTTTTATTTGCTTAAATTAAAAACAATTGTGTAAATGAGTGCTTTTAAACAAAAGAATATATATATGAAAGTATATAGAAGAGCTTGTAATCGAATACTACACTCATTCTTAATTAAATATTAGATATGATAATCCAACTTATTAAATAATTTTGATTAAGTGCAAACTACTAAATCAAAATTACGATCTAGCTAAGGATCGTTTCTTGTAAGAAGAGTTGTATGTCTGCGGTTAAAGGACTTTAATGGTTTCAAGGTTTGTCAAAAGCGTTACAAGGCTTAGAAACCAAGGTTTATTTTACCCCTTATTTTGTAAACATAAGACTTCAAAAACGCAGCTATAAGAATGTATTTCTTTAAAGAGAATATTTCCTATTATCTTCTTTTCTCTTTTTCTCTGTCTCTTATTTATTTCATTTTTGATAACCACCCCTTCAAGAAAAGCATAGAGCCATTGTCTCGATCATGCTGACATCAGAATTACCTGTCGAAATTACGCTCTTATTTACAAGATATCTTAACCCCAAGGATAAAATTCAATGCTGTCTAGTGTGCAAGAATTGGCTTCGGGCTTTTCAGGAAACTGTTTTTGAAACAATTATTATTGAGAGCATAGTCGATTTCAACCATTTAACTGCTCAAACCAATACGGGAAGTAACGTTCTTCAAATACATGGCCACGATACTCGAACGCTCGAAATCGGTAAAAACGTTTTCCTGAACAGCCAGGAGCTTTACGCTTTACAGCAACACCTTCCAAACCTACAGAATTTCAAATGGGATAATAGTCAATTTAGAGAATTTCTTCAACCACCTGATACTTACGGATGGAATCTGTGGGCAGAATCTCTCGTGGATCTTGACGTATCGTTGGAATCACATACTCGCAGCGAACAAACCAAGATCTTTGATTTGATTCGCTCAAATCTATGTCGGCTCAAACGATTAAAATTATCTTCTAGTGGACACATGGCCATACTCACCTTTGATGATTGTGAACTCCTTAATGACCAACTACCCGAATTGACGTACATGTCACTTAGGGCTCGATTTAAGGAAATGAGCTACGATAAATTATCGAAAGTTAAAGAAGTGAAGCCGAGACCATGCTTTAAAACCTTGAAAATGGACATCAGAAACTCTACGCATGAATGGATGTATTACATTGCTGCCAAGTATCCAAACATCAGTACCATTCAAAGCTTTTATTTTCAACGGTCCAAAAATGTTGATCCGCCAACTTCTCAGGCCCTATCATTGCTTGCCGAACTCCCACGTCCCCTGCAACAATTAGAGACCATTTTTATGTCTGTCGAAGCCACTTGTACATACATATATCGTTCTTTTGTAAGCCAACTTTATGCTTTCAATATTCCAGTCAAGAAGATCGAGCTAGGTGTCAATTCTGGCTGGACTCTCAAGAACCCTCCAAGAGAACATAGGCTGGTAACAACAGAGCTATGGGCAAATACATTGGAAAAAGTATCAATTGCATACTATACAGGCTGTTCGCATTTTTTTTGTTTTTGCGATGACAGTGTCTATTACCCTCGCCTAGTTTACCTTAATATCAGCGTCTGTGGAGCTAGTGTCTTACTAAATATCGTCTTGACAAACTGCCCGTCGTTAATGACTCTTAAAGTTGCTGGAAATACACTCGAAAATAAGTCAAATCCATCTACCCCTTCGATTAAGCATGGACTGCGGGATTTATCACTTATGAATGAGGAGGTTTCTGCTAATACACTTAACTATATTTCCACCAACTGTAATGATCTGAAAAAAATGCTACTAGATTGCGTAACTATAATAGGATCACAAAGGATAAGTAATTATGAGAACTGTATCGATATGTCATCGACCCACTTTTCAAAGCTTTATATTAGACATGTTCAATATACTCCCTACAGTAAAGGACATGCAATCGAGGTGTTTGTCTTTATTCCATCACCGGTAAGTGTCTAATTGTTATATATTATATTTACAGATATAAAAGTCATATTGTTAAACTAATCTTATATATATAAAAGGAGAAGGAAGAGGAGATAAGGTCTCCTATCAGATTTTGTACAGAAAACGCGTGTGTGCGTTTTTCGGCTGGGGTTGGAGCAAATGGTATACGTCTCGGATTAGGAACACAGAAGATGCGTGAAAAATATTTCAGTACTTTCTCCGATGACCCTCGCTCACAATATAGAAATGATCAGTGTCTAAAGGTTTTAAAGCGAATGTCACTAGACCGCCGGGAAGATACAATTTATCATCTCTATGTTACTTTTAAATACGGCTCTGTACAAGATTTTGTATTTGATGACTAATGCAACAGTGCAACCAATTTATAAAAATAAAGAAGAAAATGTATATTTTAAAATGGGGCCCTCATTTGCTTAAATGTTTTCTTGGAAGAGTTGTTCGTGTATGATGTATTAGCTATAAAATATATGATATTGCTTAATACTGTTAATCTATTAAAAAAAACAAATCAAAATGTAAAATTTGTCTGTCAGTGCAAACTTCACTTTACAACTAATCCTCAGAAAACCACAGTACAATCTTCTCTATTGAATATAGTATATACACTATATAATAAGGCCATAGAGCCTCTTTAAAATCAGTGGATGTATATATATATATATATAGGTTGAAATAATTAAAATATATTTACTTAATTATTAGTAGTATGTGGATCAATCTGGAGATTGGTAAATACATACACGCACGTAAATATCTTTAATGATGGATTGGTTTACTAATTGCAGTGTATGCTTTCTAATGATGTGTCAGACAATTAAACTTTAGGGACAAAGGGAGCTTTAAAAGAAAGTCAGAGAAAATGATAGCTGATGATGCTTATTATTGAAAGATAGGTTTCTTATACATCTCTTTGAAGATGTTCATTTAGAGAAGGGCTTGCGAAAAAGAAGAAGAAGAAAAGGGTGCTCCGTTAGAAAAATAAGGTTTTACGAAAGTCAAACGAGCAAAATGGTAACTTGTATGATTTTCAGTGCAAAGTTTTCTTTTTTAAGTAAAAATAAATAAAATAAAAGCCACTACAATAACTTGACCTTACTGTAGCTATTTGATATAAAGTACTTTTACATATGAATATGCTCTTTCGACAATACTACTACACTAACAATATTTCTCATTTTAACTTATTTGTTTATGAAAAACCGGCTGCGCCTCGTACATCTTTATGGTAACCTAAATGATTTAATTTAACCGGACTTGTAACTCAAAGTATCAGTTTGTTCAAGTATTTCTTCTTTTTCTATTTATCGATTTCAATTTTATTGACAATTGTGTATATAAATATATATATTTCAAAATATTCGTTTCTCACCTCTTTATCTCTTTCTCACTTTATACAATCATCATCATGTTATTATCAGAGCTACCACCCGAAATTCTTACCCAAATTGCTGAACTTCTAACTGCAACAGACAGGCGTTCTTGTGGTCTGGTGTGCAAGGGATGGAAATACCCATTTCAAAGGGTTCTGTGGAGAGACACACGGATCGGTTCCCCTGAATATATCAGCGAAATTATCGAACATGTTAAATATCCCCAATATTTATTCATACCATGCCTCTTTGTCCATAGTCTACGACTATACAAATATTACTATGCATCAGAAATATCAGATGTAAAATTCTCTGAAATATTCAGATACATGCCAAACCTGAAGCGCCTAGAGATATCCATTATGCCAAGTATTATGCCTAACACAAAGATAACAAGAACAGAAAAAATATGGACGTCTCTGGAAAGTCTGAAAATACAATACGGAAGTAAATGCGAACAGAAATCAGAAAATCTACTAAACCTTGTAAATGCCTGTAACATGCTCCAGGAATTAGAAATAATTCGAAAAGGACGGCCCTTTGGCGTAATATTTAGCATGGATGACTTTGACAGCATGCACCAAAACTTGCAGAGCCTATCGTCTATTAGCATTGAAATGTATCTCAATTCTGAATTTTCAGCTAAACTGGACACTATCCCAAACACGACACCAGCTTTTGCCGTGGCATCCATAGATATCCATTAGAAAGAGCTCATACCCGTAGACGAATTTGGAAATGACTATAAGACAATCTGGGATCCTTTGTGGCTGTACTATTTCGGATACAAGTATCCAAACCTGCGTTCCCTAAAGCTATATGCTACGGACATACGTAGAAACGCAACAAATTGGGACGAGAGGCAAGCAATTATATCTCGTTTTCAATTCAATCCAAAAGCATTTAGATGCCTGGAAACATTCAGCTTCACAACCGACAGTTATTTTTCATTTTCCGACTTTGTTTTGTGGGAATTGTTTTATGCATTAAGAGTTCCTCTTAAGCATCTGGTCTTAGATGCAACAAAAAGCGAAGAAGTAGACGATTCGCACCCAATTGATGTGAACAGAATCTTACAATCGTTTTCTAAAACACTCAAGAGTCTTTCGGTTACAGGGTTTATATATAATGCTAGGGACCAAGATCCGACTTTCAGATTATCTTCTTATTATCCGCTTTTGACGAGTCTTTGCATCAGTGGCAGCAATGTGTTTCTTAATCTGGATAATTTATTGGACAAATTTGCGACTCTCAAACAGCTGAAATTTCGTGGTGAAAAATTGGTCATTACTCCAATCACGACAACAGAGAAGTCAAAACAGAAGCAGCAGAAACATAGACTGGAGATCTTGACGCTAGAGAGATGTGCTGCAGACGTTAAAGTATTTAATTACATCTCTTTCAGGTGTAGAAGTTTGAGACATATGACTTTGAATACTTTGCACGCCACAGGATCTATTTCTGAAAAAACTGGATGTTTGTTACTCGATATGCCACATACTTTTTTGAAGACTCTGAACATCGGTCAGGTTCGATACAGCACATCATACGAAGAATTGGGTACAAAAGATGATATCTGTCTGACACTCCTGTCTCAATTGAACAATGCTCCATTGTCAGATGAAAAGAACGAAACAGAGCAAAATAAGATGGATTCAGTATACCCTATATCAGCGATTCACAATATTGATTGGCTCTATACATATGATTCCAATGAAGGCCAAGGCATAGACTCCCTAGAAACTAAAAAGCTCTCCAAGGAAGAAACCAACATCGCACTTGAATACTATAAAAACTTCCAGTCCAACAAAATCAATCAAATTTCAGAAGAGGACAACTCATATAACGGAGAGGACCCAAAGGCCGGCTGGGAATACGAACTCTACAAAGGATACGGTGAATTGAGACTTGGCAAGATTGAAGTTGGCTCTTTTATATGTGCTCCAGACGGTTACATTTTTAAGAAATAGTCTGAATAATAGACTCTTTTCAAAAGAACAAATAAAAAGCTCTCATCCAATAATACGGCTTAAATGTTTGCCTTTTTTTCACCCTTTTCTTTGAACTTTTAGTCTGTCCACCCCTAACTGTAATAATTAATGGAAAGCGGGCATTAGACCGATAGCTAGTTTGTGAGAAGTGACGTTTCCTAGAATGTCAAGTTTGGATGAGAATTGACATTCCGACTTATACTCTATTGCGGAGCGCTGCAATAGAGCGGTCCCATTTTCTTTCGTAACGCTTTTCTCTAGCCAAAAAGGCAAGACAAGGAATAACACAGTAGCCACTCATTTGCAATGCAAACCCATCTTCTACTAAGAGAACACCCAAGAGCATTAGCTCTCAGACCTACCGTACTTGAGGAAGCGCCTTCGGGAGTTCTTGTCTTTGAACAGTATAATGCACACGGAATAGACAAAACAATGGCGAGACTGTTGCCACCTTCAGAATTTGAGGATTCCTCATGGAGGATACTCAACGCACGGCCTGTGTTTGGATGCCTCGGGCTAATAAACATTCAGAAAGGTCAGTATTGAATTATAAGATAGAGCCAATACAGTGAGAAATAAGAAACAAGAAATAAGAAAAAGAAGAAAAAAATTAGTATCCATTATGCATTAAGCTCACCATGACACACATACAAAAAAAAAGAATGCTTTGTTGCCATTGTGACGGACTGTGTATCGGTGGGCAGGATAAGGGCAGGAGAAGAGATTTATAGAATCCAGAGCGTGTCATTTTATTCGCTTGCGTCTTCGAAATACGATGATCTTGATTTTTCTAGTAGAGAGAACTGGGAAACAGAGGAGTTTGATCAGCCCAATGCAAGTCCTACTACTCTTCAGCATCCTTGCCTTCAACTACAAAAATTGTTTTCTATCGGCAGCTTTTATTTCACACCTGATTTCGATCTTACAAAAACAGTTCAAGCGAGGTAAAATAACAAGGGTTTTAATGGGGGGAATAATTCCATTTTTCTTTTTCCTCTTTTGAGCACATGAGAATATTTATCTCGACTATCTTTTTTTATTTTATTTATTCATCTATAACAACAAGAACTTCGGCGGCATCTATGGGCGTTCATGCATTCGATGACCACTTTTTGTGGAACAGGTTTCTTGTATCTGGTCTTTTGGATTTTAGAGCAAAGCTTGACAGAAAAAAGCAAATGGACCTTGACCGAGGAGGTTTCTTGGTAAGAACAAAAAAAAAAGAAAACATTTTTTTGTAATATGTGTTGTATGCATATACTTGAAAACTAACATAAATGACTTGTGTATATAGGTATTTGCTATCCGAGGCTACGTTGGGACAGAACATGTATATGCTGATGATGAAAAACTCGAACTTTCGGTTATATCCAAACTAAGCTGCAAGCGAGCAGGAACACGTTTCAATTCTCGTGGTATCGATGACAATGGCCATGTTGCAAACTTTGTCGAGGCAAGTTTGCTGTTGTGAGAGGTATTGATTACGCACTATTGACATCAAAAGATAGACCGAGGTAGTCTTGTACTCTGACCAAGCATGTTATTCCTTCACTCAAGTGAGAGGAAGTGTTCCAGGTAAAAAGACTTGATTCTGCGTTTCTTTTTTCCCTCCTTCCTTCTTTTTTTTTTTTTTTTTTTTTTAAAAAAACAACAGCAACAACAACACTAATAATAACAATACATTTTGATTTTGATTGGGTTTAAAAGTGTTTTGGGAACAGCAGGGAATGCAACTTGTCAACCACAAAATTCAGATTGCAAGAGGGCCAAGCGCCACCCAGCCAGCTGTTAATCGACACTTTAAAGAGCTAGTCGATCGTTATGAGGCAGTATCCAACGTCAACTTATTATCAGAGCGAGAAAACACCGGGGAGTCTCTTCTTGGAAATGCTTACAACACGGCTGTTCAACAGCTTCACATGCCAGAAAATGTAGTTCACATGGTCAATTTTGATTTGCATGCAGAATGTAAAGGAGGCAACTACGAAAACATGTCGTTTCTGATGCAAACTATCCGTAAAGACCTAGATAGCTATGGATATTTCCTGATGGACCCAGATGACAATCAAATCGTGTGTACCCAAAAGGGTGTGTTCCGAACAAACTGCATGGACTGCCTAGACCGTACCAACCTTGTTCAAAATGAAATATCGCGCCTGTCTCTCACAAACTTCTTGACCAACAGAGGACTAAACCAGAGACGATACTTTGATGGCATCATGACACGTCATGCTCATTTGTGGGCAGAAAACGGTGATGGTCTTTCGAAGATTTATGCAGGCACAGGTGCACTCAAGTCTGCATTCACACGAACGGGAAAGGTTACGTTTATGAATGTGTTGAGTGATGCGACTCGATCCGTAAATCGATTCTATATCAATAACTTTCAAGACAAGGCGCGACAAGAAGTCATTGATCAACTTTTGGTAAAGATATTTTTTGTGTGTGTGTTATACCATGAAGTAAGGCTACAAGGGCTAAAGAAGCGAGAAAAAAAATTTTAGGGTAAATTGGCAGGTCAAAAGGGTATAGATATTTACGATCCTATCAGTGACTCTGTTCAAAATCTTATGAAGAGAAGGTAAGCCGATGAGAAAGTTTAGAGAAAGAAAGTAAAAGAAAGAAATTGGTAACACAATTTTTTATTTTATTTTTAATGTAAAGGGTAAAAGAATACTCTTCAAATCGCAAGATTACTATCTTTACAGGAACCTACAATCTCAACGGAAAATCCTTCAAGGGAGAGCTTCTTGATCCATGGCTTCTCCAACACTTTAGATGTAGGACTTGAGGTTTATGTATTGGATTTTAGTGTTTTAACAAGCTACTCGGTCTTTTTTTTCTTCTTTTTTTTTTATTAGGGAGTAGCGAGGAACCAGATATTTACGCTGTTGCATTCCAGGAAATTGTCGAGCTTTCCCCCCAGCAGGTAATAGGAACCAAATACATACTATTACTTTTTATATTAATATCCTTATTCTTTTACACCCTAGGTGATGGTGACAGATGCAGATAAACGGTAGGCTTGAGTGGATTTTATTTGAACTTTTGAATCACGTGTGGCTTATTAAATACGCCCACACCCACACCCACACACATAGAAAAGTATGGGAGCAAGAAATAGAACGCACCTTGAATTCCAGAAAAGGAGGTGAAGCAAAATACGTTCATCTTCGATCCAACCAGCTGGTTGGTGCGGCCTTGATGATATATGTAAAATCAAGTATTGTGGAAAATATCCGAAATGTCGAGACGGCTATCAAAAAGGTTAGACTAAAGGGCATGTGTGTGTGTGTGTGTGTTTTTTTTTAAAAAAAAAGACTTTCTACCCCCTGGTTGCGCACGGACATTTTGATTTTTTGTTGATTACTTACTTTGGAATAAGACGGGAATTATGGGTATAGCAGGAAACAAAGGGGCTGTGGGCATTCGGATGGAGTACGGAGATACCAGCTTCTGTTTTATTGCTGCACATTTTGCATCTGGTAAATGATACTGCTATTGCTACTGTTATGATTAAAAATTACTAATGAAATTGAATACTTTTGTGTATATGTTTGTGATAAAGGCCATTCGAATTATGAAGACAGAAATAACGATTTCCATACCATTAATCAGGGACTCACTTTCCTTAGAGGAAGGTCCATCAGCAGCCATGAGTAAATATTGTAGATTAGACATATAAAGCGTATGAATTAATCTGGTCTGATCTGATTTTTTTGTAGCAACATTATGTGGATGAGTGATCTAAACTATCGTGTTGCTCTATCGAATGAAGAAGTAAGTACTTGTGTGTATGGGGTGCCATGTATCTAAGGATATATTAAATAACGTTTTGTTACATAAAATTATAAAGGCCCGGGAATATGTATCTCAGGGAAATTTGGATGCTTTGCTGAGAGCAGATCAGGTAAAGATATATATATATATATATAAAACAGACAAAGTCTATATATTATATGTGATAATCATATACTGATTTTATTTTATGGCAACCAGTTACAAAATGAAATGCGTCTGCAAAGAGTGTTTTCTGGATATGAGGAAGGGCCAATCACCTTTATGCCTACCTACAAATATGATAATGGAACCAACGTCTATGACACTAGGTAATATTATCTACCTTTGTACCTTGGGTATATTACACTATATAATTTTGGTTGGAATCTAACTTGGAGTCTTGCTTAGTGAAAAACAGCGTGTCCCGGGTTGGACTGATCGTATTATATTCAAAGGAGATCACTTGAAACAGATTCAATATGCCCGTGCAGAGCTCTATACATCAGATCATAGACCAGGTAAGGAAAGAGTTTGATATCGATTCATAGAATAAAGGGAACTACAAGTATCTATAGTTGCTGATTTGTTTCATATATTTATGATAGTGCTTGCGTTATTTGAAGCTAATGTAAGTATATGAAAAAAAGGGGGGATACAGCTCAGGTAACACGGTCTAAAAAAACAGAGGGATTATTTGTGGTACATAGATTGTCACCTTTGATCGAGACGCAAGAGAACGACTCCAAAAAGAACTATACCAACAAAGCTTAAGTACAATAAAAGTACCCACAAACCTCCCGAGTCTTCCCAGAAGACGAACACCATCCTTGCCTGTGCGCCCTACACCAACTGTTGTGGATACATTGATCGATGTCAGTTTGGACGAAATTGAAACAAACCAACGCAAGTATTACTATTATTTTTAAGAAAGAAAGACATTTTACCTACTTACAAACTGAATATTAACCAAATACATAAATTCTTTTCATCAATAAAGTTCCTCCACCTAGCACAGAATCAAACAAGTGGTGGGAGATCGGAGGAGGTATTATTTAACTACAAAAAGCATTGATATCTTGTCTTGAATTCATACTAATAATAAAAAACAGAGCTTCCAAAAGCTGATAAGCGACAGGCAACAAAGAAGAATCCGTTTGATGATACACACCCGTCGGGTAAATTTGCGACACAAATAAACAAGATAAATATTAACCATAATCTATTTTCTAGACTTGGCAACCATAAGGCCGACATTAAATTCAGAGAGCTCATGGATACCTATTAGTCCTGTACCGGCTGCAAATGGGAATGGGATGAACGGTCTATCTAAACCCCAGTTTCCATATATGATGAGTACAGACGATGCTCAGCCTAGTCATGACAGTGCTGATCCAGGTGATGCTGCTGCTTTGAGTGTGTCGCATGCATTTGGCTTCTGGAACAACAAACAGGCCACATAGGATAAATAAGCAGCCTTTTACATAGATCACACACAGACACAAAAGAAAGAAAGAAAGAAAGAAAGAAAAAACATATCAAATAAATAGGATACCAATGGAGCCTATAGCTTACCCCATTTTTTTATATTGAACTCAAAGTTAAACCCACAAAGAAAGCCTAAATAATATATTATAATATAATATAATATAATATAATAATTTATATAAAAAGAAAGAAAGAAAGCTGCGTTTTATGTAACAAGGGAAATGGCGGGATATCAACATGCACGGCCTCCCTTCGAAAAAAAAATGAAAGAGAAAAAAAAAAACATTTGTATAGACAGCAGAGCATTCAATCTCCTTCTTCTTCTTTCTTCTTCCTTCTTCGCCTTATTTTCTCTCTTTCTTTATCCCCCCATGGCAGCTTCACCCAATAACATTTCTCTTGAGAACCGCCTGGAAGGTTATGTAGGAAACCTCAGTGCTGCACAGACTACTGCACTCAAACAGCTTTGGATCAAACTATTTGCTTTATTCAAGCAAGAAGGCCAGCCTTACGTTGTTCCAACCAAGCCAGCCCAACCTGAAACAAAAGCTACGGGTGGCTTCTTTGGGTTTGGTGCAAAGGTCGAACCCGTCCAAAAGGATGTATTCTTGGGCGCAACTACGGATGAGAAGTGGTTGACTCTTCCTGAAGAAAAGGCCATTGAACTGATTCCGGGTAGTATGCTTCACAAGACTTTCTGGAATTTGGTCGCCACAGACAACCCCGATGCTTCTCTGTGTCGCTTCTTGCGGGCTCGTAAATGGGACTGCGAAGCTGCTTACAAGATGTTGATTAATACCTTGCGTTGGCGTCTGGTTATGCGTGTGGATGAGATTGCTTCCCTTGGAGAATCGGGTCTGAGAGATCTGTTGAATAAATCTCTGGATGGAATGGGTGACTCGTTTATTAAGCAAGTACATTCTGGAAAGGCTACTTTGGGTGGACCGGATAAGGCTGGCCGTGTTGTCTGGTAAGGCTCATTACGGGTTATTGTAGATAAAAAAAAAGCCATATGTTTCATAGTAACAGAATGTGAGATTTCCTCGGAAATATATATATACTAGTTTCATAAATGTCCAGTTGCATCATAAAGAAGAGCAGTCCCTCGAGGTCGTCAAGCTTTTGACCCTCTACATCATGGAAACATCTCGTCTTGCTTGTGGATATCCTATGAACAACGCAGGTCTTGTATTCAACCTTGAGAATTTTACTTTGAGCAACATGGTGAGTTTAGTCAGATTTACTGTATATACTTGGGGTTATATAGACTAATAAGAGCTATATGTGAGAAATCAGGACTTTGAGTTTGTCAAATTCCTGCTTGGATGTCTGGAGGCTTACTATCCTGAAACACTCGGCTCTTGCTACATTCACAAGGCTCCCTGGGTATTCTCAACTGGTAATAAATATTTACACTGTTATTATTACTTGAAAAAAAAACCAGAAGAAGGGGGATTGATACTAATAAGTTATCTCGTAGTTTGGGCAATGATTACACCTTTGTTGGATCCCGAAGTGGCTAGCAAGATCGTGTTTACCAAAGATCTCGAAGAGCTCACAAAATATATTGATGTCTCAAATCTGCCTGTCATCATCACCGGAAACCCCAACCGTAAGACAAAGGACGAAAGCACCAAGGCTGATCCTCCTGCTCCCGGGACCCTCAATCCTCCCCAAACACCTGCTGTCGTGGCATTTTTGGGCGCACTAGAAAAATATGAAATTGTTACCAAAGCATGGGCAGAGACCCAGACCGTAGAAAACGATACCGAAGATGCCATAAGACGTCTGGAAAACGGACGAGCTTATCGTGTTGCTCGTATCAAGGCCGAAAAGGACCTTAGAGGACCTACAATCTATCATGCCAAGGGATTGGTCAAGGTGACAGATGAAGGCCGACTTATCCTTGACTTTGGCGTTGATAGTTCGGGTCAAATAGATGTTACTGAGTGCGTTTAAAAAAAAAGAATTAAATACAAGTTATATAAATATTATTAAGCTTTAATTTTTCTTTTGTATCTTAGAAGATCCTGTACAGCCTATACATTTCTCTTTCTCTTACACCATTTGTTAACTCTCTTCACTTATCAAATATATATATACATCTACGTACATATCTATGTTTCATATATTATAAATGGTCTATATATTCTTCTTCTAATAAATACCAGCACATGTCCACATGTGAACACTTGTGAAGCAACACAAAAGTTTGATGTTCAGGGCCCACTCATTATTTTCAGGCTCAGTCTACGAACACAATGAGATCCAAGTAAGAGCCCCAGGAATATTCCCTTTATATATACATATATACATACTTCATCTGTCTTTATTACACTTGTATACATACGGAAGATACAGATCTTAATAATCAAGTACAGCAACAAATCGTTGATATTTCTGTGACTGAGAATAATTTCAAAATAAATTAGGTGAATAATATTTTATTTTAGATGTTACAAGAGAAAAATAAATTCAGACCAGTCAGACTGTACTTTTAGATATACTAGAACTTCTTCTATTTTTTTTTTATTAGACAAGGTATGCTAATAATGTCCAAAATATACTATTACTCTTATTTCTGGTAGTAGAGCTTGGTTCTGCTTTATTTATTTACAAGTACTAATAACTAACCCGGAAGAGTAACGATACATAGAATTTTGAAATTATAAAAAATCAAAGGGTTACTGAAGTAATCCTGCTTTAGATATATCTTTGTGCGTTGTTATTTTCGGTAGACTACGGTCAATATCAGAGAGAATATTATTAGGATAGAATAGAGTATCCTAAAAAAATGAGTTGATAACGAGAACTCCAAGTGTTTTGTTGAATACATGAAAATACTTTGTGCGGACAGACTAAAAGTTCAAAAAAAAAGGGCAAAAAAAGGATAAAACAAGTTCAGGATGAACTTAGTCAATCAGACTAATTTATGACTGTCCACACCTTTTTTTTTATAAAAAATAATAATAATATCAAAATTATGCTAGATGGTGCCTCTGTTATTAATGAGAATCTTTTATTGCAAGTTATCCTAGACATTGTACCCTATAGCACATAGTTTTGATCAAAGATATGCTCTTCTTCTCAACCTAAATGGCAATGGAAGAAGACTAGCCAATTTGAGTCGATTAAAAACTTTGTTCTTTTTTTGCCTTTTTTTGAACTTTTAGTCTTTCCATACCAACTGTTAGCATTGGTGACATGGTTATAAGCATAAAATTGGTATAAAATAATCCTAAATATTTTAATAGTATACTAGATCTCCAAATCATAGATAGTACAAAACAAAGTCAAAAGGATTTAGTCATTTATTTTCTTTAAAAAAAAAACACACACACACACATATCAAAGTGCAATATTATATGTGAAATCCAATTATTTAATTTTCATTTGCCGTTCTTTTTTTGCTACTTTTTTGTAGCACATAAAAAATAGGCCGTTTAGTACGATTTTTTTCTAAAGTAAGCTTCTAATCCCGAAGTCATAAAATTTTTCTTTTTTGATTATACGACATTAGGAGAAATACATTTTTGAAACACCGCCGCATTTTTTTTTGTGTAGGAAAATTGCTAGCCTCACAAAAATGCCACGCTCCCAGGTGTTTTAAATTACTAAAAACAGCTTAGACCGTTTGAGTTCCAAACATGCTCTACAATCTACCAAAAAGACTGGGCATTTGAAATTTAAATTAATTATTTTATTTTACTTTACTTTTTTGCTTTTTTATAAGCTTTCAATTAGTTTTTGATTTTTTATTATTATTTTATAACAAGTAATTGACCCTCTTATTCCAACTATAATTTTATTTAAATATTATACTGTATTGCAATTAAGGTATTTGTGATTGATTTTGGATTAGTATCTCAATTTTATAAAAAATAGATACTGTGAGAGTGTTATCTATTAAAAAAAATTAAAAAAATATACGAGATGTTCGGAACTAATCTTGGGTTAGTATCTTAAGATTAGAAAAAGTAGATACTGTGAGAATGGTATTTATTAAAGATAGAATAATATGTTTATATATATATCAATCGATAAAGACGCTCTTTTTCTTACTATTCAATTTGCCTCTCTTAATATTTGTACCTCCGCTGTGCCACGTCTGGCGCACAAAACCTACCCACACACACACAGAATCTACCCAGGTACACAGAAATCCACCCACACACACATAAATCTACCTACACACACATATCTTTTTTGTGATGAATTTATAGACCTATACAAAGAATAAATTAATAAATAATTACCATACTTTTTGAAAGTAGAGCTCCCCCCCCCCTCGCTCCCCTTAAGTTTTATGTAACTCTTTGCTATGAAAAGTTTAGTTACTATATATTACAGTTAATATGTAAAAATAAGTCGAGCAGTTTATTGAATGGATAGTAGACTTTAAGTGATGTGGTTATAAAATGGTAAGAAGATTTGCAGAAAATTTAAAGGCAAAGTCTATGTTACGTGCTTATATTCCAACTTTTTAAAGATATAGATTTAACACATTACTTATTCCGGCCTACGAGAGTTTCAACATTATGATATAAAGTATATATATATATACTTCACAGAGACATGAATTTAGTAAAATTCGAATTAAATATAGACTGGATTAATAGATCCAGAAAAAAGAAATGACACTGCCGCACATCATTTCACACAACTAAATTTATCAATTACTTCTTGGACATTTGAAGCTCTCCGAATATCAGTAAATCATCAAGATCTTCAAGATGTACAAATCACACACTTTCCAAAAAAAAAAGGTTTTTTATTTTATTTTATCTAACCTAGGAAGCAGATATATATATATATATCCCTTATGAAAAAGTGGTACAATTTGATAACTGTGTTAGAAGCAATTACAATAATCGTCTGAGGAAAAGAATCGTTTCCCTCCTACGAGGATATCCGTTAGATTTTGTTTCAAGTATAGCTTTCCGTGAACTAGTACATGCTTGGATACGCAAGTAAAGTGATGTCTAGCTCTGTATATAGACAAAATTTCTGCAATACGATACGTTAGCTGGTAGGCGGGTGATTGAGTTATGGTTGGTAAATTGATGTTTCAAAATATGCTCTTGGTATAAAACGTCTTTAAACAGAGATTCCCCTGTTATATCATGCATGACTAAATCGGGGAGCGGGGGTTTTCGAATCTTAGCAGAAGCTTTTGTTGAGTTGTCCAATTTATACTTAAACTGTATTGCCGATACCAAAAAATAATAATAAGATAATAAAGAAAATAGATAAGAAAACAGATTGGTATCTCACAGATATTGTAGTAAACCTCCTTAGATATTAAACCTGATGTGGGATATAATCAAAACGTAATATTTTAAGCCTTTTTTTATTTATATATCTGTAGTGCAGAGGAATTCATATTTTAAAATGTAATTAGCTTAAATGTTCCAAGTAGGGTGTTATATTGCTCCTCTTGACTTTTTTTTGATAGGTCTATAATAAAGGTGAAAATTTATGCTAAGATTGTTAAATTTTTATGTGTGTATGTTAGGTATTCTTCTTTTATGTTGAATATCGATTATGTGTGGTGTAATATAATCAAAATTATGCTCTATAATATGACTATGCAAGTCTGTACGTTAAATGTCTCAGTAATAATACACCTTGCTTTATGTGGGAATACGCACTTTTTGTGTGTGGGTACGAATATCAGAGCACTATATAATTAACCTGTCAATTAAAAGAAACACACTTATATTATTTACTCGCATACATTGTGTAGTATGATATTAAACCAATACTATTTAGTATGATGAGCACTCTTCAAAATTGTGAAAAAGTGTAAAGAATATTCTTTAGTTTGTGGAGGGCAATATCCTGTGACGTTATAATAGCAAAATTATATGTACATACATACTTAAAGCACTCGCCTTTTCAGAGATATGTATGCAAGAAATACACTTTTACTTTGGTGCTGGTCACTTGAAAGACATATATGTTATATTTTATTGAAGAGAAAAAAGCTCAAAGTATAAAGCTCTTCGCGGTTGTAACAAGGAGAATTATTGATATTCGTCTTTTATTTTGGACGGTCATAACTTAATGGGTCTTCTAAGCTGAACTCCTCAATCAAAGAAAATAGAGCTTATTATTTTTATTATCCACAATTTGGGCATCGAGGAATCTTATACTCAGCTCAAAGATAGCGAACTAGAACAAAGAAATATGAAAATGCTCATCAATCCCCCCCCCCCCCCTTTTTTTTTAACATCAATGTCATATTGATCGCAGGGGTATTTGATATCATAGCAAACCAAAATATTACAAAGGTTCAGAAAGTCTTTTTTTTATGAAACTACTATTTTTTCAATTTTTTCTTAGCATACAATTTTAATAGAAGACTACATTAGATTATCCCTCCAAAGGCTTTAGAAAAACAGGCATAGACCAAGAATGTATTATAGTGCTTGATTCTTACTATTCAATCCCTTGAATCTTATTTTAGCCACATTAACTTGGGTAACAATGGCCTGACTTAAAGATAGTGTGCAGCGTCCGTGATCAATAGTTATCTTTTTATTATTTTCGTAGAATACCTAATAATATAACTGCTAATGAGTGTCTATATACTGAGACAACCAAAAGCAAAAGTATATATAAAGAGAAATAAGTATGTAGTTATCCAATCTTATAAAAAGTAATACCTTTACACATCAATTAAATGTCTCTTTTCGCCAAAAATAACACCGAAACCATCAATACTTTTGATACCGAAAATTTACAAGATAAATCCAGCGATGCACCAAAGGTAATGTCAAAGCAATAATTTAATAATGTTTAATATACCAATCTTATATGTTTCTTTATTTATAACTTATAGATCTTTAATACTGAAGTGCCCTTTGTAAATATTCTGCACATTCACTCTTTATTTATCACCAAATATTCTGACGTTATTTTATCTTTTTTTGTTCTATAAAAAATACTACTACTACTACTACTACTACAGGATCATATCATCAGCAGAAAGGTTAAAAGCTCACGGCACATAATTCTAAACCAGCCTGAGATCTTAAACGCAATTGGGTTTCTTGAAGTACAATACTTAAAGCATTTCATCAAAGTACGTATACAATTGTAAATTGAAAGAAGAGAGAGAGAAAATCATGAATGCTAGTCATAATAGTGAATGCTTATAAATTTATAATAGGCCGCAGAAAACTCCCCATCTGTAAATACTGTTATTGTTAAAGGCACCGGGCGTGCCTTTTCTTCTGGTGGAGATGTTTTATGTAAGTGCTATCGATAGATTTAATGAAGAACTTTTTTTTCTTAACTTATGTTTATAGCACTCTATAAGAGTATTTACATACCCAACAACATACATGGCTATAAGAAAGCCTGGGACATTTGGAACATAATAGCCAGCATGAAGAAGCCATATGTGGCAATTATGGATGGATTTTCCAGTAAGTAGAATTAATGCTCTATTTTTAAAATACCCACCAACGTTCTTATGGATCTTTTATTGTACTAGTTGGCACAGGTGCGGGTCTTGCTGCTCATGGTTCGTTCAGAGTAGCCACAGAGAAAACTGTATTTTCTATGCCAGAAGCAGCTTTTGGTTTTGTGTCTGATGCTGGATCAAGCTTCTTCCTTAACCAACTGGACAACATGATTGGAACTTATATTGCTCTTACTGCTCAGTACCTTAAGGGCGCCGATGTTTTGTAAGCAAAAGAAGAATAAGAAGTAGAAGTAGATGAAAAAGACGGTTTTGCACCCATGAGATTATCGCAATTTATCTCACACATCAATTAGTTTTTCAGGGATTGCTACCCACTATGTTCCTAGCCACCGTTTAGGAGCCATGGAGTATCGTATCTCCCAATTGGATGTAGTCGACCATGATGAAGTAGACAGTATTATCGAAGAATTCTCGGCAGATCCGGGGACACAGTATCGCCATACTCTCAAAGGCAATGTTGTCAAGACAATCAAAAAGTATTTATCTTTGTCAGTGAAACCTCATGATACATTATTAATCTGTAAATTATCTAGCTGCTTTAAATACAATACAGTCGAAGAGATTCTGGAGGCGCTCGATAAAGATGGTTCAGATTTTGCTTTAAAGACTAAAACAGAGATGTTGAAACTTTCACCCACGTCTCTCAAAGCAAATCTTGAATTGATAAGACGCGCATCAAAATCAAGTTTCGCTAGCTGCATGGAAAGTGAGTCCCGGGCAGCGATGAACAAACTACTGTGTCCGGATTTCAAGGAAGGTGTCGACGCTCGTTTTGTTAAACATACTCAGCCACGGTGGAATCCTTCTACACTAAACGCAGTTGACATTGACTATGTTCGGTCAGAGATTTTAGATAAACAGAATGTTTATACAGCCAAAATATTCCATGAAAACGCCTTTCACGCCTATCCGTACTGGAAGTATGGGCTTCCTTCTGATAAAGATGTGCAGAAAATCATCCAGAATCCTGAAACGGCTTTCTATAACTATTATCAAGTGGTCAGTTACTTTTTACAAAAAAGTAACTATAAATTTGGAGTTTTGGAAAAGGTTATCGATATCTTGGACCGCAACACTAGATCTGGAGACAAAAGCTTGGCAGGCAAAATAGAATGGATTGAATAGCTTTTAATATATATATTTAAACGCACTATTATTGACACATATACTGCTTTAAAATATATACTTGTTTTATACTTTCTACCAATATATTAATTATGTTCAACTAAATAAATTACAAATCCCTTATCTTTATCTTTCTGGTTTTCGATAATTTTTTCTAATTTTTAAAGCAAACATTATATCAAAGCAACTGACTAAAATAGCATATGCTTGGATAAGTCTGGTACTCCAGGATCAGTAAGATAGTCTGGTATTTGATTCAATCCCAAATATTTCTATCAATAACCGATTTGTAAGAAAACACAAATATGCGATTATCTATAAAAATTAAAAGATAAAAAAGTAAGTTTTATGCAAGAACATTTTCTAGAATCATCTTTGAAAATACCCTTGAAATCGATCTCTAAATCGTCATTTCTTCAATAGTCCTAGTAAGAAAAAAAAATTAGGCAACCATCTTGTGAAGAACATTTGGCTATATATTAAAGATTTTTATTAGTATACTGTAGATACGTGAAATAGTGTGATTAGCAAAACAGTATACATTACTCATGATTAGTATCTCAAAATAATTTACATGTTGATTTCAGTGGTATTAATTTACTGACTAACATGTAAATTATGCAAAAATGATCATTAATCATGGTGTTTTATTTAATAATTTCTTAAAAAAATAACATGGGTTGCTATCATGCTTATTATAAGTTATAGGTCAGATGTGAAATACCTGGAACTAGTGCCATTTAAGCATTATTTCCTTCTGCAGTAAGACCAAATAATTCTAGCTAAACAAATTTGATAATAAAAATCGTATATCTTTTTGGATAATATGGGGCAAGTACTTATCCTCAAGAGATGTCCAAAGAACAGACCTTTTTCTTAGTTTGAAAGAACATTTTTGATTTCGTGCTTGTGACACACTATATACAGGCTTTATTATTTTATCCGTAACGAATACCTGCATAGAAACCAACTAAAAATGTTGACTTGAATTGAAGATTATGTGTCAAGAAGCCTATAAACTTATTCCACTTGGAAGACAGATCCTTTACAGTGACACGACCATCCTTATCCACATCAAATCCCTTCTTATAGCCACCCTCTAAGCGATCCCAGTGAACAGTAATAAATCCATTATAAGATAAGTACTAGAAAATTCAGTAACAAATTGCGATTAGTTTTATTTCATTTTTCAAAGAAGTCTATCTCTGTTTTCTAATTCTCGTGCTTACCTGCAAAAACACAAACCCGGTACCGATTGCCAGGGCAACCAGTTTACCAGCTTGCTTCACCAAATATCCAACACAAACACCAAGGACAGTGCCAAAGGCAATTTCACCTTTGTGAATAAGTTTCTTGTTGCTTTTGGTTGTTATGCCAGCTTCTTGTTGAAGAGCATCAAGAGCATCGGCTGCTGAACCTATACCGACATTTTGGGTTGCAAATCCTATTTTTCTGAGATAATAAGTCATAGTCATTTACCCTTGTGATTCCGAAAGCCTTCATCATTACCTTGACATGAGACAGGCTTCTTAAAAAACACGGAGCCTGTCATGCTACTAGAAACAGCCAAAGCCAGAATTTTGGAGGCGCCAACAAGTGGGGAGCTAGATAAGCTTCGCGACCCAGTGTTCGAGACTTGTTTGTTGGCAACGAATGCAAATGAACTACCCGAGTTCAGGGACCCTGAGAAGGAATGAGGTCATGAATGAGATTTAGAATGCACGGTTCTTACGTGTGTGGACTGTCAGCTGGCGTATGGCAGGTGAAGGCAACAACGAGCCCTGGGTAGAGACACGAGTACATAGCGCAAAGGCATTGCTTGCAGGACGGATTACTCTGGTGGAACGGTACATGTTTATCAAGAAGCCATTATCCGGGTGACTCCGCACCCCTAAGAATGATTAACCCACTGTCCAACAGACTGAAAGCCATGATGTAACTATGTGACTATGGTATGGACCCGGCAAAATTGTAGTCGGATGTGAATAGAGCTATAAACGCTGAAATGCCTGACTATGTAAAAAAGAAAAATCTAAAAATAAAATTGCATTGATGTTCGTTTCCAAAATTAAATTCTCCACACCCTCCTCCTCCTGAGCGTACGCACAGACACCAGTAACATATCATGACTATATTTAACTCCATCAAAGACACGTTCAAGTCCGGTGGAAGCGTTCCGTTAACAGGAGGTACATGATACCACTGACAGTAAGTATTCACCCAGTATATATAAAGAGGCATAATATTTATTTATTTTATTCTTTAAAAATCACAACACCTAGTAATAATAATATTCTCTTCAATTCTCAATATTCAATATATTTTTTTAAAAAAAAGAACAATATCTATATACTCGAATTAGCTTCAAAAGCCAATAAACACCATCGCTAATATCAAATGTGGAAAGTTTCCAAAGGAACCAAGGTGGCTGCCCTGAGTGAAGAAACCCCAAACTCGGAGTCCTGCAAGCCTGTTTGCATACCAATAGATCCGGGCTATCTTTCTGAAATTCAGGCCAACCCGAGCTCAAGAACCATCATGGACAATCCTGAAGAGCAGAGCTCATTTGAATTATCCAGTGACAAGATGTATGTGGCAACTTACAAGAAATCGCAAGAGACCATCACAGTCCACAGAATCGGAACCCATGCCAGATCCAGCGTCGAATTCGAGTATTTTGACTTTTTTATTCAGCTTCCGGCTCCAGTGTCATTTCCATACTATTGTTTCTACAGCGTCTCTTCTAGAGGTCATTATGTCGCTGTATCCTGGTTACAAGCTAGACCGGAATCGTCTTGGTCACCTGAGATTTCTCACTGTTATATCTACAAAGACTCTTTCTCGCCCATTGATAGAGACCATAATGGAAGAGTTATAACAAAGCCATATCACAAGATTCATTTTCAAGGAAACTGCAGATTTTTGCCGGATAATAAGCTCGTATTGACGGATGTACATCACTTGAGGATCTACAGCGACGATTTCGATTTTCTATATCTTATCGATCTTTTTCAAATATCCCAGATGACGCACCAACCACTCGCTCATTCATGGAATCATCGCCTGATGTGGTTTTCGGCTGCAAACAGACCTGACGCCAGTGATGATCTGAATCGCAGTCTAAAATCATCTACCTACACTGTTGTAGACCCTCGAATCAACTTGGACGCCATGGCTAGCGATCTCAAATTTATGACAAAGTCTATCCACCAGGGTGTATTGCTGGACTACAGCTCAGAAGACAACCTTGTGCGGATCTGGTCTGTTCAAGACGGACATTTGATAATTCCGCTCAAAACATCGTGTGACAGTAATACCATATTTTCTGTATCAAAAGATGGAAGCCTCATTGCAAAACTCAGCACCTCAACGGACGATACGGTGATCAAGATATTTGATATTGAAACTGGTCTTTTGGTAAACAGTCTTAAAATAAGAGATACTCGTATATCTGGAACCTCGGTCCATATTGAATTCATTGAAGAAGATCGGTACTTAGCATGTATCTCACATGCAAAGCCATTAAATGGTCCACGCACTCGTCAGACACTCAACCCAAATGATGCCGTATATGGTCTCGAGATCTGGGATGTAGTATCAGGAACATCGGTGGTCTACCAAGAGACAGATTACAGAATCGCAAGCGCAGGGTCTGCTGTAGTTATTGGGCACCCATCCTATCGAGGATCTGCTCTTATTGTGGAGAACACTATGCCCGAGATTCTTTGTGGTCATAAGTTGCGCCTTTTCCCAGTCTCCAAAAAACGAAGCAGATATAGTACACATGAAGACGTTGATGAGTTTCCATGGGGACAGCTGACTCCGATTATTCCGTCAATTGATTTGCAATCCAAGCAAGATGTCTTCTTTGAGGCCGAGTTTCACGACAAACATGCTCTTTCACCTGGCATTGCAAGTTATTTTCTTGATACTTCCAAGACTCTGGTTCTTAGAATCGGTAGATATTCTGTCCAGGTTTGGCGTACAAAAAGATTAGAGAAACAAGGACACCACCAGCATCCTGAAAACATGGAAAATATTGATCCAAAGACTCTGGGACTCCATAAGCTGGTCTATATGTATTGTATCCCAATTGAATACACAAGCTCAAGATATGATATCCGTACTCTTTCTCGAGATAATCTAGAAATTCAGACGCCATCCATTCGTGCGGACAGGATTAGGTGGTACTCTGAGTGTAGTCAATATCTAAGCAATGAGTGTTTTACCGATGGCTTATCGCAGTCCTCGACCCCAGATGTGGATTTCTCGCAAGGACTTTACCGTCTCCGAATTACCTATGAATCTCTACAGGATGGCTTAAATTATACAAACGGACCTAGCAATCAAGAGGAAATATACATCCCATTTAGAATACAGGCTGCGCCGTTTATTGTTCTAAAGTACACTTTTAACTCTCTGCCATCGATCTTACAACTTAATCAATATTTTGAGGGAAAAAATTGGAAGGTAAAGTTTATAGTGCACTTTTTATTGCACTAGAATTAACAATCCATTTATTTTCTGTTCTACGTTAGACCCATCATTTTTCTAGTATTGTAAAACAGATGCAAAGTACAGTGAATTATGCGGTTTATTGTCGCTCTCCGTTCTTTGGGACAATTGCAGGGAACCAAGCGCTCTCCAGTTTACTGTGCTCTCCTGGTGATGATGATTTACTGTCTTCTATCCTAGACGGAACTATTAACATAAAGACCTGTTTCCATGACATCAGCCGGAAGCAAAGCCCGCTAACAGTAGCTATACAGAATGGATCTCCACAAAGGGTCAAGATACTGGTTGAATATATCATTTCCGCTTCCAAAAAATTTGGTCCTGGATATATGGCAATATTTGTACGAGTTCTTCCTAGCTTATGCAAGCATTTTCCTGGTAAAGTTGTTTTTATGAGCCAAAATAGTATAATCAATAGCATACATTTATTAATTTTATATTATATTACACTAGACTTGGTACCTGATTGGATCCGTTCCCTTTCTTACGTTCCGGCAACAAGTGCTTATCCTTTGGTTTCCCGGGACTCCCCAGTATTACCTGGTAAAAGCCTACTGACACACAAGCAAGAATTATGGGGATTCTCTGCATTGGAGCAGCTACCTGTTTACCGTGGACTTTACAAAAAGGCAATATATACTGTGAAAACTCAACTAGACGTCTTCAAGTTTGGTCAGTATAAGAAAGGCAGAAACGTCCAAGAGATAAAGAGACAACAAGACTTGAAGGAAAAAGAGAAAAGAATCCCATTGAGTCATGATCGAAAACCACACCTTGCAACCTTGTGTGTAGTCCCTTTACCAAGTTATACTGCTTATACCGAGAACTTTCGCACACTTTTTAATCATATTATGGGAGAACCGCCTGGTCTTGCTTCCGCTTATTCACCGCATAGTCTGTTTACAGTCCAGGCTTCGACAGGAAACAGCGAGGTGTTTAGAAACGGAGAACCAGTTATGGAAGCCTTGCTTATTTACAAATGGCGTGCGTTTGCCCGAAATCGTTTCTTCTTGATATATTTGATATATATCTCCTACTATACTCTATATTCAATCACCGTGGCATTCTCAAAGGAGGTCTTTAACTATGACGCTCAAACCCGTGTGATATCTCCTGCCCACCGGTCCTGTCTCATAATAATGATTGCTATATCAATTGTATTTATTATACAAGAAACCCGCCAAATTATGGTTAGCCGGACAAATTACTTTAGGCTTTTCTACAACTATATTTCATTGACAGCAGTTTGCTTGCCTGCAATTGCAACCATAGTACTTCTTTCTGGGCACACTTATCCGGTATATATATATATATATATATGAGCTAGTCTGAGTAAATAAGTGTAATATACTAACTTTACTTCTCTGTTCTAAATAGGTTGAAGCTTCCGCGATCTCTGTTCTTATTCTATGGCTTCACGCAATTGTTCGGTTGCGTGTAATGAAAGAATTTGTAAGTTATAAATCATGCAAATATTTTAATTTTTAACATGTATGACTTATGCTCTGTCTTAGGGAATAATGGTTGAGATTGTTGTACAAATAAGCAAGCGTGTACTTCCTATGTTTGCCTTGCTGGTCTTTATTGTTTTTGCGTTCTCACACACTTTTATTGTATTGCTTCGAAACGAAAGTAGCGGAGAATTTGCTGAAACATTTGATGGTATAATCGGTGGTACACAAAGCTTTTACATAACTTCACGAGATTCTGGTAGTGAAAACAAGTTTAGACATGTCGGGACGGCACTCAAGGCGGTGTGGCTTTTTGTTAATGGTGATTGGGAGGCTATAAGTGATAAACCCGTGGAAGATCAAACATTAGTTACAGTCCTTGCCGTAATACTTTCCTTTAGCACAACCTTTATTCTTTTGAATATACTGATGTAAGTAAATATAGACACACTTTGTCTACAAAAGACACACAAAAAAACAGTGTTAACGAAATGTATATACAGTGCCTTGATGACAGACGTTGTGGAGGAAGTTAAACGTAAAGGAAAAAGAGTGTGGTAAATATATGACGATTTATTTAATGTATATTAAGTATTAAAGCTAACTTTAAATAAAACTTTATAGGATAAGTTACTTGGCTGGTAAGTTTTCTAAAAAAAATTACAATTAGAGGGACATCTAACGTTTTTGTAACGGATTTAAAGAATCACTTGCTGAGATTGAGCTATACTGGTGCTTTCCCTGGGAGCGACGTAATAGAAGGTCCCATCCAGACTATATATACTATGTTGCATATGCAAGAGCAATAGAAGACTATAAGAAAAGTGAATCTGAGGACGACTAGCTTTCTAAAATGCTAATAATTAAGCGCTAGGGGGAGGAAAAGAGCAATTCTAAGAGGATTTTTTACAATTATGAACAATTATGTATCTTCATACTCTCTTAGATATAAAATACAGTATAATCAAAGAGTTCGAAGAGTATGAAGACAATAAATATATATATGCCTAAAATTCCTTATATTCTATTCTGTTGTCTTACTACTCAATGCTTTCTAAAAATGCAATGAAAATTGCCCGGGGTTATTTTTTATTTTAATAATATTTTTGTCTTCTGATGGTCCGAGACAGAATTAGAGTACCTAGACTATATTTACACACCAATAACTATATTGAATTTCTACTTTATATATAGAAAACAAAAGCTATCGATATATTTCTTATGTGCAGTAAAGTTTATATTATGTAGTTCAAGTGGCCAATTCAAATAAACTACGATAACCTTTATACAATAGCTTATTCACATAATAGCTACTTTGGCAGATATTAAATAGTACTCTAAATATCTGAAGATTTATGACTATAACAGCTATCGTAAAGAGCTATGATTTAAATACTAGTCAATACTCCTAAAAAAAACCATAGGCTGAAATCTCATGTAAAAGACTATAGAAATGGAAATATGCTTTCGAATGTAAAAATAAAATACTTATTTTCATAGCCAATTTCAGATCTAAGACACTTTTACTACGAGTTTAATCCTAAACTATTTACAATTCATAAAAACTAAATTCAAGATATACTTGTTCTCTTTTTTACTTGATTTGGTTGCCTTTGACTATACAATGTGTGTAATTGATGGCTTTGTATAGCTTCTCTGGCTTAGAACTTAAAATTTAAGGTTGCTAGGTTACTACATGCATTAGTTAACTCTTCTCATGTACTAATCATATACAAAGTGACCATTAGCCTTCCATTGGGAAAATAAATATGTAATCGCTCTTGGAAACCTTATTGCTTTAAGATGTTTATGTTTCTTTCCACTTCTCAAGTTTGTCTCCTTTTTTGCTCTCCTTAGAGAATTGATCATGTGCTATGAAAGTTAGATGAGCAAGGTGTTGGTTTGCTACATCTTTATTGTTCAATTCTTTCTTTTAATATAGTACAAAATATAAAGTATATTGGAATAAACTTGAACTGACTGTAACTATTTGATATCAAGTATATTCTTATATGAGAATCTTCTTTATACAGTACTAAAAACTTTCTTTTAATTTCAAGTTCCTTGTGTAGACAGCTGATTGCGCCTTGTATTTATGTATGGCTACCACCAAGGATCGAAATGCAACCTGATTTGTAACTCACCATATCAGTTTACCGGGATATATGTCTCCTATTCGTCGATTTAAATTTTGGATATATATAAATAATTCAATATATTTGTTTCTCTCCTCTTTACCTCTTTACCTCTTTACCTCTTTATATATTTATCATTATGAGATACTCAGATCTACCATTTGAAATCCTTGAGCACGTTTCTGATTATCTATCAACAAATGATAAACGCTCCTGTTCACTGACATGCAAGGGATGGAGACACCCATTTCAAAAGGCTCTGTGGAGATACATACGATTAAATTCACACCACACCATCCAACAACTTATCGACATTATTAAAAAGAATCAAAATGTTTCCACATCTTACAGGCTCTGGGTTTATAGCCTACAAATATATGTTTCTTATCCTGGAACAGAAACATCAGATATAGAATTCTCTAAATTACTCCAGTGCCTGCCAAACTTGAGGTGTCTAGACCTAAGACCCATAAGCTATAAAAGCATATATACAGACACAACAAGCTCGGAAAAAATATGGACGTCTCTGGAAACCTTGAAAATACAATCGGAAGGATATAGTGACATACAACAAAGGTTAGACATATTTGAATTTATAAATACGTGTAGCATGCTCCGAGAATTAGAAATACAAGCTATGTTAAGGGATCAACAGTTTGAGTTTAGTATGAATGACTTTGATAACATGCACCTCAACTTGAAAAAACTATCATCTATCACGGTTTACACATGTCTCAAGCTCAACTTTTCAACTATATTGGACACAATCCCAAACATGGTACCCGCTTTTGCAATGACATCTTTAAATATAAGCTGGGTCCGCCACAAAAATAGCTTTGGATATTGTGATGACTGGGATCCTTTGTGGCTGTACTATTTTGGCTACAAATATCCAAACTTGCGCTCCTTAAAGCTAAATCCTAGTGTCCCTATGCCGACAGTGTTACCTGGGGCAAGAACGAAAGAATGATATCTCTTTTTCGATCCAATCCAAACGCATTTCAACACCTGGAAACATTCGATCTCACATACGACAGACATTCCATCCTTTCGAGCTTTATTTTATTGGAAGTGCTTCGTGAATTAAGAGTCCCTCTTAGGCATTTGATATTGGATCCAACACAATTGAGATATATAAGCGAGTCACCCTCAATCAATGTTAACACTGTTCTAGAATTCTTTTCTGAAACACTCCAGAGTTTTAAGGTGAAACGCTTTAAATATATTTCTGCGAACCAAGATCCGACTTTCAAACTATCTTCTTACTACCGGCTTTTGACGGACCTTTACATCAGTAGCAACTATGTAACTCTTGATCTTGGTGATTTATTGGACAAATGCGTGGCCCTTAAACAGCTGGAATTTTGTGCTGGAACACTGGTCATCGATCCAAACACGACAAACGAGGAGTCAAAGAAAGAGCAACAGCAGCACGGATTGCAGATTTTGACATTAAGGAAATGCACCGTAAATTCTGAAATACTTAATTACCTCTCGTCTAGATGTAGAAGTTTGAAACATATAACTTTGGATACTTTGCTCATCAAGGGATCTATTTGTAAAAGGACTGGGTGTTTGCTACTCGATATGCCGCATACCTCCTTGAAGACCCTGAACATTGGTCAGCTTCGATACAGTCCACCATACGAAGAAACAAATGTATACGATCATAGTCGTCTGACGCTTCTGTCTAAATTAAACGACGCTTCATTATCAGACGAAAAGATCGAAAGAGAAAAAAATCAAATTGATTCAGAGCACCCTATATTAACAAGTCACCCTATTGATTGGGTCCATACATATGATGAATCTGCACATTATAAGTATAAGAGAGTAAAAACTACAAAACTTTCAAAGAGTGGAGCCGATATCGCATTTAAATACTTTCAAGAATTTGGGTCCAAAACAGTCCTCCAAAATTCAAAACATCAATGCTTGTACGATGAAGAAATCGGCTATATGGACAGGGAATGCGAACTTCACAAAGGATATGGCCAATTCAGATTTGGCAAGATTGAATGTGTGCATGTTATATGAACATTATACGAAAATCTGGCTTAGAGAATAGGCTATACAATAGGCTTTTTTTTTCAAAATAAAATAAAGTAATTTATATATTGTAAGCTTTCATTAGAGTCGTATTAAAGCAATAAATAAATCATGGATAATATCATAAACTAGGGCACAGAAACTCAATAATAAAATATTTATTCTCTAGCTGTCAAGTTATTAATATGATAATGATAATAAAGAGATATGCACTTTGTCTTGGACTTAATGCTTCAGTGTTGGTTGTCGATTACCATTCGTTAACTTCTCTTATGTGCTTATCATATACCTTGTGAGCATTATCCTTGAATTGCAAAAAAAAAATATCTGTAGTAGTAATCGGAAACCTTAATGCTTCTGGCAGTTTAATATGCCTTTCCACTTCTCCGAGTTGGCTCTTTTTTTTTTCTGTCCTCACCTTCCCAAAAAAGAAAAGAGAAAATGGTGTGCTACAAAAACCAAATGAACAAGGTAATGAACTCTCTCATGATTTATAGTACAGTCAAAGCTCGATATTGTGATATTCGATATAGTGGTAATCGCGATATAGTGATAATTTTTTGGAAAATTTGGGCCCGTGCCTGCTTATTATCACTATTTTTCGATATAGTGATAGTGATAAAATTTCTGTCTACCATCTAGATCACTATATCGAGCTTTGACTGTAGTCCTTTTTTCGGATCCGTCCAGTACGACATGATAGTGAAGCCCAGATCAAATTTTCATTATCTGTTGGTTGCTCGTATTCAAGGATCACTGCTTCAGAGTTTTCGCTAGTATTGTCGCATGAGTCTTGGTTGGCCAAAGGAGGGATAACAGGACTGCGGATTTCTATGATTTGGACAAGAGATTTGGTATCGAAAGGATCGTTTGTTGACAGAGTTTGACAGTTGCTTAAGTGCAGGTGGTTGAGGTGGCTGTAAGACATGTCAATTGTGAGACAGCCGGTTCCTTCAGATATGGGTCCTGTTATGCTTGAATTGCAAAGGCCCAGACTTTGAATGTTTCCAAATTTGATGGATATGTAGTTGAGTGCGTAAATACTAACTTCTGTGTCAAGAAACGATATAACAGAAATAGCAAAAGATAAGTCTGGTTCGTCATTATATCTATAGCAATCAATATTTGTATGCTCAAACCTGATCTTTTATAAGGCTTTACAGTCAGAGAATATCTTGCCCAGGTTAATTGAGATTTGACCGGAAATATTTAAAAGTACCAAGGACACTAGATGACCAGTGTCTATGTCTATATAATATGGGTGACTCGGCTTCAGATAACACGGTATAGCCAACGTTTTTAATGTAGATGGTAAAAATTTGACATGTTTGGTTAAAATTCTACTGTATTGGTCCTTCTTGAAAGTGTTGTAGATAACTTGTTTGTAAATTACATTGTAGATTGGGATATTACAAATAGAGTATGATGCCAAAATACGGTCTTCTGGACTGTGCATAACATGGTAATCAGTTATTGATGCTCTCTCCAAATCGTAAAATTTCAATGAGGTGTAAAATAGGCTTTTCTGCATACACATGAAATCTTTGATATCTTCACTGTTCGAATTCAAGTCCAGGATGAGTGTTCGGATATTTGGGTATTTCTGGGAAAAATAATGCACCCAACATCCCCGAAAGTTTCTACAGGAAAGCTTGAGTATAGTTAGATTTTTTGTCTTGCCAGTATCCATCGAATTCATGTTTCTGATGTAAAAAATCGTAGAATTTTCCTCTTATAAAAAAGTATTCCAAGAGTGGTAGGGACTTTGACATGCGTTCAAAAATGTCATGTTTGGCCTATACGAGCTTTTGAAGGGTATAACAATCTCCAAATGCCTCAAGAAAGATAACGAGGAAAGAGATCCAAGAAGTAATTTAAACAAGAAAGGATTACAATGCTCCATAGCAATAGCCACAGCCTTTAAAAGATCCCAGCTAGATAATCTTTCGCAGCCATAAATATGTGGGTATGTAATCGGAATACGGTGTATGTTCGGAAACATAACTTGGAGAGAGTCTCGGTCATGCGCTTCAATTTTCAGGCGCTTGTCCGAAATAAGACGCTTGACCTCTTTGCTATTCTTTTGGTAGATTAATTTTTCAGTTGATTGTTTGTCGATTTAGCAAATGCCATTCCGAGTTATCGTGATCTCTGTCTATGCTGCGTCTTGAAAAATGTGTTTCCATTGTCTGCAGGCTCCCGAACATACACTTTTTCATCGAAAGAAAGAAAATCAGCAATACCAGAAGGGATTTTATGAGATAAATCTAATGACATTGTAGACGACGAAAAAGTTATTTTGTTCGCTAGCAATAGAACCTTCAAGTCTTTGGTGTGAGGTTAAAGGTTATTGTATGTAACAGGGTGTCTACACATAGAATACTGGAACAAAAGATACCAATGAAAACGAATTCCAATAACTTATTTTTCGGATAAACGACTTTTTTTTGTTTTTTTTTTTGCCTTGGTGAATCCAGCCTTTTCTTCCCTTTCCCTTTCTCTACATAAATAGACACAAGGTTAAACAGTAATAATATTAATTTAGAGCTCTTTAAGTTTGAGGTGCATTGACCTGTTCAAAAGAAGAACCATTAAGTTAGAACGATTATTTCAAATTAGCTTATATCGATGCTATTTCAGTTATTTTCAACAACACAACGAATAAATGATACATAAAGACTATCAGAGAAGAAGTTTCAAAAAACTAAAAAAAACAATTTGCATAAAATATTTCTGTAAGACCACAAAGGATGAAAAGACACAGTGCAAAATTAAAGTACTTTATATTCAAGCTACAAATGTAGTTCGGGAATATTTTTTGTGTGTACACATCAAGCTTGTACCAATTTCATATTGATCCACCCCTTTAAACCGAAGTTCTGCATATCCACGATGAAGATCTTTCTTCCATTCGTCTTCTAAGGTTCTCCTACGGAAGTTTACTTCGGGTATTGGATAATGCGGTAAAGGCTGTTTGGCATATTGTCGAGTAAAGAAATATCTGACACTTTCGGATTGACTCGGTGTTTCAGCATCCCTTCTTTCCTGGAAATTACGATAATAATCCCTGGCATATCTGGATTCATCTTCATCCAAAACTCGTTTTTTATTTTCTGCCTTGTCTAGGCCCTGAAACTCCAGATAATCATGGAACCAGGTAAATTCATCGTCCTCTTTTGGTTTATAGCCATCGGGTATTAATACGTCAGTATCGTTGTTGTTGTTGTTGTTGTTGTTGGTAGTGGTAGTAGTGGTATTGTGGTGTGCTTCCAGGGTGAGCTTTGGTTGGATAGCAGGTTTACGAAATGCTATGATGTGCATGTAAAACGGTCTACCATCGTTGCTGTTCGATGAGAAGATTTCGTTGCCGGTATAGTGAAAGTATTCAAGATGAAGGTGAGACATGTCAATTGGTAAGATTCCGGTTTCTAGAGATATTTTTCCGATTATGGCTGTGTAGAAAATACATAGGGTTTTAAGATTTCTGCACCGCTGGGATATATATTCGAGTATGCTGGGACTAGTTTCGACTCTGTGAAGCGAAATGGCTGACATGTCGTGCGTCGTAATCTTCTTGAGACCTTTCTGAGTGACTTTGACACCTACGCGATAAAACGTGGCATTTCTTAGGGATCTACAGTTATCAAACAAGGTGTCCAGGTTAACTGAGAATCGTCCTGAGAGAAACAAGTTGACTAGATTCGGACAGACAGAAAAGTATAAAGGTATAAATGGTGGACCATCATGATCAACCTCATAAAAGATATGTAGCTCTTCGATTGTCTTTGGGGCGATATCGATGCAGGCTTGAAAAACCACTTTGGTAAAGCAGTTTTGTCGAGATTTTGGAAGCCATAGTTTGTAGGATAGGCGCTTGATTGGCATGTTAAAGCAAGAAAGCATCTTCCAAAAGAAGGTCTGTGAATCTCTTGTGTCGTTCATATTATACACGGATAGCTCCTCCAGATTAGCGAATGAGTTGGGGATAGAAGATATGCGATTGAGTGTTATGTCATGGAGTTCCTTTCTCAGATGGCTTGTGTGTGCTCCCAATACGAGTCTGCGGATGTTTGGATATTTTCGAGCCAAATAACAAACCCACTGTTTATCAAAGTCGAGAACACGGATTTCAATTGAGGTGATATTGTTTGCAGGTCTTGCGCGCTCCATAACAAACATGGCGTAAGGGCTGACATCAGATATGGACCCTTTAACAGAAATAGACTTGAGAAGTGGTAGGTTTGTTTTGATAGCTTCGAGAATGTTATGATTTATGAAGTGTGTCCTTGGAAAAGGCACATCGATATGTAATTTCGTCAAGTAAGGTAAAGAGGAAAAAATCTCAAAGCTTCGGCTTGGCGGAGAGATTGTGTAATCACTCAATTGAATATTTATGGTTTTTAAGAAATTCAAGTCACCCCAGTCTGCATCTTTTACGAGTGACCATTGATTAAGATTCTTGTATGCGACAGTAATAGAACTTGTGTTGGGAAATTCACGTCGAATGGCGTCCCAACACAAATCGCCTATGTATTGTTGCCGAGATAGGATAATTTGCTTGCCATGTCTTCCGTTCTTGCTGTATATTGATTCCTTGTTTTGTTTTTCTTTGATCGAGCGAATGACATTTTCATTTACATTGATTATGTTCCATGATGCCACTTGAAAAGGCTTACTCCATTGTTTACAGATATACGAGCATGTAATCTTATCTTTGGTAGAAAGGTAAGTTGCAATAATTGAAATGATCTCAATCGGAAGATCTAATGGCATACTGGTATGAATAATTGCTTTTTGTGTGTGTGTGTGTGTGCGTGTGTTTTTGCTTCAAGGTGATATATGCATGTATGTAAAAGTAAAATGAAATTCTATCAAAATATATCCATCTTGTTTTTTGGAATGATCCAACCAAATGTTTAAACCCAGGATCTTGAAAACCAAAAAGGTGTATAACAATCGGATCTTTTCTTTTACAGTTTTTTTCTTTCTTCTATACAAGATACATGTCAGAGTAAATGCCAGTATATATATATTAGTTAGTTAGTAGGGATAGCATTAATAGTGCAAGATGACCAATTTTTTTTTACCTAATGATTAATTTCTTCTTTTGAGGACAAAAGGATATACTATGGGAATTCACTTGAATATTTTCCCAGTCCTGTACAGCAGCACCCCAATATATCACTAGAATATTACTATTAGAAAAGGTTACAATTATTTGTAAGTATAAATACGTATTGAAGTTGAAAAGGTGGTCTTTATGTCCACTGTACCATTTTGTGTGTATATATACAATGGATAGTTTCAGGGCATGTTTGTCATTAAACTTGAAACATGTGCTGTATCTAGAGCAGGATAGATATTGTGGGATTTATTCAATGTGGAATGAGCCTACAAGTTAAATTTTCTTTCAAGAGCCACTTATTCTGTCATGTATGGTGTGTTAGTATTATTATTATTTTTGAAAGTTAATCAGTCGGTAGACTTTCTTTCATTGTCTTATACATCTCTTGTAATCTTCTGTCAAAGTAAGAACAAAACAAAAAATCTACAGCGAGTTATTACAGACAGTTTCAGAAAACTCTGGAAAAGCGATTTTGCCAATAGAGGTATCACATTAAAATATTGAATAATTCATCTTGAGGGTTTCATTGATTTTATATTACCCAAACTAAAGGTAGTCCACAGGAATAATAGCTTAAACAAACAAAAGGCCATATAGATAAAAATGATCGCTGTATAGCCTTGATGTTAACAATAACAGATGGACCGAAAGCTATCTTGAGAAGCTGTCAAAACAAACCTTAATTGATATTACGGTTACTAAATAACATGTCCAGATGTTGTTTATTATTGCAGCTTGCCTTAGGCGGCTATCTCTATTGGTTTGTTTTGAGGAATTATCTAAACAAATTACCAGACCTTTGATTAGTATTAGTATCTCTATTATCAAAACGTATTTGTCGAATCTGATGCTATCGGAAGATATTCATTTTTTTTTGAAACACTCTATATTGATGTAGAGCTTTCTAAGCACGGTCCACATTCTCTGTTACACGATATAGCAAGATCCAAAACCTCAAAACTCAAAACCCCAAATTTCCAAAAAAAAACAGTGTACTTGAATAAGGCCAAGTAGATACTCAAAGGAGCCTATTAGAGTCTATTGTACTACCTTTAAACAGCTGTGAGACTTTACTATTATTTCAAGTTGTTTGTTGAAGATGTTTGAATGACTTTATATCGATAATATATCGTTTGAGCGACTGGTTTTTATTTATTTTTATTTTCTCACATAAAGATTACCAATATGATGTGATTATGCCAAGTTATGGCTATGTAATGAATATTTATATATTTCAACTTCTTTGTTAAGATGTATACCATTTGAATTTACTTTTTGTTTTTGATTTTGATTCTTAAAGATCCTCGTTTAGTTGGTTAGCCTTTAGTATAATTAGCGGAAATGAATTGACCCCAAAAGAAGACCGTCAATTGTATAAAGATGTGTATTTGTGCTGCTAGTTTGGTCGAGTAGGGGAAAGGAAGGGAGGAAGAAGGATATCAAACTTTAACAAATAAATAAATAAATAAATAAATAAAGGGGTGAGAATACATATAATCAAGAAATCCCCTAATACAAAAAAGACCTTGTTTTGTTTTCTTATTATTATTTTTTTAAATATTTCAACAGGTTAGAGGTTTAAGCTTGTTCTCCTTTGTCGATGACTGACATCATCCAAGGTAAGAATTAAGGCATTGTCATTCTTTGGTACAGTGGCTGTTTTTATTATATACATATTCTCCAAATCTTTATACTGTATACCCAGTAATTGAAATGTCAAATAGATTTCAAAATCAATTGGTCACAAATGCTGTATAGATTTGAAACCCTGTGTATTCTGCATGGGATTGACAAGTAAATTCATATGTATGTTTATGTAAAATACTTACTTTAGTATAGGCTTATGGTTAACAATGGATTTCATATTCAAATATAATGTAAATGTAAATGTATTTTGTTTTTTTTTTTTGGAACGGAGGTTCTCTTTAAGTGGTGAATTAAGCATGAGCGTGTGTGTATGTGTGTGTGTGTGTTACTTGACTCCACCACTTGTTAATTTGTATATATATTTTTTGACGTCTGTTTAGTGAAGAGGTAAAAGAAGAATAATAGAAGGAGAAGGAGAAGGAGGATGTTGCTTGTTACTAATAGTCAACATTGTCTACATAGGTTTATTATAATGATCTTGATATGTATTTGTTTGTGAATATCATTTTTTTTGGCTACAGGAAAAGATCCACTTCTGCTGAATACTTGGCTTAGTTCTTTAAAGACTATTGCTTAAAAGAATATGATATCCATATCCACGTTCATGTTCACATTCACAGCAATACAAATCATGAATTATTTCATGTTTATAACTCCAATGATTTGATCATAAGTCCGATTCAAACGCGTACAACATCGCTTTCTTTCTTTTTCTTTTTTTCTCTTTATCTCCTTCTTCTCCTTCTTCTTCTTCTTCTATCTCAATAGCTTGATATTCATACATCACCTCTTTATTGCTCTCTATTACCCTATCTCCACCTATTTCTTTTGGTCTCTTTTATTTTATTTTTGCACAAACTTTAACCATCATGGCTGCCAATTACTGGGCTTCATCACAACAGTATGTTCATTACCTTTTATCATCCTTTTCTTTAAATAAAAAGGTCATTGGCAATTATATTAACCAAGTTATTAGAAACCATTGGCTTCTCGATCGTTGGAATCTAGCCAAGAGTAGCGAAGAGGATCGAAAATATCTTTCAGAAAAAGACTATGTGAAGATTAAGATTTGGTTTAATCATCGTAAGCACATTACTTTTTATTTTACTTTTTATTTTTTACAAAGATGGACTTGTACAATACAATAGTAATAATAATACTTTTTTTATATATATAAACCTTTCTTAGTCATCCAAAAACTAGCCAAACGTCTTCAACTAAGACAGCAAGTAGTTGCTACTGCCTTTGTTTATTTTAAACGATTTTATACAAAGTAAGTTGAACTTCTTTTTCTTTCCTTTTATGCTTTAGTTTTTTCTTTTCTTTCTTTAAATATATATACATGCATATTTATATGTATGTATGCATGTATAAAATAAAGTCAATGTTTCAATAAATGTCGTCCTTTTTTTTGATTTTTAAAGAATAAAGTGATTTGTAAAATATATATATAGAAATAGCTTGCGTTCGACAGATCCTACCCTTGTGCTGGTCACTTGTGTATATCTTGCCACCAAGATTGAAGAGTGTCCTATACATATCAAAATGGTCACTCAAGAAGCCAAGCATATATTTCAAGGTAAAATATCATATGATACACATTCGATCTTTCTTTAGAATCCATATTATCATTATTATCTGTAAGTAGTTGCTACTAACAACACGTAACATATATATATATATATATATTCAAATATATCAATATATCTCTTGTAGCTGATTTTGGTGGATTTCCTTATGATAGTGCCAAAGTAGCCGAATTTGAGTTCTATCTTTTGGAAGAACTAGAATTCTACCTTATCGTCTGGCACCCTTACAGATCCCTGACCTTGATTTGCAATGATCTCGGAATGCGCGAATCCGGTCTACAGTATGCCTGGTTTCTCGTCAATGACTCTTACCGGACCGATGTCTGTTTACTCTACCCACCTCACATGATCGCCTTGGCGGCCATCTATCTTACCGTCGTACTCAACCACGCTGACTTTGCACCCGGATCATTAGGGGATCGGACAGATATGCGGCAATGGTTTGCGGATCTCAATGTGGACATTGAGGCAGTGATTGAGATCAGTCAGGAAATATTGTCGATTACTGAAGTCTGGTCAGATTGGAAGGAAGAGAAGATGCCTATGCTTTGGAAAGAACTCAAGCTTCCCAGGCAATGAATGAAAATGAAGAAAGATAGAGAAGAAGAAGAAGAAGTGTGTAACATAGGCAACAAATGTACAAGGTTGTATATTCAATGATCATAGAAAGAGAGGCAAAGATGCAGAAAGGTCGAGAGAGTAGAGAGAGTAGTTGTGCATGAGCATGAGCATGAGCATGAGCATGAGCATGAGCATGTACTTGTGTGCCTTGCATCTATTTATGTCTATTCTCTTTTCTTCCTTTCTTTTTTTTTTAAAAAAAAATAATAATAATAATTATTAATAACTTCAATAAAATTGAGCTGCTGGCCCAGCTTTACTATTTATTTATATAAAATAAAGAGAGGTGGGATATATGAAAAGTACTTTATAAAAAAAATTATCAAGGGAGGGCTGTATTGATCGATTAGTTTTAGAATAATTTTTAACCTACATATTATTACCACTATACATTATTTATAATATATATATATAAAGCTTACTTTCCGGTCTTTGCCGACCAATTAAAATTGGAAATAAAATATGAAAAAAAAAGTATTTTTTCTGTATTTATAATATCCAAATATACAATAATTCTGTGCAAGTCCTAGGATTGGTATGTAAAACTGCGCAATATTGTTCAAAGCTTTAATTGTCAGCATTCCTGCCAGCGTGTCCGTAAAACGTTCCCCTTTTATAAACGGGTCACTAATGATGGATAAGCGGATCTACAATAGATACCCGATCTCTGGCCTACCTATTGGCTAAAAGTATTTTTTATTGACTAGCCTTGACTCACTTTTAATAATATAATACAATATAAAACCTATTCATATTCCATATTCCATATACAAAAGTTAAAGTGAATAATATGCCTTGCTGAGAATTCATAGTATTTATATTCCATTCTCCACAAATCTTTTCTTTTTCTTTTCTTTCCTTTTCTTTTCTTTGCTTTGCTTTGCTTTGCTTTGCTTACTTCTTTTGCTGCGATTAAAATCAAAACCCAACCAGAAAATCTTTTTTTTTTTTTTTTTTTTTACTTTTTACAGAATGTCGACCGCAACAAAAACATACTGCAACGTACCAGAATTGCCCTGGGTTGTCCAGAAGTTCGGTGGAACCAGCATTGGAAAGTTCCTTGACACAATTGCCACACAGGTAGTCAAGTAAGTTGAAAAACACACGTATATCTTTTTTTTGGTTTTTAAAAACACATACTAGATATATGTATATTAAAGTTAACAATAATAATAATAGTAATAAATAGGGAGTATGTGAAGCAAAATCGATTGGTTGTTGTCTGCTCTGCTCGCAGTGGTGAGAGCAAGCAGACTGGCACCACAAACAGATTGATCCGTGCTGCAAACGATGCCCTTCGTCCTGGATCGCAGGAATACCTGACGATCATCAAAGAAATCCTTGACGACCATCTCAAGGTAGCAGACGATATGATCACCAGCCCTGACATCCGCCGCAACCTGAAGAGTGACATTGAGCACGATTGCTCAAAGCTGAAATCCTTTTTGGAGGCAGCCCAGATCATCAACGAGATCTCGCCACGCTCCCGCGATATCATCATCGGTGTTGGAGAGAAGCTTGCTTGTCGAATTGTAGCTGCTGTTCTCCAGGACAGAGTAAATATTTATTTATTTATTTAATATTTTGACTGAAATTCGGTTCAATTAATTGGCTTGGGTTGCTTTCTTTAGATTAGATTAAATTAAATTTTAATTAGCAAAAAAAAATTGATTGGCTGTAATAGAAAGATATTGATTACTAAAAGTATCTTTAATATAGGGTGTGGAATCAATGTTTGTTTCACTCGAGAACATCATTGACAAGGAATTTGAGGTTCTTGATCAGACCTTCTACGACTATTTGGCCAAGCGGATGGCCGAGGCCGTGCATAAGTGCGGAAACAAGGTCCCGGTTGTAACTGGTAAGCAAATCAATTACTTTTAGATGTCTATAATTGTCTTACTGATAATAATCTCTTAAAAAACAAACAGGTTTCTTTGGCATTGTCCCTGGCAGCTTGTTAAATACCATTGGTCGTGGTTACACCGATCTGACTGCCGCTCTGACTGCAGTTGGTTTGAGCGCTGAAGAGCTTCAGATTTGGAAGGAGGTCGATGGTATCTTCACTGCTGACCCCCGTAAGGTCAAGTCTGCTCGCCTCTTGCCCATTATCACTCCCGAGGAGGCATCCGAACTGACCTACTATGGATCAGAAGTGATCCACCCCTTCACCATGGAGCAGGTCATTCGGTCTCACATTCCTATCCGGATCAAGAATGTTGAGAACCCTCGTGGTCAAGGCACCATCATCTTCCCTACCGACACCATCAACAAGGACGGCACCTCGACCCCCCCTCACTCGCCCAAGGTTCTGGCCGAGAATGGCTATTCCCTTGACCTGTCCCGCAAGTACCCCACCGCAATCACCATCAAAGACAACGTGATCGTACTCAACGTGCACTCCAACCGCAAGAGTGTGAGCCACGGCTTCTTTGCCCAGATCTTCAGCACCCTCGATCGATATGGCATCGTGGTCGATCTCATTGCCACGTCCGAGGTTCATGTGTCCATGGCATTGGGTACCGACAGTGAGGACAAGGATCTTGAACGTGTGATTGCAGATCTTCGACGTGTTGGACAGGTAAAGAAAAGCATATATTTTTTTTATAATTAATATGTAAATGAAGAGCTTAATATTAATACTTTTATTTTATTTTATGATAGGTTGACATCTTGAAGAATATGGCTATTCTCTCGCTTGTTGGCAAGCAAATGAAGAACATGGTTGGTATCTCTGGCATGATGTTCACCACCTTGGCTTCCGCCGGGGTCAACATTGAGATGATCTCTCAGGGTGCATCAGAGATCAATATCTCGTGTGTCATTGCAGAGTCAAGTGCCATCACAGCACTTAATGTGATCCATGACCAGTTGTTGAGCAAACGCAGCAAGATCATCCTTCCCAGCCTACGATCAGCTTTTTAATTTAATTTAATTTAATTAAAAGAAATTGTTTTTTTTTATTGTTGTTGTTGTTATTGCTGTTCTATTATTTATTCTTCTTTACTTTACTTTACTTTTACCTTTATCTTACTCTTTTTACTTGCCAACTACCATAACTTTTCTTCTACTTCTACTTCTTTATATTATCTGCCTACAACTCACAACCCCCCTCTTTCTTCTCTTTAGTTTTATTTTTGGGGGTCCTTTATTCTTGTATGGAATGAACTTGGTTTTTTTTTTTGTTTTTTGTTTCGTTTTTTGGAAACACTTTTCATTTGCTGTAGCTGTAGTCATACTTCCCCCCTATTTTTTTTTTTGGTATAAAGAATTTCCCACTTTTGGGCACCCCGACTTTTTTTTTCTTTCTTTCTTTTTACAGACAAGTCATCAATAATTATTGCTTAAACATTTTTTATAGGAAAAACTCTTTCGAATAACTCTTGTTTAAAAGATTCTAGAAAAAAAAAAAAAAAGGAGAGAGAGAGTCACCATAGCAACAGGTACATCTCAATGTTCCTAAAATGGATATTCGTGTAACATAAAAGACTATTTTTTGTTCGACTTTCTTTCTATATATAGATATAGGTATATCGGACAATTAATGTATTTTATGGTCGGAGTTTGTGTTGAGGTAAAAACCAAACAAAAAAAAAAGCAGAGTGAAGATATGATATGACTTGGAACCTTCTAGTAATTTTGGGTATTGAATTTATTACAAATCAAAGCAATTTACATATAATCTTGGGTGTAACAATGTATATGATGCGATATGACAGAATATGACATGACATGAGTAGAATACATTTTTCTTTCCTCTCTACTGATCTGATCTATCAAATCTGCCAGGTCAATCAATACTGAAAGAAAGAGAAATAGAATATTTTTCAGAATATAAAGAAATGGCTTGTGAATTACATATGCATATTGTCGGTTGTGTGAGTTGTACAGAGATTCTTTTACGTCTTTCAATTCTTCCCACATCTTTCTTCCTTTCTTATGATACATACATTTTGTATAGATCTTTGGTTCATTTCATAGGATATTATTATTTTGTAAATGTGCAATTGCTTTTTATTATTAAATTTACAAAAAAAAAAAGGAAATAAGGTAGAATTCATTTGGGATCATTCAAATGAATCATTTTACTTGAAGATTTTACCATCCTGGAAACCTTCGACTTCCCAGGCCATGTACTTGTAGATCTCGTCCTTCTTCTGGTCATACTGCGAAGGCTCGATCTTTGTGAACGTGTAGGACTCGAAATCGGCGGCGTCGTAAACCTCTTCAGGAATGGTCTGACCACGGATAAGGAAGTAACCCGAAATGGTGTTGTCGTTGTTCTTGCCGCAGACAATCAAAGAACCGAAAGCATACTTGCGTGCACGTTCGAGGCGGGCAAAGAATCCACCGATGAGGTTGCAGGACATAAAGACCAGAGTCAGCTCGTCATTGTACTTGTAGTCCACGCGCCAGAGCGAGTAACCCTGAGGATCGTGGTGTTCCCAGAACCACTTCATGGCCACGTCGGTCTTGTTGTTTGAGTACATGCGCTTCCACTCATCCATCACAAATTTCGAGGGAGGCAAGAGATCAAGAGCAGACTTGACCTTGGGGGCAGGCTTTGGAGTATCATCATCATCATCTGCTGCTGCTTCTGTTGGTTTCTTTTCGGCCTTTTTCTTTTCGGGCTTGGCCTCTTTTTTTTCAGGCTTGGCATCCTTTTTGGCATCCTTCTTGGCAGGAGGAGTGTACTTGAGAGGAGTCTCGCACAGGGCGATGTCGCCCAGGTGGGTCTTGAAGTTCTTTTGGCCGGTCAGGGTTCTAAAGTAACGTGTCACGTTCTTGTACTCGTCGCGGAGAGGCTTGTCGAGAAGCAAGGTGAACAGGGGGACCAGCGCACAGGCGACACAGATGTCAGCATAGGTGATTTCCTCGCCAACCAGATAAGTCTTGGTCAAGAGAATCTTGTCGAGCGCTCCGAGGGTGCGCTTGACCTTTTCTTGGGCAGCATCGACATTGGGCTTCAGGTAAGGGCGCAGACCGCGCAAAGGCAAAAGCCATTCGCTGGCTGGGCCGTGGATTTCGTTCTCAGCGAACAAGGCATATTGGATGATCAAGGCCTTGTCGACTGCGGTAAAGCCCAACAGACGCGAGTGTTCCTGAGAAGCAGCTTTTTGTTTTTTTTTTTTTTTTGAGAATCCCAAAATTATCAATACCTTATTTCTCAATATATATTTATTTAAAAACTCACCATAGTAAGCAATAGCAGAGGACTCGAACAGGTTGACTTCGGGGCTCTCAAAGACTGGGACCTTTCCCATGGGATGCTTGGCATAGAACTCGGCATCTCTTTCGGTTTGAAGGTTGATGTGCTGGACATCGAATGTGGTACCAGTAAAGGCAGCCTAAAAAAAACATCAATGGTTTGTTAACTTGTTTGTTGAACCATTGTTTTCTTTGGTGCATATAGGTAGAAATCAAAATCAACTTACTGTAATCAGAGCCTTTGCCACACGAGGGTTGTTGGGGTAAGATTTGATGACCTACAAAAGAAAAGAAAAATTTAATATTTTAGCTTTGGGTGTTTAATAAACACACTGCATTTTTGTTGTTCTTTAGTTTTTGCTACTTACACCAAGAGAGCGCATAATGTATATATATATATATATATATATATATATTTTTGATAATTAAAATAAAAAAGAATCAAAAAAAAAGAAAATATCAAATCAAGTAATATTTAAATATTTTTTTTAAAAAAAAAAAAAAAAAAAAAAGACTCGCGCCAGCCACTTTGTACACTCTAAACTATTCTTTTTTGAGATGATGAAATCGGAAGATATATATATATGTATATTATTGGACGTCTTGTATATGCTTTGATTTTGTGCCTCTTTGATAGAGAAATAGATAGATAGATATTTTATTTTATATTTTATAATACATACATACATACATATTATAATTATTATTTTTATTTTTATTTCTGTAATGCAAGAAATTGAAATCCCTGCCCAATAATGAAACATTTATGAATAATTAGCATGAACTATATAATACAAAAAAAAAGAAGTGTGGAGAAAAGGGTCTTAAAGGAGGAGAGGGTGTTTCAAAAAAAAAAAAAAAAAAAAAAAACTTTTTTCTAGAGTGTAATGTGCAGTTCATTTACTTCTTTTCTGGGAAGGGGTTATTCTGTCAAATATATTACACACATCGACATATAAGTTTTGCTTGCTATTTAGTTTCTTTCTTTTGAAAAAGTTAAGATTCTAGATACAGTTTACAGTTTACAGCAGTATTATTCCTTATTGCTGATAAGAATATGATCTTTTTGTTTTTTAAGAAAAAAGAGATGTTTAATCATTTTGTCTCTTTTGTTCGTGATCGAAAACCTTAAATTCATAAGCTAGGTCTGTATTTAAAATCCAGCCAATTATATCTCCCCTAAATTTCTGTACTCTCTTTTTCTCTATATTTATATAAATATAAAGATAAGTATATATTGTATAGCAGAAGCAGTAAAGACTAAAGACTAAAGAAGAGCATGATCTAGTCCAAGGCAGAAAAATTGTTACTATAGAGGGCGTGAACCATATAAAGTAATTTATAATACACTTTTATTTTATATATGTGAGTGGTAGGCAAATGTAATTGTAAATGTAAATGTTTGTAATTTTTGCGAGAATGAGTGTGGATATTGTAAGTTTGACTTAATTGATTTTTTTTTATTTGACCAAGCTTAAAGATATATTTATACCTACATATGTCATTTATGTCTTTCTTTTCCTTTTTACTCCTGAGATTTCATAATGATATTTCTGTTGAATGCATGAAAACAGCATTAATTACAGGTCCCTTGTTTATTACTGTTCTATATATATATATATATATTATATGTATATTGTATAAAGAAATTCAAAATAAAGTAAAAACATAGGCATAGATACATAGGCATATCTTCTTCTTCTTTATTTGGCACGAGGTTTTGCGTCTTATATTTTTATCTTTATAGATGTACGTAGATGTATATGATGTGTTATCCCCTTGAATATATACATAATATATATATATAATGTGTAGATCGGCAAAGAGACAGAGACAGAGACAGAGAACGTGCGAGTACATTATATAGATAAATAAGCATGGTCAATGCGTAAAATAGATAAAAGCTAATAATAATATCAGTCGTGAAAGTTGTGACAAAGAAAAGAAAGAGATAATAAAAAACGAATAAAGAAAATACAGATATATTAACTCCTGAATAATAACAGAACTAAACTAAACCCAACTGAATTGAATTGAATTGAATTGAATTGAATTGAATTCAATTAAATTCAATTCAATTCAATCGAGTATTGCTTTTTCTGGAATTGACAGCACTAATGAAAAGTATAGACCATATTAGGTTTTATATATGTAAGCTTTGAGGTTTGGTAAACAAGTTGATAAAAGTGAACACCAGCATAAATATGTATAAGCATAAGCATAAACATGAGCATAAAAAGTGTTCTTGATATTCTTATTTATTATTCAGTACAACGATTGAGTTGATAGATGTTAGAGCGTTCATTCCTGATGGCTTGTTTAGGACATATTGCAACATACTATATAAAAGGGAGTAGATAAAAAGGCTACATTTGTGTGTATTGTTTTGGAACAAAAGGATCTACAGAGACAGAAATGGTACTCTTACAGCCTTGCACAAAACACTTTACTTTACTTTACTTCATTTTTACATTTGGCTTACTGTTTCTTTCTTTCTTACTGCTATAATCTAGGAACATAGCAAACGAAGCATGTCAAAATAATTTGAATATATTGCGTTTCTTTAAAGACCACCAATTCATTAGCTAATCAACTCATCAACTTATAAAGCAATACACATTATTTTATATGAGCAATCATCCCCTTCATCCTCCTATACTCGCTTACCTAACCCTATCTCATCCCACCCCATCCCATCACTTCACTTCTTTTCCCCCTTTATTTTTGTAACCTTAATAACATAAAATATATATTATTATATTCTGGTTCATGAAATCATTAGTGATATAGAAAATGAGGGGTTATTAGAAATAAAGACAGACAGACAGACAGGTATCCTGATCGATCTATCAAAAATAGCGATATATATTTGTATTTGAATTTTATAAAATAAAATAAAAACTTATACTCATGTCATTCTATCCATGTATTTTAACCCTTGAACCAACTAACTTTCTTTACTATCTTAATTATGATCTTTATTTAAAAAACATGTGTATTTGACATATGTATCTTACAGGGCCAGACCTTTTTTTATATATTTTCCTTGACCATTTATACTACATTTACTATCAATACCAATGCCAGTACCAATTCTAGTACCAATGCCAGTACCAATTCTAGTACCAGTACCAATTCTAGTACCAGTACCAATATTACTAATATTACTATTTTATTATATGCTTTGTACTTGAAGAAACATGTCCTTTCTTTTGGGTGCCTTGAAAATAAGATAAAATAAGATAGAAAACCTGCTATTTTATCCCTTATAGAACCCATATGCCGATCAGTCTATTTTGGCCAAAAGAGAAAAGCTATTTTCTTCTTCTTCTTCTTTTTAAATATTAATATAATTTATACCAGTCTATCATTTAACTTTCTTTTTCTTTTTTGGGTGCTTATAAAAAGCCTATCCCTATAATCTATTGTCTTTCTTCTTTGAACCTCAAAGGCGACAGAGCAAAACAAACCAAAAATAAAGAGTAATATACATATAAATAAAAATAAGTAAATTAAATTAAATGAATAAATGAATGAATTAATGAATGAATAAAGAAAAATAAATAAATATTAAAATAAGGACCCCCTTTCTTCTTCCTTCTTCTTTATCTTTATCTTCTTTATCTTCTTTAATATTAACATTGATATACTTCTTGATTAGTCAATCAGTCCAATTAATCAAGAGTAATAAAGCTTGACAATCATAACAAATCAGCAAAACAACAAACAAACAACAAAACAACAACAAAACAACAATGGATTCACTCTCAACATATGAGACAGCCACAGCTCCTACTACACCAGAGAAACTACCCAGCATCACAATGTTGCCTCAGCTAGAGTTAAAGACACCTCCTCCATCTACACCAATCACCGAAAAAGTCGAAGATGTTCACTACCAACCCCAAGAGTCTGTCCTATCCCAGCGCCAATACAACTCTCATCAACACAGTCACCACAGTCACCACAGTCAATCAATGCCTCCCCCTCCTCCACTCCCACTCCAGGCATCATACCTCCCTCCACCCACCTCGGCTGCCCATATCTACACCTCCTACAGCCAAGCCATGATCCAAAACGGACTCTATAATCAAAACATGTCCCCTCCCTTGACCCCAGCTGTCTCCCCTCCATCCATCTTACTCGACTCTCTTCACTTCAAACGCAAGTTCTCTGTAGATGTCGGTCCTTTTAGCTTCGGTAGCATCTCCCAGTCAATCAACGAACGCCAGGATCAATACCGTCGTAGCTCATGTTCAGCCATGTCGGTCGATCAATGCAGCTATGATTCCTCATACTCATCATCCAATCCAAACACTCCAGCCAATAATGCCTCTAACGCTAATAATAATAATAATCCTAATCCTAGTTCTAATGATACCGATCCTTCTTCTAATGATACTACTGCCAATACCACCGATGCTGTAGCTACCTCATCTTCACCTTCTTCCTCTTCAACATCTTTATCCGGATCTGCTACTGAATCCTGCTCACCTTCAGCTTCGACTTCAGCACCAGAACAAGAACAAGAACCAGTACCAAAATCAGAACCATCTTCGGAATCCTCGATACTATCCTCCTCTCGTCAGGACTATGGTTTCTTTCACCCTGATGGTGTAGAGAACAATCAAATGTTCACAGATCCAAAGGCACTTTTAGTAGGCAAGCGGAGTAGAATATTTCATCACCAACAGCATAATACACACCATCCATATTCACATCAGCAGCAACAACAACACCAACAGCAGCAGCATCATTCTAGCCAAGGACCTACTACCCAACATAAACATGGATGTAGCCAGGCATACTGTGGATGGAGTTTCAAGCGCTATGAGCACCTGAAGAGACATATGTTTGTGCACACTGGAGAAAGACCCCACATGTGTCCTTATCAAGGATGTGGCAAGAGTTTCAGTCGATCAGACAACTTTAATGCTCATTTTAGAACCCATACCAAGAAGAATGCTCTCCAGAAAAGACGATCCTCACAAGGCAATAACAATAACAATAACAATAGTACTGGAACTGGAACTGGAAATAGCACTGGCACTGGCACTGGCACTGGCACTGGAACTGGCACTGGAACTGGCACTGGCACTGGAGCTACGAGGAGCAAAAACAACTCTATCAGCAATGGAAGCAGCGATGATAGTGGTAGCAGTACTAGTCCTTTGATGACCGTTAGCTCGCAGATGTATGATCCTGAACGTGCCCATAATGGATATTTCACCAAGCAGAATGCTTTTGACATGATAAACTATCAGACCATGTATGATCATCGCCAAGCTTATCCCGAGGTGAGATTCATTTTGTATTTATTTATTTATTTTAGTTTAAGGGTTTATTAATTAATTTTCTGTTGTTTTGTTTTGTTTTGTATTGTTTTGTATTGTTTTGTTTTGTTTTGTATTGTATTGTATTGTATTGTATTGTATTGTATTGTATTGTTTGTGTTTTAAAAATAGGAGGAATATCATGCTCATTTACACCATCAGCAGCAGCAAGCTCAACAACACGCTCAAGCTCAAGCTCAAGCTCAAGCCCATGCTCAGGCTCAGGCTCAGGCCCAAGCTCATGCCCACGCTCAAGCTCAGGCTCAAGCCCATGCTCAGGCTCAGGCCCAGGCCCAGGCTCACGCTCACGCTCAAGCACAGGCCCAAGCCCAGGCCCAGGCTCAGCACCAAGCTCAAGTTCAACAACACGCTCAGGCTCAGGCTCAGGCACAGGCACAGGCACAGGCTCAGGCACAGGCACAGGCACAGGCACAGGCACAGGCACAGGCACAAGCTCAAGCTCATGCCCATGCTCAGGCACAAGCTCAGGCCCACGCTCAAGCTCAACATCAAGCTCAGGTTCAACACCAAGTTCAGATTCAACAACAACAGCAACAATTTCAGGCTCAACAACAAGCTCAGGCTCAAGCTCAAGCTCAGGCTCAGGCTCAGGCTCATGCTCATGCTCATGCTCAAACACAACAAACAAGTCAACAACAGCAACAACAACAAAACTATATGCGGTCTTTAACAAATCATTATCGTCCTGGGTTACAAACGCCAATCAGTCCTTCTGCTGCACCTTCGCTTCTGAACCACGAGGTTGGTGGTACACCATTCTTTGGAGACAGTGGATGTAATAATAATGGCGGTATTACGAATGGCAATATGACCTGTGCAAACACAACTACTACATCTACAACAACAACAACAACTAATGATAACAACAACAACAATTCTGCTGCTACTGTTGCTGCTGCTGCTGCTGCTGCAGTCGTTGCTAGTAGCAGTGGTGGTAACAGTGGTAGTATCCAATCGCCATTTGGATATGCAATGTCATCCATGTCACCTACCTCTATGCTGTCCAGTTCTTCCTCTCCTATGAATAATACACCTATCAACAACAATGCCACCTCATCATCATCTTTATCTTTATCTTCGGCTTTCTCTACATCGTCATCTTCTTCCGCAACTTCCAATTCACTCAATATCTATCCTCCTTTTGTGATGACTGGAGAGGTACCTCGCCGTACTTCTATCCCACTCAACCTAAAGTCCCATGTATGCCCAGTACCCCAGTGTCAGCGACAGTTCAAGCGACTAGAGCATCTCAAACGACACATGCGGATCCACACTCACGAACGCCCATTTGCGTGTTCATTATGCACTAAAGCCTTTTCCCGTTCAGACAATCTTTCTCAACACATGAAAACCCATCAACGCGTTGAAGATCGCAGACGTCGACAGCACCATCATCACCATACTCATCACCATCAACAGCAACAGCAGCAGCAACATCAACATCAACAGCAGCAACAACATAGCAACGGACCCTTTGCTAAACTGCATAATACCATGTCTGCTATGAATTGGCATACTCATTCATCCAATGGTTGCTAAGTAACCAAAACAAAAAACCAAAAAAAAAGGCCAAACAAACAAACAAACAAACAACAACAACAACAAAAAAAACATGCTAAAAAAAAGGATACTCCCCCAAATCAAATCAAATTGAATTTTCTTTTTTTTTAAATACATACTTCTTCTTTTTACTTCTTCTTCGTCTTCTTCTTCTTCTTCTTCTTCTTCTTTGATTTAATTATCATTACTATTATTATTATCTTTATTATTATCTTTATTGCATGTTTTCTTCTTCTATTTTATTTTTATTCCTTGGCTGAGATGAAGAACTTGATAATCTATTTTCGAGTAACCAACCCTTTTTTTTTTATTTCTATTTTTATTCGCTACACACAATTATTTATTTATTTATTTATTTATTTATTTATTTTATATATAAATAATTTCTTTTTTATATTTTTTCACCTCCCTTTTTCTCCCATTTTTACCCTCCCCCCAAATCCCCTTTTTTTTTATTTTTATTTTATTTTATTTCACCCCCAACTTTTCATCTTCTTCTTTTTTCCTTTTTTGTATAGAGCTACTTCTTCTTCTTCTTCCTACTTCTTCCTACTTCTTCTTTTTATTTTTATTTTCATTCATCATATATTTCATCATTCATCATCGTCATTATTATTATTATTATCATCATCATCGTTATTATCATTATCATTATTATCATCATTTATTATTATCATTACTATTTTTTATATATATTTTCTTTCTTTTCTTTTCTTTTTTTTTTCTTTTTTCTTTTCTTTTTCATATGCTTCTTCTAAAGCGCCAATACTTCTTTAGTATAAAATATATATATATATATAAAAAAAAAGAGAAAAAAAAAAGAAAGAAAGAAAAAAAAAATTGATAGTAATTATTTTTATATTTTATTTTATTTATTTTTTTGTTAATGATAATGATAATGATTTTTTTTTTATATATTTTATTAAGCATCTTCCTATGTCTTTTATTTTCTTTTTCTTCCTCTTCCTCTTCCTCTTCTTCTTCTTCATTTTTTTTTATATTACTATTATATGGTTGCTCTCTAGATTTATTATATTATTTCTTTATCTTGTTAAATAAATAAATAAATAAAATTTTATTTATATTTATATACATATATATATATATGTGTGTGTATATTGAGTAAAACAAATAAAGGCGTAATTAAGATAGTGAGAGAAAGAGAGAGATATACAGATGTTTAGATAGAGTATTTAAGATATGTAATATTACACATGAATTAATGTCACTGTCAATCATTGGCATTGGCATTGATTGTATCTGTACTTATTAGAGACTTTTTTTTTTGGTCTTTTATTTGTGTACAGTGGTATACAGTGTGTACAACCTATACAAAGAGTAACAGCGAATATAATATGTGTGCCCAAAAAAGAAGAAGAAGAAAGGAATAGGAGATAGACACAGACAAGAGATAAAGGTAAAAAAAAGATAGAGTGTGAGGGAGAATGAGAGAATAAGATTGTCTGTCTGTCTGCCTGCCCACTTGTGATGCCTGAGTTTATTATATTTTATAATATAGTATATTAATACCTTTTTCTTTGTTTCTTGCTATCAAATATATTGAGTGAACAAGTGAATTGAATTGAATGTATCATTTGGATGATGTATTATTTAGTATCATTTTTTTATTGAGAGCCCCAAAAGGACCTTTTTATTGAATGTTGGGGGCTAGGGAGTATTAGATAAAGAAATATATATATATAAAATAAAAAAAAGGGGGTTGAGGAACAAATAAATAAATAAAAAAAAAAGACATTTTTTTTATTTACCATGGAAACCATTAAGATATAGGTAACCTAGCAACCTAGTAACCTAGTAACATATAGAGTGTACATAAAGAATCAATGATGAGAGAGAGAGAAAGAAGGAAAATCTTCTAGACACACAGAATATAAGAAAAGGGTTAAAATTTTGGGGGTTGGGAAAGGTTGGATTGAATTGAACTAGAAATTATCTATAGTTAGGGACCATAATCGGTTCGCTTCCCTCGGAAAGTGTCCTTTTATGGACAATAAAATCCGGCTCAAGAAACAGTCCAGCCTTTTTACACTGACAAGAATAAAATAAAAAAAAGGGGTTTATAATGAATAATCTCAATCCGAATAAGAAATACAATAAGCTTTCTATATAAATAAAAATAAAACGCTAAATTATCAATCAATCAATCAGTCAATCAAATCTATCAAAATTACAGTATAATACACTACACTACACTACAATATAAAATAAAATAAAAACCCAATAAACCAAATAAACTCAACAACCAAGCAAAATAAAATAAAATAAATAAATAAATAAATAAATAAAAAGAAGTATATATAATAAATAATAAAAGCATTAAAGACATTCCTTTGTTATCAATTTAATTCTTTCTTTTTTTTATTTTTATTTTTATTTTTAATTTTAATTTTATTAAATTTATATATAAATATATATATATAAAAACAGAAAAATTACATAATGTCTGCCAAACCTATTCGTGAATACGATGGCAAGCTCTTGCTGGCCTACCACCTCTTGCGTGCTCCCCTGGCCGCTAACCAGAGCCAGACCTCTCTCTTCCAGCCTGCCCCAACAAAGCTGGCCCATATCAACGTCGACACCAGTCTCACCGGCGCCGCTTTTGACATTGCTCTCAAGCAGCAGCTCGATACCCTTGAGCAGACCCACCCATGGATCCTCACAGACAAGCTGGTCGCCAAGCCCGATCAACTCATCAAGCGTCGTGGAAAGCATGGTCTCTTGACTCTCAACAAGACATGGAAGGAAGCCCGTCCTTGGATTGAAGAACGCGCCGGCAAGGAAGTAAAGGTACAAAAGAAAATCTATTTGGGAAAGAGATTAGGATAAGAAACTATGCAGATCCATGTCTAGAGTACAGAGTGTGTACTTGTACTTGCATGTGCATCTGTAAAATACAAAGAAAGAAAAGAAACGTTCAAGTATATTAACCATTGTCTATTCATTTATCTATTTAAAATAATAAAGATCGAAAAGACTTCGGGTATCCTCAAGACTTTCCTCGTAGAACCTTTCTGCCCTCACCCCGCAAACACAGAGTACTACATCTGCATCAACTCTGACCGTGACGGTGACTACATCCTCTTCACTCACGAAGGTGGTATCGACGTCGGTGATGTCGACGCCAAGGCTCTCAAGCTACTCGTCAAGGTCGACGAGGGCTATCCTTCCCCCCAGGCTATCATCACCTCGCTCCTCAAGGACGTTCCTTCCCAGAAGCACGCCGTCCTGGTCGAGTTCATCAGCCGCCTCTATGCAGTCTACGTCGACCTGCATTTCACATATCTCGAAATCAACCCCCTTGTGGTTACAGATGGCGAGAACGGCGCTCCTCCTCAGGTCATGTACCTCGATCTTGCCGCCAAGCTCGATCAGACTGCCGAGTTCGAGGCCGGTCCCAAGTGGGCTATTGCCCGCGCTCCCCAGAACGGTGGCTTGATCGGCTCTGGCGAACACGGCCCATCCATGGCCTTCCCTGCCCCCTTTGGCCGTGAACTGACCAAGGAAGAGGCCTATATCCAGGAACTCGACAGCAAGACCGGTGCGTCCCTGAAGCTCACGGTCCTCAACCGCGACGGCCGCATCTGGACCATGGTTGCCGGTGGTGGTGCCTCGGTTGTCTACTCTGATGCCATTGCTGCCCTCGGTCACGCTGACCAGTTGGCCAACTATGGCGAGTACTCTGGCGCACCCACCGAAACCCAGACCTACGAGTACGCCAAGACCATCCTGGACTTGATGACCCGCGGCTCGGTCAACCCCCAAGGCAAACTGCTGTTTATCGGTGGTGGTATTGCAAACTTCACAAACGTCGCCACAACCTTCAAGGGCATCATCCGCGCCTTGACCGAGTTCAAGCAGGCCCTGATCTCCCACAAGGTCCGCATCTTTATCCGTCGTGGTGGTCCTAACTACCAGGAGGGTCTGCGTGCCATGCGCCAGCTGGGTGAGACCCTCGGCGTCGAGATCCAGGTCTTTGGTCCCGAAACTCACATCACCGAGATCGTGCCCTTGGCCTTGACCGGAAAGGTGTCTTCTATTCCTGCCGCAAAACAGAGCGGGTCTGGAAACCTCTTCCAGGACCAGATCTTTGGTAACAACACCGCCTCCACAACTCCATCCGGTGCCAGCAGCCCCAAACTCAAGTTGTCCGATGACCAGGACTCACCCGAAGACTCCAAGGATCGCATCAGCTACTTTGACGCCCCTGCCCAAGAGTCCCACGAGTGGTACCGTCCCTTCACCAAGTCTACCCGCTCCTTTGTCTATGGCATGCAGCCCCGTGCTGTCCAGGGTATGCTCGACTTTGATTTCATGTGCAAGCGCCAGTCTCCCTCAGTCGCAGCCATGGTCTATCCCTTTGGCGGCTCCCACGTCCAGAAGTTCTACTGGGGCACAAAGGAAACCCTGATCCCTGTGTTTGCCTCGCTCAAGGAAGCCGTCGAAAAGTACCCCGAGGTCGATGTGGTGGTCAACTTTGCCTCCTGTCGCTCCGTCTTTGACTCGACCCGCGACATCTTTGCCTACTCCAAGCAGATCAAGACCATCGCCATCATTGCCGAGGGTGTACCCGAGCGCCGTGCCCGCCAGCTCTTGCACGAGGCCGAGCGTCTCAAGGTGCTCGTGATCGGTCCTGCCACTGTCGGTGGCATCAAGCCCGGATGCTTCAAGATCGGAAACACCGGTGGAATGATGGACAACATCGTGGCCTCCAAGCTCTACCGCGCCGGTTCGGTTGGTTATGTGAGCAAGTCGGGTGGTATGTCCAACGAACTCAACAACATCGTGTCCCGCACAACCGACGGTGTCTACGAGGGTGTGGCCATCGGTGGTGACCGCTACCCCGGATCGACCTTTATCGACCACTTGTTGCGTTATGAGGAGGACCCCAAGTGCAAGATGCTGGTCTTGCTTGGTGAGGTTGGTGGTGTAGAAGAGTACAGGGTCATCGAGGCTGTGAAGAACAAGACGATCAAGAAGCCTGTGGTGGCCTGGTGTATCGGAACCTGCGCAAGCATGTTCACAACCGATGTCCAGTTCGGTCACGCCGGTGCCATGGCCAACTCTGACCTCGAGACTGCCAACGCCAAGAACCGTGCCATGCGTGCAGCTGGTATTGTTGTGCCCGAGACCTTTGAGGCCATGCCCTTGGCTTTGGCCGATACCTACGCCAAGCTTGTCCAGGCCGGCACTATTGTTCCCCGCGCTGAACCCGAGGTGCCCAAGATCCCAATTGACTACTCCTGGGCTCAGGAACTCGGTCTGGTCCGTAAGCCTGCCAGCTTTGTGTCCACCATTGTCGACGACCGTGGCCAGGAGCTTTTGTATGCTGGTATGCGCATCACCGATGTGTTCAAGGAGGAGATCGGCATTGGCGGTGTGTTGTCTCTGCTCTGGTTCAAGCGCAGATTGCCCGACTATGCATGCAAGTTTATCGAGATGGTCCTGATGCTCACTGCCGATCACGGCCCTGCTGTATCTGGAGCCATGAACACCATCATTACCACCCGTGCCGGCAAGGACCTCATCTCTTCTCTGGTTGCCGGTCTCTTGACCATCGGTGAGCGCTTCGGTGGTGCTCTTGACGGTGCGGCTTCCAACTTTGCCAAGGCCTACGACAGCGGCCAGTCCCCCCGCGAGTTCGTGTCCTCGATGCGTAAGGCCAACAAGCTGATTCCCGGTATTGGCCACAAGATCAAGTCGCGCACCAACCCTGATATGCGTGTCGAGCTCGTCAAGTCCTATGTACTCAAGCACTTCCCTTCGACCCCGATCCTCAACTATGCCCTCCAGGTCGAGGAAATCACGACCTCCAAGAAGGACAACCTGATTCTCAATGTCGATGGCTGTATTGCGGTCTCGTTTGTCGATCTCTTGCGTGAGTCTGGTGCTTTTACTCGTGAGGAAGCCGAGGAATACATGAAGATTGGAACCCTCAATGGTCTGTTTGTCCTTGGCCGCTCGCTCGGTTTCATTGGTCACCACTTGGATCAGAAGAGACTCAAGCAGGGCTTGTACAGACACCCTTGGGATGATATCTCTTACTTGTTGCCTTCGCTTGATCCTCAGAGTCTTGATCCTCGTCGCGTGACTGCACGTGTCAACGTTCAAAAGAAATAATCACATCTTTTTTTTTTGTTTGTTCCCTATTCATTTACCTTTCTTCATTTTTCGCTTGCACTTTCTTTTTTTTTTTTTAAAAAAATTTTCTCTAGTTTTTTTTTGCTTTAACTTTTCTTCTTAATCCTTGTACACCATTTTCCTATCTCTTTCTCTCTATATCTTTCTCATTAACTCACCTATACTCCAAAAAAGGAAAGAAAAAAAAAAGATATATATTTTATATATATATATATTTTGTATCAATCAATCAATCAATCAATTAATCAATCAATATTTTATTTTAATAAAAAAAAACAAAAAATGGTTAAACAACAAAAAAAACAATTCAATTGCTTTATGATTTTTTTTTTTTGGTATTTGGATCCAACTAACAAACCAGCTAACTAGATTACAAGTTTACAGGATTTCTAAAACAAAAAGGCTTCAAAAAAAAAGGTATCTTTAATTTTATTATATTATTAATATCAAGTTTTATCAAAACTTATTATTTTGTTTGCAAGTGATAGATACAACACATCGACACACCGTAACACAATACAGCACATCATAGCACATCACACCACACCACACTATATCCTCTCGATAAGTATTATGACAATAATGGCAATAATACTTTTTCTTGTAATAAGGACGATGAAGAAAGAATGGAAAGGAAAGAGGACAGGATGGTCACTTGGAAAGAACAAGGTATTGAAAGTAAGTAAACCAAGAGAGATTTGGATTAAGAGTAAGTAAGAATTGTATTATTGTGTTTGCTTTTTGTGTTAGAGAGAGAGAGAAAGTATACAGTATATAATAATAATGTCAAAAAAGAAGAAGAAGAATAAAAGGGTTGGGGAGGAAAAGGTTAATAGAGTTGTGTAATTAATTAATTATATATGTGATAATAATGTATTAACAATATAAATAAATATATAAAATCTAGTAATCCATTAACAATGACTAATGAACCCTTGATTTATATATAAAAATATACACATTTTTATCTGATTTTGTGGGATGACTTTTTTTTTTATACATAAAATATGTACCGCAATAATCCGTTCCTTTTTGTCTTCATTTTAGGATGACTGTGCAAATGTGTTGTAAGATTGATGATGCTTTGGTACACTACTTTCTGATGATGGCAGTGAGTGTGCAGCGGCTGTGATACCCTCTTCCTGAGAATCCAACAGACTGGCAGAATCAGATTCATCTAAAGTAAATAAAAGATTTTGTATATAGAATATTTGAATGAGTTATTTTTGCCTTTCTTTAAATATATGTTTTTTTTTGTTTCACATGAAAGTAACAATATATTGTAATAATCATTATTATATTATGTGGTTGTTGCTTTGTACCTTGGTGACTAGTCAAGATTCTACTGTCCGATTGCTTAGTACGACGGATGACAAGGCATCGGATACCAAGGAACTGGCAGAAGGCACGGATTACAGTAGACACCCAGAACAGATAATAGATTGTCGAGATGATAAAGAAAAAGGCCAACAAGATGTATTCTGAACGAGCAGACAGCACACGACTAATAAATAAATAAAGAAAGGAATAGATTTATACATATTAAATATTAGCATATTAAGGTTTTCTTTTTCGTATCATTAAACTAACTTTATTAAATTCCCCCCAGAAAAAAAAGAAAGTTATTACTTACGTTCCAAAAATTGCAGGTGAATTCACAAGCACGACCATTAACCAGGGCATGGTCAATAGACCAGTAAAGAGAGGGAATTCTGATTTTGTGAGATGGGCAAGAATGATACTCGAAGCAATCAGTCCAAACAACACATTAAAGTAGAGCGAAAAGAGAATGACATGCTGGTCCTGGAGGAGCGAAGAGTAAGGTGACGACAGCCAGAAGTAGATTACGAGAGAGTAAGAGATAATAGGATAAAGGACGGTATTGAAAGTTCTGAAGGAGCTGATGTTCTTTTCAACACAAGCCTTGTGAATAGCATACAAACTACATATATTTATGATATTTAATATTCATAATTCATAAAGCACAAAGCACAAAATTCTTCTTGTCTTTTCCAAAAAAAAAAAAAAAAAAAAGGACTTACCACATAGGACAATGTGTAACAATAAAGAAAAATACCATACCCCATACAAACATGTTTGCAAAGGTAGTTCCTTGAGGAAGTAACGCACCAGCCCACTTGAACCAAGTAGAGTCCAAGAGTTCTACCTGCCAAGCACCAGCACCTTTTATTTTATTTTATTTAAATAAAACAGACACATATAACCGATATTAAATATCAACCTCTCTTATACATAATATAAATATAAATGATTTTGAAAACTTACCATAGACTCCAGATACAATAAATGCCAAACATGACATGATGATTCCTTCTGTAGGACCATTTACATAACCAAGATAGAGTACACCAGTATAGTATTCCTCTACAGTCGAGAGGTAGAAGCCGACAACAGTGACGACCAGCAAGATACCAACCTGGCCAGTGTGGCCTAGACCGAGTGAGGCTGACTGGAGCAAGACAACATAGACACAGTTGAGGGCATCGCAGCCGTGGTCAAATAGTTCGCCGAGTGGGGAAGAGGTACCGGTGCGACGGGCCTGACGACCGTCTACGTTGTCAAATGTGGAGTAGAGCCATAGTCCGGCTGCGAAACTAAAGTAGATCCATGAAGGACCTTCAGTGCCAAGGTCAGGAACCCAGATCAAGATGAACACGACATTTATCAGCATAAAAAATAAACCGATCAAGGTGATTAAATTTGGACTACAAAAAGCACACACACACGGATGTATATATTGTATATTAATATAACTTTCTTTTAATAAGATTTGTCTACTTACGCTATCCATGTAGGAAAGAGAGTGATTGCCCAGTCCCAGTAAGGACGAAGGATATATTTTGTGACATAGGACTTGTCTTCTGCGGCGTACTTGTATAGTCTAAGGTTCTCAAGCTGCTCTTGGGTTGGGAACTCGGTATGTTTGTTTTTCCAGAGTGTCATGGCTGTAATATGTACAGGTATAATATAGGGTTGGGTATTAAAATAAATAAATAAATAAAATATATATAAAAAAATTAAAAAGCAAAAGTAAAAGTAAAAGTAAAAGAAAGAAAGAAATTAATCTGTTTCATAATTTAAAGCATCTTTATTTTTATTTTTTTATATAACAAAAAAAAATATTTTTTTTTGTCATTCAAGGTACACAAAAAGCAGACATCTCCGCTTGGGACAATACATGTATATATATATATATAAAAAAAAGGGTATTCACCATCTGGTTAGATTTTGGTACAATTTTCTTTTCTTCTATTGCTGACTATAAAAAATGCTGCCTATATATAAATATACAAAAAGCACTAAAGGAGTATACACTGAAAATGGATAGTATCTTTTTATATGTATATATGTATATATATATATATATATATATATATTACCATCATACGTGACATCGTGTGATAAACCCAAAAAACCCAATGTCATATTTCTATGCTTCCCTTTCATAAAGAGTCGTATCTTTCAAGAACAAAATATTACTCGTCTTTAAACCAAGGAGAAGAAGAAGAAAAGTTTTTTCATCTTACACTGCGTATTTAATTCGTGTCACTGTATTGGTTTATTTAGGTTGTACCTGCAAACATTAATCTTTTATATATCGCTCTCTTTCTCTCTCTTATTCTTACTTTACATACATACACTTTTGTATATAAAAATATATAAAAAGATACACTTTATCTATTGACTGCCAAGAATATCCATAAGAAGAGCATCTTATCTAACACACACACACATATATATATATATATATTCGTTTCTTTATTTTCTCTGTTACACCATGTCCTTATTTTGGGCACTAGTTCCACACTATCACAGAAACACAGAGACACAAAATAAGGAAATTGAAGAGGGCGAATGCGTACAAGAGAAAGAGAGAAGAAGAAGAAAAGGGAAAAGCTTGGTTGGGACCTGTCATTTGTGTTGAACAAAGTCAAGGGATTCCTGACCCAAGATACCCAATACAAAATTAAAGGCTGCGGCCAAGTAACAAAAGTAACTATTATATTTATTATGAAATAAATTCAAATATTTTGTCTTGAGTCTTATGTATCGATTTTTCTGTTATATTCTGATTCTGATACTAATAATGTAAGTATATGTGTGTGGTCCAGTATTCCCCTTTCTTGGAAATTACTTCCTAAACTCTATTTCTGGAATACTTAAAAAGCATATATATATTTAACTGGGATAAATAGTAGTAACTGAAACCGGGAGCATTAAATAAGACATAGACATACTAAAATAAAATAAGAGTAAACCAAACATTCTATCACACCAAAATCGTGCCGAAAAATACTCTTTATATATAAATTCTCTAATAGTGTTAATAATTACTTGCTTACATGATTATGTCACTTTTATTTGACTCATCAATCATAAAAATATAACAGATTTTCGTTTTCGTTTTACCATTTGTTTTATATATGTAAATATGCATGCATTTTAAGCATGACCTGATTTTAATGAACAGAAGATCCAAGCCATGTGTGATATGTATATGTGTGCATTTATAGCCCATGTAGGATTCTGTAATACTAAATAAATAAGTAACTAGTGGCTTTAATATAATACATTCTAAAATTTACATTTTTTCTTCTTTGCTGCGGTTTCTTAAAGGTAAAGAATACTATGATTTATAGTAAAGATACATATATTGATATTTAAGGGAAGTGCGATTTATTGCATAATTTATCATGCTTTAGCTATCCTCTTTTTCCCTTTCCTTTAATTATCGTATATTCTTTGAGTTAGGCACCAAGTACAAGATTTTTTACAGAGCCGTATTTAAAAGTAACATAACCACAATAAAGTACATCTTCCCAACTGTTTAATGACAGTTGCTTCACAAGTTCCTGACACTGGTCTTTGCTATATTGTTGGTGAGGCTTATAGGAGAAAGTACGGAAATATCTGTCAATCTTCTCTGCTTCTTCACCTATCTTCTGTGAGCATAAATAGACTAATCTACAATCAGGCCCAGGTTCGGCCCAGAAACACGCCCACACGTCTTCTGTAGGAATTTGAGGACGACATATTGTTTTCTCTATCTTCTCCTTTTTTTTTTAAAAAAAATAATAAAATAAAATAAGTTTAGTTTGGTTTAAAGAATATGGCTTTTATACTTGTTAATACTACATATATACATATATATATATATATATATATAACATATACACACTTACCACTGATGAAGGAAAAAGAAATATCTCAACTTTACAATGTTCATCGCAGATATCATATAGAACACTTCTAATATGAAACTTTGTAAAGTGGGTTGATGACATATCGATACAGCTCTTTTCATTTATACCCCTTTCTGATTCTATTATATTTACGCGATCTAGTAGCATGTTTTTCAAATTATTGCAGAGCATGGAAATATAGGTGAGTGTCTTGGTAAAAACACTCGCATTCAGAAGTGATATATCCCGCAGTTCATGGCTAATTAAAGTAGTAGATGAGTTTGACTTGTGTAAAAGTGTACCGCCAGTAAATTTAATGGTCTTTAACGACGGGCAACTTGCAAAGACGATATTCAGTAAGACGCTGACTCCAAAGACGTCGATATCAAGGTCAACTAGGCGAGGATAATAGTCAACGCCATTGCAAAAATTAAAAAGATTTGAGCAGCCTCTAAAGTATGTAATCGAGATTTTTTCCAATGTATTTGCCCATGGATCTGCTGTTAGCGGCGCACAGTCTGTTGGTGAGTTGTTGAGGGCCCATCCAAAGCTGACACATAGCTCGATATTCTTGACTGGAATATCAAAAACACGAAGCTTGTTTACAAAATCACGATACATGTATGTACAAGTGGCTTTTACAGACATAGAAATGCTCTCCAATTGTTGCAGGGGACGCGGAAGTTCGGCAAGCAATGTCAGTGCCTGAGAAGTCGGAGGATCGACACCAGTGGGCCGTTGAAAATATATGGTTTTAATAGTACTGATATTTGGATACTTGGCAGCAATGTAGTACATCCATTCACACGTATATTTTTCTATATCTATTTCCAATGTTTTAAAACAGGGCCTGGATTTCACGTTTTTAATTTGCAATAGCTCGTCTGGACTCATATCATCCAGATGAGCACTGAGTGAGATGTACGTCAATTCGGGTAGTTGGTCATTAAGGAGCTCAAGATCATCAAACGTGTATGTAAAAGAGTCTGTATTTGACGTATGAAAGTATAGCCGTTTCAGCTGGTGTAGATTCGAGCATATTAAATTTAAGGTGTGTCGTATTTCAATTAAATCATCGCTTCTTGAGGTTATCTTGAGAGATGTGAGACATTCCGCCCACAAAGTCCAGCCACAGAAATTGATAGACTGAAGTTGGCAGACACTTGTATAAGCCCAATTGAAGCACCTTATGTATGGAAGATGTTGTTGCAAGCTATAAAGCTGCCGCTCATCTAGGTTATTATTACGGATGTCAAGAGTTCCAGTTCTATGACCATATCTTTGAAGAAGTCTGTTTGCCGAACTGTTTGTATCAACCAAGGTCCTGACACCGCATCTGTTCTTAACAAATACTTGTTTAAAAAGCGATTCCTGAAAAGCCGGAAGCCAGTCTTTGCAAACCAGACAGCACTGAATTTTATCCTCGAGTTCAAGAAATTCTGCAATAGATAGCGTAATTTCGACAGGTAATTCTGATGCCAGCATGATGAAGGAAATGACTTTACCCTTTTCTTGAATGGAGGGTTATCAAAGAATAAAAATAAAAGAGAAGATAAGAGAATAGAAAAATATTCTTTTTGAAAGAACACATTTTTATAGCTGGATTTGCAAAGCCTTATATTTACAAACTAAGGGATGAAACAAAACTTAAATTCCAAAGCCTTGTAATGCGTTTGACAAAAAAAAACATGACAAAAACAAGGATAATCGCTAAACCCTCTTACAATAAGATCCTTTAACTACATGTATGTTATTCTTTTACAAGATATGCTCATCATCTAAACATCATTTTGATTTAGTGGTTTATACTCAATATATTGATTATGTAATCAGCTGGATTTATGTATTGAGTGGAAGGTGAGTGTGGTATACGGTGCCAATTTTTTCTGTATTTTCTTTAAGTCTTGGTTTACAGGATTTCCACTCCAAAAGTTATATATTTTTTTCAAACTATATATTTTGCAAAATCAAAACTTTCATTTTGTGCTCCGACTATATATAAAAAAAAATCAATTTATTTCTTGGCTATTTGTACATTGGGGGAAGAAGCTAATGCTATGATCAACCCAGCCTTGGCAGTTTTCCATAGCGATATGGCGGGAGCACTCAGCAATATACTCCAAGAATTGACCACATACCAACCCGGGCTTTCTCTTGACCAGTGTTTTGAGTTTGGAGAAGCACTCTTCAATCGGGTTTAGGAAAGGAGAGTATGGGGGGAGAAAGTGTAGGTGGTGTCGTGAATTAGCAAACAATTCAGTGACAAGGTGGGATCCATGGATCGAGGCATTATCCATAATGAAGTTGTGAGGGGCAGCATTACTGTGGTCGAGCGAATCCATAATCGTCTTTACAAATTCAACGAAAATTGGTCCTGTCGTGCCACCAGGGGTCAACTTCGCCTGCACACTCTCAACACCTTGGTAAGAAATACCGGCAAGAATTGAGATGTTTAGTCCCCTTTTCGACTTCGTCTTCACAATGCTGGCCTCGCCTTTCTTGGATCACCCTTGTCCTCTGATCAGGCTTGCATTAAAGCCTGCTTCGTCTACAAAAATGCAATTGGTTTTATACGATAAACCATTCGTGTGCATACTGTCTACGTATACTTTTCTCAGCTCAATAGTCTTCGGGTCGTTTCTTTTTTCCTCGACCGGCTTGGTTCTCTTCAATGTGAACCCAATGTTGTTGATAATGTGCTTATGTAAGCCACTGATGCTCAAGTTCTGCTCTTGAAGCTCTGGAAATTTTCTAAACAGTTCCTCTCTCATTTGACCAAGAGTCAAGGTGCAGCATTCGTCCAAGAGGTCTTGAATGAACTTCGAATGCTCATCGGTTATCTTAAGACTTTCCGCGCGCGAGCCGCCTCGCTTCTTGGGCTCTACAGTAGCATCCCTCTCGAACTTGGTGATGATGTTGTTAATCGACGCCCATGAGACACCAAATGCCCTGGCTGCTTCGGCTCGGGTCATGGACTCTTCTATATAACATTTCTCCACAATCATGTTCTTGATGTGGATCGGAAGAACCTTTTGTGGTCCATTTTTCTTTCTTCTCTTAACGATAGCGATTTGATTGGGGTTCATGTTGGAGGATTTGAGTATAGAAAAAGATAATAGATAAAGACAGTTCTCAAAACCATATTACAAACTTAGCATTATATACTTTTCTTATAACAATATATTGACATTGCATGTTTTCTTATATTGTTTTTAATAAACAGTGTAGACATTCTTTAAATACTTTATCGCACATATTAGCATTCTTCATGCTCTTTATTAATTTGCTTTAAATTTCTTTCTATCCGCATTAATTAATTTATTTTTTTCATATATAGTCGGAGCACAAAATGAAAGTTTTGATTTTGCAAAATATATAGTTTGAAAAAAAATATAACTTTTGGAGTGGAAATCCTGTATATGACACTGTGACTGCATAAGATTCAATATTTGGGATTTTTCTTAAGTTTGCGGACATTTAATTCCATTTTCTTATATCGGTGTTTGAAATATAAAAATTGGCCCAAAATTCAAAATTCCTGATTTAAAAGAAAATACACCATAAAAAAAACAAATTGAACTTTATATTGTCTTTTCTTTGACGCTCATTTGAAACACAATTTTTTTGCAGAGCCGTATTTAAAACTAACATAGCCTTTAAAAAGTATTTTTGCCCATCTACTTATTGAAAAACCTTTGAAAATCTCATAAAGCTGCTCCTCAGTGTATTCTGCACGAACAGTTCCTGGATAGCTACGGAAATACGCACTGCACCCCTTCGATTCTTCCTCTTCTAGCTTCAGTGTTATTGAGTGGAATTTTCTGTTTTTTATCGAATCATTGTATGAAGAGTACACCCATATGTTTTCAGCAGGAGTCTGGTCAAGTCACACATATATCCAGTTTTTTTTAAAGATTAATATCCCGTATTTCATATTGTACCTCTTATATTTAAATATATATATATGTACATGCACTTACCAATGATGAAGACACAGAAAACAAAGCAATTCTATCTTCGTTAAGGATGTTAATAAATTGAGTACTTTTAATATAAAGCTTTGTAAAATGGGTCGATGACATATCGATACAACTGTCTACAGAATTTTTCTGTCGTGATATTGTTATATCTACGGTTTCGAGATGCATGGTGTTAAGATTTTTGCAGGATATTGAGAGCTGGTTGAGTGTAGTTGAGGCAACAGTAATAGAAATGAGTGATAAACTGGACAGCCCATATTCCATTGGTAATAAAGAAAATTCTGGACGAGAATTAAGGACACCGTCGGTAATGGCGAAAGACTTTAATGCTGGACACTTTTCTAGGACGGTATCCAGCATGACAGTAGCTCCTTTGACGTTGATATCGAGATCAACTAGTCGAGGATAATACTCCAGCTTATCAAACATGCCAAAGTGTCGAATATCTTCTTGAAAGTATACAATTTTGATTTTCTCCAGCGTATTTGCAAGTGTTTTTGTTAATTGTAGCATATCGTTTGATGATCCGGTGTCTCCCGAGGAATTATGTATATTAAGATCAATTGTCTTGATATGGACATTAAAAAGACAAATTTGACTTATAAAATCAAGATAAATCTTCTCTGACGGAGTGTTGGCATGGACAGAAATGTTTTTCAGATTTTGAAAGGGACATGGAAGTTCGGCAAACAATTTCAGAGCTTGAGAAGTATGTAAATTAGCTCCGGACTGAGAAAAATCAAGGCGTGAAAGTGTGTTGATGTTTGGATACTTGATAGCTAGGTAATGCAGCCAGTTATAGGTAGTGTTCTTGATATCCATTTCCAATGTTTTTAAACAGGGTCTCGGCTTCACTTTTTTAACCTTAAGTAATTCATCAGGACTCATTTCGTCAAATCGAGCACTAAGCGAAATGTAGGTCAATTCGGGTAGTTGGTCGTTAAGGAGTTCAAAGTCGTCAAAAGTGCAGGTAAACAGTGTTTTAAAGGGTATAATGAATTTAAGCCGTGTCAGCCGACGAAGATTCGAGCGTATTGAGTTAAAAGACGTTGGTGGTATATCGTAAGGGCAGAATTGCATAGTTATTTCGAGATTTGTGAGAGATTCTGCCCATAAATTCCACACATCGAAATAAGTAGGTCCCAGTATCCTGACACTTGCATCATTCCATTTGAAGTGTTTGAGATTAGGAATATGTTTTTGAAGGGTAAAGAACCGTCGATGACTCAGTAAAATATTCTTTGTGATGTCAAGAGTTTGAGTTCTGTGACCATATCTTTGAAGTAGTTTGCTTGCTGAACTGGTTGGATCGACCAGCTTGTTGACACTGGCTTCAGTCTGAATAAGGAGGGTTTCAAAAAGCGATTCCTGGAAAGCTGGGAGCCAAGCCTTGCACACGAGACAGCACTGAGCTTTATCGCTGGGTTGAAGAAAATTTGCAATGATAAGCGTGATTTCGAAAAGTAATTCTGATGCCAGCATGATGTAGACAATGACTTAAGAATTTTCGTGAGGAGGTGTTTATGTTTGAGAAGAAAAAAAGAAAAGATGAAATAGGAAATATTTTCCTTGAGGGAGTAAATCATCATACTTGTGTTGGAGGTGGATTACGTATATCCACAAGATGTTTGTTACAGCAAAGCTTAATTTCTAAACTTTGTGCTGTATCCAACACATGCGTAGATTAAAATAGAGCGCACAGACATTCAAGATAGAGATATATTGGATAAGCGACCATTATCTTCAATTATACACCTTTTCTCATACTATCTTTAAGCAAAGAATATACTGAGAGGGTATTTTCATGAATTTTATATGAAAGCAGAAAGATACTTCTTATTTTTTTTGTTACTTTTCAAAAAACACTTCCAAAATTTAAAATGCCGCCGTAAAAATACTAGTATTTGACGTGTGCTTGAAAGGGGCAATACTGATAACAGGGTCACACACTTTAGTCAACAACACTTATGGCTCAAACAAAAGTGTGTATAATAGCTTGACAGTATCTTATCAATGATAGAGAAAACAGATCTTAAAGCATATATTCATATCATCATTTTAACTGCACAAATTGTCTATATAAATGCAAAATACGAATAGCAATAAAAAAGTCATCTTTCTCTTATTTTTCTAAATAAATCGAGCTCTCATTATACTCCTGTCTGCACTTTGTTCATATTTCTTAAATTACAACACCTTGTACACTTTCAGCAAAATATATGATTGTGTGGTGGTCGCCAGCGCTCACGGTTAAATATCAGGTTAATTCAACCTGATATATTTGATCAAAAAAACTGTTTTATATATAGTAATTTATTCCACTCCGATTGGATATATTTGTAAAGTACCTGGTCAATTACACGGTAAGAAATACCAGGTAATTGACCAGGTAGCTGAGAAACGCTCTAAAATTAGTACTTTTATGTCAAATAAGAGTATACAAAACAGCCATAATTATACGGACTATTTCTCATAAGAAAGTGTAAAACAAACCACTTCCAGAATATAGGTACCAATAAAGCATTTTAGTAAAATAAAATACAGATTATGAGCTACAGTCGGGACTTTATATAACTCATTATTTTTGGTCAAGTTAACCTGATATTTAATTGCGTACACTGGCAGACATCAAAAGAAGAATTGATATGTTTCTAAGCTTGCTATTTAACTTTGCTAGAAGTATAAGGATTATTTAACTGATAGTTAGTTTCCTTACTGTTAAAAATAACACATTCAACCATATAAATCAATAGTCATAACGTTCTAGAACCCTAAACATAGCAATGAGCACACTTTTAATATAAGTAAGGTAAACTCTAAAAAAAGAGATAGAGAAATATTTTTAGGATTTTTGGTAAATAAAAAGGGGAGGCTGAAAACCAATACTTGGTGTAAGTAGCTCAATCTTTAGTTTTCATTTTCATTTGCAGTTGATCAATTCTATAAATTAAAGAACTATCAGGCCTTAAGTGAGCACTTCAACAATCCAATTAAGATCTATATAGAATATTAATGAATAGAGTGCATTAATGTATAGCTTGACAGATTGAAGACTACTTGGATCTGTATACATTAAGCTGCTGCTGGATTCTATACAAAATATTATCTAAAGTATTGAAGATCAGTACCCCTACAGAGAGTAACACGCCGAACCTTATCCGATCTCAGCAACATTAAGGCTTAAATCCCACAGAATTTATAGACCCATAACTTGAATCTAGCTTGAATCTGGATCAATTACTTTAATATTTTTATCTTTAGTCTATGATTATACAACGGCTAATACAAAGGACATCAGCAGTAATCATAGCTCATCATTGACTCTGATTGAATGCAGATTTGACTGTGGGTAAAATAGACATTGTACATGTGCACAAAAAATGATGACAAATTTTTTTAGTTACATTTAATTTTATATATTAGAATATGCGAATATGTACGATCGAGATACACAATAGCACATTTGCTCACTTTAATAGCTACATATTTGTGCTCTTTATTATATTATATTATATTATATTATATTATATTATATTATATTGTATCTTGAAGAAGAAATCAATTGTAGACTTTCTCTTTTGCTAGTAAAAATCAAATACCTAAATTCAAAAAATAAAATAAAAAAATATTAAAAGTAAAGGGTGGCTCAGCTAGCAGCCTGAACAATGGGAAATCATCAGTCGTTTTTTTACCAATGACTATTTTTTGTTTAAATGAAATCAATATCATATATATTATTACTCTTATTATTATCTATATAATATTTAATATTGATATAGAATACAAAGAAGACATATGTACATATATATAGAATTGCCTCAGAGCCAATGGGGTTGGATCGATCTTCGCAATAGACCGGGTAAGTCCATGAAGAGCACCATAAACACACAGAGTAAAACGATACCCGTTACCAAGTAGAGTTAAAACTAACTAATTTGGGTTGAAACACAAATGCCATAAAAAGAAACGAAAAGTTATCAAATTCACAGACGTTGAGAGATTCAATATATATTGAACAGCCTACGACCATGTCATGCAGACCACAAATATACAATTTCTATACTAAGGTCTTCTTTCCCAAAGCAAACGTAGTATTCCTTTTCCAGATAAGGATGTTATATGAGTGCTTTCCGGGGATGGCTGTCTCTTAGCAACATATTCAACAACTTATACGTGTACTACTCTAATCCGCATTTTTAAACTGACAAGTTCTCTAAAATAGACATCGTATGTTATGCCACTCAAAAGATCCAATTATTATGGATGCACAGATGTCAACATGCAGGTACAAGCTTTGTAAGAAAAGCAAGCAAGTAAAAAAAAGTATAAAAGATAATTAACAAACCAAATTGTGCTCTTTAGTCCACTCAAACAGTTCCTTTCCTTTTCATCTCCCTTCCCCTCCCTTCCCATCCCATCCTATCCCATCCCCTTCCCTTTCATAATGAAGCGACGCTCTTTCTCTGTCATTCCCCTTTTCGCAGCCGGTATCTGTCTTGCTGTCCTTGTTTTGGTTGCTCCCTCAGAAGCCATCTCCCATCCCAAGTACAAATTATCTGGCAATGACATTGTCCCAAACCGTTATGTCGTAGAATTTGATGAAGGAGATTCCAAGTCTGCCAACAGCTTTGTTCATTCAGTCCAGAGCAAGTTCAAAAAAGCCAAACTTCACATTGCCCAGGAATTTGAGCACAATCTCTTCAATGGTATCTCTTTTGGCCTCAATGGTCTTGATGAAAAGGATCACACCGAGGCTCTCAAGTCTATCTTGGATAAAGACAATGTCAGGGCAGTTTATCCCGTCAGAGCCATTCCACGCCCAGAGGTTAACTTTGAAAAGGCCTCCACCAAGGATAAAACACCTACCCTCCTTCCCCATGCCATGACCCAAGTCGATCGTGTACACTCTGAACTCAAGAAGTTTGGTAAGGGCATCAAGGTCGGTGTCATTGATACTGGTAAGCATCTCCTTCTTCTTTCCTTCTTTTCTTAAAAAATAGAGATCATTATTCAATATAATACTTAATGCACAAATTCACGATATTGTATAATTAGGTATCGATTATCTCCATCCTGCTCTGGGAGGTGGTTTTGGTAAAGGTTTCAAAGTTCAGTATGGCTACGATCTTGCCGGTAATGCCTACACTGGTTACAACAATCCTGTTCAAGATTCCGATCCCCTTGACAGCTGCACTGCTGAGTCTGGTGCAAGTGGTATGCTTATCCCTTGATTAGCTTTATTAGTTATAACTAACACAACAATTCAACAATTAGGTCACGGAACACACGTCAGTGGTATTATTGCTGGTTATGATGAAAAGACAGTAAGTATTCTTCATATACTACTCGAAAGTAAAAAATAATAATACACACAGTTGACTCATTTAAAACTCTCTAGAACTTTACTGGTGTTGCTCCTCAAGCCACTCTTGGTATGTGGCGTGTATTCGGCTGCAAAGGATCCGTTGGAAGTGATGTTCTCATCAAGGCTTTCTTGATGGCCTACGATGCTGGTATGGACATCATCTCTGTATCCATTGGTGAGAAGAACGCCTGGAGCAGTGGCCCTGATACTATTGTTGCCCAACGTATCGCTGAAAAGGGAATTCCATGTAAGACAAAAGTGATCTTTTAAAATTAAAAAATAAGAATAAAAATAGCCATGTGTTACATTAGACCAAATTACTAATCCTTGTTGCATTAATTCATTCATGATAGTCATTATTTCTGCTGGTAACGCTGGCAGTGAAGGCGCCTTTACCGTTGGTATGCCCAGTACTGCTAAGGATGTCTGGTCCATTGCATCTGTTGATAATGATTTCCAATTGATGAAGAAGTTCAAGGCCAGTTCTATCGCCGAAAAGCTTGGTAAGTCTACATTTTTTGTTGCTATTGTTGTTATCCACTGTAAGCAGGATAAGATCACTTATTTCCGCTTACATATATCTAGGCTACTCAACCTCATCTACTAAGCTGGTTGACGGTGAAATTGTTATCGGTGACAAGAATATTGGCAGTGGCACAGACGCCTGTAATCCTTCTAATGTTCCTGATCTTACCGGGAAGCTTGCTCTTATCCAACGTGGTGGTTGCACTTTTGACGTAAAGGCTGCTAGTATCGCTGGTGCTGGTGGTATTGGCGTTATTATTTATAACACAAACAACGGCGATGCGTTTGTACCCTCTAACCCTAGCGCTACTATTCCCGTTGTTGGCATTTCTACAAAGGATGGACTTGCTATTCTGGAGGGTATCAAGGCCGGAGTTGAGACCATAAAGTTTGACAACGAGGAAGCTTTATACCCTGTAACTACTGGAAATCTTGTTTCTGACTTCTCCAGTGTCGGTGCATCTTATCAGCTCGATCTTAAGCCTAACATTGCTGGTATTGGTGGTCGAGTTTTCTCTACTCTTCCCCGTTTCCTTGGCAGCTGGGGTATAATGTCTGGTACATCAATGGCTGCTCCTTACGTTTCTGGATCTGTTGCTCTATTCATTGAAGCAAAGGGTTACAAGAAGAACTCCCAGATTATTTCCCAGCAATTCAAGAACCATGCTCTCAAGCTTGTCCATGCCAAGGGTAATAGTGCAATCCAGAGCCCTCTCCTTCAGGGCGCCGGTCTTGTCCAGGTTTACGATGCTATTGCTGGAAAAGTCCGAGTCTCTCCTACCCAGATCAGTTTCAACGACACCTCGTCCTTTGCCAAATACAAAACCCAGACCTTGACTATAATTAACACCGGAAAGGCACGCACTACCTTCAAGGTTGTCAACGAGCCCTCTATTGCCGTTGCTCCCTACAACCGTACAGCCCAAGGATATGCTACCCTTGCCCCCACAGGTTTCTCCAATGCCAAGGCAAAGCTTACTTTCTCCAAGACATCTGTTACCCTTAACGCTGGTCAAAAGACAACTGTCCGTGTCACTGTTATCCCTCCCAAAGTTAACCCCAAGGATCATATTATGTATGGTGGTTACATTCGTTTCAAGGCCGGAAACCAAAAGACTGCTCTTGATGTCACTGTTCCTTACTTTGGTGTCGTTGGCAAGCAGCGTGACCTACCTCTTTTTGATAAAGACTATCCTTACCTCTCTGATCCCACTGGTACCCCAGTCTTCCTTAAGAACCAGACATATACATATGATCGTTCTAATACCAAAACCACACCCACCATTGTATACCGTCTTCTCACCCCAACTGCCAAGTTTGATGTCGATGTCTTGAATGCCAAGACCAAAAAGTCAATTGGCAAAACCTTGACTGATTCCACATACATTCCCCGTAATACATTTGCAACCGATAATTTCATGTCTGGTGTCTCTTGGGATGCAACCTATGTTCCATCCTCAATCTCAGATATTCAAGACAAGGTCCCAGTTCCTTCTGGAACTTACATCCTCAACTTGAGAGCCCTCAAACTACTTGGCAATCCCAAGGACCCCAAGGACTGGGAGACTTACCAGACTGGACCTATTGTTGTTAAAAATTAATTTATTGACTCAAGATCAATATAGCAATATACATCTGCTACTTTGTATAATTATCTTATTTATTTATTTATAACTATTAAAATCTCAAATACAAAACCATTAACATCAATTGCGCTCTTACAAAAAAGAATGATTGTTTAAAACTTCAAAATGTGCACAGAAACTTACCGTATTTTCGGATCGTATTTACGGAATTATCCTTTTCTGTAACACTCGCACACGCACACACACACACTCACACACACACATACATATATATATATATATATATATACAGAAGCACAAAACAATATATATTTCCCACATTCACACATATATTGTACATATTGCACATATTTTGAAATAGAGAAATGAGGGTATGACCAATATTATAGCATTTAAGCTGAACTTAATTACAGTTATAAAAGACGAAAATCTGAATATACACACGCAGTATGTACTCTTTTAGCGTTGAAACAAATCGATCTTTATTGTGCGAATCTATTACCCGGTACGATATTTAATACACATAGACGGCTATTAGAGCTATTAATATTGCCAAGTAGCTTTGCCTATTGATAATGGAGTATATCCAATAATTCAGGCACATTATGATTTCGGGTGTTCTTATCTTCCAACTAATTCAGCAGCATATATTGCAATAAAGAGCAATATATTATATTAGACAGAAAGGTGTACAAGCTATTTTTAAAATAGATTGTGTTTCCTTTTTTATAAGAGCACAGATCTTGTAGGTTATTGTGCAAGGTAAATGGAAGAATTATAATGATCAGGAACTATAGGTACTAGGACTTAACAAAGATATAAATATGGTTTTAAAGACCTTGGGTCTAGGATCAGCAGCAATTTTTACACCAGTTTATACCCTTAAAAGGATCCAAATGTTTTACAATATTTTATTTCACAATATGATCGACGTTGTGAAACTAATTTTTTTTAAAGAAAAAAGAAGAGACTTTTATACAGACTTTGCATATCTGTAAGCCTAGAAACCTTGGATATTAATACTTACTTTGTGGGATGTTTTATTTTAATATTCCATACAAAATATAGCACAAATAACGACATACGTCTGATTTCAGTATATAATATATTGTGTGAATTATATATCGCAAATTTATTTACCTACTTAGTATCTACTTTTGGAATTATACTCCAAAAGAAAATATATGCATTATCAACGTGGAAGGTGCAATTTTAATTATCAATTGGGTATTAATTGAACATTTTTTTTTAAAAAAAAAGGGAAGGAAAAGACTCTGATAGGTGCTGTGATCTGATTCAAAATCATTAGTCAATAAGATAGGTACAAAGTAATGATAATTTAAATAATCAAAAAGGTACATATCAATCTTGTCAAGAGTCTGACCTTGGGACATGTTGATAGTTATTCCAAAAATAAAATGGACTGTAAATTGGTAGTATTTGACCTCAATAGATATAGTGTGTTCAGCTGGGTTTAGCTTGATCTTTGGAACGAACATTATCTTTCCAGAATTTGATCCAGTTACAATATTAGACTTGATGATGTATCTGGAAAAATAATAACGTATAATGTGGGTGCTATCGAAAAGACTATTCTTGGGGTCAGGATTCCTTAGCAACATAATTAGATCTATTTTTATTAGGGTAGAGAGAATGCAGTGGTACAGTGGTCCCTCGATAATTTCACGGTCAAAGGAGGACTAGGTGCCTTGAAATTATCGAAGAATGAAATTAACGAATGAGGATGATATATTTTCCAATTGAATTATCCGGGATTGTTAATAGGTTAGTAGCTCAATATTGGGAAAGGTAGGTAATGTGAAAGTGTTATTTATTACAGAGACAAAATAATATTGATTTTATCTGTTACTATTAAAGTCTCTGTAGTTCAAATACCTGTTGCGTAATTGTTGGTTTACATTGTATGCGTGTGTAGTGTATATGCCCCTGGTGTGTAACAGTTCCGGGGATTGTTAACTTGTCAGATTCATTAACAATAAGGATCCAGTTTTTGGTGGTGGAGTCTGTTCTTCACCCAATTGTGGTATGTATATCACAAATGGGATGTTCGAGAACAGTTATTTAGGCTTGAACTGGAGGAGGTAAATCCTAATAAAGTGTGGTCTATGAGAATATGGGGAAGAAGAAGTTCGAGAGTAAAGTTGAAGAGGAGCAGAGAGAGAGGGGATCACTCTAATTGTTTTTTGTAGTAAACGAAGCCATGTGTCTTTTTTTTGTAATTGAAAGACAAAGTGTAGATTGTAAGTCATGTAATTAAGAGTATCTACAGTGGTACTATTCAAATTTAGCCTTATATAAAATATATATACTTTGGAAAATGTAGTTCAAAAGAAGAAGAATCAGCCCTAGCTATTAAATTTCTAAAAATATTTACTAAAATATTGAATATTTTATGACCTACTCTATAGATTTCCATTAATATTTTTTTAAAAAAAATTGCCTTCCTGTTTTAACCATTTTTTCTTCTTCTTTAAATAAAATAATATTATATAAAAATAATCAGAAAAACTCGAAAAAGTATGCTTACTACAAAGCTGATAATATTGAAAGTATTTAGTTTGCTTTCTTGCTAAATTATCATTAAAAGACAAAGGTCTAATAAAATCATCTTATGAAAAGAAGAGTGTGTTTGAAAATATTGGTATTTTTCAAGTGCTTCGTTTTTATTGAAAGTTAAAGTGAAAGTAAAAGTGCTACTGCTGCAGATTCTCTAATAAAATCACAGAGTTTTAAGAAATTTTGTAATTTTTAAAGAAAATTAAAAGGGGGGAGTGAGGGAGTGGGGGGAAGGGTAAGTTATGTGTTTATGAAGTCAAAGTTAAAAAAAAGTCTTGGGGGTTGGTTTTATAAAACGAATAGTGAAGGATTGATTATATGTTGAAATTATTTCTAAGAGTCTAGAAAAGCATTGGATTTTTTAATAAACGAATAGTAACGGGGCGATTTTTGGGTATTGACCAATTCTGAAAAAGTTAGGATATATTTAGATTCGTTAACAAAATGAATGGTGAAGGTATCTCCTTTTTGGCCTCACAAAACATCAAATTTATATGTAAAAAAAAACTAGCCCGTCTAATTCACTTTATAATAAAATCTAAAAAATTCTCTGAAACACTAAGGCGTTTCTGAAACAAATAGCTACCCCGTCCAACGAACCGGTTTGTAAATCACCAAAGTTTTCCTAGCCGTGGTGATATTTTTTGAAACACTTGATTACCCCTAACCAATTATTTTATAAAGAAATATAAGGTTTTTCTAAAACGCCCCTCTTGCATGGACTGCATGACTTATCTGCACCTCACTCCCCCCTTTTAATTTTATTTTTTAAAATTTATGAAATCTTTTGAAATTCTGTGATTTTATGAGTTTTCAACAGTAGCACTTTTATTTTAAATGAATTGGGTACTGATACGCTACACTAATATTTGAAAATAAACCGAGTTGCTGCCATTGCAGTTTTTGCACATTCAAAGACTAGAACTAGAAGAATTTCGTACAAGCACTACTTATTTTTTTTTAACTTCCTCGTCTTCGGGTGGACAGTTCATTCAATAAACAACACAAAAAAAATATTTGAAAATAGTTGGTATAGGCAGACTAAAAGTTCAAAAAAAAGGGCAAAAGAAAGAGCGATTTTTTAATCGACTCTAAATAGCTAGTATTCCTCTATTGTCATTTGAGTTAAGAAGAGTATGCCTTTGATAAAATCTATGTGCTATAGGGTGCAAGATCTAGGATAGTTCGCAATAAAAGATTCTCGCTCAATGACAGAAACGGTATTATAAGCACAATTTATTAAAAGTAAAAGTGCCCCAAAAACATTGAAAAAGCTAGAAAACCCTCCAAACAAATGCTGTGATCACTCTTTTGATTATCTTCTTTTGAGTATCACCAGACCCCCCAAGCCTAATAAAATGCTTCTTACAAACAAAAAATAAAATAAAAGTGCTACTGTTGCAAATTCTCATAAAATCACAGAATTTCAGATTTCATAATTTTAAAAAATAAAAATAAAATAAAAAGGGGGAGTGAGTTGAATATCAGTCATGCGGTCCATGCAAGAGTGGCGTTTTAGAAAAACCTTATATTTTATGTCGTTCCTAATACAATACTTGTTGCTTCCGCTTCGGGTTACAAAGTAGCACTGTTCTCCGTAGTAGAAAAATTGAATTATGTATATGAGTGCTGGCATGATGGTGCCTTGTAGGCCTGTAACAATTCTTAAAGCTGTTGGATGTCAAGCTCCAACCAGCATGAGTTTTAACTTTGTTTGGCGAGTTTCCGAGCAAAACGGCTTTTGTGCTGGCTGCCAACCTCAACGAATGGGGTGAGATAGACTCACTAACACCCGCCTTTACCATATGAGATTTTACCCAGCTCGCTAGTGTGGATGGTCGAATACTTGTAGGTGTTCCTTGTTCAGATGACTTGTCAAGGTATGTCAAAAAAAGAGTATGGTCCTCTGGTAACGATTGACGTTTTTGTTGGGTACGCAACATAAAAAGATGGAACTCTCGCACTGCACACAATTCAGCTTTGTCTTCATGTAGTAAACCGAGTTTTGATGTCTTTTGTTGCGCTTCTTTTGGTTGTCTAATATACAGTGCGACCCCTTGCAATTCCTCTCTTTGGACAGATAAATGAGCATCGCGGAACTGTAATCGGCTTATATCGCTCCTAGGTCTCCACATTGTATGTATACATAATAGTAGTATTGTCTTTTTTTGCAATTCATATAAGCCGAGTGCCCCTGTTGATGACAAGACGTTGCGTGTGTAGATGATTAAGATATTAATATCCCACTTTCCAGTTGAGAATCCTTTGGGATAGCTACTTCCGATCTTATTTTTGCTTTAAAGAATTGGACCACCTCTGGGACGTCTGCTATTGGAGTGTGATTCGGATAAAGTACATTTAGAACTGGGGCGATCGCAGTACGGTATCCATCCAAGGTCGAGTAATATATATTATTGAATGCTAGGAGAAATTGTAGCACTTGTGGAGGACTGTACTGTTCTTGGTTGCGTTTGTGTATTGTACGCCATTCTGCGTATTTTCGCCAAGCTGTGCCATAGATCTTGTTGGTGCTGGATCTGGTAGCCTTATTAAGGTGGTTGATCATATCTACATTCATACCATCGGTCTTCCTTTTATTGTTGATCATCACCAAGCGATCAAACTCCATTTTCGATTGATTCCCCATGTGATTCATTCGTGGAAGCGTTGGGAACTAAAACTGACTCTTCCATAAAGGTGTCACCAGAATGGCTTCCTTCGCCTTGTCGAGCTTCATCTTTTAAAGTACTCTCGAAATTAATTTCCATGGCGGGAACATATACAAATCCTTCTGTTTCCAGTTTTGGCTGAAGGCGTCCACCGCACTCGTAAACGGATCCTCCCGGAAGCTCCAGTATTTCGGAAGTTGATGGGGGTGTGCTGCTGCAAACGCATTTATTTCTAGTATGGATCCCCATGTGCGCTGTAATTGGTGAAAAAATGCCCGAGGAATCGTTGATTCGTATAGAGGTTTCTTCGGCTGGCTCAATTGATGTGCTTTCACATTGAGGACCCCCGAGAGATGTTCGTATTATATTTGTAACTGATGCTGGTTGCATAGATCTTGTATCTTAACTGCTAAGTTTTGGAGAGCAAACGATGCTGTCCCCCCTGCTTTCGTCACGTATTTCAACGCTGCCATGTCGTCGCTGTAAATCTTGAGTGTGGTGTGTTTTAGCTTTCTCGAGTGTATGAGGATGGCGTAATATATCGTCTTCAACTCTTTCACGTTGATGGATTCGTCTTTTTCTGCGGAAGTCCAATACCCTGTGGTTTGCACCATGTCTGAGGCTACTCCCTATCCTACGTCTGAGGCATCCATGTAAATTTTCGGTTGGGGTTCCTGGAACTGTATCTTGTGAATAGACAGACCATTCTTTGGTACTAGGTAGGTCTTCCACCACGCTAATTCTTCTTGCGCTTGTGTCGACAATGGACATGGCTTGTCCCATTTTTTGCGGTTTAACTGTAAGTTCTTGACCAGGTATCTTTGCAAATGTCGTATATGAAGGAGGGTTTCTCTTATCGCCGGGATCACGGCCGTCATCTTTACCAACAGGCTGGCTATCCACCTACATGATCTGGTTGTTGTCTGCTCCGCTTGTTTTACACGTTGTAAAATCTTGCCTACCTTTATAGTGGGCAGTGAAATAGTCATCGTCTTTGTACTGAATGAGAAGTCGAGGTATTCCTGAATCGTCTTCGGCTCTAGTACATTCTTTTGACTGTTTATCAAAAAGCCTAACCTCTCCAGATGTGTTGTTAGGATCTGTATGGAGTGTTGCATCTGTTCCTTTGACTTCTCCAATACGCAGATGTCGTCTAAGTAATAAATCAATCGTAGCCCTTTGGCTATAAAGTGTTTGATTGCATATCTCATTAGTTTGGAAAAAATGTGGGGTTCAATACTTAACCCAAACGCCAAAGAAGTATATTGGTACACGATATTATTGTTTTCAAATGTCAAATATGGCTGGAAGTCCTTGTGTATCGGCACCACTACATACGCATCCTTGATATCGATCTTGCATATATAATCTTCTTTCTCGATGATGTCTCTCAATGCCGGGATACTCTCCATTTTGAAATGTTGGATTTGCAAGAATTGATTCAGTGCTGTAAAATTTAGGATTGGTCGACATTTGGTCGCTTCCTGGATGGTAAAAAAGGTGGAGAGAAAGTCTCGGTTCTGTGTAGGAGATTGTGTTATAATCCCTGCTTGTAGGAATTTTTCCACAGCAGTATCTACCGCCAACTGTTCGTTGGAGTCCATCTTCAAGGGTTTGGCTCACCATGGTGACAGAGTTCTGGTAAATTGCAATGTGTAGTCTGTCTCCACTACTGATATTGGTCACGTATGCGTTGTCATGTCTTTCTAATGTTTCTTGAAGTGTTGGAGCCTTCCTCCAGACAATATCCCGTCTAGTGGAATTGAGTAATGTGATGGTTTCTGTGTTGGGGGTCGATGTTGAATCGCTTGTTTGTCTATTGATGACTGCTGATAATGGATTATATTGAGAGTGTGTTGTTGTTTAGTGGTGTCAATTACTAGTTGCTGCTGTCGTTTGGGGTTGATCTGGGAGTGGACTCTTGGAAATTGCTGGGCTGGTGTCCTCTCGACAGTGTCCAGTTGCCTTGTCCTCTCCCTTTGTTGGATAAAAAAGGACGCCGTCCTCTATATCCATTGGTTTCCCTTCCACCACCTCTGCCTCTGGTGGAGTTAAATTTGTTGTGATTATTTGCTCGGCGGGAATCTCTAGTGATCCTTTGCTTGCAGGATTCTTCATAATATTGTTAGATGAATTCTTTATCAAAAGCGTATTTTTCTCTCCGCTTTCTGGCGTCTCCAGGTGTTTAAGGCTGTGTGGTAATCTAAGAGCCTTAGTTGTGTGCTCTCTGGCTTCAATCTCTCGCTGTCTGGCTGTACCGAAGCCGAAAACCGCAAGTCGGCGTGCTCTTTCCATGGTGTCATGGTAGAATCCTTCATCGTTTTTGTGCATACCTCGTTAAATGATGTATCGGAGGCTTTCGTAGATTTCAGCTGCTGCTCTCGCCTGAACTCTTGTAATTTCTGTAAGTTTGTAAATGGTGGAAACGATTGGTAAAGAATCAATTTTCCATAGCTTGAGTTGGGTGACGAAGTTTAGGTTTGTACTTTTGGGAGTGTTCCAGTCTTCCTTGTTGTATCGAGGGACTGACCGCTTGAACTTTTGAAGAGCCTTGACAAGCTCAAAGGAGCTGTAACCGTCCAATTCTTCGATAATCTCGGTGGGGATATCGAATCCTTTGCTTCTCTGTTCTGCTTCGCCTGATTGAGACTCTCTGACTCGTCTAGGCACGGCTGCAACAATCTCGTCAACTTGGGCTTTTGTAAATACTATTTGTTCCACATTTTTGTTGTTTTCTTGATCACCCATAATTTGTATTTACGGCGCGCGGCTTAGAAAGATCTAAGGGGAAAGGGGTAGAGAAAACATTTTATTTCTAATAATTTGCCTCCAAATGACCATTCTGAATTGCTACTGCCAGTTGACCCTTTGATCGTAGATTGCAAGCCATTCGTTGGAGCCCTCCAAACCGAATGTAAACGCCTATCTGACTTTGTAACAAACCGATTTCGAGAGGCATGCCAGGATCACACTCAATCTCCTCTTGTGCCTCTCCCTTTGCAAGCTAAACAATGTCGTTCCTTTTGAGCCTTTCCGATCAATCACATCTACCGGAATATATGGTATCGGGCTATACTTAATTCCCTGCCATGTCAGTACACACTTCACAGTCGTGCTCCAACCATCTTTGTCACTCCAAACTATCCCATTTGCTTTTTCGAGGTGTCCACTCTCTCTCATTTTCTCTACCAGTGCCCACAGAAATGGACAGTATGGGAAAATGCATGGATTAAATACTTTGGACTATCCCCGTCGACATTTGGTATCAATCGCGCACTATTCTCTCTGGAAATCCCTGGCCATTAACTACCTGTATTCCATGTCCACCTATGTCAAATAATTAGCCGCACCATTCTGGCCCTGTGGCGCACTCACTGGAGCTTTATCTTCGACAGCAGGCCTTTACAGACCTCTTCGATTAACTCAAATAGACACCCTTGTTTCGCACTTTTCCTCTGAATTAGACTTAACATAGGCTTCCCTTAAATCTCTATTTATATTCTCCCCAAACCAAAAAAACAATTGTGTTCCTTTCTTAACGCATAATAAATACAAGGACCAGTTCCTCTTTACAACAAAAAAAATCATATTAACTGAAAATAAAGCGTGGTCCAGAGAGCTTGTACCACTTCGGAATCTGAAGCGGAAGCAACAAGTAGTGTATTTGGAACGACACGATTTAGATGCTTGAATAGTTGTTTAAATAGTTGTAAGATGGAGAAATTGCGGGTTTATTTTTTTAGAAAAAATAAACCCGCAATTTCTCCATCTTCCAACCATTAAAGGGGGTGTCGAGTTATGATAATTTCAAGATAACTAAAAAAAAATAATTGCAAAACTCAATCAAAAATATAAAAAAAACTCAGACACAGTTATGGAGATTATAAGTTGACAACATTGATACTAAGAAATTTAGAGGATAAAGACCTTAATAAACTTGACTTTCCAAGGCTAATTTTATTAAGTAAATGTGAAGAAGAGGCTACTGGCTATCATATATTTTGTTTTGAAGTAGGAAAAATAAGCCCAATTTTTACTAGAAATTTAGTGAGCATTTGAAGTCAAAAATCAGGGAATCTCTAACTTTTGGCTTCAAATGCCCACTAAATGGCCTCCACCATGAAATTTGCGAAACAAATCTTGGAATTTAATTCGCCGTGTAGAATATTTTTTTTGCAAACGTTTGCAATTCAGGCTCGAAGACACCCTCTCTATTGTTTTTTCTTCTCATTCTTTTAATCGGATACAATATGCTAAGCACAATTTCATCAACTATCGACCTGCATTTAATATGGTAAAGCCTGCATTATTTACATTCATTTGTGCGGATTATGGTACAACCAATATTTAAACTGTCGATGTCATAAAACTGCAGACAGTCAAATAAATTCCTATGAGACTGAAAAAAAAACACGATCAACCTGAACCAAGAATATTGGGGTCTGGAAAACCTAGAAAGGTTGACGAGAGAATTGAAATACATAGCAACCCGCTGCCTCACACATGTTCAGAGTTTGCCCCGTTAAACCCAGCCCATAAGCCTAGCTTTTGACAGAAACCTACAAAAAAAAGACGGCTGGACTGGACTGGGCTGGACTTGATTGAACTTGACTATTCTCGTTCTCATATCAATCGATTCAATAGCCAATTGAAAGGGTTGTATAGTCTGATGAAGCGATATTTACAGTCAAAAGTAATGGTGGAAGAGCCAATGCTATCATAAGAGCTGTAGAAAATTAGAAGGAATATATATATATCTATTATATATCATCGAGGGAACCAAAGTAAGGGAAGGGTAGTGTGATGATCTGGAACTATTTTTACGGACCTTTGGTGCTCCTATATGACAACGTAAAGCAAGACTAATATGTAAACACTTTTTCCAGTCTCTGAACTTCCTCCCTTGGTTCCAAAAGCTTCTATAGAAACAAAACAGGGACTTTATTTTTTTAATAATAATAATACAATGCTAGTTACCATACCAGCTCTTATTCAAAGTGATGCAAAAGCACTTCATGATATCTGGGGGTTTTGACCACCGACCGGCTCAAATCCCAGATCTCATCCCTATTGAGCATCCTTAGTGGTGCTCTCTAGAGACGTATGAGTAATGGTTGGACAGGTATTAAGAAAGCTTGTAATTTCAGAGGTTGTAATGAAACAAGAGTGGCAAAGAATAGGTGCCAAACTTGTATTAAATTTAGTAGACAACTTACAGAATCTATATCAGGATGTAATTGAGGCCAAGGGAAATCACGCCAAGTATCGCTATTCTTGTTTTATATATGTCAGTGATAAATATGCATAGCATCTTATATTTGAAATTTGAAAGCTTTAGCTATTGTTCCTGATGGATGGTTTACCTATTGAATATGTATATATATTTTGCTTAGACTATTTTTTTGTTAGATAAAATAAAATATACTTATGTTCTAGCTTGAATAATATACATGGCACAAGTTTTATAGCAATTACACCACCAAGAAGTTATTAGTATATGTATATAAAGAATAAGAAGATGTAAAAGGCAAATCGCTTTATTTACACACATATTCCAAGAAGCTTTAAAAGACACCCATTACTTTTTTTTTGTGTATATCCTGTTTATTGGTTTCTATCAAAACACACCTTTCTTGTATCTCCAAATGCTGTGATTGAGGTAAATCTTCGATGTGCTTGACATGATCCTCGCCTTTAGTGCTTATTTTCTTTTCAGGTTTTGCATTTATTTTATCTTCTCTTGGTCGTTTGTGGGTTGTTAAAAATTCTGGTTAATTATTGACGCACCGATCCCGTTTGCTTCAATGGTGCTCTCAAAATGCAGAGATTTTTTCATGCATTGTTCCTTCATTGCCTTCTTTAAATAAACGATCTTCTCCTAAATATCTTTTTTTTTCATCTTTCATTTTGGTTTATTTAATATATGATAATTTACTATTTTTGTGTCCAAAGTAGCATGTCCAGGTATGAAATAGGACCTTACTGGAAAGCAATAAAACATCTTTACGTTGTTTAATTGACGTAATTGGGGGAGCCTTTAGAACGCTTTTGGAATGGTTTATGAAGTTGGTTTGACGTCGTAATATATAGACGATTGCTTAAACTTGTATTCTGCTGGGTACATTGAGATAAAGTTTTGAATTTGATTTGTACTTTTGGACGTCAGTATCCTCCCCCGACCAAAGTGAGGTAAATGCAAAAGAGCTGTGTCGTGACTTCGGGTATATTAATTCTCTCACTAAAACTATACACACACACACACATACAGTCTCATCAATTAAATGAAAGAAAATTTTAGCTTCCGCCAAAGTGAAAAAATAACATCCTTAACTCTCTCTTCATTGTTTGTCTACTTTTACTTAAGAAACCACTTTCAAAATCATTGGAATAAGAATATATAACCTTTAAATATTAAGAAAAATAATTTTTATTGAAAGTTTAATATTTAGTAACATCACCACGGGCTTTCTTCATATGGGCTATGCGAGTTGGCATAGACATGCAGTAGGCCTTGCATACTGCAACCGGTATTTTCTTCCATTCTTCATGGATAACCTTGTCTAGCTCCTTAATAGTTCTTGGAGCTGGTACTCTTGCCCTTACCATCCGACCCAAATGAGCCTATAGGTTCTCAATAGGACTGAGATCTGGGCTATTCGGCGGCCATTCCATTATTGGTACATTATGGGTCTTTTTCCAGTTCTCAACAAGTTTTGACTTATGACAAGGAGCATTGTCTTCTTGGTAAATAAACTCCCCGTCATGTCTTTCACTTAGGTGACCATAAAATGGGAGCAACTTTCTTTCCAAAAGGTTTATATAGCCAAATTGGTCAAGGCTGTTAATAATCGTTTTTAGTGGGCCTACTCCTCCTGCCCACACACAGCCCCAAACCATCACCGAACCACCTCCAAACTGTACTCTAGGCATGATACAATCAGACTTGAACTTCTCCAGAGGAAAGCGCCAAATTCTAAGGTTTCCATCCTTTGGGAAAACCATAAAGCGAGACTCATCGCTCCAAATCACACGATCCCATCTTTGATTGGTTTCTTTGCAACGTTTAGCAAACAACAATCGTTTCTTTTTATGTGTTCTGGATAGCCTTGGCTTAAACACAGGATGGCAAGAAGACATTCCGATCTTACGAATAGCTTTGCGGATGGTATTCTTGCAAATGTACTTGCCAATCATGAGTCTCATGGCGTTTGTGAGTTCTCCAAGTGTGGCATTACGATCTTTCTTCATTTCGTTTTTAAGCTGGCGTAAATCTCTCTCACCCAAAATTGATGGACGTCCTTGGCGTTTTTCTGTTAATGGCGTGCCATTCTGTTTCCATCTTTGAACTGTGCTATGTACAGTTGTCATGGGTATGCCTGTCTTCTCCGAAATGGCAGTCAATGAAATATTATGGAGAGCACCACCGATAATAAGTCCTTTTTCATAGTCTGAAAGCTCTTTTCGTTTCTTAGGAATACTTTTATTGATTTGCTGAGACATTGTGAGATTTGAATGAGAAGAGTTTTTAAAAAAAGCACAACAACTTTGCATTAAAGATGTTCTATTTAGTTGAGTTTAAACTTTTTTCTTTCATTTATTGTATGGGTCTGTATATATATATATATATAGCTCATTATTTTGTTTCAAAATGGAAACTATTATAATATCAGGTTCCATAGTGGTTTCTTATCTGATCATCAAACGTTACAAAACTCAATGGCTAGATTATATGTGGATGCGCATCCACGCACGACATCCCAGTGAGCTGGAATTAGAAAAAACACTTGAACAAAAAAGTAAGCGGGTCGATTATCTCCAAGAGTTTTTCTTTTACATGTAACATGTAGCATTATCATCATGGATGAATTCTTATTCACAGACACTTACTGTCCGTGGCCATCAACTTCATCATGTCTACGTCGAGAATCCCGGAAGTTCTCTTCTTATAATATTTATTCATGGTCTGGGTGGCCAGGTATCTCAATGGGAATCACAGTTGGAGCATTTTTCATCATATGCTAGTGTATTAGCAGTTGACCTTCTTGGTTGTGGTTTGAGTGAAGTGTCTTCAAAGTAAGTTTTTAAACAGCTAGCAATCTCAGACATTTCGAACTAAATTATCTAATATAAACACATCCTTACCCTTATCCCTCCAAAGATGGTCTGACTATTCAGCTGATTCGCTGACAAAGGATGTTTTGGCTCTTCTGACTGATCACTATTCCGCTGAACGCTTGGTACTAGTTGCCCACTCATATGGCTGCTCTGTTGCAACTCGTCTTTCACTTGATCATACTTTGAAAAAGCGTATACAAGCAACGGTTCTCATCTGTCCCAAGAAAGGCATGAGTGAGAAAGAAATCAAGGGTCAACGAATAATCGGTTGGATTCCCGATTGGCTCATGGATGGATTCCGCATGGGAGATCGTAAAAAATGTCTATATAGCAAAAGTGTTGAACGCTTTTTGGGTCCCAATGCCACTGATATACAGCGGGAGAAGTAAGACTTGTGGGTAGATAGCATTAAAGGCAGAGACTGTGCTTATGATTATTATTATTATCATGATAGACAATTTGAGTGGAATATCAAGAGTAAAACTACAGTTTACCGAAGATTCGCATACAATGCTTCATTCCCAGTTCAAGAAGAGTATGCAACCATTAGCAGCCCTGTTTTGTTGGTTTCATGCGAACAAGATAAAGTTGTTTCTCCTCAGGATGCAGAATATATCCATCGATTGATCGACAATAGTAAATTGCGTGTAATTGAAGACGTGGGTCATAATCCTATGCTGGTCCGACCTCAAGCTGTCAATACAATCATTTCAGAGTTTGCAGAATCTGTGGGAATTGAAGAGTTGGGATGTTTTTAAATAACGTAAAGATATATTTTTTATATTTAAATATTTTTACTGTAAAGTTAATGTAATTTACAAGATATACATAGTAATAGTATATTATAGTATAGTATAGTATAAATACTTTTCTCGCCTTGTGTGCCTGAAATAAAGTATATAAAAAGAGAGAGAGAAAGAGAAAGAGAAAGAGTGATAATACATAAAAAAAGAATAATAATAATAAGAATATTGGGATCACCATTCATCATCAAATACACCAGGTATAAATGTTGCCTCGGGTAAATTATCAGGATCACTTGTTCCATTTACAGGGCGTGTTGTATAAACAGTTCTCTCTTTACGTTCAACTGGTGCGTCTATTTGATGTAAATTAGGAATACTAAAGTAATTTGGAGGCTCTTCGCTGTGTGGTGTTCCTAGCATATAAGGTGACAAGGGTCCGCTGTTGTTGGTTCTATTATAAACAGGTGGTTCCTCAAGTTCAGGATCAAAAAATATAGGAGAATCACGGGAGTCATTGTAAGACTTGACTGCCATCAGCTCATTGATTCTTAATAGTTGATCGTTTGGCAGATTGGCGATTGATATTGGAATAGCGAACTCGGAGTGATGTACGACCTTGAACAAACCTCCGTAATCTACTGTCACTGTAATCAAGATATCATAATGGACACGTGTGTGTCGACTGACAAAGGAAGGAGAAACCAGACGAGTGGGTACAGAAAATGTTACATTTTCAGTTATGCTCGCCTGGTTGCTACTAGTGAGAGGAATGCTGCCTTGTACGATGTTTTTAGTGCTCTGCTGAAAAGCAGTTCCTGAAGCAACCATTAACTTTCCGTGATGATGTTTACGGAATTTGTAGTGAAGTGCGGTGATCTTTGCATCAGAATGTAGGGTGGTTATGTGCATGTTCATAGAAAATGGTTCATCTGGTCAAGTAAGTATTAGTTTTATAGTTCCTTTTGTTTGATTTGATTTGATTTGATTTGATTTGATTTTTTCTTTACCTGGACAGAATGCCTGACGCGCAATCTTGGCCTGTACTTCACACATGACTTGCTTTTTGTCTCTCATCAAGGTTGTCTTGTATGTCCACTCCTTGTCTAGCTCACCATCAGCTCAGTGAGCATAAAAGCTGCGTTATGTTTTTACCTGGTGGAGATACGAGGATGGGGCGGTAAGGTGTATTGTATTCCCTGCTCTTTAGACCCGATTGAAGAGCCGGTCCGTCTAACTGTGCAGTCCACACAAACCGAATCCTAAAACCATTCGGTTCATCCATGGAAGGTGGGAAGTTTACGTTTGGGAACTTTTATGTTTGATTCATAAGTATCATGCCATGATGCCTTATATTAGGAGTAACTTACTTTAAGTGCAAATGGAAACTCATAATGCCCAGGTTCAATTTCATCCCATCCAGACTGAACAATGACTACCAAAAAGGATCCCAACAGTATGAGATACCTTACTTAACCAATCCATTTACTACTCTTATGACATTTACCACTAGTTTCTGTTCCCCATAGTTTCCAATCGACCTCAAAGAATGTAGTTGCACACTTGTGGATTTTATATGTCTTTTCCTTTGTTTCATCCAATCGTACTGCCGCAACCTCTTCAGCCCTAAACTATGACAATTATGAACTCAGGTTCCATGGGAAGATCAAGGGGTTACCTTTATCCGAATTCTTGTAGCATACAAGCGATCAGATGTATGAAGTATCACTTTGCCTGTGCGATAGTATCTATGTTACTATCATGCTCCCCCTCTTTTTTTCTGGGTAATCTTATCATATCTTATAATTCGTGGCTTACCTCGAACAACACGATTTGGTCGTACGATAACATGATTCCCTCCATCAAACATGATCGACAATCCCTCTGTCTCATCGCTCATGTCATTCTGCAAAGTGACTGAGGGTGCGCTGGTGGACAGGTCAATAGACCTTGAGTATCTATGTGACTGGTATGAGCCAGCAAGGGAAGATACAGACGACGATTGTCTGTGCCTGGTTCTTGGTATCAAAAGATTGCTAAGAGTAGACGCACGCCTTGAGTCTGGCTGCTCAGAGTCAGTACTATAGCTTGCCATTAAATCGAAGTACTTTTTTAAAATAATTGTAAGAAAAAGGTAAAGAGAAAAGGAGAGAGAGAGAGAGAAGGGAAAGAAAGAAGGGAAAAAAAAGGTAGGGCTTTGGTGTCGTTTATTTTATGCTTTTTGGATTCTTCCATTTTATTATGTTTATTATGTTTATTTATTTTATTACAAACAATTGACATGGGATTGCTTATTCTGGTCACCTATATGCAAATTATCCTAAACATTGTTATCTTTAGCTCTATTGACTGACTATCATAATACAAAAGCTGTCCTTGCAAATGAAGTCTCAAAAACCAAATCTTTCCAAATAGATCATAGGCCAATACTAGCGACTACTTTAACTGTCTTTACGCGTGGGAGATGGGGATGTTTGGGTAAGAAATGGAGATTGAAAAAAAAAAGTCAAAAGAAGCCGAGTGATTTTGGCCGCAAATAAAAAGAAGGTATGGAAAAGCTTACTTAAGAGAGTATGTGTGTGTGTGTATGCTTAAGATCTGTGTTTTTTTTTTGTGTTCCATTGCAAGCGCAGTTGTAGGATTTCCAAAGGTAATTTAGCTAGCCAATGGTAACCTTTGTAGCTGTTTCAAAAATAAAAAAATAAAAATAAAAAATTGTACTGGGTTTTTTGAGCAATAAATGGCATTTGCCCTAAAAAACATCTCATAACCTGGAAATTAAAATATTATTATAATATGCCCCAGTCAAATAATAATACTAATAATAATAATAATAGTCCTTTCTTTCCTTAAAGTAATATAGTAAATTAGTGTTGTGTTATTTCTGCAAAACTTACTTTTTTTTGAGTTTTTTTTTACTGCTTAACATGACACAAGTCCTATACAAACATAGACAGGGATTGTACTAATAGGATCAATAGTAGGCCTATAAGCCATATACTTCCTGGATAAATGTTCTCTCAAATCCAACCTTGTACAATACTTATTCATTCGCTTGCTCGCTCGCTTGTTGATAAATATATTAAATAACGTATAAGAGACCCCAAAAGGGAAAGAAGAGTGTCTGCAATAGGAGCGCTACTTAGGATAAAAATTCAGGGGCTCAAAACTAAGGATTAAAAAAACAAATAGAAAACGTGGCTGTGCATTGAAACAAAACAGCCCAATGCTCATATCAATACAACAGAGATACAGACATATAGAAATACATATGGGCATATGGGCATATGTATGTAATGACTGGTGATGTGAGTACCACTGTGGTAAAATTTATAACAATAGAAAAAGAAAATTCCGTAAATATATTACAATTTTCTGAATACAAAATATTAACTCTAGTCAACAATCTTGATGCCGACTTTTTCTTTTGTTACTACTGAAATGACTAAGCCTTTAGTAAGACCAATTAGAAGCCTCTAAATCTCCCAAATAATCTTGCTTGTACCTTTATTAAAGCGCAATACAGAAGTTTATTGAATACAATAGAGGAATATCTAAAGCTTCTTTTTTCCTTTTAAAAAAAATGACCTTAAAAGATTCAGAAATTCTTTAGGTGATATCTGGTTTACAAGTTGACAAAATAAATTATAGGCATTTAACGAAATTTATAAATGTAATGATAATAATGGTAAAAGGAGTTTACATATTCACTTAATTATAATAATTATTATTTTTTAAAAAAAAAAGAGAGAGAGAGACTGCAAGATTCTTCTTTACAGAAAAACAGTACTCATGCCATAATTATGAAGCCTTTGAATTGAAGTTGCGATTATATTGAGTACAATCTCTCTTTCTTTTACAGGGATCATAAAAGTCAGTTTGAAAATCCTAAAACCTAAATATTAATTAAAGAAGCAGGTGTAAATAATGACTGGTAATGAATGTCTTAATATTGAGAGAGGGAATACTCATTATAGTACTCTTTATGGGTTTTACGTGGAGGTAGAAAAATACAGTATTAATTTATTGAAATAAATTTTGGTCGGAAAAGACTTGTGAATGGGAATGTGAATGGTTTTTTTTTTCTTAAGAAAAAAAAAAGATCGAGCCAGTGTTTGTCAGCAACCTCTAATTGGTGTTTCTTGGTAGGCCAATCACAATAGGATCCGATCGTTTCCATTAGGGACCAGCTACATTCACGCCTTTTCTTCCCGTAAAAAAAATACAGCATTTACACCATTGTAAAAAAAAAAAAAAGAAGCAGGATCACTTTACTAGGAACAATTACACAAGCTTTGTATGGGTTTTGAGGGCTGTTTTACGATCGAACATTGATTAAACAATAACTTTGCCTCTTAATTTTCTCTTCAATTCAACTCTTATGTATTTACTATTGTAGTTCAAAGGTAAAAGAGAAGAAGAAGGAAAACCCCTTTTTAAATCTCCCACTCTTGTCCCACCCTTTATTTTGTTTTATTTTACACAATGTTCTTTTAGCACCATATATATATTGTTTGCAATCGATGAAAAACACTCTATCCCCACTTTAACGTAGTACAAAGTAAAATATAATAAAATACAATACAATACAATACAATACAATAATAATAATAGAAAAATTGTTGGATTATTCATAAAATGTAGTGACTTGCTAAAAAGGCGTCTTGGGAAATATTTGGCGGTAAACTTGGCTGTAATAAGAATCTTCTTCTTGTTACTAACAGTGCTTTCCCGGAAGCTAGTCAGTTGTCATCTCACACGACAGACCCTCCAGAAAAGAGACATCCTCTCTTGGTCTCAAAGTATTGCCGATCTGAGAAACACGGCTAAATTACCCCGGAACCGTGCCATAATATCGCAATTGGGGTGGAAGGGTGTGTCGGAAGTTCAAGGAAGCAGTAATATCTCAATTCTACAAACATTGTTCAAGCTATAACGAAGCTATTGTCTTTTAGGCAGTTTGAGCTGTCATATCTAACATAATTTATAAGGCTTGGAATAATAATAGAAGGTTTATTGTAATAACACCTCGGAGGAAACCAAAAGAAAAAAAAAAGCCTCGATTACCACGTATCAATCATGTTCATATCCCTTTCCAAGAGCATCATGCTAGCATACTCACAGACCAGTATCAACAGTTCGTTTATGCTATAAGCTTCCAAACATTTAGACCGTTTTTTTATCTCATATTACGGCTATAGCCGGCAGAAATTGCCACCAAAGGTTTCAAGGTTTTTATTATTAGTTTTTCTACTGCCAATTTCGGTTGCTGTGGAGTATAGAGATCATCAGCCATTACTGTGAATGTAAGAATGTTTTGTGTAATGGGAGGACAGATATATTATCAATGGAATATTTTTATTTTGGTAATTCTCTAGCTTACTCCACTGCAATTTCGTTTCTAACTATAGTGTTACACGTCAACATGTAGCTTGAAGTCTTCTTTTTTTTTTTTTTTAGTTATGAGCTATATAGGAAAGAAGAACGAGCAAGATGTAATTCAATGTTTGGATTGTTTATATTTATTACTATTCAAACCCCCTGTTGTGTAATAGTTGGCTTATGTGGGTAATTATGTAATTGTACGTATTTGTCTGGTGTGTAACAACTCCTAGAGATTGTTAACTTTCCAAGTTAATTAGCGATAAAGGAACAAAAGTTTGTCTGTGGGGTCTGTATTCCATTAAATTATGATACTTATAACACAGGGATCCTTCTAAGCGTCTTGTCAATATTCCTAAACCTTCCGGGCCCTTTTTATCGGCTCAAATTGACTCTGTTTCTTTAACTCTCTTAATGATGTATCAAAAGTGGTCAAGCCTCATGCCAATTACCAGTGAAATCTGCTAAATACATACATACTGCATGTATACCTTTAGGGATAACTTTCTTTATATAAGCCACGAGTGATTTGGGATGAATAAGTGTCTTGTATATTGGATTTGATTAATAAAATGCAGAGAACAATGATTTCTACTTTTATGGTTTCTTGATTTTTTTTTATTTCTTTGTAAAGGTTAAAACTTCCTTGACAACTAATGAGCATACAATATGAATAACTCTAACGCTTATTTGATCTTAACAAGATTCTGGCTTAAAAATAGTAGGAGAATCTATCAGGACACCTTGACTATTATTATATCTAGACAATAAACAAAGTATATTGTGTAGGTGGTCAGTTGACCATATTTCTTACTTTGCACACATATTACCGGTGTTTCTTTTTATGTTTTCTTTAAAGTAATGGACATGAACTTCCTATATGACTTCCAAAAAAAAGACTTAATGGTTTAGGGGTTCTATATTTAAATTATAGAAGATATAAAAAGAAATCTGGGCCCAAGGTTATAATAAGTCAAATACAAGTTAACACATATATCTTTTTTTTTCACAGCTACTTTGTGTGTGTGTGTGTGTTGTTCATGACTATCATTAGGATATAAAAGTATGGCTCCTTTAATTTACAGAATAAATTCAACTACTCTTGCCTACAATTGATTCAATGGGTAAGAACAGTTAACCATTCTGTTGCTTTAAACATTAACACATTATTTTTACTTACAATTATTATAGGTAAATCACATGCACATGCTGGATTGTTACATAAATGCAGTCATACTTGAACTATATCCGAATGGTCCAAGATACATCTGAAAGATATTTTAAAATTTCCGCCCTTTGGCGTCGGAAATGATAAATGGTAAGAAAAGGAAGAAGAAGAAAAGAGTTTATATGCAGAATATAGCTACTATTAATTTATATTGAGGTAAGTGCTTATTTTAAAGAATATAATACTGATGGTCAGATATTCAATTTATAGTTATATCCAGGTAAGATGAAAAGTAACAAATAAGTTTAACTACAAATATCTAATACTTATATAAATAAATCCTTTCAAATAAGTTAAATAAAGGAACCTCTGAGCGTCCCGGGGTATACTATGTTCAAACTGACTATAAAATAGTGTACATAAGCGTATTAATATGTCAATTTATTATAAAAGTATCTTGAAATAATTGTCTTGATAATGAACAAATATCCAGACAGTGATACAAGGGATTCTATCCAGAAAATCAAAGTCTCTATATCTATAATTAAGTCTGTAATACAACCTATTAATAAAGGTAAAGGGATAAGTCTGAACGATAGTGTATAATAAAAAGTCATATTCTAACTTGTTTTTAGGGGTCTCGTATGAGCCTGAGTATAGTAAGTATTATGATTCCATATATTGAGTTCCATTTTTTTTTTATTTTAAAAAAAATCTTTGAAATAATTTAGGAGGAGAGTCTTCAAACGGACGTGTCTATTTTGAAGGCACTACATTGCAAAATTTGCAAAATTATATCACGGACGACCAGCTTGCTCTTTCTGTTAGTCTGACTATTGGACACAAAAATAAAAACCCGGTGGATGAACCCCGCTCATACCCAAAACCTCGGCCTCTCAAGTTCTATGACCAAGATCTCAAAAACTTCCAAGATGTTACTATACATGTACTTAAGAACAATAAGGATGAGCCGAAAGAAATTGAAAGCAATCTCAACAACAATTCCACTGCTAGTATAACCATAAGCAAAAACAAGAAAGACGAAAGTACTCAAGAGTTTGTATCGGATAAAAAGACCACACTACATGGCCACAAGTTTATTCTCGCTGCAGCATCTCCGTGGTTTAGAGATATATTCCTTAGTGGCATAAAAGAATCTACCAAGAATGAAGTGAAGATTTGTGGAGTTGACCCAATAATATCCCAGTTGATTTTCGATTTTAGCTATGGGAAGGATATATATATAAAGGACAGTACCCATTGTATAAATATTCTCAAAGTTGCCGATCGTCTTCAGTTCAAAAATATCAAAGTCTATGCTTTCTCATACTTGCGAAATCAGGTCAAAAAGTCCAATATATTTGGTATTTGGGAAGCATCAGGTAAGCAAAGTTTTACTAATATATATATATTCTTTACTCATGCTTGCTTTAGATTTGTACGACTGTGACGAAACTCGGGCCTTATGCGAAAAATATAGGAAAAGTGGCTACCCAGATATCTTTATGTCCCCGGGGTGGCTTTCTGCTAATGATAAGTGTGCTATTAGCGTAATCAAGATAGATGGCTTACAAGGAATAATTGATGAGACAAGATTCTACAAAGCAGTACTAGCAAGAAGAGAGTTTGCTATCCAGACAGTGATTAACCTACGTAAAGCCAAAGAAAAGGAATCTGAGGAGAAAATCGCTAAAGCGCCACATGTTACTCCCACTCCCAGTAATGTGAATATATACGAAGAAATCCAAAAAGAAGCCAAAGATATCAAAGAAGATGATAAAGACAATAGCTGTAATTCAGATACTCAGACAAAGACAAAGACAGAAAGGCTTAAAAGGCTAGAGAATATACGATGGGAAAATATATTAAAGAGGAATTGGAAGCTATACAAAAGCATTTTGAAATTATGATTCGTAATATACGATTCCATCAAATGGAGACAGAATTTCTTGCCAATACAGTTAGAAAGGAACGCGCTGTTATGCAGATACCCGGGATCAAAGACATAGTAAGAACATTTAACCTGTTATTTGAGGCTTACTCTAAAATATACATTACACTATAGATATTTGAAGCGTACCGAGACAAAACCTTTCTTGGGAAGAAAGAGTTATCAAAGAAGTATAAAAGTCGATCAAGTGAATCGAAATAATTTTATAAAATACTATAAACAAAGAGACCGATACTTGTATACACCATAGCTTAACTATGTAATAGATTCTTAACATCTTATTAGATAGTTTTTATTCATTTTTTTTTTAAATTTAAATAGAAATTTAATTTTCAATGATTATTATACATTTTTCTTAGTTGATATGATTTAAGAAACAAAGAAAGTGGAAAAATGAGAAAACATTTAAATTTCTATGTTGTTAGACAGTGCCATTAGATTCTTTTCAAATAAAAAAAATATTCTAGTCAGTGAACTACTGTCTTCGTATAAACATTTAGACAAACTGATATTGTGTTATGTAGAGAATATATAGATATATAGCTATTTTATAGGGTCTCTTCTGCTAAATAATATTCTCTTTAAAAATAAAATAAAAAATACTTTCAACTTTTGAACACCTCGACTCGATACTTTTTGGAGTGTCCGGTTTATGTATTCAACTAAACGAATTGTACTTTTAGAAACAACTCATGCTTTTAGTATTGGACATTTAAACAGCTTATTGAAGTGATACAAATTTCCCAAATTTCAGGGTTCAAGGTTTTTCGAGAGTAAAAAAAAATAGATATTTTGATCAATGTTTGAGTAATTTTAATCCAATAACCTAAAAAAGGTAGATCGGAATGTGTCCCATCAAATTACTTAAAGCCAAAAAATATTGGTTATTTAATTGAGTTTTTAATTCATTTAATTGAAAAGCTATGATTACCGTTGCTGTGGATTTGCCTATGCTTGTAGAAACCTTAAAAAAATATCATTTCCAGTACACTCATATTTAATCGACCATAGAAAAGGTTCATTTATACAAAGGCTCCGTGCTTCAAACTAAAATAGTCTCAAGCGAACCAAAGCTAGACTATGAACCTCAAAGTAATAAGTGGAATCATACTATACAGTACTATACTGAATTATATTGTATTACAGAACAAAAGTTATAAATCAAAGCCTTTGACCCAATAGAGTATTATTTCTAAGTTATTCGTGCATCCAGTTGAGTTTGGTATACAAGCGCAAAATATCAAAAGCACTAGATCCTATAAATCGATAATTAGTAATCGATAGCGTCTTGCTCCCAACCAAACAAAACCTATACGTTCAGTAGCAGTAGATTGTCTCTTTGCTTTCATATTGTGCCGTCAGTCAGTCTGAGCAATAACAGAAAAAAATAGTAAATAAGCAGAGCCTTTAAAAGGTGATTTATATATATGTAATAGCCATTTTACTAGCTTGATCTATCTGTGACCAGGCTAGCACAATTACAAGCACCACTACTTTTTCATGGTGTATAATGTAACTTATATAAATAATTATAATTATCGATAGAATGGTGTATATTTGAACACATATAAATGTAAAGTGTTTCAGGCAGTTGGGTTATTCTGTATTAATTTCTCGGTTGGATTATGATTGGTTTATAAAGTAGTACAAACCAAGGTCGATTGACAAACACTAGGCTAGACCCTGTTCTTTTTTTTTTTACTTTTATTTTACTCTAAGAACGATGCTTTAACTTGAGGCACCAGCGACTTTCAATAGTCAGGCTGTCAATGCCTTCATACTGAAGCACTGACAGTACTTTTATTTCAAGAAAGTATTCCTACACTTTGTGTTTATTAACTCAAGACACTGGTGAAAAAGCTAGAAGAAAAATGGAAGTCTTTCACACGAAAGAAAAGAAAAGATATAAGCAGCGATTTTTTTCGGGGGTGCTTCTTAAACTAATAAATTCACATCATGTGAAACAAACAAACAAGAAAACAAACAAACAAATATACACAAGACTTTAATTAAAGCTTTATAATCAACACAACTTTACACTTCTTTATTGTAGTTAAACGTCTAGCCGATTAATACTTTGTATATCAGTAGTACAGCTAAATGGAACACAGAGGCATATATAGTGTCTCGACAAGTGGCTGTTCAAAAGCATAAGCCTTGTTAACAGAATCACAGCAGAAAGTAGAATAAAAAAGGGAATGGGGTCCATAGCAACTGAATAATTTGACATGCATATAGTCAACCAATCGGAAGACATCATTTAAATGTTTTCATGCTAAAGTAAAGTCTGGACCACTATTGCAACTATGCTTCTCTAAGCCCCATGACACATGTGATGTTGCACGGACAGCACGGACCTTATGTGACATAAAATGAGCTAAAAAAAAAAGTAAAGCAAGTGCCTGTACAACACGCCCTTCATAATGTAAGTGATACTTCTTTAACACCTAAAACCCATATTTTGAGCATAGATACTAAATAAAGAAGTAAAATAGTTATAATATATACATGTTGTCAGGGCTAAAAGATAAAAAAACCGAAAAAGGAATAAGAAAAAAACCGAATTTTATAATATATTATCAAACTATCATAATAAAAATAATAAAAAAGAACAGCAACTCATGATTGAGACGTCATGAGTTTTATAAAAAAAACACCTATCCAAATAGAACGCGTCAAAACAACTCTCTTCCACATACCATTAATACTTTATACACTTCTTTACTGCTCTCTCACAAACTGCTTTAATCAACATAGACGTTAAAGACGAATCATGACCAATACAAATCCATTTTGCTAGTCAAATCTCAGGCTTTTATCATATGTAAAACAGTCAGTAGCAAGATATAAGACAACATGTCAAAACCAGTACACAGCAAAAATGAAATACTGAGGTCCAACACTGGTTTGACCATCAATCCATCCAAAGCCTATTCACGCTCAGAAACAAGAGATAAACTGACAGGACTTACTATAATTCAAGGAGTATATGATATTCATCAAAGACACACATTGTGAAGATTATATTTGTCTAGTCTTTTGACAAACAAGGTCAACGATAAAAAATAAGATCTCCATCCAGGCCTACAGGTATATAAAGGCTCGTTGATTAATCATTCACTGTCTTTGATATTTCTGTAGGGACTTTTCAGGCAAAGTCAAGCAATCAAGAACAGGTTTCCATCCAGAGCCACAGGTACACCAAGACTCGATGAGCATATGCTCATTGTCTTTTGTATGCTTCTAGTGTCTTCCGTCCAGGTCAAGCATCAGGGATCCGATCAGAGTCTACGGTTATCAGGTATATCAAAACTCTATGAGCAGTTACTTATTTGTTTTTGTATATTTGTAGTATCCATTCCATCCAGGTCAAGCATCAAGGATCCGATCAGAGTCCACGGTTATCAGGTATATCACAACTCTATGAGCAGTTACTCATTTGTTTTTGTATATTTGTAGTATCCATTCCATCCAGGTCAAACTTCAAGGTCCAGGTCAAGGTCCACGGTTTTCAGGTATATCAAAACTCGATGAGCAGTTACTCACTTGTTTTTGTATATTTGTAGTATCCAATCCATCCAGGAAAAGCATCAATGTTCCGATCTCCCAGCTATGGTCATAGGTATAACAAAACCATATGCGCATTTACTCACTAGCTTTTATCTATTACTAGTGTCAGCCATCCAGGTCAAGTGTCAAGGACCCGATTTCCCGGCAATGGGTATAGGTATAACAAATCGTTGTGGGAATATACTCACTAGTTATAATATATTTATAGTGTTCAGCCATCGATGTCAGGCGTCAAGGTTGCGATCTTCCAGCCAAGGTTATAGATATAACAAAACATTATGGAAATATACTCACTGGTCTTAATATGTTTTTAGTGTTCAGTCATCCAGGTCAATCAACAGGATTCTGATCTCCCGTCCATGGTTATAGGTATAACAAAACGTTATGGGCCTATACTCACTAGTTATAATCTAGTTCTAGTCTCCAGCCATCTAGGTCAAGCATCAAGGTTCTGATCTCCCCGCCATGGTTATAGGTATAAAAAACGTTATGGGCATATACTCATTATTTAATCTAGTTCTAGTCTTCAGCCATCCAGGTCAAGCGTCAAGGTGCCGATCTCCCGTTTTATGGTTATAGGTATAACAAAAATCGATGAGCAATCACACTCGGCTTTATTTTCTTCTAGTGTTGAATCCATCAAGATCATGCTTCACGGATCCGGATTCAGTCCGTGGCTATAGGTATACAAAAAATCGATGAGCAATTACTCATTGGATTTTATATATTTCTAGTGTCTACTCATCCACGGCAATTATCAGGATCCGATTTTCATGAATTGTTATAGCTAACCAAGTTTCCTTTAAACCTTTACTTAAAACAAACTATACTCTTTATTTATACTTTCTTTTGATGGCAAAGAACGATGATCAAATATACATCCATTATGGAAGGTATACAAGTCGTTCTTGGCCATTACTAACCTAGAAGTATATATGACTATTGTTTTTACTCTCCAGGCCAAACAGCAAGGATCAAAACTCAAATTTGGGCTACAGGTAAACAAGTCTTCTTGAGCTTTTACTTACTGTCATTTATATATTTCTAGTGTTTTTTTTCCTTAAAGTTCAAATATCAAGGATCTGATTTCAAATCAAGGTTACGGGTACACACATTTCTCTCTGTCTTTACATGCTTTCTTTCGTATTGGCCTAGTGTGTTTACGATCCGGCTACACAATGAAAAATTTGTTTTTCTTCCAGTGCGACAGGTATATACATCTAGTTCGGCCTTTAGTTACTGTTGGCTTTATTTCTATACTGGCTTCACAGTCCAAGCCAGCCATCATGGATCCTATATCCGTCCAGTGTTACAGGTATACACTTCTCTTTGGGATTTTACTTACTATCGGTTTTAATTTTTCTACTGTCCTTAAAGTCAAGGCCAACGACCAATCATCTGATATCCGCCTAGAATTACAGATATAAAAATGTTATTGGGCCGTTACTTAGAATTGTTTTTGTTTCTCTAGTGTCCTTGCAGTCAAGGGCAACGAGCAGGAACCCGGTCTCCATATTGGGATATAGTGTTACACATCTCTTTGAGTTTTGACTTGCTACAGACTGTATTTTTTCTCGTGACTTTACAGTCAAATTCAACGCTCAAGGATCCGATTTCCATCAAGTTTTACAGGTATACAAATCTGACAAGTGCTTTTATTTAATGTGTCTTTTTTTTGTCAAGTGCCTTTACTGTCTATGCCAATGATTCCGAATCCGAGCCCTATCCAGAGTGACAGGTATACAAATATGTTTGCGTCTTTACTAACTTTTAGTTTTATATGTCTAGTGCCTATACGGTTTAGGCCGAAGAACTAGGACTTGATATTCATCCAGACTTGCAGATATATATTTTTCGTTGGGCCGTTGATTATTGGCTTTTTTTTATCCGTCTATTGTTTTTACTGTCAAGGGCAACCATCAAGGATCCGATCTCCATCCAGTATGACAGGTATACACTTTTCTTTGGGTTTCTACTTATCGCTTGTTTTTTTTTGTCTAGTGTTTTCACCGCCCAGGTCGAAGAACAAGGATTTCTTCTTCATCCACGGTTACAGGTATACAATTCTCTTTTAGCCTTTGCATAACGCTTGTTTGATTTTTCTAATTTCATTAATGTCTATGCTAAATAATAAGCATCTACTCTCCATCTAAGGCCATAGGTTTAAAAAATATTTTTAAGTATTATTTTACTATTTATTAATTAATTAATTATTATTTTTTAATTTTACACAGCCAAGGCCAATCGATCCAGGTTTACTGTCCTCTAGGGTAACAAGTATATGTACATACCTGATCGTTTACTTACTGGCTATTATATTTTCTAGTCTTTTTACAGGAAAGGCCCACAATTAATATGTGTTGTCTATCCGGGGGGAACAGGTATACAAATCTGCCAAAAAATCTACTTACTATATATTTGCATAATGCTTTTATATCCCAAGCCAACGATCAAAGCTTTGATATTCTTTTGGGCTCACAGGTATAAAAGTCTCTTTGACTTTTTAGGTACTATCAGTTGTTTTGTTCTAGCCCTTTCTTCTCCGTAGCAAGCGTTCAATGCTCAGCTCTACATTAAAGGTCTCAGGTATACAAAAATCTTTAAGCAATTTACTAAAAATTCGATTTTCCTAGCGTTTACATAGTTAAGGCTAAATGATAATGTTCTTCCTATCTATTCAAGGTTCTAGGTACACACACACATTTTAGCACTTATTCTTCACTGGTTGAATCTTTTTAATCTTTGACAGTCCATGCCGAGAATCAAGGTTGCACTTCAAAAAATAGGGCTAAGGTATACGTGCCTTTTTAAGCATGTACTTACTACTAGTTGCTTTATTCGGACTTTATACAGTCGAGACCAAAGATCAAGTGCCCGATTTCCGCATAGATTTACAGGGATACAAGTGTCTTTCTTTACCCATTAACATATTACTAGCTGTTTGAAGTCTTTTTACAGTCCAATTCAACAGTCAAGATTCAAATCACCATCAAGAATCACTGGTATACTGCCCATTTTTAGTATTTACTTACTGCCAATTGTGTTTCTTTAGTCTACTCGCAGAAAAGGCCAACAATCAAGATGCCACTCTCCTTCTTGGATGTTGGGTATACCAGGATTTTTTGGTATTTACTTATTACCGGCTGTAGCTCGGCGGTCTGTTCACAATCGAGGCCAACACCCAAAATTCCATAGTCCATGCAGGGTTACAGGTATACATACTTTTTTGAGCATTTGCTTAGTGTTTGCTATATATCTCTAGTCTTTTCATAGTCAAGACTGCTAATTGAAATTTTGCTTTTCATCTGGGGTAAAAGGTATATATGCTTTTTTTAATACTTATTGTTTGTTGCAATTGTCTAATAATTTTACAGTACACACCGATGGTCAAGTTTCTGCTATTCGTCGAGGTAACAGGCGTACACCCTCCTTTGAATATTTTTCCACCATCCATCATATTTAACTAGTCGTACCATAGTCCACACCAAGGATCAATATTTTAGTCTCCACCCAGGTTCACAGACATTCAAGTATATTTTCCCCTTTAAGACTGCAGGCTGCTATTGTCTATTTCTTTTAATATATAGGTCAAGGGATAAACTTCCTACTCTCAACCATGAGCCACAGGTATCACCGTTTATTTTGAACATTTATCTATTATCGATTATATTTGATTAGTATTCTAAATCCGAGTCCAACGATCAAGCTTCAGCTTTCCGGCAAGGGTTGAAGATATCCAAGTATCTTTGATTCTTTTTTAATATTGACTGAATTTCTCTGGCGTTTGCACATTCAAGTCCATTGATCAAGTCTTCGGTCATTATCAAGTTTCCACTCAACATTATTAAGTAAAGGTATATAAGATTCTTACATTACTTTTTTACAACCAATGACATTTATCAACCGTTTTTAGAGTCCTGGTCAACGATCAAGATCCTGCTATTAATTCCACGTCTTAGATATATAAGTGTATTTAAATATTACTTTACTACTGATTGCATTATTTAATCTTTTTTTTTCTTTTTCTTTTTTACATTCTATGCTAGCCCTCACGGCTCTAGTCTCCATCAAGGCTTACAGACATACAAGGTTTTTTTTATTGAAATATGTTCTTACTATCAGTTTTAATTTTTCTAGTATTTTCACAGTTCATACCAACGATTAGGCTTCCGATTTCCATCCAGGGCTACAAGCATATATCTTTATTACACCATTTACTTACAGCCTGTTTTATATGTCCAGAATATTCACAGTCCATGTCAACAGTCACGGTTTTGACCTACATCTCCAACCATAGGTATATATATATTTTCGAGAATTTACTTACTATTAGGTGTATTTTTCTAGTGTTTTCATAGTAAAGACCAACGATTAATATTCCGACATTTTCCTACAGTCATAGACATACAAGTCTCTTTGAGCCTTTAGTTACTTTAAGCTGTATATTCCCATACTTTTTACGGCAAAGACCAGCGATCAAGGTTTCACTCTCCATAAAAATCCTCAGGTATACAAAGCTCTTTAAATATTTTCTTACTATCAATTAGATTATTCTAGTGTTTACACAGTCAAAGCCAAACTATAAAGCCTCTGTTGCCCGTCCAGGTTCTCCAGTATATATATATATATATATATATATATATATATATATATATATATTGAGCATCTACTTACTGGTTGTTGTTTTTAGTTATCTTGACATAGTCAAAACCAACGATTAAGGTTTCACCATACATCCAGGGTATGAGATACACATGTCTCGTTTAGTATTTAGCTATCAACTATTATTTTGTCTAGCTTTTTTTTTTTATATTTTAAGCCAACGATCAAGTTTTGAATATTTATTCATGATCACAGGTATATATTTCTTTTTGAAAATATACTTATTGTTGGCTTTCTTTTTTTAGTCTATTTACCAACAGGGCGAACGATCAATATTCCGCTGCCTATTTTGGGCTATATGTATACATGACTCTTTAAGCAGTTAATACCTGTCGCTTTTATTTGTCTAGTCTTTTAATCCCTAAGCCCAAAATTTATGGCTCTGCTCTACATCATGGGCCGTAGGTATACAAGTCTCTTTGTAAATATATTCACTGATGGTTATAAATACTTATAATTTTACAATTAGTGTCAAGGATCGTTGTTTAACTCTTATTCATGGGTTATAGGTATACATTGTTTAGTTGCCCATTATTCTTTGAATGATGCTTGTATTTGCTTAGTTTTTTCTTTCTTTGTAGCTTAGGTCAATGATCATGGTTTTATTCTTTGTTAAAAATCAAAGACATACGAGAAGTTTTAGGAATTTTCTCACTGAAAGTTGTATTTACTAATGTTTTTACAGCCGGTACCAGGTATCAGTATTCTACTCTCTATTGTGGGCCACAGCTATATTTATCTTTTTTATTTTTTTTTAATATTTTGACAGCAAAATCCAACGCTAAAAATCTCAGTCTCTATCAAGGGTTACAGATATACCAGTTTCTTTGGATATATTACTACAAATTATTTTTGTATAATATTTTAAACAGACAAGCCCAACAATCAAGATTTTGGGCTCGAGTATCATACTCCTGCATATGCATTTGTTTCAATAACTACTTCTTGCTGTTTCTATAGGACTTTACGATCATATTTAATGCTAAGCATTAAAACTTTAGTTTTAGGTATGGATTCTAGGTATACAACAATTTTGGACCACTCAGTACTACTTGTTTTATATAAGAAGTATATGTGTAGCTGAAACCAAATAATTACCATTAAAATAATTTGAGCTGGTTAAAGATATAAAAGGCTTTTGAGAAATTCACTGACACCTATATCTTTTTTATGTATTTGATATCAAGGATCAAGTAACAAATTTGGGCTCCCCGTCATTGTTTAAAGATATACAAGTATTTTTTAAATTTTTTCTTTTATTAATGTTTTTATTTCAGTAGTGTATTTCCAATTGATTTAAAGGATCAAGTTTTTGCCTCCATTATAGACTAAACGTATACAGTGCTATTTGAAAATTTAAATAACGTAATTTGCTTTCGTCTAGTACTCACAGTCAAGACAAGTATCAGGGCTCCACGTTTTCTCATAGGATAGAAGTGAACAAGACTCTCTGAACATTTAATTACTGCCCCTTTTAACTACAGCTTGGCCTTACCGTACTTAAATTCGCTACTTATCCTGTGGCTGTAAGGAACCGCATAACACTAGCATAACGTTATTACTGCTCATCATCTATCCCAATTAACAACATTAGCAACTCGGTATACTTTAGCATATTTGCTAGTTTCGGGTGTGTTTAATTCAGCCACTAGATTATCCACTGTATTGTATATCGCAGAGCTCTGGATATATCCTCTCAGTATCCTCCTCATGCTAATATGAGCCACGAAACTGATCCCACTCAATCTCTAATATTCAATCATTATAGCTACCACCATCACTTTTGAAGCTCTAGTATCTAAATCAATAGCGTATTAACAGTTGAAGGTCAGCTATGCATACGTATATGGCTACTCACGGGGCTATCTTCGTCGTCCTCGTCGCCACCCAGGGAATATTCCCTGAACTAGACACCTTATTCGCCATTTATTTAACCTAATAGATCATACATACGCTCAATCAGCGTATCCAATGCCACACACTGGATATCCATATCGAGCGGCCACTTCCAACTTATTCTTGATATTGAATTTGTCCTTAATCATATAGCAGTTCCATCTACATTAGACATTACAATATTCGAAGCTAAATCAGCTTTGGCTATTCTCTAGCTTTTTCGCCTTTAAATATATTACCTCCAATACATATTACAAAAAAAATATTATGAATGGTTTCGTTCTCTGTGCAAATTTTGATATCTTTGTGTTGGTGTTGGTAAGCCCCCAAAAAAAAAGAATTGAATATAGTGGTTGGTGGTGTCAATCTTGATAGCATTGTGTTGGTGTCGGTACGCCAAAAAAAAAGAATTAAATATGGTTGTTGTTGGTGTCAATTTTGATAGCGTTTTGAAGTTGATGTTGGTAGGTGTCAAAAAAAAGAAATATGTTATGGTTACTGGTGTCAATTCCGGTAGATTTGTAAAGTCAATTTAGGCATGGAGGTTTGACTGAGGATTCCCGAAAGGGATGAGGTATGTAAAAAGAAGATTCAAGGCATCGTTAAAAAGGATTTTTTTCTTTGTTTCTGTTGCGGCTCAGTAAAGGTTATTTTTGATAGACAGTTCTCTCTTAGCAGTATTGCGTAAACACTAGATGGTATTTCAATCTCTGTATGGGTAGAAGTGTCACTATCAATTGGCCTACTATGTTTTTTTCTCTCTTATAAGTGGGTACACATAGGCTGTTTGCACTATAAATTGATAATATCAGTCTACAAAAAGACTTTTGTTTGTAGAAAACTGTAGGCTGTAATTTTACATACATTGCTAATTTTACCCAGACTGCTGTGGATTGTCTAAAATATATCTTTCGAATGCGGCTTTTTATTTTAAGTAATTATTTTAGTTGCACACACCACTCTGAATGCTCTAAGAGATCTATTTATCTTGTTTGTCTTGTCCAAGCATATATGCTACCTGTTTGATCACATCAGCTGTTCTTGGTTATTCAAGTCCAATTGGCTAACATTGTCATTAATATGCTGTTTATCAATATAATGTTTTATAGAGACACATGATGATAAGATACTGTCATTAGCCTAACCTTCAAATTTTCTTTGCAGGTTTGCTTACTGTAACTACTAATACGTTTTACAGTTTCATCAGCAGAGAGACCAGGTTTTCTTCTAACCAAACTATTTAGCTTTGAAAGACATTCCTCTATGGGGGTCCAAGAATGGGCGATATAGGGGAAGTATATGACCCATGTGCCTCGTGTGGCCGTGTAAATAGAATCTCACAAGTTTAGCTGTATGTATGGCAGCGTTGTCCATAATAAAGTAATGGGAAACGACATTTTCTCTATCTAAGCTCAATGTAATTTTCTTGACAAACTGAAGGAATACTTGTGCGTCTGTATCGCCTGCAGCTATTTTCGCCCAACGTCTTTGACAATTCCAATGGTTACTTGACATTCGCCATATAAAGCATCCTGGATAAAATCAACATGTTCTTCTCTGAGCTTTTTATATATATATCAATAAGTAATTATAACCTTAAGATTGCTTATATAGTATTTACTGTGTGTACATTATTTTTTATTTGTAGATGTACATAATATATAAACATCATTGTCATGTCGTTGCTTCGGAATTAGGGACTACATTTTTGAACGATGGATTTTTTTTATGCTTAAATTATTTACAAAGTCTCCATTTCCTTGGGATTTCTAACAGTAAGCTCCATATAGGTCACCAAAAAAAAAGAGACAGAAATATAAATATTATATCAAAGACATGAGGAAAATTTTATTATTCAAAGATTTGTATAAATGAAATATAAGTTAAATTAAATATAATATAATATAAGATGGTCAAGTTCATGCTACTTCAGTCCAGTCCAGTCGGTTCCAGTCAAGTCTAGTCGGTTTTTTTTCTTGGTCCATTTGATTTTTTTTTTGATCTTTTTTTTTGTCCGTTTTTTTCTTCTTCTTTTTTGTCCGGTCAATATAAGCTAAGAGTGATATGAGGAGGGAGAGGATTTTGATATTGAAAAATAATAAAAGGGATAATTTGGACTTTTCTTTTTTTTTGCTTTTTTTTTGTCCGAACACAGCACACATAGTAAAGAGGATAATTTGGACTTTTTGATTTTGATTTTTTTTTATTTTTTTTTTATTCTTTTTTTTTTTGGTTTTTTTTGTCCAGTCAATTTCATGGAATAGTAATAAAAGGATGGGTTTTGATATTGAAAAGAATAAGAGAAGGGGGTTTTGGTATTGCTCTTTTTGCTCTTTCTGTTTTTTTTGAGCTTCTTTTTTTGAGCATTTTTTTTTGTTTTTTGTTTTTGATCAAAGACTTCATTTGCTTTGTATGTATATATGTAAAAAGGGATTTCATACCTTGTCTTAATCCAGAGTCTTGTTCCAGTTCGCAGCTTTGCTTCAATCCAGGTCCAGGTTCCAATGCAGAGTTCTTCCGGTTTGTTCATCTTTTTTTGCTTTTTTTTTTGCTTTTTTTTCTTTTTTTTTTTGCTTTTTTTTTTTGCTTTTTTTTTTGCTCTTTTTTTGCTTTTTTTTTTTGCTTTTTTTTTTTGCTTTTTTTTGCTTTTTTTTTTTTTGAGAGAGAGAGGAGGGCTTAGTATAGGCCTCAGGGTCGGATTTCTTTTGATCCTTTTGGAGTGGAGGACTTAATGTGCCTGATCATTTCTGATAGGCTTTGGTCTACGCCTCGGTTTTTGGATTTGATCCTTTTGGAGTGGAGGACTTAGTATATGCCTCGAGTTCGGATTTCTTTTGATCCTTTTGGAGAGGAGGACTTAGTATATGCCTGTTTTTTTTACAGGACTTAGTATAGGCCTCGGATTTGGATTTCTTTTGATCCTTTTGGAGAGGAGGACTTAGTATATGCCTCGGATTTGGTTTTTGGTTTTTCTTTTGGAACTTGCTGTTGGAATTTTGCATTGGACCCCTTCTTGGAAATCGACTTGGCCTTGAGACTTGGAGATACAACCCAGATTTTGGACTTGTATAGAAATGCGCCTCTACTTTTGTATGTATATATGTATGTATATAAGTGTGTATATGTATGTTTGTATGACTATGACTATGACTATGACTATGACTATGTGTATGTGTGTGTGTATTTGTGTGTGTGTGTATAAGAAAGAAATAGAAAAATAGAAATTGTATGTGTTTGTGTGCATGTATGTGTACTTCTCCACTTGTATACTTGTGTGCGCTATTACTAGTACTATAACAGTACTTAGAGAGTGTTTGGACATTTGGACTTGGGCTTGGACAAGACTTGGAATTGGACTTGGACATATAAGCAAACCGTGGCTTGACCATTTCAGGGATTCTGTTAGTATATGAGTTTCGACTTGAGATAGAGAGATAATTGTGAATATAATTTTTTTTGCTTTTTTTCGTATCTTATTTTTTGTATTTTTTTTTGTATCTTATTTTTTGTATTTTTTTTGTATCTTATTTTTTGTATTTTTTTTTGTATCTTTTTTATATTTTTCTTGCTTGACTTGGTTCTTGCTGCTGTCATACTTGCACAGGATTCAGGCTTCGGAATTTTCCACATTATTGGAGTTGATAAGGCCGAATATGACTTAAAAAGATAAAGAGAAAAATGAGTGAGAAAACGAGGAACATATTTACATATGAGGCAGGTTTGAAAGACCAAAAGAACATACCTTAATTGATAGGATTTGTTTTGTAAGCAAAGGAATGGATCTTGGAATATGTATCATCATCTGAAGAGATGGGCTCGGGACTGCAAAATGCTCTTCGATGACCGGGCGGAATGGGCCTTGACCACCAGCAGGAGGTATACGAAACCACCCGCAGTAAACAACCAAGCTTCCAGTAGAAACAATGTGCCAACTTGCAGCGATGGGGTCAACCACAAAAGGGTTTGACCACTGAATGGCAGAGGAGCTACCAGATCTTGGCTTACCACACCAAGAACCCTAAATATATACAGGCATACAATGCAATGTACAATATTTTGAGGGGAGAAAAGGTACGACTAGCGTGCCGAGCAGCTTTACCTTTTGGTAAAGTCCAACGCTCACAAGCTCTCTCTGGTATTCTCTAAAGGGTTGTATTATTGCGAGCCCTGTCACAGGGCGGCCCTGGGAAGATGAAAAAATATCATATAATTAGTACCGAGACATATTGTATATAAATAGTACTTATCTTCTGGATAAACGGACTAATGGTTGATATTATCTCTGACAAAGAAATCCAGAGACAAAAACAACCCTTGAAAAATTGCCTTATTGCTTGCTTTGTGGTTCACATTGCTTCTGCCTTGAGCTCTGTCGTTTACTACTGGAGGCCTCTACTTGTTCCTGCTGGTGTTCTCGGTCCATAATATAAACCCAGCCATCTCAAATACCTTCTTGCAGTCCTGAGCCAATAGTCTTGAATGATGATGAGGAACTTATTCTTGTTGTAACCATATCCCAGTCGAGACTCTTCATGTGCTTTTTGGCCAACCCAGCGAGATGGCGAGACTCTGGGTTAGCCTACTTGATTTTAACCTTTTGTACTTGGCGGTTTAAAAGTTTGAATGTTTGAATGCTTGAATACTTGAATGCTCGAATTCTTGGATTCTTGGATGCTTGATCTCATTTTTTTCATGTTTATGTTCAATTTTGCTTTGATACTGGACCCAATTTTTCGTGAAATTATATATATATATATATAAATGCATGGCTTTTAAGCACTTGTCTCGACCTGGATTGGATAGGTTCGTCGAAAGTAACCTTGCTTCTCCTTCACAACTGAAAGTGTACGTAAATGCCCTTCGACTCGGGTCTTGGTTTCTTGACTATACGCATTTCCAGTCGCTAACTGTAACCTGCCTTTTTTGGTGACAATTTCTAGCTCACCCTGCTTGGTCTGGTAAATAAACCAGACCATATCAATCAGAGACCTCCTCGAATGAGGGTGGCTAGGACTCTAACCACAGGTTATGCGTGATGCTTGAAACCATCGGCGAATTCCACGCTATCTCTTCAGTGACAATTTCTTGTATAGTCAGTTTATCTTGGTTCGACTGACAAAGTCACTGATACCTAATTGATCAGTCCTAGAAGCATATCCTTTTACGCAGATGAATTTTGGGTTTGCCATCTCAAAGTAGCTGCGGATGTCTGGACATGCGTGTGTATGCATCATTTGAGTCCGGACACAAGGACTAGTAGCAATCATAGTGACTGATATACCGTCATGTCTGTGTGGAAAAAAACTCGCCAATCTTGATAGAAATCAGATGTTCTTGGCTCTTTTTCCAAAACCTCTTGGGACTGTCTACCCCACAGCAATAGATTTTCTACAATCTATAGTGTAGCCAGCTCAAAGTCCAAAAGGACCTTTCCGAGCCTACCAGTGAATCTTCAGGAACTCACCAGAAAAAAGTAGGGGACTGACAATAGCCTTCCAAGGACCCCAAGAAAGAATCCGGCAAGGAAGCAAAACCCATTCGGCCAGACATGACTACATAATGAACACCGTGCCCCACAGTATTCATTCTCCCTGGCTTAAGCACAAAACTCAAGCTACAAAGACCCAGAACCCAGGTACCGAACAGGCCAGAGACCCAGCCAACCGCAATCTCCAGAAAAATACCGGAAATCTAGCCAACCAGACCAGACCAGCCAACAGGACCACCGTGGCCCAAAAACGGCCTAGAATCAAGGACTCTGGAAGCCCTACTCGTACAGAAACCACCACTCACAGATCTCGGCCTCAGACCTGAGAGGAAGTCAACAAGAACCCTACGAACAAAAAGTTCAAGCCAACCCTACAGCAGTGCAAGCACCACCCTCGAATGTATATAAACGGCAAATACCAGAGGCAAACAGGATTGAAAACCAGTCTAGTACCACCATAGGTTACACTCATATGTAAACCTCCACAATCTACCTTCTCTTTATACTGTCTATGCCAAGCCAAGACTCAGAACCAAGCTAACAGGCGGAGCATGGTGTCAATCCCAGAGGGAAACGATAATCCAGTCCTTTGAATTTGAAAGCAGTAGGAACCGAACGTAAAAGAGGCTACCCTTACAGCTTAACCAAGAGACCCAACGTGAATCACCACGCAGATAGTCCCAAGGAAAAGTACTGTGAAAGGTCTGGGAATTCCAGTGTCACCATAAAGCTTACCAGAAGCTTCAGGATCGACCTTTGGTTCCGACCGCATCGGCTTGGCTCCAGGGCCAACCGACCGACAAGATGTCCGCTTGGTGAAGCGTACAGATCGCATCTTAATGTGCAGACCTTTGAACCGGTTCATGACTTGAATTACGCTGTGGCGTACTTTGCTTGTTCCTCTTTGCCTACCCAACCCTTCCCTGAGTCAGCGGCACCAACACAGAAAAGCTTACGTGTCAAAGGGGGTGACTACAGCCATTGTCATTCTTGAGTTATCTGTCTGGGGATTTCCTGGAAGCCATATTCTTGTTTCCACCACCTTTCTACTGCTGGATGCAGTACCAGGCTTTAGGAACCAAGCCAAAGCAAAATTTTGTTTCTTAACCAACATTCGTTCACAATTAGGTCCAAAGTCAACCGATGGAACTCAAAAGCTAAGCACAACTAGGCTTTCTCTTCTTGCTACTGGATGTAGCACGAGGAGTAGGCTTCACTGGCACCGAATCTTTGGCATTTTAGAAACCCTTTGCCTGGAATTCGGCGGCCGACAAACCGTTGTTTGTTGGCGCATCGAAAGACTTTGCCGATTTCTTGCCCTTGACAAGAGAACGTTTGGGTTTCCCAACGCTGGTGGAAGATTCAACCTTGGGATCCTTTGGCTGCTCCATATGAGCGCCGGAAGCCAGCGCTTTCAACTTTGCAGCCATGGAGACCTTAGTCTCGGCTTTGGTTTCCTTTGGCTGCTTCTCGCGAGAGCCAGAGGCTTTCTCGGTCGTTGTTGCAACCTCGGTGTCCTTAGCCTTCTTCTTTCCACTCTGACTGGCGGGCTTGGCTGTCTTTGAATGGCCCTTTGGTCCTAGGACCGCAGGAGCGCACTCTCCAACCTTCTCTGCCCCGTCGGCGAGCAGACCAGACACAGACGCAGGAAGCGACTCTCCGCCCTTTTTCAGTCCACCTGACTTTTTGGTACCGCGACTCTGAGGCTTCAGCGCAGTAACAGCGATGGGCGCATCCAATCGTGTCATGTTGTGTTCCACCTTGTCGTCTACAACCTGCTGCGGGACACAGGTTGGGATCTTGTTCGCATTGCAATCCTTCTTTGCAGACTGGGAGACGTGCTGCAAATCGTCAACCGTCGGATTGCAGGTGTGGGCCACGAGCTTTTCGCCACAAATAGCGTCAGGCACCACTACCTCGACAACATCATCATCAATCTCCATGGGATTTTCGACTTCCACGACTTCACTCCAAGCCAGGTCGTCGTCAATCTCCATGGGTGTGGGAAGTCCTGTGGAGAGACATTCGCCAAAAAAACCATTCGCTGACTGCCAAGAAGATAAAGCGAACGCCTCATCAAGACCTTCTACTGTCCCAAACTTTGGCTTTGGATCCTTCAAGCCAGCATTATTCAAACCCGATGGGGTTTGAACGGACTCTTGTTCAAAGACAAAAGTTTCCTCGACTGGCTTTGGAACCAAACCGCACTCTGGTTCAGCGACTTCAGTCAATGAGTCGCAATGACCTTTGTTTTCAGAGTCGTTGAGCTCCTCTTCCAACATCGCGTCAAGGAATCTTGTAGGGAGTCTTGGATTTGCAAAACCCTCTGAGAAAAATCTTTCACAGATGAATCTGAGTCGTACGCTGACCTCAGCTTCATCGCATATATCTACAAGCTCACTCGACACACCCTCGTCGAGATCAGCATGGGTTTCCCCACAGGTACCAGCTACGCCGTCAACTGGGAACACCATTGTATCAATGCCACGCTCCAACTCATCCAAGGGAAGGAGGTGTGGAATATATTCCCGAAGCCCTACTCCAAAGAACACGCTAGACTCTCCTACACAAACAACGTCTTCCTCCTCCGAAGAGGAATCATCGACGGACATATGACCTGGGATACCTCCGTGGCGCTCACTCAACAAGCTACCTGAGGGTTCTCCCGTTGTTCGTGAACCAGTAGACCACAAAGAGCCTACCCAGTTTGACACAAGGCCAAGGATTGTCTGACGCATCACAGTATCGTGAGCTTCGACTCGATTCTCGCCGTTTGGTCTCACGTCAAGAGATGGGGTTGCACCCACTCCCGCCATGGAGGGGCGTCTTCTTGCAGGTTTGGCCATGCAAAATGCAGAGGGCAAAGGAGAAGCTTCCAATAGCATCACAGGGATGAATAGGAGCGCTGGGGCGAGTAGGTAAGCGAGCGCGAAGGCTGCGCAGAGAGCGTTGTATACTTTGGAATTCATTGAGATAAATGATGTATAAACAAAGTGCGAAGGAAAGAAAAACAGGGGAGGTGGGAATAACTGAGGTATATATATGTTTTTTGTTTTTTGATGGTAGTCGCGCTGACATCACACTCCAAGCTATCAATATATTTGTTTATACGCCTTTATCAACTTGACACACATAGGTATGGGTAGATAAGAATTGTCTCCCCCCCAAACAACTACCAGGCAGCCTGTATATTTTCACATGATGATTAATACAGGTACCGCACGTTCTCTGAGGATTACCACACACACAAAAAGAACAACCAACCGGTTCATGTATATTTAACGCTTCTTCACTGTGATAAGTTTCTATAGATTCGTATCAGCACCAAGTCCAAGTACCAAGAGGTCTGTACTTTACTGTTGTAAAAGGGCTTCACTATATGTTTAATACGTTCTTCTTGAATATGTTATTTTATTCTATTTTATTCTATTCCATTTTACTTTATTTTATTTATATTGTGTTGATTAAACTCCCGAAATAAAATAAAATGAAATGAAATGAAAATTTTCTGTTGGAACAAGAAGTGCACAGACCAGCTTAGAGTAACCTGAAAATTGCCGTTATTGAAGCTTGTACTCTGTCTTTAGAGTTGTTACTACAACCGATCAAAACCAAAGTCTTTCTTTACTTCTTTACTTCTTTACTTCTTTACTTTGATTTATTCTCTTTTGATTTACTTTACAAGAAAGTTGGTTTTTGTGATGTAATGACTGTTTCTTATTGGCTGTCCCTTCCGTTGTATAACAGTTACACGATTACAGGTTAATATAAATTATAACCAATAGAAAGAGAAAACATGTACCAAAGTAGTAAAAAATCATATTGACTATCGGATGCTTTCCCTCTTCCTTGTTATATTCAATCCACATATAAATATTAACAGCTCTTATGAGACCATTTTTTGTCAACAAAATGCCAGACCACTTATAAAACCCCCCAAACTGCAGTACTACAGTTTAATACTAGGCCAAGGCAATTTTTGTTGTTGTTGGATGTGCTGCTGTGTAAAGCGTATCAGCCAATCGTAACATAGTGATGTTATGGGAGATAGAGGGACTAACCTGCAATGAATCCTACAGACTCTTTATTGCTAACACGTAAAAAAAAACTTTCGATGACTTGAAGTGACGCTTTCGTAGTCGAATAAGCTGAGTCTTGCTACTTTGTAGTAAAATCCTGCTGCCAAGTTTGCACCCTCCATTATTCACCAATGAGATTTGTGGGTGAGAGGAATATAACGAGTGTGATATATTTTACCACCATTTTCACACTTCGTCTGTATCAAATCAAGTTTACATTCCGAAGGATATTGATCTGTGTAATCCAGAGACAAAGAATCCGGTGCTATTATTCTTTTAAAAAAAAATAGAAAATAATATATCTTTTATGTATATTTGTGTTTAAAAGAGAGAAAGTGAAGGGAAGTATGGACTAGATACCCAAGTAATAGTCCCATTGTATTTATGAAACAATAATTATTATTCTTCTTCTTTTAGCTTTTTCGTCTGCTCTCTGCTAATTAGTCCTATTTCTTTGATATAATGAGAGTAATATTAATGTTTTCAGCAATATGATTATATTGAGAGCTGCTTGTATCAGACATCATATCATTAGATATTTTTATCGTGCAAATATTAGTTTATTGAATCAAAATCACTAAAAACAGCCTATTTGATCAAAAAGAACCTGTATATGGAAGCTAGAGATAACAGATATCTAGTATGCTCAGAGATATTACAAAGCTGTTTTGCGCATAAATGATAATGTTAGTATCTTAGAATATATATTGCTTACAAGAACTATGCAATATTTTTCTCTTCTTCTTCTTCTTCTGAAAAAGAGATCCCCAGAATAGTCTCTCAATCATTCGGTTTAAATATGTTAAAGCTTTTGTACTATAAACTTGTAGCAATAAAATAATATAGCTCAAAATGTTATAAGCTAACAATATTACATTAAATGTATTTCATTAACGAGGTTTATGTGCAAAGAATAAAGTACAAATAATCCATCCTGATAGCTGATATTTGTAGAGAACATCGAGGATCTATCTCAAATATCGCTATATAAGTGTATAGACACCCACACACATAATATATTAGACTTTAATGGGTTTATCTTTTTATCAGTATTTAAAGGCATATAAAATACAAATTATTGTCCCTTGAGTCTCTTATATATATTTATCTTTTGAGAGGCAGCTGCTATTTAATTAACCGTATATTAATGTCTGTGTCCTAGTTGTCTAAGATTGCTGTCTTGAGATATAAATTATGAATGCTGACTTGTTAAGTTATAATAGTAACGTATTCCGTTTGTATATCAAATTGATTATAAACAGTTCCAAGCAATATATCAAAGTAAAAGAAAAAAGGGAAGTCATTGGGACTAATTGCCCAATTTGCTTTTTTCAGATAGGTTTATTTCGTAGCAGCAAGGTTACAACTGCTAAATACTCGAATGTACTATTTGGATAAAAATTTAACTATCAACGAAAATGATGCTTTTGATCAAATTGGCAAATTCTACACCGAAAATCAGCTATAAATCACTATTCATAAAGCTAATAGGCTCTATGACTATAAGTAACCTGGTTAGACACATCAAGATTCACCTTATCAACATTTTCTGATATCGATTGCTCAAATATTGACCAAAACATCCCACATTTTCACTTTATAAAATCTTAATTCACTATCAATCGGGCTATTTGCACCAAAAAAGTCCATTTTCGATACCCACTTTTACTCACAGGACAACTGAAAAAAAGTCTGGAAAATTTTCTTTTTAGCCTATTAAGTAAAGCTGTGTAGAACATAAATACGGGTCCGTCAATACTTGTCTCAACAAAAACAAATGCGAACTCGTGGAGATATCAACTACTCTAAAAATGCCTAAATTTGTTAAGGAAGTATAAAAAAAGCAAATAATCTATTTACACCACAGGGCTAAATAAATTACTGCGGGGGTATCTTTGTGATAAATATATAAATAACCAGAGTAACATACAGATATTAAATTGTTTTGTATAAGGCCAAGCATTAGGTCTTCTTAAGCCTTAATATTACTCTAGCTACGTAAAGAGTTCTTTATAAAAAATTAGAGATGTATGCCCTAAAGAAATATTGATATGAAACATGCCCATGTGATAAAAATAACCCGAATGTTAATATTAATAGGGTTTCTTTTAAATTGAAACGTTTTGAGTTTTTGATCAATATTTGAGTAATCAATTTCAAACAAACTTTATATAGTGGATATCCATGTGCCTTACCATATTACTTATACACTTAAAGACCCTTTGCTTAAACGATTTGGATATATAGCTGATTTTCTGTATTTAATTTCCCATTTTGATCGAAATGATCCTTTTTATTTAACTTTTTCCTTGTTTAAAAATTAGCGACCCCGGCTTTAAATACATGGTCAACCGTTAAAAAACGTACCTTGATCAATAGGTAATGTCAGACAAAAATTAATATTATTGCCTAATTTCATTTAATTTCATTTTTCAATTATTTCGATATCTTTAGACCAGCCATCACCTTAGAGTTTAAACAGCACGTGATTGCTTACATCATTCCTGCTTGCATCATTCTTGCTTGCGTCAGCCAACAGATGTTTTGCTGATATAATTGTGAGGTGTTGATTGTAATGGCCCTGCAATACCTTCAGGTGTACATTTACATTGGACGATGGTATGTATATAAAAGAAAGCCTGTAATTTGTTTAATTAATCAAATCTAACGTTCATGTTCTAAATGTATATAAAAGAAACGCGTTGTGTCATAGCTAAGAGGCATTAAGACCTCGAAGAGGCAATCTAGGCTAATAGACCCACGTCAAGATTCCATGATATATTGGCAGCTCTTGTCTGTATTTCACGTCAAGATTCCGTGAAGTACAGTTGACCTTGCTATGATACGACGCGATAAATATTCAAGTCCATCATCTGAAGTAAGTTTTATTTTTGTACAGGCTCTTTGAAATGTACCGTCAAATGCTAATTGTTTTATTTCTTTGAATCTGATTTTTTCTGTATGATACGCTTAGGTTCTGTAATGTACAGCTGTCATTACTAGGGCGGAAGGTATGGCGAGTATTGTGTCATAGGACGGGGGCGTCACTTCCTCTAATGGCAGTCTAGGCTAGTATGTCTACGTCAAGGTCCCGTGGTATACTAGCAGCTCTTGTCTGTATTGCGCGTCAAGATCCCGTGCAATACAGTTGACCTTTCTATGGCACAATACACCAAATGGGCAAATGCCCTCGCATAAAGTAAGTTTTATCTTTATACAAGCTTTTTTAAATGCACAAAAGTCTAATCTTCATTTTCAGTTTTTTAGAATCTGATGTCAGTAAAAGTAACTCTTGAGAATAAACCCTTTGTTCCAATAACCACTTATCAAATGTCTTATTATTATTTTTTGAGTAATTAGAATATAGCAGCTTATATTTATTGTAAAGGGTTTAATCCCATCAAGTACATTATAAGAATAGTTATTTCATTATTATTAATAATAATAATAAGCGAGATGTAAAAGAGAAGAATATGTGACCAATCTAGTGTAGGAAACAAGGAAACATTTAAACAAAAATGAGTGTCAAATTGAAATATAGGAATAAATTGAAAAGAAACAATAAGTTCTATGAGTATTATTTGTTAAATAGAGTCAGTATTGCATTTCTTATATATATTAATATTAAAGCTTCTTGTAATCCGAATCCATGTTGTTTAATGGCTGGTTTACATTGTGTAAGAGCATCCAAGCGGTCTGTGTAAATTTAACAATATTTTAAATTTAGATAGGAAATTTAGAAGTTTTTATCCTCCAGCATTGCCTAACTAAAAGTTTTAACTGATTATTTCTTAAATAATAATTACCTGCTTTTTAAAATTTAACAATTCACAAAAACATCCAGGGCTTTTTTTAAATACACTGCTAATTTTACCCAGACCGTTGTGCATGTTCTAAATTCTAAATTTCCTATCTAAATTTAAAATATTGTTAAATTTATACAGACCGCTGTAGATGCTCTAAGTTGGCAAGACTATGTCTACAAATTGTAGTTGCTGCCATTTGGATATTAGTCATTAACTCGACTTTACATTTAATTGACAGGGAAGCCCAAGAAAAAAAAAGATACTGTAAATCCATACTAACATCCCGGCTTTTTTAAAGTATATTTATGGCTTGGGATTGAGCGATTAATCCTTGCCAAATGAGAAATGCTCTTCCAAAGAGATGTACTTGATCTTCTGAGTTATTCGTCGATTGATAAATACAAGGGCAAGCATTAGACAATGCTTGAAGATATTCGTCGATCCCTCCTTCTCCAAGAACAGTATCAATAACATAGATTTAGTTCAATGTTGCTTTGTTTTAATAAAGCGTGTTGCAAAATAAAGAAAGCAAGAAAGAATACAGAAAATACACGCACTATGATAACATTTCAGGGATCAAGTAAACCAGAAATAGCTTGAGTAACATACAACTCCAAAATTGTTTCGTGTAAGGCCAAGATTTTAAGCCATGCGTAACGTCAATATGTTATTCTGGGTGCGTGAAGAGCACCTCCAGAATCAAATTACGTTTTTTTTTTAACAAAGTGAAAGTAGTTAGCAAGCAATTTCTATAACAAGTATATGATGATCTATATATGTAATTCTCGACTTTCTTTCATTTCTGAATGAGTTTTCTCTGCATGCTGAAGAACGCCATAAATCAAATATTACTAAATCGAGATTTTGCCTATATAAAAGTGTGGTTCCTTTAACCTACAGAAGAAATTCAACTACTCTAATTTACATTTGATTCAAATGAGTAAGAACATTCGATCATAATTTTCCTTTAAGGATCGAGGCTTTATTTTTATTTACAATTCTTCTAGGTAAAGTACATGAAAATGTTGGATTGTTTAATGAATGCAATCATAAATGGACTATACCGGAATGGTCCAAGATACCTTTGAAAGCTATTTTAAACAGTCAGGGCTTTAATGTCGGAAATCATGAATGGTAATATATATATATATATTATATAAAGAACTTTTAAGTGAGATTTGGATATTATTCATATATGTTGATGTTAATACATATATTAAAGAAAGAAAAAACTGATGGCTACATATTCAAATTATAGGACTGTCCAGGTAAGATGAAACTAATAAAAAAAATTGAAAGCCAATGCCTAACAATATTAAAAAATAATCTTTACAAATAAGTTGGAGAAAGGAAGCTCAAGTTACCCTGAAGTAAGCTAATTTCAAATAAACCATAACATAGTATTTATATACGTATTTATATACGTATTTATACGTCGATTTAAAAGCACATTGGGATATTTGTCATGTCAATGGGAAAATATTCAACAAGTGACAAAGGAGACTCTACCGAGAAAATCAAAGTCTCTCTATCTATAATTAAGTCTGGAATGAAATCTATTGATAAAGGTAAAATTATATATATGAATGATAGTATATAATGCAAAATTCGTGTTCTAACATGTTTTTAGGATTTTCGCATGACTTTGAGTTTAGCAAGTATAAAGATTCCATATATCGAGTTCCATTTTGTTTAACCTTTGAAATAATGCAGAAGGAGGATCTTCATACGGACGTGAATATCAGAAAGTCACTACATTGCAAAATTTGCAAAAATATCTCACGAACGACCGGCTCACTCTTTCTATTGGTCTGGCTATTGAACAAAAAAACAAAAACTCACTGGATGGACCCCGCCCATATCCAAAACCCCAACCTCTCAAGTTCTATGATCAAGATTTCAAAGACTTTCAAGATGTTACTATACATGTATTTAAGGACGAAATTGATGAGTCGGAAGAAATTGAAAGCACTGAAGGATTAACATCAGATGAAAAGGCCACAATACATAGCCACAAGTTTATTCTGGCTGCAGAATCTCCGTGGTTTAGGGATATATTCCTTAGCGGCATGAAAGAATCTACCGAGAATGAAGTGAAGATTCGTGGAGTTGACCCAATCATATTTCAATTGATTTTTGACTTTAGTTATGGGAGGAATATATACATAAATGACAGTACCCATTGCATAAACATTCTCAAAGTTGCCGATCGCTTCCAGTCCAAACGTATCAAAGATTATGCCTTTTCATGTTTGCGAGCTCAGATCAACAAGTCCAACATATTTGATATCTGGGAAGCATCAGGTAAGCGAACGTCTAATAAGATTTCTGCTTTCTTTACTCATTCTTGCTTTAGATTTGTACGACTGTGACGAAACCCGGGCCTTATGCGAGGAAAATATGAAAAGTAGCTACCCGGATATCTTTATGTCCCCGGGGTGGCTTTCTGCTAATGATAAGTGTGCTATTAGCGCAATCAAGATAGATGGCTTACAAGGAATAATTGATGAGACAAGATTCTACAAAGCAGTACTAGCAAGAAGAGAGTTTGCTATCCAGGCAGTGATTAACCTACGTAAAGCCAAAGAAAAGGAATCTGAGGAGAAAATCGCTAAAGCGCCACATGTTACTCCCACTCCCAGTAATGTGAATATATACGAAGAAATCCAAAAAGAAGCCAAAGATATCAAAGAAGATGATAAAGACAATAGCTGTAATTCAGATACTCAGACAAAGACAGAGACAGAAAGGCTTGAAAGGCTAGAGAATATACGATGGGAAAAATATATTAAAGAGGAATTGGAAGCTATACAAAAGCATTTTGAAATTATGATTCGTAATATACGATTCCATCAAATGGAGACAGAATTTCTTGCCAATACAGTTAGAAAGGAACGCGCTGTTATGCAGATACCCGGGATCAAAGACATAGTAAGAACATTTAACCTGTTATTTGAGGCTTACTCTAAAATATACATTACACTATAGATATTTGAAGCGTACCGAGACAAAACCTTTCTTGGGAAAAAAGAGTTATCAAAGAAGTATAAAAGTCGATCAATTGAATCGAAATAATTTTATAAAATACTATAAACAAGGGGACCAATACCTGTACCTATCATAGTTTTATTATGTATCACGATTGAAACTATTCCTTAGATATATTTCCCCACTCTATTACCCTTGCTATTTGTTTTATGTAGATAATTAATCTAAGAAAGGATGTATTAGCTATAAAGATATCATAAAAGATATATTTTTATACTAAGAAAGGAACTCTTAATAATCACGATAAATAAGGTGTAGAACAAGGTGTATATATTGAATTATATGTATAAGGATGTACAGCTTCTATAATGGTTTACGTTTTGTGCTTGATCCAGCACTATTCTTTGTGTTATTTGCTTTATTGTTACAAAGACCCCAATCATATATAAGACTTAATTTATTTTCTCTAATAGAACTTTCCATGTGTAATTTTTTAGATAGCTTCTTACTTTTCTAATTATCATTCTTCTGTTTTATAGTTACTTTAACTAATTCCTGTGACTTCAGCTTATATCTACTGTAAAGCTCTTTCTTTTTCTCGATTATGGTATTTTGAGTATTTCTTCATACTCTTTTTTAGTTCATTAGTTGCTGCCTCTAAGCATTTTCTTGTAGAGTGTCCTGTTTGGCAAGTTTGAATCACGATTCTGACTCTCTAAGTACCTGATATATAGTTAACCTTTTATTTTTTGTATTTGTTATACAATTTGAGGTATTCGAGACTGTTTTAGTGTTAGTATCTCAATATTGGAAAAAAGTTGATATTATATTTAATTTACTAGGCGTATGCCGATGAGAATCAATTGGCAAAAAGTAAGAATATGGAAAGTGCTTTTTAACGAGATACAAAAATATTCCTTTATTACGCCTTACTACACTTCCTCTCATAATAATCTTTACTTCCAACTACTACTACTACTACTACTACTACTATTGCTACTTTCATTATACCTACATCAATATCCTAATATCGTCCCTTTTGTTCTCCGAAGGGTGGCGGCCACCAACCACCACCACCCCAACCGTCTCACTATCATCATCACAGGTAGTAACATTTAAGCCGTAGAAAAAGGCAAATGTAAAGCAAGTGGGTTCCTAATCTGGCTTCTCTCCTCTTGATACTTTCTCGACAATGTATTTTCTCTACTATAAGCCTGGTTACTATCATCGTAGTCCTAAAACTTACAGTAACGCATGACAATTAACCTATCGAATTCTCAAGAATTCTAGAAAAAATAATAGATAAACCTACTTAGATATAATCATAAGATCCAAAACAAGATTTGATACAGTCGAGTTCCCTCTCTCCCACATTTTTTTGTCTTATTAATCTTTGACTCAAAACCTTTTATCATAAGAAGTTTTCCCACCAGAGTTTTCATTTTCTGATAAAAAAGATATTATATAGTATTTTGCTTAAGTAGTTTTATGATGATGAAGCGGTGTGAGGGGAAAGTTGAAGAAGTAAAAGGTAGACAGATAGATGTAATAAAGGGTAGGAAGACCATATGGATGTGTATATATACATAAAATAAAAAGAAATAAAGAAAGAAAAAAGAATAACAGCTAGGTCTCTTCAGCAGGGTCCATCTCTTTTTCATCAAATAGTTGTTTGGCACGACGAATGTCTTCACTCATATAAATAAGCTCCTCAACACGTGCCAGCTTCTTTGCGTCCTTGCGTAAGATGTGTTTAAAGTCTTCTACGCGTACCTTGCCTCGGTTCTCCGCTACCTTGGAAGCTTTGAGACACTATATATGCATATATACATATAGTGTGTGTGTATGCAGTTTAATACCACACCTCTCTTTTGTACATCAATATACTGTTGTTTACCATTTCAGTAATGTAGTCAATCACAAGATCATCCATAACAGCAATTGAATCAGCCGCTGGATTCTGAACATCGCCAAAGCCATACATCAACAATTTGACTGCCAGACACAATGGATTGAGTGTCCATGACAGTCCATCTTTAAGGAAAACTTACGGTCTTTGGCAAACATGCCCTTTCTGACAGTCTTCCGTCTGCCAGGACCAGTGCCTGGTTCACGATGTTCTTTAACTAGATCTTTTTGTTCTCTGCTTTCGCTCATCGTAAAAAAAAGGGTGTTTCAGTTAACCAAGCAACCAAGATTAAATAACAGTGTATTAAAAAAGTATCAAACACTATATAAAGTAAAATAAAAAAAGACTGTCACGAAGATTGTGCTGCTATGTAAATGAAGTGGATTTGGATTTGGGTCTTGTATATATATATATATATATGTATGTATGTGTGTATGTATATATTTTAGTTCAATAAGCTTGCTATTAAGAATACTACTGCGACTATTTGTGGTCGTTGCTGTTTACTCTACTCAAGATAAAGACTAAACCAATGCCAACTCTAAGGTCCATGTTCTTCTTGCCCACAATCTCACAGACTGACCCTCAATTTCTACTGTGTTTCCATCCCACCAACATTTCCTCTAATAAAAAGGTTATCGTTATTATTATTATTATTTAAACAAGTAGGTATATATTAGCTGAGACTATAATAAAATATAGGTTGTTAACTTACTGCTGGTTTTCTCCAAAACAAGAGCAATTTCTGTGCAGTAGCCATGTGGTTGTCTGGACCGGTTGTATTTAACAAAACAAGGCCCATACTGATGATACAGGTACGGAGTGGTTCTAATTCACGATGTCCCCAACGATCGTCTCGCTTGAATCCCGCATCACAAAGCATATCAATAAGATGCTGCTCGGCAACATTGTTCTCACGAGAGATATTGCGCTGGAGTGCATCGAATATCTGGTCTTGTTCTTTGAGGTATGTACCACCAGATATTTTGAGAGTCGAGGATGAATAATTGTCGGGCGAAAGGCAATAGTACTCGAGTTCTTCTCGGAGTACAATGATCGGCTGTTTGGTCAGCAGTGGGTAGTACACAGGCGATGTTGCAGATGTTGCCGCAAGAAGCTTTTGCTGCTGTTCTGCGTCGCCAGTTTGGTTGGATTGGTAGACAGAGTGTGCGTGTTGATAGAAGCGAAGTACATAGTCGAGACAAGCAGGATTGAAGTCAACATAGTTTATCTGGTCGTCCATTCCAACTGAATCTCTTGATTGAGACTCAAAATCATCATCGCCATCATCTTGTCTACCCAGTACAAGTCCATTTGGAAACATGGCAATCAGTAGACTCTCAGGTAAATTGACTAGGACGTCTCTATCCAACTGTACACGAGTTCCCCGTAAGTCAAGTTTGAGAGTTTGTGGGATTGCGTTTGGTGCATTATCAAAAGCATCTTCTTCGGACGGACCAGCTTGTTGGTAGATTAAGTCATCCTGATCATAATGTGTTTCTGGCTCTGGGACTTGAACAATAGGATTTTCTGAAGTCATTGAACAAATAGGCAATTTTCTTTCCTTTTTTCTTTTTTTATTTTTTATTTTTTATTTTTAGTAAACTTCTTTAGTCTTAAAATATGATATGGTTATATTCTTTATATATTATAGATATATAGATATTTACTAAAGAGATAGATAGATAGATAGATATGTATCTATTAAAGGAATTCAAAGCAAGAGAAAAGGAAAAAGATTAAGAAGGGGTTAATTACTATTCTCATTATTCTCATTCTTATTCTTATTCCTTTTTAGCTTGGCTTGTGAGCGTGTAATATTTTGTTTTAGCTGTATCACTCTGATTGTCATCTTCAGGCGTTGTACAAGTGTGATCCATTCCTTATTGTTTTTTCATTTTTCAGTTTTGTCTTTAATGCTGACGATAAGATTACACCAAAATATATATAATATAATATATATATAATATAAAAAAAAATTAAAGAAAAAATTAAACTTTTTGTGTATTATTTCTGTTTCCATGGTTGAAGCGCAAATATAGAAGGGAATTTGTTTATTTTGGTTGGATTTAAGCAGAAGCGGACTTCTGGATGGAAGAGGTTCTGCGTCTGGCGATCTTGCGATCCTTGGTCTCCTTGACGCGCTTGGCCAACAATTGCTTGTACTCGGCCTCGGCTTCGCGGGAGGACTCTGCTCTTCTGCGCTTGATGGCGGTTCTGTGTCTCTTGCGCTGGAGAGTGAGAGGGGTAACAAGACGCTGGATCTTGGGAGCCTTGGTGTAGGTCTTCTTCTCGGCGTTCTTGGGCTGAACCTCACGACGAATGACATACTTACGGACATCATCCTCCTTGCTCAAGTTCTAATAAAGTATATATATATATATATATATGTATATGTAAATACTCTGAATCCTTTTTCCTTATTCTCATTATTTATATTTGTATTTATATCTAAAAAAAAATACTTACGAAGAACTTGCGGATCTTGGAGGCACGCTTGGGACCAAGACGCTTGGGGACGGTGACATCGGTAAGACCGGGAATGTCCTGCTCACCCTGCTTGACAACGACGAGCGAGAGAACGGCAAGGTCGGAGCCGACGATGCAGCCACGAACAGACTTTCTCTTGCGCTCACCGGTACGGCGAGGGCGGTAGCAAGAGTGACCCTTGCTCAAGAGGAGACGGACACGGTAAGGCAAGAGGACACCCTGCTTCATGGGGAAACCCTGCTTGTCGTTACCACCGGAAATGCGGAAGACGTAGCCCTTGAACTCGTCACCGAGAGCATCACCAGAAACTTCCTGGGACATGCGCTTGTCGTAGAAACCACGGCTATGAAAGTTAATCATTTATATTAGCCTGAATGTCGCATTTATTTTTATTCCATCTATCAATTCAATTCCACATCAACTCACAGGCGGCGCTCATCGTCGATTTCAATCAACTTTTGACAGCCAGTGGCTGGGTTGGCGATGTTCAACTATTATCAATGGTACATGCGTGAGTTTTTTTTTCCCTAATCCATCCATCCATCGATTCATCCGTTTGGTCCAAGGTATTCGATTGTCGTTTTTGTAGGTGATTCTATCATGTTTTTTATTTTTTTTTACCTTCATGTTGGCGCTGGAAAGAAGGAACCTCCTTATGCGCGGTGTCCATAGCTTCACAACACTTGCCGGGCTGGCTCCGCTCTTCCGGAGTCTCATTCATCGGACGAGTCACGTACACCAGCCAGTTTAACCCACATCCTATGGTTACTCCGTAGGACGATCCCTCTCAGGGACCTTTTCTTCTTTTCCTTCTTTGTTCTTCGTTTAAACCAATATTGAATTGTATATGTAACTTTACCATTAGAATAGCATGTTTTTGATTTTTGCTTTGAGCCTTCAAAGCAAATAATACATATTCTATAATTGTACAAATAACAAAGTTTATAATAATAAATGAATTGGCTGTAATTTACTTTTTACTTTTATTTTATCTTTTTGGTCACATTGAATTTGTAATTATCATGAGGTTGAATACTACTTGTGAAAAAGATGAGTTCAATGTAAATATATATATAATCAAAAAGTCATTGGTGCTTTATATTTTTATAATGCTCAGTCAGCGATTCTTGGTATTCTTTTGTTTTATTTAAAATAAAATTAAAATACAGTAAGATACACTGTAAAGCCTGACGAATTTACCCATTCTTGAATTATACAATATAATGAAAATAATAAAATATCGTAACACCATTTCTGCATTATAAATTGTGTGTAGTTCAAATTTCAGCTCTTTGAAAATAAGGAAACCCTGCATAAGGCAAAATTATGAATAATACCTGATTTGTTGAGAATATCAATAGTATTCTGGCCTGTTTTATCTCAATTAGAACAATAAGGCAGTGTCATGGCCCATATGGGATGTAACATATATATATATATATATATATACTATACTGCCTTTAAAGATAAACGCCTACCGTAAATAAAAAGCGTCTATTGTTCTATTTAACTTCTGCCTGCTACAAATAATAATAATAATAAAATATTAAAGATCTTCGGGCTGGATTTGGTGTTGAGTTCTAACCATAAAATACAAAGACATACGTCTCAAGATCACTAATTGATTTTTTTAATAACAATATCTTACTAGAAAACTTGTAACTATAAAATTTCAGTAAAGTTTTTAAATTTAAGAAAGATAATGGAATAGAATGATTCTTTTGGGCCAAAAGTGCTCCATTAAAACATTGTCTTGATGTGTAACAATTAATAAAAAAAATAGATGTCTTTGTGTGATATGGGGTATGTGCGCTATACTACAGTGTCCATCAAAAGGGCTAAATTCCAGCCACCTGCATTAATTATATATAAAAGGTACTAGAAATTAAAGGTTCTTGTTTATTCCATTTATTTTTGTCCAACTTTACAGCAAACGACCATTTACATCTTCATCCGATACAGTTAAGATATAGAGTAAAATAAAGTTAAGATTTCATTTCACTTCAATTCTGCGTTTTGTAGATAAATCTCACATCAGATTAAGCCATTAATGAAAACAGTAAAGTTACAAACAAACAATACACGGAATAAGTCCAAGGACATCACTGTGAGTTCACAGCATAAACCGTGTTCTATAGATATATTCTTTGTGCTTTATGTTTCAAAATATAATGTTTATTAAGCTTAAAAAACTACGCGGGGATTTGACAATAGAGCCTAAAAAATGGATTTCTAGGAGTGTATTTCTTTCTGGCTTACTTTCCATGTTTCAGTTACCTTTAAGCTTTAATTATATTTTATTCATATATTGTAAGACCAAGAGAAGAATGTCCCAGGGAGCGGGTCATCGTGTGAGACGAAGACCTTCAAGTTCAAGAAGAGCACAAATTTCAAATATCAAGAATAGTGAACAGTCAAAAAAAATCTTCAAGCAGCTCATTAAACTTCCAAGAATCTTGCAAATAATTCCAGCTAAAGTTGCCCTCTCTCGTTTTATTTACCAAGATATACTGATTTAAAGAATTGTATTTTCTTTCATCTGGTCATTCATCAAATTTATTGCTGAAACATTTATTTGAACCCATAATTGTTTGTCGTGTTTATTACAACTCATTGCATACAATTATATTTACTGTCTTCGTATTTTATCATCACAATTAGTTATTCACTATACCACCTGGATCCCTTGAGTTTAGCTGGCATTAACTGGAAACCTCTATTCAAATCATGCTCCTCTGGCGGTCTAATTTTTCTCCACGCTGATCGGCACCAAACTGGTATGTATATCCAATAGACTTTGCCCATAATTCCTTCCGAAATTTCCTGATATTTCCATAAGCCCTATCATTACACTTCCATTTTCAGCTTGTTAAGGTCGTCGGATTCTCCCTCTCCACTCGGTGTTGTACTACATCATCGCTCCAAAGCTAGTTCAAAGCATCTATATCTTCCAGTAAATTTATTATCAATGCTGGAATGCTTTGTGAAAGGTTATTTGGGATAATGTACACCAATATACTTTTCAGAATGGGATTCTTCTTATTCTCATTCTGTCCACTTTGTATACTCGTCTGACAGAAAAAAACCGAATCCCTTGAACGATTGTTTTTTTCGCAAGCTCTCCCAAATAGTCGGTTTAGGAACATTGCTAATTCCCGGAATTTTGCCTTTATGAAAAATCGCCCGATGCTTGCCAGATTCTATTTTGTAGAATCTTTCCATCTCCGTTAGGGTTATCGACTTATAAGTTATTACGGCCTAAAGCACTGGACATGGAATCAGGTTTTAAAAATAAAATCTCTTTCAATTCAGTGTAATGGCCAATAAGGACTTGAGCATTATGTCGTAAAATTGGTTGCAGGTGAAAAACGTTGTTGGTCCTCTATGCCTAGTGTTTTTTTCTCTACAATAATATCTTGATCCACGTGATAGTTGTAATTACGTTTCTCTTTTTAACTTGCATATCAAGTTTAAATAGCCGCACGACAAGTGCTACGGCTTTACCAATAAAGAATACCAAGAGTAAAACATAGGTTTGACTGTATGATTTGTTTATAATTGATTGTGTCAAATAAGAAGAAAATACCAAGGTATCAGAATAAGATTTCTGTGGCTATTACAACCATCTTTCAATTCTACTTTTTTTTGGAAGGTGTGTGTGTGACTTGTTACTTTCCAAACATGCAACATCCTTTAATAGGCCTTCATGTTTAAAAAATTAAAATTAAAATTAAATACTAAATTTAAGTCAACCACTTAAACCATAACACTTGTAGCCATACAAACCACTAGTATTATCTTCTTTCTTTCTTTATCATCACCTTCTTCTTCTTTTCGATTCAATAAAGATTGGAACTTACCCACGCGGTATACCAATCGATTCTTGAATGCCCGCATTTCTTTCCAAGTGGCTTTCTGGTGTGACGCATCTTAAAGGGAAAGCAGTCTCCCTCACATCGACAAATTTTTTTTTGGTATATTTTTTAGTGCAGAAAGGGGCAGGCCTTGCTTCCTTCCTTTTTCCTCTTCCCACAAAGTCTAGGTTCTATCAATCATGTCTGTCGAATACGAGGGTGCCATTGGTATTGATTTGGGTACTACGTAAGTTATCAGTTTTTTTTAACAAGTTATATTTTTTTGGGTGCTTGTCAAAAAAAATATACAACATTATTTTATTTTATTAAACATTTTATTAATATAATTCTTTAATTTTTAACAGCTACTCCTGCGTTGGTGTCTGGGAGTCCGAGCGTGTCGAGATTATCGCTAACGAGCAGGGTAACCGTACCACTCCCTCCTACGTTGCTTTCTCCGACAGCGAGCGTCTTGTTGGTGATGCCGCCAAGAACCAGGCTGCCATGAACCCCAAGAACACTGTCTTCGATGCCAAGCGTCTTATCGGTCGTCGTTTCGATGATGCTGATGTCAAGGCTGACATGAAGAACTGGCCTTTCACCGTCGTCGACCAGAACGAGAACCCCTTCATTCAGGTTCAGTTCGAGGGCGAGACCAAGACTTACTCTCCCCAGGGTAAGAAAAATAATAAAAATAAAAATTATACGAGCGCAAAAAACTTTTGTCTGGGAATGGAATGCTAATGTGACTATGATATTAGAAATCTCCTCCATGGTTTTGATCAAGATGAAGGAGATCGCTGAAGCCAAGCTCGGCAAGAAGGTCTCCAAGGCCGTCGTCACCGTCCCCGCTTACTTCAACGACAGTAAGTACAAAATAAATTTGCTTGGTGGAGATTTTGCTTTTTTTGCTTACAATTTTTCTTTAAATAAAATTAGGTCAGCGTCAGGCTACCAAGGATGCTGGTGTCATTGCCGGTCTCGAGGTCCTCCGTATCATCAACGAGCCCACCGCCGCTGCCATCGCCTACGGTCTCGATGCCAACGACAAGAAGGAGCGCAACGTTCTCATCTTCGATCTCGGAGGTGGAACCTTCGATGTTTCCCTCTTGACCATCTCTGGTGGTGTCTTCGCCGTCAAGGCCACCGCTGGTAACACCCATTTGGGTGGTGAGGATTTCGATAACACCCTCGTCAACCACTTCGTCCAGGAGATCAAGCGTAAGCACAAGAAGGACATCTCCGATGATGCCCGTGCCCTCCGCCGTCTCCGTTCCGCTTCCGAGCGCGCAAAGCGTACCTTGTCTTCCTTGACCCAGACCACCGTCGAGGTTGACTCTCTCTTCGAGGGTGTTGACTTCCAGTCCAACATCACCCGTGCCAAGTTCGAGGAGATCAACTCCGCCAGCTTCAACGGTACCGTCGAGCCCGTCGAGCGTGTCCTCAAGGATGCCAAGATTGACAAGAAGAACGTTGACGAAATTGTTCTCGTTGGTGGTTCTACCCGTATCCCCAAGATCCAGTCCCTCCTCCAGGACCTCTTCAACGGTAAGGAGCTCAACAAGTCCATCAACCCCGATGAGGCTGTTGCCTACGGTGCCGCCGTCCAGGCTGCCGTCCTCACCAACCAGGCTGGTAACGAGAAGACCCAGGACTTGTTGTTGTTGGATGTCGTCCCTCTTTCCCTCGGTGTTGAGATGCAGGGTGGTATCATGGCCGTTGTTGTCCCCCGTAACAGCCCCATCCCTTGCCAGAAGTCTAAGATCTTCACCACCGCCTCTGACAACCAGACCACCGTCACCTTCCCCGTTTACGAGGGTGAGCGTCTCTTGACCAAGGAGAACAACCTTTTGGGTGAGTTCTCTCTCACTGGCTTGATCCCCGCCCCCCGCGGTACCCCCGAGCTCCTCTGCACCTTCGATCTCGATGCCAACGGTATCTTGAAGGTTACTGCTCAGGACAAGACCACCGGTCGCAAGGCTGATGTCACCATCTCCAACTCCACCCGTTTGTCTGCTGCCGATATCGAGCGCATGGTCAACGATGCCGAGAAGAACGCCGAGACCGACAAGGCCCGTGAGGCTGTTGTCCAGGCCAAGCAGGATCTTGAGTCTTACGTCTACCAGGTTGAGAACCAGGTCTCCGACCCCAACGTCAACATGAAGATCCGTCGTGGTGACCGTGAGGCCATCGAGACTGCTCTCGCCGAGGCTATGGAGATGATGGATATCTCTGCTGAGGATGGTTCCGCTGATGAGTTCAAGGGTGCCCAGTCCAAGCTCAAGCGCGCTGCTACCCGTGCTTTCGCTCACGTCTACTCCCAGCGTCGTTAAGCTTTACCCACTTTAGAATTCTTTTCTCTCTCGTAAAAATGATTGGCCTGAAAGGGACCTATTCTTTTTGTATTCAAATAAAAAAATCACAACATGAATTAAATTTTCAAAACCTACAAATAACTATGTTCAATGCTTTAATTTTGTTTTTGGGTGTTTGTGTATACAAGGAATTAGTTCTTGCTGGTGTTAATGTATCGATGTATATGATATGTTATTTTCTATATTCTTTTGGACATCTTAATATATTTGTATCCTTTTTTTTGCAGTATCTTTCTATTGCACAAACTAGAGAATGCTAAATAGTTTATAGGTTTTAACCAATCTTTTCTATAACACCATTAAAGTATCAATATTATGGCTTTGTAATTGTAACAGTTATAGAGTTTGAATAAAGTGATCTTGTAGTTTTATTGATATTTAAAATACTGTTTTTTTATAATTTGTTGAATGAAAAGAGAGATTATTATTATTTTAATGAGGATGATGATGATAAGAAGAGATTCATGTTTTTAAGTAAGAAAATAAATAAATAAATAAAATGAAACGCATAAGGGTATCTATGTATGAGAGTTGCAAGCATGAAACAAAATAAATTAATTCAAAAAAAAAGGATGATCAAGACATAGAGTATAGTAGCATTCAACGTTAAGATATAAATATGTACATAGGACGAAAGAAAAATAGAAGTGGATGAGCATATAATAGAGAGATATTCTTTTTGAAGTTAAAAATGTGAACATAAAAAATAAAGCCAAACCTAGCAGATAATAACGTGTGTTAAATAGAAATGCATATAAAAGCACTCAACCATTTTTCCCTTTTTGTTTTGTTTTGATAAAGATCAATGTCCAAAGCTTTTGCAATGGCGATCCATGTTAAATTTTGTAGGAAATATTTTGTCACAGGTTGGGCAGGTATATATTTTTCTGTCCTTGGAATATTTTTGGACATGTCTTGTGTAATTGGAACTGTTCCTGGTTCGATATCCACACATTGTGCAGGTATACAGTCTCTCTGATCTTTGGAATAGAGAAATGTCCTGTAATTCGTTTGGTATATCAAATCCAGAAAAAAGCGGTGTTAACTGTGGTGTCAATAATGAATTCTCAATGGGCACGACCAAAGCAACTTCACGTACGATCTCCTGGCCGTTCGTAGGTAGTTCAGCATTAAGCATGGGAGGAGTTTGTACCAGGGTCGCAGCCAGAGAAAGATCGTTGGTGTGGTTAGAATTAAGGTACCTTGGGCCCTGTGTTTCACGGCAGCACTCACAATGAACTATTTGATCTGCGGCGACTTGTTGGGGACTGTGTTGGGTGCTTGCTCCTCCAGCTGGTATTATTCTCGAGGTTGGTTCTGATTGTGGGGGTGGGTGTGTCTTGTATGATTTTTGTTGATCCAACCCTGGAACAACCATTTCAAATGATCCAGGAACCACATGAAAATATTCAAGAAGAGGGTTCCCAGAAGGCGATTCGGTGTGCACTGCATAATTTCCAAAAAGGTGATATATACATTGCTTGCGTTGTTTCTGTAACTCCAAATCCAAGAATTCAAGCATATCTGATGGGTGGTAAAGGTCGATATTGGCTGGATTATCACTTAGAGCTTCCAGTGCTAAAAGACAACATAGGTAAGAATATGATTGAAATCTATCAGAAACAATATTTTCTTACCAAGTTCACAAATTCTATGACTGTTGCCGCACAGACAAGGAAGTACACTGTTGTAACAGGAAGTAGGGTGTGTGCCCTGAGTCGAATCTGAACGACAATTCGTGACTGCATTATGACAATTTTCATGATTTCCTTGAGCTGTGAAGTCGTCGGTTGTTGTAGTTCGAGGACCACATATGGTATATATATACAGTCTTAGAGAACTGAGAAAATAGTCAATATTTTGAAGCATCGCGTATGTAGAAATGTATACTCCAGTAGAAAGAAAAACATGTAAGTCTGATTTAGTATTTATATCCTTGAAAAGTTCCTAGATATTCCAATTGTTAATATTGTATTCAATAGCTGTCCTACAAAAAAAACATCAAATACGAGCAAGGCGTGGTACAGTTTTTGAGGAGTGTTTCACGAATAAACAATACAAGACGATGTATATATATTCCAAACAGAGTTTAGTCTAGACATAATGTAGACTCTATCATACAAGACCAGAGGCTGTGCCACTATGATGCCAGCTCGGTCCAGTATTCGCTACCATAAATATGACGGACAAGAGGAGTAATCTCCTAAAGACTCTTTCTGGGAACTAGCGTTAAGATTAGTTTGTCGTATTATTGAAGATTTCACACAGAGTGCAAATCTTGTTTATTTTCCTTTATAGAAATATAATAAAAATATAAGGTAATATAAATTATTGATTAAGATCGTGTTTCAATTTTTTTTTCAATTTTTAAAGTTGACAATCAAGCAACTACATTAGTGAATATGCATAATAAACCTAATCCATATTAAATCTTTGCTCGCATTTTTTTGTGTACTTCACATCATTTACATATTTACTATTTTCATATAATCACCTCTAGCTAAAAGCTAAAGTCTTATATACCAAAGACTAATAGTAATACATTCTCTATTCTTTCGACTTGAATACCATTAAAATATTCAATTCATCAAAATATTCAAAGGGTATTGACATTAACGATAGAATATTAATTCTTGCTTTATATATGTGTATATATTTATTTATTTACGTCTAATTATTTTCAGCAACTGCACAGTGAATTTCCTAATTATTAAGCATTCGTGCGTTTATAAAAAAAATATGCTTGAGGAGTATTGCCCAATTATGGATTATTGCCACCCATTGTTCAATCTAATTTTGGATCGCTTCTTTGTTTTGCGGGGGGTGAAGACTACAGCCATTATAGTTTCATTTTCTTTTATCTAAATTTTGTAGTGAAAATAACGCAGTTATTGATAGGGGGTTCAGATAGAACGTTGACCAGAATGACTTCTCCCCTACCAACTTGCCTTTTTTTTTTTAAAAAAAAAAATGTTTCAATTTAAATTTCTCTAATTCCCTTGCTATTATAGGCCAAAAAAATTACTGCGCCGGCTAGAGCATATGAAAGTCCTCAAACAAGCCAAGAAAAATCAGACAGTCATATTAGTATCTTACTTGTTATTACTTTATCTAACCTTCTATCCTTATTCATGTTCTTTAAACGCTTAAAATATTACAACACGGCTGCAATAACCTTTTTTCTTTATAGTATAATAAAATTTAAAATACTAATAATAATTGACTACGCATAGAAACAAGGCACTAGACCCGATAATTCAATAAGGTATATCCTGCTTATACTACTCATATATAAAAATGTTTGTTTCATTTGTCATTAACATTGTACACTGACGCAAAGTACAGCATCACAATAACTAAATTCAATATTAATTAAAAAGGAAATTTATTAGAGCCATCTCAATGGATAATTATCAGTCTATAGCAACAGCATGTTAATTGAATAATGAGAGATAAAAAATTGTATTGTTTATTGGAAATTAGAATAAATATTGTGATACACAGACATAATTAATGACCCAGATATAGGGAACTTAATCAGGAAAAGGCTCGAGTAATACTAAGCACAGTAACGCATATTTATTTATGCGCCTAGTTTACCAATGATGCTAACTTTCTGCTGGTAGTATAGTGCTTTTATTTCCAAGAAAAATTGTGCTTTTCACTCATCTTGAAGTCTTTTGTGGTAATATGGTTTTATGTGCTTAAATAACCGGATTATCTGACCGAAATATACACTCCAAGTCTCTCCTTTTATTTTACAAATCGTTATTACCACTATTAATACATATATTTTTGCAACAACGAAGTGCCATGGTATTGACTATATATTTACTTTAAAAATCCTAAAAAAAAAATAGAGAGAGAGTATAGTAATTATGAATATATTTCCTATTAAAATATTAATTATGATAATATCCTTTGTTTTTTTTGGAGGTTCTAAAAATGCCTTGGTGAAAGAGGAGCAAGGAAGATTAGGCATTCTTAGTAAGCTAGAAAATTCGAGCAAGATAAAGGTACCTTATATTGTTTATGTGTCTGATAGTCAAAGCACGTTTTCTGTTGCTGATATTCAAGTAATTAGTAGACCAGTGAAGGTTATTTTAAGCAATTTTATAAGAGGAAACCCCATTTTAAGATTATTATTATTTTTTGATTCTGTAACACGATCTATTTTTCTTTTTCCTTGGTTACTGCTGATCAATTCTTTGGAAATAAGAATCGGTTGTACTATCGAAATATTCGATTGTACAATTCTTAACTAGATAAGTGGTCTAATAAATGTCCAGGTGTAAACCTTGATTTGCTTCTTCTTTTATTGTTTGTTATATATAAGATGTTATCGCAACACACACAAACGAGCACACACACGCACGCACATCGCAGCACCCACAATACTCACAGAGCCGTATACACTTTTCCCAAACATATGTAGTGTAAAACAACTGTTGTAAATTATAGTTAATTATCTAGGATCTACTGCCGAAATATTTACAAAACAAAACATCGTCGAGTTTAATCACAAGAGAGGTTTTAACAGAGAATAACAGTAAGTTTAACCAGTGTACTAATGCCATGTAAAGGCCACCTATTTGTTGTTGTTTCTGTTGTTGTTATTAGTTCCGGACTTATTTCCAGGAAACAACTTGTACCTCGGTTTCCAGTGCTTCGCCTCAATAATCCGCAGTGCTGACATTTTTTATTAAATAAATGTCAAACCTTTTCTTCATCTTAGTTCCCATACTCCTCTTTCTTTTTCACACATTATTTACTTGTCATTCTTATTTTAGTAGAAAAGCATCAACTTTGCCACCGTGTGCTTCCATAGAATTCTAATGTTCGTTTCTAAGTTTTCAAGCCATTCTCAATGTTCATATATGCTTGTAATTTCCACCTTTATCTTTATCGTGTCCTCTTATTTATCTTCTCTATACTATTATTTACAGGTCCTTTGAGATAATGTTTAGGGTTGATCTTACTCAACACGATAGACTGATAAGCGACAATCTTTATTCTTTTATGTCACTTTCAGTCATATTTCCTTCTTTAGGTCTTTCTTTTTCTTGTGTGTTAGTTTTGGGTGTAAAATAATCGCTTCTTTTTATTTTCCATCAGTTGCATACACTCTACACTTGGTAATGTTACCCAATTTTTCTTATTTTAACTAATTTATCTACATAAAGCACACAAAAAAACACGTAATAAATTCTTGAATGAACAATGGCCAATAACCAATAGCTTCATAACTTTCATTCTTTTTGTTTTTGGTGCGCCAATATATGGCGCAGTGCATATTGTTCTGACGGTTCAGGAACCGAATGGGATTAAGATTGTTGAGAAGAAAGTAATTGTTCTTTGCCGTAAGGAACAATATAGACATGCTGACTGAGAGTATTACACTCGAATAAAATATACCAATCAGAGAATGTTATTACAGGCTGATTATGAGCCATTTGGAGTCAAAGATTTTTATCACAGTGTAACACTCGTCTTAAACGACGCAGCTATTTTTATCCAAAAACGTATCATTTAAAAGCAGCACAAAATTTCCTTTAGACTTTACTCCATTATGTTAAATTAATAAGATCAAGCAATTAAGAGAAGAAGAAAAAAGTCTAATTGCAGGCAAAGGTAGAGAGCATACCTTGTCAGTTGGTAAAGTGTACTTGCTTTTGACTAAACCTAATGTGCGTATAATTAAAACAACAACAACAACAATAATAAAGAGAGAAGTCCTTTGAGAAGCCTTTTTTTTGCGTCATCAAACACTCATTGAATTTTGTGACAGGTGCATGATTAGCGTGTATATAACCACTTTTGTCTTTTGTACACCAAAATCAGTCGCAAAAGAACTGTCTGATCGAAGATCTTTGCATGAGATTGAAATTGATGGTGAACGTTGATAAGATTAAAGAAATAAAGAACAAAAACAAGTGTAGATTTGTAATTTGAAACAAATGGTTCGAGCTTAGGCGCGCATAACATATTGTATCTGGATGGGAAAATTATTTAAATCATACTTACTACTGTACATATCAACTACTTAAAGAATTGATGTAATATATGTATATATATAAGGCTGTTTATTCATGTACACAATCATATACATATATATTCCCTTTTGCTGAGGCTAAAGTGGACATTCAAACTGAACCATTAGTTAGACTATTTAGAGATGTAAATAATATCGATAAAAAGCATATGACAGACTCTCTTTTGCTTACTTGATGAATCGCGCTCTACGATTAAAGACTACATTGCCAGCCAGGCCAAAATTCTGTCGTTTTTTGTCTCTCACACCATGGTCACTCAAATCTCATCAACATCCCGTACCAGCTCCACCTGTCAGCGAACGATCTCCTCGCTTACCACACAATGCTTTTCTACAGGCTATGCCCTCTGACTCACCTTATCACTTTTACCAAAATAAGGTGCTTGAACCCTATGTCAACCAACCGATCAGTGCTAGTACATTGCGACAATACATCTTCTTCGGAAGGCAGATGAATAACAAGCGGCTGGCAAAGTCAGCAAACTGGGTCCGCAACGAACTCTTGGTCCGTCTCGCTCATCGCATTCGCGACTTTCAGCAATTACCCTTCTTTGTAGGCACAAACCCTCACATTAAATACATATATGGTCTGTACTGGGCTGCCTTTGAAAAATTACGAAAATCGCCTCAGATAAAGACAATGGAAGACAATCAGGGATTTTGTACGCTTCTCCGTCAGCTTTTGGAGGAAGGTAGACGAGTGATTCCTCAAATGGCACTAGGTGTGAGCGAATGCGCGTCGTATTATGCCGACGACCAACAAGATCTTGACCGATTTGTGAATAGAATGTTCAGATCGCGCATTTCTCGCCGAGTACTGACCGAACAACATCTAGCATTAACGGAGGCGTGTGAGAATGATTGGGATGAGAGTATGGGATTTGGAGACGGCTACATAGGAATCATCTTTACCCGATGTTCTGCTAGAGCCATTGTTGGTAAAGCCAGGAAACTACTTGATATTCAAGCCGCCACAAAATTTTATTCACATTACCATGGAAAATTACCGCCTCCTTCCGAATGGAAACCACCGGCCGTAGAAATCGAATTACAACCTGCAGCAGGGAGCTCAGGGAACTCGAATGAGATTATATTTGCCTATGTAAGTCTCGCTCTAAATATTTATCATTGACTTGAGACAATTTGTTTTCTCAATACCATCATCTTACAAATCCAAATCCAAATACACATAAAAGATTCCAGAGCAATTGGAACAGATTCTGTATGAAATTCTTAGCAATTCTGTCAGATTTACCATGGCTAATCATCCACCTCATGCTTATCCACCAGTGCGTGTAACTGTGAGCGTAAATGAAACTGATGTTTTCTTCCGGGTGTCCGATCAGGGAGGAGGTATTCCCAAAACAAGGTTTGATCGCCTTTGGTCCTACCAAGCCCGTGCACCGGATGGCGAGTTCCTTCATTTTGAAGACGTTCAGAAGATGCCTTCAAATATATCCGAAAGGTTGGAACAAAACACCACGGATGGGCCAATGCATCTTGGAATGGGACTTCCTTTGAGTCGTGTGTATGCCGAATACTGGGGCGGAGAATTACAAATTATGACTATGGACGGTTATGGAACAGATGCCTACGTAAGAATACCCCGTCTAGGAATCATGGCAGAAAACATCGGCTTCGACAAATTTACCCCGCACCAACTGCACCAGCACCGGTACACCCGGCCACAAGATACTCAATCAAACCCACATGCAACCAAATACCACCCAGACATCCCCTTGGCTGCAGGTGATGGATGGATGAAGAGTAGTATAGTCCGCACATAAATGTGGTAATTTACAGTAGCAACCTCTTTATATATTTATGTTTGATCTACAAGCAAAACTGACGTTATCAAATCCAATATACATACAAATACACATATACACTTTCAGATATCAATAGATTCACCATTAAAAGACCATATTTTTTTTTCCTGTTTTTATTTTTGCTTTATTGTTTATATTTTGATAATTCATCGTCCCCAATTTCCCTTTTGATCCACAGTTAATTGAGCTGCCTTAATCCACAAATCATCTTCGGCATTATTCTCATGACCGTACAGAATTTGTCCAAGTGCAGCTGCTCTGACAGCCTTGACTACGTGAGGTTCTTCGGTTTTGACAGCCAAGTCAACGACACCCAACCATGGGTTTGATGAATTAATATCGGAATTTGGCGACTGATATGCCAATAGCAAATTTGTATTTATTGCTAAGCGGCCTGTGGCAACATAGTGTACAAGGATAGTAACAAGTTGGGCATGAACAAGTATGGCACTCTCGGAAGGAGACAGAGAAAACAAAAGGTGATATAGTGCATGCGTGGAAGTTAATGTATGCATTAAGAAGAAGTTGATACTGATTCCGGCATCACTGATTCCTGTCGCTGCCATAATATATATGCAAGCAAAATAAAGTTCACGGAAACGTGCTTGGACATCTTGAGGGGTTGCTGCCATTCATTCCACAAAGTTAGAAAATTGTTTCTTCTTATTCCTTTGACCGTAATAATAATAATGACTTACTTTTAATTATCCATTCAGAAGCATATGCTTTAATACTGGCAGCCCACTTTGGATCTTTGAGAACATCCGTCGAAAATAAGCTCTTGGTAGTGTCTTTTAAATCGAATACAGGGTCCTTTCTAATGCGCTCCAGAATGGATATTATTGGGTTGGTAGAATGCACTGCGCGTTCAGGTGTCTTGCGAGTGATATCGAGACCCAGTTTTTTAGAGTACTCAGCTGTCAAACCTGACAAGAAATCCTTTGCCACAGACCTTGCAGTTCCAGTAAGAGAAGCAAACTCAGTAGAATCCAGGTGTTGCTGACTGACATCTGGATGATTGGGGATAACTTCAAGCAGACTGTTACCTGTACATGCAGCCATAGCAAGACCTTCAGCAACCATTCCAGGCAAGTTAAACTCGATACCATATCCAATGTGAATGAGAGGGTGGAAGGCTCCACCAAGTGTACGTGCCATGAGATCACCACTAAAGAGCCAACGACGGATGGTTGCAGTGGGACCTGACGCTTTGATTTCATTCAAAAAGAAGTCGATAAAACCTTTGTCATGAGCAATGTCCCCGAGCTTAGATCGAAAGTTTTCGCGTGTTACAGAGCCAGAAGAAGACTGATACGGACGTTGCATAGCAGCCTGAGCAGCATATACTTCTTCAAGACGGTTGACATTTGCCCCAAGTGCATAGACTGACAAAAGTTGATGTGCTGTATGGCTAAAGACAGTCAAAATAGATAGATTAGTATTGTGTATTTATCTATATTGACTTATAGTATACTCACTTATGGAAGCCTCTATCGTTGAAAAACAAGCTGTGATTCTTATTGTTTTCTATGAGTAGGTTCTCAGTCAGGGTAGTTGTCTTGGTGCTGATTCCGGGCATAACAAAGCTGTCGGCATCATGTTTAAAAGGGGGTGTTGGTAGGAATCCAGACATAATGTTATGAATAAAGAAAATATATATATTTGTGTGAAATGAGTTTTCATGCCAAAATAACTCCTTTTTATAAAGAGTTTATTTGCTCAGACGTCATTCTTTTTTTTCGGCTGTCAATGAGAAAAACTGCTATACTGTTTTAACACCCTGAGAAAGTTTTCCTGTTATGCTTGTAACCTCACGTCATTGGGAAATATTTTACTCCCGGACTGTACACATGTACAGAATACACCCGGATAAAGCACGATCCGTACAACCTTCTTTTCCAGCCACAATGCCTGCTTACTCATAAGATTTTATTGGTCATTAAACTGTGTCTGTTTAAATTGGCGACTCCTTTAATCAATTAATTGATACAAGAAGCCTGTCCTGGATGTTCTACATGACGAGCACGGAGAATACCTCCCGGTATAATAGTAAGCTCTACAAAACCCAGGCCTTCAGTTAGGATACCGGCCAACATCTCAATTCTAGAACATCACGGACTTCATGGACCTTATGATCAAAAAAATCAATCATTTTACAATTTACACAAAATGAAAGCATCAAATCTAAAGGTAATATCAACGAAATTGTAATCAAGAAAAAGGCAGTATTGATTCTATCCTGGACTTTGCACAGAAGCCATTCTTTAGGAGCTGTAGTCATCGCATTTACTTGTACTGGACAAATACAGTCAAATGCTACTTTTTTTTTATTTATTTTTTTGCCTATTTGGAAAAGTTGCACATATCCATAACCTCCACACCACAAGCATGTGTTTTTTTATGTGGCAATATATCTATTTTGATTGATTTCACCACTCTTCCAAGCTTGAAACCAATCACTCATGGAGCACGCATGCTTAGTAATATGAGTGAATGCAAGACAGAGACAAGGCTATAATGTATATATCATTGCTGAAAGACTTTTAAACATGATCATTTTTAAGTCAAGTGTATTGTTCTACATAAGCCCATAATTAGATATTGCAACTGTGTGAAGGATCACTAGTTGTAATTTTAATACAATGTATATATTATTTTCTTTAAAAAAATGCATATAGAAAACTGATAAAAAAAAACTGCCACTTCAAAGAAATACATTCTTTTGTGCTGTCGGTTAAGGTCAAATTATTGGGTCAGAGTAAAGAAGTACTTTAAATTAAAGCATATTGAACGGTTATATTATTCCCATTAACTTTGCGAGTACTGATATTTGATGACAAGAGAAGTTTTCCTGCAGAGCTACAGTGAATGCAATGCATATGTAATATATTATTTTCTAGAATTAAATCTAATTCTTCTCAATCTCAAGCAAAAACCTTATCTGTATTTTATTTCTCGCTTTTAGAGCAGATTTAGATGCTACTTTAGTGCCATTATTTCACTAGTTTTGGTAAGAGGAATATTGACTTGTATGATAAAAAGATTATGTAGGATTCAAAGGAGCTCTGGATACTTTGTATATGTATATATAAAGCCTCTTTGTTTTTTTTTAAAAAAAGTTAATTCTACAGTGTGTATTTGTGTAGTTTTTATGCACTTTAAATAAATCAATTTTTTTTCCTGTTCAACCCCTCCAAGTTCTTGTACAATTGATAGCGTCCCTTTTCTAACTCTTATCTCACAGTCACGCCAAAGCGACTCTTCTTCACCTATTCTCTATCTTTATAACATGAGCAGATCGCCCCAAGTCCTATTACTTACACCCCCAGAACAGTTTGGAATCGTCGAGCCGGGCATTTACCGGTCTGACATGCTCCAGCCTAGTCATTTTCCGTTCATTAAACAGTTTAATTTCAAGACGATGGTGATGCTCAGTCCAGAAATGCCTAATCGAGTGACATCAAATTACTTGGAAGAAAACGACACAAGACTGGTTTGTTACCTCTTAACGCATGTTAATGTGCATTTGTGTGCATTTATTTTTTGTAACCATTTGTTTACGCCAAATAGGTACATTTAGGAATGGCTACCTGGAAACCAACCCAGCCGTCTACTTGGCGTCCTGTTTCAGAGGAGTTGATTAAGGAAGGACTCGAGCTCATTCTGAGTGTCGAGACTCACCCAGTTCTTATTATGTGCACGTATGTAATTGCAAAATATAATTATGGTATCTCTCTTGAGAGAGAGAGAGAATACATGTACACATGTACTTTTTGTTTTATGAGTTTTTGTTTCTGTTTTTTTTTGCATAGATCAGGCATTCATGAGACAGGTACCTTGGTTGGCTGTCTTCGAAAACTAGAAGGATGGAACTTTAGCTCGATCGTTACAGAGGTCAGTAACAAATATCAAATGCTCAGAAAGTGGAGTAGGCTCATAAGTTTTCTCTTGATTATTACTTTTATTAGTATCGTGCTTATGCAGGAACTAAAGCAAGATACGTAAACGAGCAGTTCATAGAACTATTTGATCTTGATCTTGTTACACTCCCACTTAATATTCCCAGTTGGTTGATTGACCAACAAAACATGCTGGTTAGTATTGGCAATATGTTGGATTAGATTGAATTAAATTAAATTAACTGGCTTATTTCTGTAGGCAGAAGAAGAGGCAGAGGCCCGTTCAGAGATCGAATTACGGAAAGATCAAGTTAGGGCGTAGATGTAATTTACAATCTGTCTAGTTTACAGCCTTCTTTTGTACATACTTTTTTTTTACCAATAAGTTATACACTCATACCCAAAAGAGTTTCTTTAATATGAAACGTAAATATTTATAATGAGCAGAAAAAAAATATAGATGAATGAATAGTAATAGTAATAGTAATAGCAATAGTAATAGTAAGAAAAAAAAATGAAAAGTAAGGATAAGTGTACGTGAAGAAAGAATAATGGAAAACAAAATAACGAGAAAGGAAGTAATTTTATGGCTATTAGGTGAAGAAATGAACATGAAGAAGAAGGGGTGCCATAATAAAAGAAAAATCTATTGGCATATTTGAGATGTAGCGGAAGGACGGCGTGTACCAATATGATTACCAACACGCACCAATGTTTCCATTGTGTTTTTTGAATTGTTAATGAGATCTTTGTCCAACTCAATCACGTCCTTTTGCCAGATTACTACCAAAGTACTGCCTCCAAAGGCAAAGTATCCAAGCTCGTCCGTTCTTGAAAGCTTCATACCAACCTTGGCCGTGATTATGATGGAACCAACCATCATGGCGCCCACACAGACAACAGAGACCTTTCCAAATCGCTCAGAATCAATAGATACAACGGCTCGAGCATTCTCACCAAATACATCCAATCTAATGTTTTTTTTTTAAAAAAATATGAAAATAAGAAACAATAGCAAAATGGCTATACAAAGTATGACTTACGTTGTGCGCACTGCAATAGGATTGACAGTATAGTATTGACCTGCTACATAGCGAATGCTTGTAATAGTACCATCTACGGGAGAATGGAATCTATGGATCGATACAGAAAAACAGTTAAGTACATATAGAAATGTCAAAAAAAAATATAAAAAAAAAAGATGTTCTTCACAAGCTGTCTTACCGGTGGTAGTCTTGGGGAGCCAATCGGAAGACAGCGAGAGATCCGCCTCCAAATGTGATCTGTGCGTTTGGATCATCTAGTAACTTGGACAAACTAAACTCGATTCCTTTGATCCAAAGACGAGTAGCATCATCTACCGTTCCGAATGCCATCATACGACAGTCGGCCGGACTGACTGCAACATCTGGATTGTCAGGCGAGTCGCAGGGACGAGAGTTAGGCTTTAGGACTCTGTAGAAGAATTCGTTGAAGGAATTGAACGAACTGAGAGGCTGGAGGACCTCAGACATGTCAATCTTGTGGAATTTTATGAATGCGGGTATTTCCCGTACTGAGATAGGCGCATCGAATCGGCGGCCCTGACGTAAGGTCATGTTGGTTAAGATACGCTGAGCTATTTATGGTCCGAGAATTATAAGTTTATTTTTAAAACAAACTCAGTAATAATAGCTATAATCAAATACCTGTTTTTGACTGAATTCCTGTATTCGTGCCTTTATAGACCAATCGCATGCCAAGACGGATGTAGACACTCATTCTTTCTTCAATCAATTGTCCCGTTCGACGGTCTTGGACGATAATATTGGCATTATTCTAAAGCGTTTCAAAAACAAAAAAAAAAGATAATTAACACACCACTTGTTTTTATAAAGATATACGACTTACTGTGCCAAGGGAGTACTTTCCATATCCCACCTTACTAACTAGTTTTATAAACCATCTGTATTCGTGCGGTTAATATGTTTATATTTAATATATTCCATAAAGGAGAATTGATATAATAATAAAAAGATACTTTAAGGCATACCTTCTTTGTGCGTATGCTTCGGTAAGGAAATTACCCATAAGAAATCTGTCGACAGTAGTCCAGTCGTTTGCAGCACAAGTAGCTACATGAGCCACAATATCCATTTGGGCTCGTTTTGAGAGATTTGATCGATGACAAATAGGACACTCAGATAATCGAATGACCTTTTCACTACTTGCTGAACTTGACCTTCGTGTGAGACATGTTTTTGTAGAGACTGGATGTTTCTTCGGTTTATTTTCCGGGACCTTTTCGTCGGTGTCTTTGGTATATGTGTTTTCTGAAGGGGTATTTTCAAAGGTGACAGGTTCAGGTCCACTGTACTGAACTCCTCGTGCTTCAAGCAATACTTCTTCGTTATCGTTATCGTCAGAAGAGGTTCCAGATGCAGACGATCCTGTAGCATAATCAAGATGGTTTCCATCTGAGCCAAGAGCATCTAACCATTGTCCAATTACTTCTACATCTTCATCGATATCGTCCTCGTCGTCTTCGTCGTCATCATCGTCTTCGGATCCACCTTCATCCGAGTACGAGGAAAGAAAACAATCGTCTGTCTCTTTATTGTCTTCGCTGCTTTCTTTCTCTGTGGAACTTGGGTCTAATTCCGCTGCAGTCGAAGGATGTTCGTTGGCAGCCAGCATATGGGATTCGAAACATTCTACCAAGTCTTCAAGTGGAAGTTCGTCTGCTTCATTTGTCGGATCCCTGCCATGCTTACGCCAGAACGAATCTAGAGTAGCCTCTGTAATTGTGGATCCGATGGTTTCTAACATAGACTGAACTTCTAAGCGACTCATTGTCCCACTTCCCTCCACATCATAAGTTTTTGCCAAGGCAATCCAAAACATCTTCCGCATTTCATCATACGGTACAAATTTCGCACGGATTGTGAGAGTAGCGTTTCTATCTTTCCATTTGTCTTCGTTCTCCATATGAAGTGTGAGCGTGTGTAAATCCATATCCTGATGAATCGAATTATCAGGCATTTCTGTAGTGCTCATCGATTTCTTTTTTTCGGCAGACTGTCGAATGATATCCATGATGGGCATGACAGCACTGCCGACAAGATCGTTTCCTGTAAACTTTTCTTTGTCGTATACGGCAAACTTGAGATGATAGGCAGATTCATTGTGCCGGACGTGGAAGAATAATTTTTCTTGCCAAACTGGATTGAGGTTATGTCGAATTGAACTGGTCCGGAAGGTAGAGGTACCAAAAGACACCACCACAAAAGGGTCCATATCAAATCCTGTTCTTGTCACTATATATTTTTTTAGACATATATATAATAAAAACACATAAGGCATAAAGGGTATCCATCGAACTATACTGCGCTAAAGAAAGAAAATAACTTACTGTTTCTTTCTGGTGGTAAGTTATTGGCGTGCGAAATCTCCAAAAATGTAACACCCACTACATCTGGATGGAATTTTGCAATGTGGTCTTTCCGTCGCCTTCTGAATCGACGGGGTTGTGACACACTTTGAACACCCTTTGTGTCTGGTAATCCTGATGTAGAGGCACGCCGGCGACGGAAACGTCTTCCTCGTGTGATTAATTTACGGTTGGCTGGAGTTTGTAGATCTGGTGGTAGAGATGCAGAGCTCTTTATGGATGAATTGGATTTATTTGAATTTGGAGAAGCTATAAGCAAAAAGGTCTTCCACAACTCCTCTAGTCTTGTTTCATCGTCCATGATTTGTTTAGAGCTTAAATCCTGTTCCGGAGCCAAATCTTGTCCAAGAACGAGGCCCATCTTAACTTCAATCTCACTCTCGGTTTTATCTTTAGGCTCCGTATCTCTCTCCTGGCGAGAGATTTGCTTACGACCTCGTCCTGGAAGGTAGTTCCTGCCTCGCTTTGGTTTTCTTCCATGATCTTGTGGAGGGTGTGGTGATTGAAGGGAGTACCAAAACGGCTAAATAACAATGCAAACAATGTCTGTCAGCGCTGGGTTATTTCTGTATTTGTCCATATCTGGCAATTATATCACTCTTTTTTTTTTTGGTAACTCCTGTCTCGTTATGTATAATTATATAATTATATATATATATATATATCACTCTATCATTGTTTGATATTTTTTTCTTAGCCACTCAAACTTACTTGGTTTGCTGGATTGTCATACATAACCACCTGTTGCTCAGCAAACAATTGCTCAAACGGCAATTGAAGTTGCCCCAAAAGGACCGATCTAAACCGATCCTTTTCGTACACAATGACAGTAAGGCCCAAGGACCATAACCGACGACGACGGCGCTGCTGCTTCTGTCCGTTGAAGGCCCCAGCAATTCGTGCAAGAGGAATATCAAAAACGCATAGCCACTCGGGGCTCACAGACTTTTTTACGACATTTGTTCGTTGTCGCTGTCCAGCACAGCTTACCATAGCATATGAATTAAGAGTCGTATCCTATTATTGACACTTAGCATCATCATCTTTCTAGGCTCTTACTCACCTCCTTATCATCAGACAGTAGTTTGGCCCGATTGATGCTGACGCGAAGGGATAATCGGGAGAGATCGTGTGTGATGGCGATGTCAGATAACGTCTGGCTAGATGATGATTGGGTCATGGGGGTTGCCACTGAATTGGCCTCTGATTTGGGCGGAATGCTTGGCGTTCGTCTTCTTTGTGGAATGAGCCATTTCGCAGAGGGTTTGTAAAACAAACGGAACCGGCCCTGAGAAGTAGGTGCAATGGTCTGATCGGGCGAATCAGTCATTGGTGATGTTTGAGGATTATCGCTACTTGAGGAATTGTGTCCGAGGGGAACTTTGTGGTTGGGTCGAATTGGTTCTGATATGTTGAGCAGGGAGGGTGTGTTGAGATTCGCGCGTTTGAAGAAGAAGAAGAGAAAGACGTGAATTGATGATTAAGCGATCAGGCTACCTTTTAGGCTGGTAGAATGGGAATAAAAAAAAAAGAAAAGAAAAAAGGAGGAGAATGAACAATTGAATTCTGTGTGGTACAGATCCTTGGACAGATTCATCTTCTACTTTCAACCTTCCAGCAGTGTGATATTGATTGTAGATGAAGTGATAACCATACTTTCTTCTTCTTGTCTTTATATTGATAGATACCCTATCAAATAGTACTAAATTCACTATATATGTATCTCATCTGCTGAACAAAAGATCAATTAAGTTGATTGGACATTACAGGGCGTCCTTTTGGCAAATCTATCTCATAAACCCTTGAGCATAAAGCATCATAGCATGTGGCTGTGTGGCCGGTTGAATCATTACACCGATATGTTTAGAATGAAAATAATTATGATAATTATAATAATTATAATAATATTCCTCATCCATTTAACCAGTTTTGATACCAAGCCATTGAGTTAAATAGGTGTCTTAATACCTCGCCATTAAAGTCAACAAGACTTATGGTTGTACCAACAAATCCTCCTAGCTTTTTTTTACTTACAGTATCGACCTGCCTTTTAAAAGAAAAAAAAATTAAAAGCATTGTTGATATATCGCGGATATTATTGCTATTCTTATTTACACTTTCTTGTCTTGCGAGGAATGCATTTACAAGATACTGTTACTTCGATGGTTAAGATCATAATTATAATGGCCTTTAACTTGATATCCCACATGTCCGCACCCAACAAACCACAAACACCATACGCATCTTTGTTTTGCCTCATATGGTGTTAAAGCTTTGCGCCTTTTTAAACAAAAATTAAACTTGTGTCCGGCATATAATCTATTTGGATCTCTTCAAAAAAAAAGAAGAAAAGAAGAAGCTGACCTGAGATAGTAACAAGTTTTTTTTTCTTATTTAAAGATGTAATGCTTATATAATACATCAGTATCAGTGTCAGCATCGTAATCATCAGCAAAGGTCTTGATTTTTTTTTTAAAAAAAAAAGAAAAATCATAATTATAGAAACACATTACATATTTGTGCCTTCAGTAACATATGTTTTTAATATGGTACTCTTCTAAATCCCAAATATTGAAACATAATATTACCATTCATCAGAACAATAAAGTATTAGCCGCTTATAAATCTCTACATACTACAAAACCAAGAGTACCAAACTCGATAGAATTTCTTTCTATATTAATCAGCAAGCAATGTATAGGTATCTTGATGGTTTTTAAATAAATTTATATAATATACAAGGCCCGAGAGAGGTTCCGCTACTAGCACCATAATGCTTTATACTATACCCCTTCACGGATAGCTAGACTTATTAAATGTAAACTTTGCAGTTCTTTTCTCTAACAATGTATTTTTGGTTTCATGTACAAGTAAATGTAGTACAGGGTGAATCCTAAACTTTAAGGAGGCTTTTTTTTCTTTCTTTCAGGTTCTTTAAAAATAAAAGCGGTTTATTTTGTCTTTTTCTTTCTAGTACACAGTTGGTCAAGGGTTTGGCAGACCTGGGTGTCCGTGCTTTGGCCAGAATCGGTAATTTAATATCTAATTCATCAAGTAAAATACAAAGAAAAGAAAAAAGCATAAAAGTTTATGTATCTATCTATCTTTTCTCTTTTGGAATTGAATACATAGTCTACTTTTACTAAGCAAGATACTACTGATACACAAAGGTATATTCTAGACTGAATCAAAGAATAGACCTTGTTTTCTTTTAAGGATCTTTATTTTATTTTTTAATGGTGGCCACATTAGAAATATCATTGTACTCAAACAAGAATTTCACTTTAAGTAATACACAATAAAGGCAAAAAGAAAAGAAAGACTCCTATAATTTATACTCAAAATATATCTTTATCCTCGTATATCTCCAAAATATAAGCTTTCTTTTTTCCATTACAATGGGTTTTCACGACTACCATCTTCCTTTGGTTGTTCCGACCCCTGGAAGATCCGTGCTCTTGCTTCTTCATAAGCCACCCTCCTTTCTTCATAAGTCATGTTCTTCCTATCCTTGCCAGAGTTGGGTCCTTTAGAGCCATCGCTATTCTGGCGCTGGTTCTGGGACAGGGGTGCACGTCGCATAATCTTGAACTTGGGCATCTCCTCGGAACTTTCTTCCTCTTCTAGCTTTACTAGATCTTGAAAACGAGCGGCAGGCCTGATAATGATAGAAACACACACACACATATATATATATATACGCACAAACATATATACACATACAACCCCAAAATAAAAATAAAAACATAATAAATATTCCCCTCTTTGCTTGTTTTCTCTTCCATCATTCTTCTATTCTCTACTCTTCTATCCCCAACATCTCCTTCTTCCTCTTCCTCTTCCTCTTCCTCTTCCTCTTCTTCTTACAATTCAGTAAACTGGTTTTTGCACAGATAAACAGACTTTCGGATTGGGTCATAAAAATGGCTCAACTTGAAATAAGGTGCCACTTTATGCACCATAAGTCTCTGGTAAGAGTTCATTTGGGGCAAGTCTAGACGGTACATCCTGCAAAAAGAAAAAGAAAAAAAGAAAAAAAAAACAAAGCAATTATAAGTACCATCCTCAATCCAAATGCATTCTGTGGGGCTTACTGGTAATTGTTGATGAAAGCTTCGAGATCGTTTTCGAGTTTAAGCAGAAAGATTCTTTCTTGAGGCTTCTTTAATAATTCAAGAATGAAGTCATCAAGCTCCTGGTTTTCCACATGTTGCATTGATGGCGGCGTAAGCAATGATGGAATTGACGGGTCTCTGCAATCAGAGGGAGTTGATGCAACCGGCAAATTACGTACAGCGTCTGCTGATGGTGACGATGCAGTTGCTATAACGTGTGCATCTTGGTTCTCAGACATGTCAAATCTGTTGAGTATGGTATCAATCAGGGGAAACCACGCGTAGACATGAGCAATGGCCACGTGACGCGTGTTGAGTTCTGTTGTGTGGTGCAACTGGACAGAAAATTTATATGTGAAGAGAGATTCTTGTGTTTTTGTTCAGGATAATCCAGCGAAAAAAAAATCGAACAAGCAACAGGCAATAAGTTTAAATTAACAGGCGTATATATATATATATATATATAAAAACACGGATATAAAAAAAAAACAATCGTTAGAGACTTTAGGAAAACCAAAATAACGAGAATATGGCTTGGATATTAATACAGTATAGCTTATAGGTATTGACTGATAACGACGCAAACTTATAAACGATGCTTAATATATTTATATATAATTGATTTTATTATTATTATTCTTTAAAAAAAATAGCAACAGAAATAGCAACAATGAATAGTATTAACTAGCTTGTATATTGATCGATAAGTATTCAAGTCATAATATTAATAACTATAGCTATATGTTGGGATTTCATTGGTTAATATATACATCTTTTTACTAGAGTGCAAAAATGTATTACCAAAAAAAAGTAAGAAATAAATTAATAAGAATACAACAGCTTGAAGTAGACAAAAAGGGTAATGTAACGAAGTGCGGCAAGAACTCAGTGGGTTACAGAGATAAGCCAACAGAAAAATAAATAAATAGAGGAAATCAACCAAGTAATTGGTCTAATTCTTTATTTATTTTTCTTTTTAATTTTTGGACTGTGATTCCTTTAAAAATTTCATAAAACATTTATTCAATCCAAAAAAAATCATTCGCTAATAAACTTTAAATTTGCGATAACTTTATCCAATTGAATGTACTAATTACATTAGCACAAAGATTTGATTGGTAGAATAATAAACCTTTTCTTTATTGATGAGAAAATAGAAAATAAAAAATATCGTACCTCTTCTATTAGTCTACACATAACTTTGTGATTTCTTTTTCAAGATACGTTAAAGTCATGGGTAGAAAAGGCTGTAAATGTGTAAAACTGTCAAAAATGTGTTATATTATGCGAGCCCAGAGCCAGATAAGGGTTGCTTGACAACCACTTCCAAAATATCATATATTTTTTGTTTTGTTTTGGTCTTGTTTGTATGGATACCTTATTTGTTGTTTAGCCATTTGAAACATGTAAACCCCCTCTCCGTGTAAGCACCATAAGGTATTTTTGAAAAATTCCATTACTCTATTTTTTTTTATTATCCTTCACTTATTTTAATTATAACAAACGCTCTGGTGTTTTCCAACCAGAGACATTACTTAATTACAGCCAGACTCATGTTCTCTAGTACATTTGAAGAAAAAGATATGTATTTAACAAGGCAGTTTTTTTTTGCAAGTTGGAATCAAATGTAGCTATGTATAGTCTTCTTTTATTGTTGATGCTATAGCTTTAACTTGTTATTTTACACATGCTCCCAATGTTGATTAAAGACTTTTACATTATTATAGAAACTGCTAAGCTTGCCTAAGTTCACATCATAACGTAGGAACTTTAATTAAACTACAAAGTGGTATGCATTCATCTACTAAAAAATATATAATTTTTTCTTAAAAAAAAAGTCTTCATCTCTCCAAATTGATTGTACATTTATTGCTAGCAAAAATGTTTTTTTTTGTGGTGATGTATCTATATTTTAAGGGTCTACGCCACTTCTCCGGCTGTGACCAACTTTAGTTCTTCAATAGTCTTATAATATGCAATATAAAATACGCCAGGTATATATTGATATTTATACAGATATATTCCACATGAGAGTAAAGGAAATATGCAAGAATTTGTTAATACTATTGTGATCGAGTTTTGTCGGTGAATATTCTTCTACATCTATGCACTTCAAGAAGCTAGCTTATGTTGTAATAGCAATTGTATGTCTTGATAAAAAAAGAAGATATTTTTTGTAAAACCAAATTGTCTAATTAAATGGTTTTACTACTCTATTTCCTTTTTTTTATCTCTGTATCAAGCCTTTACTTGATGTATAGTATGTGTAAAGAACCCCTCGTATATTTTTTTTTCTTACTCGAAGCGTATAATATGTAATCAATCTACTAATAGTCACAGAACGCCTAGATACAGATATACTCTCAAGTTTGGCTATCAACAGCAACTATATACGGTTTACTCAGTAGATACAAGAAAGTCCTTTGGATAGAGATATCAAGGAGACCAAAAGAATGCATTTGGTGTAATCTGTTTTTTTGTGTACTCCAGTATACTTCACATGTAACCAGACCTCTGTAAACCTACATACAGGGCTCATTTTGACGATGACGCCAGAACGGGTTGCACACGATCTGTAAAACCTTTAAAGTATCTGATGTGAGAAAAAGAAAAAGAAACAAATGGCGAATTTTTTCACGAGGCAGCGTGGGCTTTGTGTGTGCTTATTGTTGTGTGTGTGCAACATGAGTAAGATTGGTGAGATACAGGCCAAAAAAAGAAAAATAGATAAAAGAAAAAACCTTGGAAGATCCATAAAGATGCAAGTGTATTTTTATTACTAATCGTCTTGCAAAGTAATTGCTGAATGGTCTATAAAATATAAACCTATGCGAATTGATTTATCGTTTGAAATTTGTCAGTCTAAACAAGGCTTCTAAAGAGTGTAGCTTATAAAAAGTACTTTTAAATTTGTGTATGTGTGTGTGTGTGTGTGAAATTTGAATATATTATATATATATTTTATAAAAATATCATTAAGCTTTACATAACCAAGTTTGGATTCTACAAGGATCTCAATCTTACTGAATTAATACTATTTTATGGAATAGCTGTGTAAGTCTCTACCAGATACAACCACAATCAATCAATGATTATATATATATATATATATATATATATCAGATCCCCCCAAAAAAAAGACAATTTTTTGCTGATATTGTTGGGAACTGGGACTTATTGATCATGTTATAGTATTTTCTGTCTCTAATACCGAAAAATGCATTTCTTTATTTTCTCAACCAGAAGAAGGTCACTGATAATAATGCTTGTAACAGGCAATGTTGCATTCATCATTCTGTCAATATAAATCCCCAATTTTCTATTTAATCAAGTTTCATCTCAACACCACATGATATTCAGTTTATAGCGCATGTCATTCTCATGGAATTGAAGATACTTTTCCAAAAATCTTGGTTGTAAGCATCTTTGAGAGGTTCTCAATTGCAGACAATCCTGGAGTTAGTTTTAATCTATCAAAAAGTTAATGCAGTATTATTAATATCCCGAAAGCTTATATCGTCCTATTATGCACCATATGTGTGTGTGTATATATATGTATGCTGAGTACCCTTTTACCTAATAGAAAGTGCGTCTAGAAGCTCTGCACAAAGCTGACTGTGTTTCGAGTCATCATCGTCTGACACCTTGAAATTATCCAAATTATTACCGCATCTTACTAGATGTGTTTTCATTTCTTCTGCAGTTTGTCTGTTTAAATTTACGCATTCATAAACAGTTGGATGTAGTGCCTATATATATATATTAAGAGAAAATTCTTGGATTCAGCATATGCTGAGCGTATAACTTTTTCATAGTCTTGAAACACAAAAACCAACCTGGAGTATAATCATGGGTGTCAATATAGCATAGAGCTTTTTCTCAAACAAGTCATCAGTGGTAGCATCATTCTGTAAGTCATCTATCCACCTATATCGACCAAGGGAATTTCGAGTGAGTAAAGTATCAAGAAACATATGCTAGAGAAGCATATTACCTCCGTTGTAGTTTCATAACACCAGAGCATTCCTGCATCACTACCCATACTAAGGATCGATGGCCAAGTATGGCGAACGAGAGTGTTTTCCAAACAAGAACATTGGTCTGATCGAGTGGAGATCCGCATGTCTTATGCACCATTTGCTTTAAGCCTGCTTCTAATGCCCAAGGGGCAGCCTTATAGAATTGAGATGGTTAACAGAAAGAAAGAAAAGAACATATTCTGCCTCGACTTACCTTTTCTCCCCACAAGCCAAGTACTGATATAAATTCCATTACATACTTGTCGGTATCTATTATAACGTATCTAGATTTTAATATTTTTTGAAGTCTTTTGTAGTCCAATATATATATATGTAAAAGGACATACCTGAATCTTCCAATTTATTGGCACTGTTTTCTTGTAGAATATGAGCTTGAGTAGGTTCAATATCGGCAGGTGTACTGCGCCACGTAAAATGCGATCCGGGAAATATGGTGCTAAATGACTTGCGATACTTGAAATCTCTAAATGAATATAGAATAATATTAAATAATTATTCGTTTAATTTTAACCTTGTATTTTCGCCCTGCCTGATCATATCAACATATAGTAGAATACTCTCACCAGCCCATTTATCTATCAGTAGAGCTTTAGCAATTAATCCTTTAGAGACCTGATTCTGACGAGGATCAAGAGTATATGCCATCTTCATAAGTCTTGCTATTAGTTCCGGTAGGTCTATATAATATTTTTTTAAAGTAAACAAAATAAAAATAAAAACTGTAAGGGACATTTGTGTGCAGAAAGTTGGGGTTGGAATGCACATACTTTCTCCGTGCTTTCTATCACAGAAAATAATAATAATAATAATAATATTTATGACTTACATAAAAATGCCATACACTTGATTAAAAGTTCACACGCCACATGAGTGGTTGCTGTGAACATAAGCAAAGTATTCATCAGGGGTTGACTATTATAGAATACTTGAGCGTTAGTATTTTGTTGTTGTTGTTGTTGTTAATTTTGACCTCAGGCTGATCCAATAAACAAATAAAGACTTACCTGATCTCAGAGATATTTGTTTGTGTTGCGCCATCAATTACAGATTCAATTACGCTCTTTATGAACCTTGATTTAAGTGCCTGGGAATCATCGATGCCCTTAGTTAAATATAAGAGTGCTTCTTCTGGTTGCTGGTAAACAATACATTTCAAATGGTGTATTATGCTCTCATAGTCAACCATATTTATCAAGCCCTCAAGGTCCCACTCTAGACTCAAGAGGATCCGGAGTGCACCTGCAGTCAATTTGGTGTGATTGGCCAAGTGTGGCATCACCAAGAATAGACATGCAGCTATTTCATTTCCGAGTCCATCAAAGGGTTCATTTAGAGGTATATGGTTTATCTTTGAGGGATACTAATGATGAGTATACCGATGGGAGCTTGGTTGTAAAAAAAAAGGGAGTAGACTTACCACATTAGTGACCATAGCCTTGATCTGCTTTTCTTCTTCTTTCTCTTCATCTGAAAAAGGGACAGGATTGGTCTGAATACCAAGTTTGTTTTTCCACAATCCTTTTTGTACGGCTACTAGAGAAACCATCTTTGCATAATCTTCAATATGTGCCTCGACTCCAGATTTCTATTGTCATAAAAGTCAAATTAAGCCACAGTTCTTCAAGATGTATGGAGTGTGTTACTTTTAAGCTTAGTATCGCGGCTTTTTTCTTTTGTGATAGTGGTTTTACAGAAAGAATGTTCTTTGTGTTCAAAGCACTTGTCATCAAGACCCAAGTCTTGGCCATCTGGACCAATACTGAGTCTGTCAAAGTCGGGAAGTATATTTTTAAATGAAATGAAACCAGAAATGGCAGTGTATTCATTAGCAACCTAAAACACGATGACAAATATTCATCCTTTTCTTGGTTTTTTTTTTGGGTACCTGGATCCTCCCGGAGAATTAATGTGTGTGCTTTTGAAAGAAAGAGCAAGACTTGGTGCCAGGCTAAATGTTGGGTAAAGTACATTGTCGTATGCCACTGATAACACCAAAAATAATAGATAATAATTAAAGAAACATAACTTTGTCAGCCGAATTCTTTATCTAGGTATTCAAACCAAAGAAGAAACCATTACACTCACCATTCTAATGGTGCTAACCAATGATTCGTTATACTTCCACAATGTGTCCATAGTATCCTTTTTCTTTTTATCGATCATAAAAGTAGACTCGATAAGGACAATCTTAGGTAACTGTGTTGATCCGGAAGATTTCGTTTGGTCCAAGCTAGATGTCAATGTTGCAGCCACATAGCGTGAACAGGTCCAAACAAGATCCCATGCGGTACATGCCAGAAGAGTAGGTTGAGACCTAATATACATAAACAAATAAAGGAAAACACAGCAGACCAAAGAAATGAATAATCATATGTACGTATACATATATATACATATGTTATTTTATTAGAAGAGAAGAAGTTGTATACAGATTTTCTGTCTATACAATACCCTGATGCAGATGCTACACGTGTCAGATTACTCGACATGTCTGCGACTACTTGTATTGAATATATAAGACCAGGGTTGATATCTGATACGGTATCAATATCAGGCCATGTCTGGACTACTGAATCCAATAATAGTACAGTAGCCAATTGAGACCTTCTATCGGTTGACTTGAGTTCATTTTCAAGCAAACTACAAAATACAAGTCTGTGCCGAGACTCTAGCAATAGAAATCTTGCTAAACGCATAGCAGAGTCGCTTTCATTTTTTGCCGTAATTGTACTACGTTTAAGAAACTAATCCAAAAGAAATAATACTAATAGATGAGACTCACAGAACATCGATTTGCTCAATCTATTTAACACCCCCAAGAAGAAGAAGAAGAAAAAAGATAACAGAGAACACCCTGCCTTTTCTTTCAAGGCATTATACACAGGAGATAATGCTGGCTCTGCAACACCCGAGAATCTTTGTAGACCGATGCTGATATGGTCTTCCAGAGACAACAGCGCACTGGCCACCGGAGCTGCATGCATATATGAGATATTCAAGTGCTAGGTCCTACTTCTCCGCTATGGAGACAAACATGATACTAACATTCGGTTGAGGTCTCAGATGGATTCTTGTTGAGTTTCTGGACCGCCAATTGAAATACTTGGGGTTTGACGTTAAGTAAGAGGTGCATAGCTTTTCCAAGCGGAAGGTTTGGTTTTTGAGGATGCGTGGAATGAATGACTGTGGATTCTTTCGCTCGGTGATTCGGATTAATTTCTGTGAGTAAGTCATGGTCCGCTGCATTTTCTTCTGACAGTATGATCATTGCGCAAGATTTCGTTTTTATATCTTTGCTTTTCTTTGCTTGTTTTGCAATGAGTACTATAAACGATGCTTTATTTTCTGCCCTTTCTTGGTATTATTGGAGGACCGATTATAATATACGTGACTGTGGGTTATAATTCGTGTGGGGTTGGAAAAGGACCATTCCACTAGAACTCCCCCTTTTTTCTTTAGGTACTCCATGCTGCAAAACCCCCTGCCTTTGCCTTTAGTACCTTTATTCTTTATATATCTTGAAAGCCAAACTATATATTTATTTATTTATTTATATATACATTTATATGGTAAAGATCTGTGTACACGATATCCTAATAAATATTAACCTAGAAAGTATATATACTTATGCATGTACATATATATTATGAAAAAAAAAACAATATTGGGAAGAAGAATAAAAGAATTGGTCAAGGGATGTTATGATTGGTTATTCAGAAGCGTAATAGTTGGAGACATGCACCCCATAATCTTAAAATATAAGTCAAACTTAAATAATCATAGTCTGTATGGCAGAGTGAATGCCCGTGACGTCCTTGTTGGTGTGAATAAATGGTATTTTGAGTGTGGGATAGACCACCAGATCCTACTGAATGAACGAAGAAAGGCAAAGGAAAAAAAAAGAAAGAAAAGTGCTTTCTTGAAAACACAAAAGGGGACAAATGCTACAGCTTATCCTCATGTGAAGTCACAAGGACTGGCTGCCATGACATTCTTTTTCCCCACACAAAAAGGTGAAGCATACACACAGCTCTGAAATCCGATTGGAGGGGGATCCGTTGTCACTTTGTGTGTCTTGGCTTGTACTAGGATTATGGGAATAATACAAACATTTACCTGGTTATTGTTATGGTCGAGATACTTGCATTGAGTAGTACAGTTAAAGATATAAAAGAGAAACAAGGCGAAGTACAGTGAAAGAGTACCATCACATGGAAAAATCCATGTGACCTTGGTTTTGTCCTTTAGTGCTACAAATCAAAAAGGCCCATTTGCCCTGGTTTTGGCTTCTTTACTCTTTTATTCCCACTTCCAACTCTTTTTTTTCGAATTTTTAGAGACTCGGTTTTGAATAATACCAATGCTGTCAGTCTCTCAACTCACAGTCTACCAACGCACACTTCACGATGTCTCTCCTACACTTTTACCTGAACATATAGCCCGTCTCATAACAGCTGTTTCACTAGCCGCTCGGCTCTCCCTTCGATGCTCATCGCTTCTTATTGAAGTTCTCCTAGAGTCAGCCAAATACAGTACATCATTTTCATTTGGGATATCTCGCCAGGCTCTGATAACAGCCCTATCATCTGCCAAACGTCTTCATGCGCTCGCTACGTCAGAAGCTAAGGACGATGATACTAATGAAAGGTAAAAAATAATAATTAAATAACATAACAAATGAATAAATTAAATAGGTTAATAGCAATATATTGATTTCTATTAAATTTCAGTGGTGGCTTTTTGCAAGTGTTGGACAAATACACCAATCTTGGGATCTACATTGTGCACCACACATTTACACTGGCAGAGCTATTTGCGATGTCGGGTCTGCAATTTACATCACAGACGGTCAAGTCTGGTTTTATGGTGAGTAAAAGGAAGTTATGTACACTACTTATATATTTGGATATTCATTTTAGTACTTTTGAGTTTTAGGCAGCCGAAGAGTCAGTACACATGATCGATAGTATTTTTGGATCTAATGAAACATCCCGTGCGATTGCATCCATCATTACACTTGTACACCGTGAACTGATGAACGATCCTGACTTTGAGCTGGCCAAAGTTGGCAAGATTGCGATTCTCTCCGGGTTAACAAAAGCTATGACTGCATTTGCAGTTCTCCAAAGCGTCACTCATCGAAGAACAATGCAACAAGTGAAGATCAGTGTACTCTGGAAGGGTGTAGTCGAAGAAGAAGAAGAGAACGAGCAGGCCCTCATTCAATTCAAGTCTTCTTCTGAAAATCTTCCGGATGAACACACGGATATCATTGATGAACTCGAAACAATTCTCACGAACCAGCCACCTATCAACGATACAGATGACAGCGATGCCTTTGAAATCACCACCACAACCCGTCGAACTACTACTCGTACAACAAAGATATCCCCTGTTGGTCACACTCATGATCCAAACAGAACAAAATACATTACAGTAAAGTCAGACGAAGAAGAACAAGAAGCATTTGTCGCCTTTGTCGATCGTAACTCTGGCTCTGCAAACGTACAACCTCAGATCGAACCAGTTGAGACACTAAAGCACACCATTTGCGACACCCCACAAGTGGAAGATCTAGACAACGGAAAAGACAAAAGCAGTAAAGACCTTTGTATTCCCTCTAATCTAGAATCCCAGCCAACTGTACCAATAAGAGCCCTCAGACCTGCAAAGAGCTTTAGAATTCTTTTGTCAGCAGTATCCAAAAAATTAACCCGCAAAAAGGTCGAGCGTCAAGAACAGACTGAGTACGAAGCATTGCAAAAATCGCTATTGGCAAAGCAAGAGAATGGTTCATGGAAACAGCACGATTCTGTTGATACTACTCTCTCTTCAGGACCCATAACAACAATGACTTCTACTTCAACCTCGACCACCCTTTTTACCGCCGCCGCCGAGTATAATACAGAATCAGGCACAACTATAAGCGAAATCAACAATGCAACAAGTGATGATGAGACTGTCGAGAAAGAGTCCGAGCATCGACTCAAGAGACGTAGCTCATGGAGTAGACTCAAGCTGCGCGGAGAAGCTCATCGCAAGAGCATCAGTCAGATGATCCAAAAGGGTGCAGATATCCTTGGACAGAAGCCAATGCATGCAGCACCCCCACCTCTCCCTACCACATCTCGATCACTGGCTTCTGGACCCGACTTAAATATTTATTCTTCCCCTTCTTCGTCAACCTCATCTTACGGTGGTTCAAATTCTGGATCTATCCTACCAAATGTGCTAGCAAAGACAAGTCATGAGCCTGGATCTCGTTTATCTGTCTCAAGTCGACCTGGTCTCACAAGAACCAGTTCAATTGCCAGTATTACATCTCTATCTAGTATGTCTCATACTATGACAACTACCACCACAACTTATACCAATTCATCCACACCTTCATCTCCTCGTTCAATATGTGCTCCTTGTCCCAGTCGCAGTCAAATTAACAGCCGCAATCAGAACAACAATCAGAACCATGCTCCAGCTCAGCCTGATCTCACTGTAGAAATAAATAACAACTTTCCCCGTAATCATATCGTTCACAACATTGCACATTTCATGCGGTACGCAAGTGCCGCTTATGGCGAATCATTTATGCGAATCCTAGGAATTGGAGATATTCCTCAAGTTTTGCCGACCTCTCATCACCATCACCCCAACCACCACGCTTTTGCCCACCACACAGGTTTATCAGTTCAAGATATTCTGTTGTCTAGCTATACAGACATGACATTCATGTCAGTTAAACACCCACAGCTTCACGCCCTTGTACATTATGTCACAGTAGACCATTCTGCAAAAGCTGTGGTGCTAACTTGTCGTGGTACTCTTGGCCTAAGTGATGTATTGACAGACTTGACGTGTGATTATGCAAACTTTACTCTACCAGCTGATCAAAATGATCCTCCAAGAAAATATATTGCTCACGGAGGAATGCTCGAGGCTGCTCAGCTACTAGCCAAAAAGAAAGGTCGCGTCTTTCAAAAAGTATGCGAAGGACTCTTGATGTACCCAGAATACGGTCTTGTAATATGTGGCCATTCCCTTGGTGGCGGTGTTGCAAGTCTCTTAAGTGTCCTTTGGAGTCAGGAACAAGCCCAACCAAGTCGTCTGGCAGCATTGTCATCGAGCCGCCCTACATTTGTTACATCCTCCTTATTTGGCTTACCACCAGGGCGCCCCATCCATTGTTATGCATACGGACCACCGTGTACTATGTCCCAGGAGCTAAGTGAGTACTGTGGACAAGGATTAGTTACCAGTGTCGTCCATGGATTTGATATTGTCAGTAGCCTGAGTCTGGGACTCTTGCGTGATTTCAAGAATGTGGCTGTAAGTTTGCATGCTGAGAGTGGAGTTGCCGACGATATTCTCGGTCGAGTGATGGGTCGGTATAATTCTCCACGCGAACATAAGAATGATGACGAGGACGAGGACGACCAGTGGTTCTGGGCTCTTATAAAGACAATGCGGGCCGATATGCGCGCAGAAAAGCTCTATCCACCTAGCACAGTTTATCTAATCGAGTCAGTACCTCAACTCCTGCAGAACACTGAGCAGCAATCGACAACATCAAATAGCAAATCGCAAAAATGGAAGACAAAACGTGCTCATAATGTAGTTTTAAGTCGTTGTGATGATATACAAGCTAGATTTTCAGAAATTGTATTTTCTCGGTCTATGTTCATGGATCATTCTCCATTTATGTATGAAAAGGCTATCCTGCAGCTACGCAGAGGCTATTTCGAAACCTAATTCTTATACAATCAAAATCCAACACAGTAAATAAATCACATGAATGTATACATCCCCACCATAATTCACCCTAAAACAGACACAGCGAGAACGATGACATCAGCTGGCTTTCTTATTCTTCTTCTTCCTCTTCTTACTTTTACTCTTCTTCAATGACCACAAATCTTAATTTTGGGCCTGAATGGTAGGACTTTTTGAACGATACTCTTAATTCAATAGAGAAAGAAGCTCATCCTATATCAGGATGCGTGGCTATGCAAAGCCTGCAAACCATCAGCAAGGACCATTTGACAATGACTCAAATATTGATAAATTGGCCTCTGACACAAATCTAATGTCATCATCCGTGTCAAGCGAACTAATTTCAGAAGTTCATCCTTTCCGCTACTCCAAGAATTACATGCTGAGCCTATACAATTCTTCACTTCCGGTCGACCTTGATGCCGATAGTACTCTTATTTTCTCTCAAAGTCAACCACCCCTATTGTTTGAAAAGCCAAGTAAAGTGGAGCTAGAGGTAACAGAGTTGGACAAAAACCTAAGACCCTTCGCCCATTTGGTTCTCTATATAACCAGTTGTAATTTTATATATATATACATGAATATATATATATATATATATATATATATATAGTTACTTAAAGGAAGTGTGCATTGGGAAGAATCACTTCCACGAACAGTGTTACAAAAGGAAATTCATCATCACAAAGAATCATCTCCTGGTGGTGACACAGCCCGCCTTTTATTTGGAAGTGGGAAGCTGGCCAAGACTTTTACGGAAACACCTGAAAAAGATATCCTGCTTAGCAAAAACATATATCCCGATACTAAAACAACAGGTGACCTTTATGAAACAGAGGCAGAAGAGCCATTATGGAGTAGGGCAGAGAAGGTTGTAATAGGAACGTTTGATGAACAAGGAATTTATCGGATAGAAGAAGACTTTGTTACATCATCCAAAATAATCGGAGCAACCGAAATGCCCCCAGTAGCACCTAGTGCACAAGGTGAGACCAGCCTCAAAACTGAGGCAGGTCCTACCATGACTACCAATGGTGAAAACAATAATATCAGTCCTCGAGCTCCTTGGCTTTTTGACGCTTCTTTGGCTGAGCCTGATATTCCTCTCCCGCAATCGATGCAACAGACAATATCCCAACCTGTTGAGGAACAGCGCTGGTATTATCGTGATAATGCTGACCAAGTTCAGGGACCGTTTTATGGGTTGGATATGCAGGACTGGTATATGCGTGGTTTCTTTGAGATGAATCTGTTACTTAGACGCGAAGAAGATCCATATTTTATTCCTCTTGCACAGCTTATCCAGTGCACAGGCAATAATAGCCGCCCATTTCTTACAGTTTTTTCTATGAAAATTTCTCCGCAAGGAGCTCCTCATCATATCAACTACGAGCAACAACAGCATGTTCCTTATCCTTCTTCTATTGCTCCTCCAGTTCACCTTCTTCACCAACCTCCCCCACTTCCTCAATTCATTAACCACCACCATCATTATCAAGACCCAGGACCATTTCTGCCTGAACAACTGATCACAATGTATGACAATAAACCCTACTGGCCAGATCCCCCTGCTCCTTGGTTACAGGAACCAACCGAGATATTCGGCTCTCCCTATTATCCCTCACCTTTACAAAATCAGCAACCATCTCAGCCGAATCCTATTTTTGGGCAAGAAATAGACCAATCTGGGTTTCCACCTCACCGACACCCTTTCAATGGACTTTTCAAAAGGGAAGAAGGGCCTCCAAAATATAAACAAGAGCAGCAATTTTTATATCAGCAGCAACCACAACCACAACAACTATTCCAACCCCAACCTCAACACCACCACCAGTCATTACAACAAAAAGTTCAACAACGCCAGCAGCAACCACTGGAGCAGAAACTACAGCAACCACTGCAGCAGCCACTACAGCAGCCACTTCAACCATTACAACCACTGCAACCACTGCAACCACTGCAACCACTGCAACCACTGCAACAACAGCAACAACAGCAACAACAGCAACAGTACCAACCGCAACACCAGCCACAGGAGCAACAACAGGAAGAACAACAGCAAAAGGTTCTAGTACAAGAATCGCCGGTTCCTCTTACTCAAAGCTCTTCTCCTTTGTGGTCAATTACTAATGAAGACACAACTTTGGAATCATCTAACCACCAAGTACCACATGAACTTGATGTTAAAGTAAACACTACAGTCACCATCACTTCATCAGAATTAGTCTCACCCAACATTATAAAGGCTTGTTCGCTGAGCCCATCTCCAGAAACACCAGTGTTGACAGAAAAAGATACCCCCCTAGATAACCTTGTACAGCTCATGCCAGACACTACATTTGAGCCAAACACATCAATCCAGGTTGCGCCTACTATATGCACACCGGTGTTAGAACCTCTTCTCGCGCTCGAATCTGTAACTGAGATTGTTTCTACAATTGAATCTGTAACACCCTCTATACCTGTATCAACATCAAAGACAATTTCTTTGCTTGAGGCAAAGGCAGTTTCTAAGTTGAATTTGGCTCCCGAAGCTTCGTTGACTCCCACAATTACATCTGTAGAAGTGAAATCTCTAGTTAAAAAGCACTCTGAAAAATCACCCGCAGCCAAACCAGTAATCGAAAAAGAAATACCAAAGGAGCAGGCTCGATCGAAACAAAAGGAGCCTGTCAAAAGTGTAAGCCAGAAAACTAGGACTCCCCGATCGGGTCCAAGTAAGAAGACTGTTGAGACCAGTATAAAGACAGAGAAGCCATCAAATAATATATTAAAGCAAGCCGAAAGGATTACCAAAAAATCTATGGTTGCACATGAAAATGCATTCGCTAAGATTCAACAAGAGGAAATCCCACGGTCTGTAAAAGAGCAAACCCCAATACAAAATAAACCCACACCATCGTCTACAGTATCGGAAAAAACAGTTCAAAGAGTAAGTGATGAAAGCTCTGATTTCATCTAGTGTTATATTTATCAAGAAATCGGAATCGGAATTGAAGATTTAACCAAATCCTTATACATTATACAGCATGCAAAAATATCCGTGTGTGCTCCGATGCCGTCTGCCTCAAAGACTATTAATATTGCTCGCCCTTCTGCACCTAGAGCATGGAACACAACCAAAAAAACATTAACTCAGCCTGTATCATCTGCTTTCCAAAATGAAGATACTAAACCACCGAGTGGAGTGTTTCATGATTGGTGTCAAAAATCACTCAAGGAACTCAAGAAAGATGTTGATGGTAATTAAAGAACACAGAAGAGAAATATAGCTTAATAGCTTAATAACTTTCAAGAGGAAATGGTGTACAAGCAGGTCTTTGTTTACTTGAAAAAAAGTGGTTGTGAAATCTGCTTTTTTTCTAATTAATGAAGATACTTAAACTAATGTCTTGTATTATTTATATATATATATATAGCGGATGAATTATTGAAGATGCTACTGTCTTTTCCTCTTGTACCTAGTCCTTTCGAGATCATAAAAGAAATCATCTATGCCAATTCAACTTCCATGGACGGACGTAGATTTGCAGAAACGTTTATAAAGTACAGAAAAGCAGATATGGATGGCCAACTCAAGAACACAGTAGTTCAGCCTGTCAACAGAACAGCCCAAAATTCTTTTAAGGTGGTTACAAAGAAATCTAAAAGAAAGAATGTTTAAGGTACAGAAAGGATGATCAAAGGATATGATCAGCAGAAATGTATGTATACACATCTATATGGATATTATTTATTTAATTAGAGTGGACATTACTACTATTACTATTACTATTACTATTACTATTACTATTATCATTATTATTACTACTACTACTACTACTACTATTATTACTATTCTTATCACTATTATCATTATATAAATAACTATTCTTACGAGGAAAAATGAAATTTAGAGGGAGAGCCCAATGGGAGATTCAATATAAGAAAAAAGCTACAAGTAGTATTGTGAAATTACTTGGAGTTGGCAAAAACAAGCAGGTTCTTTAACAGTGTTTTATGCTTTCCAATAATATATCTAAAGACTATTTTGGTGTTATTAAATCGATTCTGCTAAGAAATCTCTTGTTTTTCATACAGAGAGTTACCTTGAATAAAAAATGGATAATGAACTGCTTGCTTCTTTACAAAGTTGAATAATAAATCAAACACATCCTAGGAACTTCATATCTCTTCAATATAAGCTTACATCTGTTTTATTTTGTGGACAAACAGATATCTAGAAGTTTGTATAGCAATCTTATGGGGATGACGCTTCTATCTAACCGGACCAATGAAGCGATCACCTTTCCAAGGCCCAGTGTCTTTCTTTAATCCTTCAGGACAAAATGGCGTGTCTTAAAATTCATAGAATAGGGGATTTCAAGTCTTTTAAGCTTTGAGTTTTAAAGCAGTAACCAATAATACGTAATAGTTACCAAGTGTCTTTGAGTACCCTAAATGCTTCCTTCAGTCCTATTAGGCATAATAGGGGGTTTCAATAGCCCTTTAAGCTTTTGAGTTTAAATGTGAGAAATGATTGGCTGGAATGAATCTATAATCATTAAAAAAAAGATTAAAACTCTCGAACAAAATCGTTCAAGAGTATTAAACTTTTAATATGTCCTTTTTTAAATTTGATTTTTTTAAAAATTTGATAAATCCTTAATGCAAATATCTTTGTGCCTTTTAATATTACTTTAAGCTTATATCCTATTATCACAATGCCTAATAGAACTGAAAGAAGCATTTAGGGTACTCAAAAACACTTTGTAACTCTTACATATTATTGGTTACTGCTTTAAAACTCAAAGCTTAAAGCTTAAAGCTGAAAGCTTAAAGGACTGTTGAAACCCCCTACTGTATCTATATTACCAGAAATTGGCTTAAGGTTTGTCATTGAAAAAGATCAGAAGCAACGATGTTTACCCTATCCTCTAAATATATTGAGTCATAACATGCTGTCCTAGACAAATATCTTAGCAGAGTGAGGACAGTTTGTAGTCCGGGGTAATTAAAATGTTGCCCCTCACCATGAATCGTTATCCTCCTAATATCAGCGTTTTATTTATGTTCTCATGACTATCGATTACTTTTACCAAACTGCCCCAAAAGAGTGTAATATTTTGGTTACTTTAAAGGTTCACGACACAGCTGAGAAGTCCCCAGATATTAGTTTCTACCAACTACTTGATATTGTGAAAAAAAATTACTGCTCATTTAAAAGATCCAACGATTTTTTTCAAAGGTGGTGAAAATTAAAACTAGTAAAATCAATGTAATTGAAGTCAAACAAAAGGAAGGGGAATTCTTAAAAAGAAATATACTCATTTCTTTCTCTACTTGGAAATTTCTGAGCCGGAAAAGTGTGTAGAATACATTAGAAACACTAGCAGCACCAACTCCTAATAGAGTCCTGACTCAAGTTGACACAATCGATAATTCTAGGAATTATGGGAACCTAGTTATTTGTAACATATCATAATACCTCCAAACAATGGCAAGTGATAGTAATGAAAATAACTCACCTACATATATCAAATGACTTTTAGCTTGGTAAATGCGGTTCTTCAAGGGATGTAGCTTTTGATCATTTTGATCATTTTTATTATTATAGCTCGAATATGATATTGGCAAATATTCAGCAACATATCACCTCCCCTCTCCTAACCATTACAAGCACCACTTTTTTAATATAATATTTTTTGATGGGCAGTAACATACTCTAACCAAAAATATTCCCATTGAACCCTCATTGTACATTTCAATTTACCATTGGTTTCATGTACTACCACACACAAGCACAAAGTAGACTGTTCGACTATCAATGTTTTATGTATATATTGATGACCTTTTTCAGAAACATCTTATATTCTGCTCTATTACACATACACATTACTACTCTAAATGTTTGTTTTAGGCAAGTTTTCTTTTATATATTATTTTAAAAAGTGCTTATCATACAGTTGTATATCCCTTAGAACCTGCAGCTCTCTAGTAAATATCAGCCAAAAACATAAAACGTATCTAATCGATACAGTAATGCTCAATCACTATAACGTAGGGTCCCATATTGTAAAGCGAAATTACCATCTATTTTGTTAAATGACCTATTCCTTGTTGTATTCGATTTCGATTTCTATTTCTCTTTTCCATTCGATTTTATTATAGCTTTTATGAAACAATTATACTTTCAATATGGCTTTTATATAGTTATTCTTCATATTAGTTTAACATCTCTGATATTTTATCATTGCTTTTCTATTCAACAACTGTCTTTCCGCCACAAGTATACCTTTCTATCTTGCCAAATCTCAGTTAGCCATATCCTCGGTGAAGCTAGCCAATCCAACCAGTCCCCTCGTATCCTTCCTCAATCACCTCATGATCTTCTGTAGGCTTATTGCTTTTATTAAGCTGGAATTTTCGATAGTACTCAAGTATAATATCAACTTCTTCCTCTTTAAGGTTAAGGTTTTCTTTAACATTGTATATCGTATAAGTCAGAATGTTGTCATATGAATAGATCCAAGCAATATTGTGATGCTCTACAACAGGATATTTCGAATCAATCTCGTCTTTTCTTTCGTTATTTTCATCTGATAATAAAACATCGTTTAATTGAGACAAAAGTATGAGGCTGATATAATTCTCTATGTCGTATTCCATTCCTTCATATTTTTTATGGAATTTAACTTGGTTGATGTGGAGAGACTTTAAGAAAGTATATGGCATATCGACTAGCAAACATCCGGTTTCTTCAAAGTCATATGCTGTAGCCTTGTACATCTGAAAGAGAGACGATTAAATACTTCAGCGGTTAGAGAGCAGTACTCCAAGGTCAAATTATGCAGTCCATAGTGCTTTTGATGCTTCTTTGGTCTCTTATTTGTGGTGTTTGAATTAATGAGCAATTTTCCGCCAAGAAGTTTAAGCTGTTTGAGGGCCACACAGCTGTCCAATAGATCATCCAGATTAAAAATCACATATGAGCCACTGATGCAAAGATTCGTTAAAAACGGGCAGTAAGGAAATAGTTCAAGCGTTGAATTTGGGACATGGTCGCCATATTTATATCTTGTAACGGAAAGAGTCTGGAGTGTTTCAGAAAATGCTTGCAAAATTTGATGGGCATGTATTAGATATATAAATTAATTGCTGTCTTGCTACATCTAATGTCAAATTTTTAAGAGGGACTCTCAATGCAGAAAGCAATTCCCATATAACAATGTCAGAAGGTACAGGAATTTTGCCGGTTATGACTTTTAATGTTTCCAGGTGTTGGAGTGCGTTTGGACTGGAGTAAAAATGAGATACATTCAAAGTTCGATATAGTGATATAGATGGTGGACAGAAATTTTATCACTATCACTATATCGAGCGTGTTTTTTTCTTACTCCACGCATTTTTTAGTGATATTTCTAATGCCGCCGTGAGTGACTACTATTTTCTAATAGGATTCATAGTATTTTGTCTAAGAAAGTGGGCTTGCTTTAAAATGTTAAATATATATATACAACATTTTTTTGTAGTATAAAAATAAACTCAGAGCTCGATATAGTGATAATAAGGAGGCACGGACCCAAATTATTAGAGACCTTGGTGAAACCTTGTAAAACATTTGGAGGAGTTTAAATCATCTGTATAAGGAAATTTGAGCGTGAAAAACGCGAATGTTTGATAAATTTTCTCAAAAGTTTGTCAAACTTAAAAGAAATTTTTCAAACATTGTAAAACATGATAGACCAATCATGTTGTATTTGTTTTTGTTGCTATACGCACGAAAAAATTAAGCTTGAAAATATTAATAGCTGTAATTTTAACGTATGCATGTAAGAATATAAGCATCCCTTCAGTATACTTTTCTCTACTTATTTTTTTTCATTATTTTTTTAATAAAGTTAGTATTACTATTTTTGTGCTAACATAATACCAAGAAAAAAATGACTATTATTTAATAGAAGTTAACGAATCTCTCATTAGCTTGATTATATGAAGCATTGTTCGTGAGCTTAGTACTACTCCTTTTCCGACAGGCAATGATTACCAAATGTATACTATGTTTGAGACATGATATTCCGAAAGAAAATGTTTGATAGAAATCTATATTTGGTAACTCGGCGCCTAAATGTCTCTTATCGTCTCACCAAGGTCCCTATTATTTTCCAAAAAATTATCATTATATCGAATATCACTATATCGAGCTTTGACTGTATTTGATAAAAGAGTCCTGGATGAGAATGAGATTTCAGTTTCCAGATATTACTTTTGTAATTTTCAGACGAGAAGAAATGCTGAACCATCTGACAAATCCAAAAGTGTGGCGGATTACATTAATTACTAAAAAAGAAAACAAAACAGACGATTTTTCTCAGTGTCGAGATAGTATGGGATAAAAGAGTAGCTAAGGAGGATCGGAAAAGAGATCTATACCATGGGTACGCCGAATTTCGACTTGGAAGCTTGGAGAAATATAAATCTGACAGAATGGACTTGTGTGAGCATAAAAAGTACGATCGTCCTACATTTCCAGCCAAAGAATATAACCTTTTAGTTTAAAAAAGGATCTATTCACATACTAGGATGACCTGACATTTTGGTTGATTTGCAAGTGATTTGCAAGTAGACGTGTTATATATCTATTCGATCAAAGAAACCCTTTAAAATTAATGTCAAAACTCAATCAAGACTAAGTTCTGTACAAGCAACTAGCCATTAATATGAATAATGTTCCTTGAAAATAAGCAAAATATAATGTGTAATTATGTTAACAAATGTGTCCAACTTTTTTTGGTAAACTTACTGCTGCGAAACGTGGAATAAAATAAAGCAGTAGTATATTTGTAGTTATGCATGAAGGTTAATTGATATAAAAGAAGAAGACACAGGAAGCTTTTTGTATACAGAAGAATTGGTTCAAGTAAAGTCAGAGTATTAGGCTATGCTCTCTTTCTTTCTTTTTTGGATTTGCTATAAAGAAAATTATAGTTTGACGGCTCAGTAAATGGCGTTCACCATGAAATATGCGAAACAAACATTGTGATTTAATTCACCACGTAAAATACAAATTTGCAATCGTTTGCAATTGTTTTTAACCAAGGTGACAAAACCAATTTTCAGGAGAGGACTGGAATTAATACTCAGTCCAAATCCTCTCCAATTAAAATCGACTACTCCAACCGCAGTAGTTAAGGAGAAAGACCAAGAAGAAGACAATCATTGCTCAGTAAGATACCATAATAAAAGGGACTTGGCATGGAATTTACGATACCGCGAAATATCTTAAATTAGTGCGAATATAAATGTTATTATCACAAATAAACATTATCTTTATCTTCATATTTATTCTATCTCTATTCTCTTATTGTGTGGTTTCTCGTACACTGCACAATTTAAACTCGTGACATTTATATTTTTGAGAAAACGCCAAATTCCATAGGTTTGACTGTATTCTTCATCTAATAAACAACACAAAAAAATAGGCTTGACTGTACTTCTACCACTTTGAGTAAAAATTGTTTGTTCCTCCTCTACAATGACATTGAATCTTCCTGCAGAAATCTTGTCCAAAATTGCTTATTACCTTTCCCTTGATGAAAAGATTATATGCTCAGGCGTTTGTAGACAATGGAAAGGGGTTTTTCAACTAGCATCATGGGACAGGATCACTATAAACGATCGTAATATTTGCTCATTCACCAAATGGGATAATACAGATTTTCCGCAGTACAAAGAGAATGGAGAACATGTCAAGAATATTATTATGACAAACACCGGGGCATTTGAAGAAGACGGCTGGAAACTCATTCAATTCACGTTTCCGTACATACGTCGTATATATTTTTCATACATAAATCTTTGCAACGTCTTGATTGATGAACCTGATTTTTGTCTACATTGGGTATTTTTAAAAACTGTGGTTTTAAACATGGGATTTTACTATTTTAGTGGTCGAAATAAGTTCTTTGAAATCCTTTCCGGGCTACCTTGCTTGAGGCGAATTAAGCTTGTCGCAAACCAAAAAGATTCGTCATCTCTGAGAATGGGAACCTTTGAGTCCATGCAGAAACACTTGCCACTCCTAGAATACATTTCTTTAAATGCTCGCCTCTCCCGTGCTAATCAAACTGCTCTGCTAACAGCGAAGGATATTATTCTGGGAAATAGCGTAACCGAATTTAAGCTTACCTGTCCAAACATTAATATCAATTGGCTATGCTATTTCACTCGAAAATACCTAAACGTGCGTAAACTTAAGCTGAAAACATACCTGGTAACCCCAGCCCATACTACACAAGATACTACAACACCACTCTCCGCCGTAATTCCACAAAAATTCGCTCATTTGGAAAACGCTTATATATCTGTTCGTCACAATGAAAACAATGAACAAGATCTCCTTTGGAAATCGATTTCTCCATCCAGTATTCCAGTCAGGCGTTTGGCTTACAGACAAGGCGCCCACGACTCCCCATGTGATAAACCATCCACGGACTCTCTACAATTATGGGTTGATAATTGTTCAAAAACAATCGAGTATCTAGATATATCATCCTTTTGGAAATTGGATGGCATTTCGCATATTCCTTTTAATTTTCAATATTGTCCGCATCTAGTCTATTTAAATTTATCCGCACGAGTATCGATTAAGCTTGACTGCCTCCTGGATAACTGTAAAGCGCTGAAGAAAATCAAATTGAAACTTTCAAAAATTATTTGCGATCAAAATACTTCCGGATCATCTTTGTCTCACGATGTTTCTACTATTTCGCTTTATTTCTTGGATATTGGTACCGAAATGCTCAACTACATATCATGTCGTTGTAGAAAACTTCGAAATTTGGGTTTTCACACGGTAAACATAACTGGAAATCTGTCCGAAGAAACTGGATCACTTTTGATCGACCTGTCTTACTCACACCTTAAATCTTTGAGCTTTAAAAACACCTTGATCTGTTTGTACAGCAATCCCAACGAAAAATATATCCTACACCGCACAGCAATTTGCTGTCCTCTTTACTCCCATTCCAATAATCAAAAATTGTGCGATAATATTAGCGACAAGGCTGCAATAGCGACTGATGATAAAGAGCAATTCAAAGAGAATCAAAAGTCGATGTGGACTGACAGATATATTACAGAATCTGGGCCCGAAAGTGTGAGAAATATGTCGAGAGTGATTGAATCTGAGAATGCTACAATTACAAGACCTTACCATTTTAATGTTCAAGAAGGAAGAAACGCCAAAACATCAAGTGAATTCAAAAGTGCTGCGGGGCATATTGATGACCAAACGAAGAAAACCGACGTTTGTTCTCTGGATGATGCTGAAATAATATGTCTTAGACAAGTCTTTAAAGAGGATCAGAAAGAAGATCTTTGCCATGGATACGTTGAATTTCGGCTCGGGAGCTTACGTAAATTCCAGTACAGCATAACGAACGTATCCAATAACTTACAAGTGTGATATTCCTACACGGTCAGCGGCTAGGTATGAAATTATAGCTTAAAAGGCTACATACTATGATGGCTTGAAATCTGGGTTGATTTGCAAACACATGGATAAATAAATGTGGTATATATAATATTAAATAAATATCTTTCAAAGAAATTCAAAGAAATTATCAAGGCTAAAAAAAAGGAAAAAGCTCTAAAAGTGAATACTTATAGTAACAATCTTCTCCGGATAATAGAATGCATTGATAGTATGATATTATGGATAGTCTTGGTGTCTATTGCTACTGCGAAATAGAGGGTGTATGGCTTGCAAAAGACCTGAAGATTTTTCTTTAAAAAAAAACCCCAAGTGTTTAGATGGAGTTTTCTTAATATATTTCTCTATCTTCTTTTATCTATCATAGACAATTATATATTTCCGCTATATAGGAGATAATAAGCTTTTGTTTTATTTAATAGCATGTTAATCTGTTGGTAGGTTTGGTACATCTAATTATTGTTCTTTGTGCTCATTGTTAACTCGAGATATCTGAAGCCAGTCCCAAACCCTCACCAATATAGCACTTTAAACCCACCCTTAAAACCCCTCAAGAAAAAAAATGTTGTAAGAATATCCCACTAAAGCCCCCATTTTTCATCACTGTATTATAAGACACGATTGAATTATTATAATTACCACTAGACTAAAATCTTTAAAAAATAATAAGAATTCTATAATAATAACAATAGTTTTTTATAAGAATAAAGGCACACACATATCTGTGTAGCCTGACAGTAAAAAGATCAGGTCAACACAATACGTTTTATGATTAAATCCAAAGTATTTAATAGGGTTATTCGTAATTGATTGTGCAAGGGGATATTTGTATAAATGTATCTACAGGCTTTCATTTTTATCAATTTATTAGTACAAGCTTTTCAGCATTGGCGCGCAGTTGATCCTGTTTGTTTGCTTGTCTATATGTATTTTAAAAATATAAAATATAGAATAAATAAATATGCACAAATAAGTCTCTGTATTTCTTTAGTATTAAACCAGTTTTCCTAATATGATGGTTAGATTTAAACGTAGGTAGTGTATATATGCATGCATGCATATTTGTACGTATGTATGTATTTTATCTCTCTGTAATAATACCAATACTAAAACAACAACAACAATATAAAGAAGAAGAAGAAAAGTAAGGTGATTCTCTTTTCTTTGTTTACCCCACTACTAAATTTTATTTTTCTAATCAAAGTATTTTCTTTTCTGATTAATTTGTATTCCTATCAGTGTTACTTATTTTAATATTATATATTGATTGATTGATTGACTGGGTGTAGATCTACAAAATGTAATAAATATATAAAGAAACCATAAAGTATAAACTCAAAAATCTCATTTGGGGGTTGGAAATAAAGAGAAACAAAGCTTATACAACAGCATTTCCATAAAGACAACAAGCTCTACTCCTTGCAGATACAGGGAGAAATAGAAGATTTGGTTAAATAATTGGATATTTATAATTTCTTTGTTGTAATCATTAGATATAGATATATTATGTATATAAGAAACAGTGATTAATATTCATTTAATCTTTTTTAAATATTAAAAAAAAATGATTGATTATAGTTCTTTTTTTGTTTTGCTTTTATGATTAATTTATAAATTCATTTCTTTCATTTTATTGTGTTAAATTGTAATTGTAATCGTAATTTTTAAAAATAAAATAAAATAATAATAATAATTAGAACTATTGATATATAGATATAAGAAGAAGAAGGGTTAATAAGGCTTGACTGATAGGAGAGAGAGAGAGAGAGAGAGAGAGAGAGAGAAAAGAAAGGAGCCTATATTTTTATTTTTATGATTGAAAAAGGGGGGAGTGAAGGGGATTTAGAAAAATAAAATATATAAAAATGGAAAGGAGAGGGGGCGAAAGGGGGGGATTGAAGAAGAAGAAAATATTTATATTTATATACATATACATATAATCATACACAAAAAGGCATAATAAAGAAGTAAGGGTCGTTTGATTTAAAGCATTTTAATCAGCTTAATCCACCTATATGTAATTTATTATATGAATTATATTTATACTTCTTTTAATAACCACTAGCTAACTAGCTTATTATTTTTACTCTTAGATACACACATATAATTATAGAGTTTTTATTCTTTTATTCTATTTTATATATATATATAAATATATATATTTAATATTTAATATATTTATTTAATATTATTACTATTACTATTCGTTCCTCAATTTCTTAATTTTCTCTTCTACTTCTTCTTCTACTTCTTGGCACTCATTCATTACATCTCCATTCCTTTCTTCCTCTCCTTCTCTTAGAAAAAATAATTAATTAATTAATTAATTAATTAATAAAATAATAAAATAAAAAGCAAGACATTCAAAATGACATCAGAATCAGACACATTGCTTTCAAGAACCCAAAAATCAAACCGTTCTGCATCTCCAGTCCCTAACTCTTACTTAAACAACTCTCATCTCGCCAACTCTAGTCCTCATCTCACATTACCCCACTCAAGACGCTCCAGTCTTTCTAGCACAGGTTCAGCAGATCCAATAGACCTTCCAATCCCCACCCTCCGCACTCAAAGATCCCAGCCTCAATTATCTCGTCCAACTCTCCAGACCAAGGATAGCAAAGGACGCCTCAGAAGACAGAAATCAGGGGAAGATACAACAAGCTGGACAAAACAAAAGCCAGCTTTAGATACAGTTACTGCCAAACGAAATGCCGAGTTCCATGCCCTTTTTCGTAGTGTACCTGAAAAAGACTCTTTGATTGAAGGTAATCAATATTTGTATACTGTAGATTGGTTTATAAAATCTATTTATAAAACTTATTATATAATATAAAAAAATTATAATATATATATATATATATAAAATGTTATATAAATTTAGACTATGGTTGTGCACTTCAAAAGGAAATCCTATTGCAAGGTCGCATTTATTTCTCTGAAAATCATATCTGCTTTAATGCCAATATCTTTGGCTGGGTCACCAATGTAAGCAAGCTTTATTTGCTCTTTAAGCATTTATTAAACAAGATACTCATAATATATCTTTTTAACCATATGGTCTTTGTTGTTGTTGGTCCTGCTTAGCTGGTGATTGCATTTGCAGACGTAATTGATATTGAAAAACGCGCTACTGCCATCTTTATTCCCAATGCAATTCTCATTTCTACTTCTACAGCAAAGGTAAATATTACAAACTGTGGATATTATGTTTGTGTATTGATACTCTTTTTATAGTATTTCTTTGCTTCTTTTCTCTCTCGTGAACAAGCATACGACCAAATGGTCGACCTATGGCATATGAAACAGTCCAATCTAGAAATCAATGATTACAGCGCAATAACAACCGAAGATATCAGCGATACCGACGAAAGCTCAGGATCTTATGAATCAGAAGATGAACAACGCCCTCGCATGGTATCCGCTGCAAAATCCTCTCCTTCAATTCTTCTAAAATATCAAGGTAAACAAAATAACACGCATAAATACAAAAAAAAGAAAACACGATTATGCATTGTACACGCACATATACACAATTATGCTAAATAATAATAATAATAATACTATGACTATGACTATGACTAAGACTAAGAGTAACAAATAAACCATCACATTTAATAAATAGAAAAACAATCTTCAGTGGCTTCATTACCAGTACAAAAATACTCCAAGCTAGTCGATCAAGACACAGTCCGTTCACGAGCATTCTCTGAAGCAGGTCCTCGTCCAAACATCCAGTCTCTTGCCAAGAAACAATCAGCACAAGAAAAACTGGCTGCATCTGTTGAGACCGAAGAGGAAGGACTACCAACACTGCCAACACCACAACCTGTTAATAACAACACCTCCCCTCAGCTAGAGACAGAATGCGAATGTGGGAAAAAGGGAGAACACTATCCTACTACCGTTTTGGATCAAATATACCCAGGATCAATAGAATCAATCTATAATTTGCTTTACAACAGTACTTTCTTAAAACAATTCTTAACAGACGTAGAAAAGAGTACAGGTAAAAAATTACAAAATCGTATCAGGTTGACAAGAAACAAAAAGAACGATTAAGAAAAAAAATAACTTATGCATGTACTATATGTACGTATTTTTATTCTTTTTTTTTTAGATGTCACAATAGGTGCATGGGCAAAAGGAGAGGGTGCGGGCAAATGCGTACGTTCAATTTCATATGTAAAATACCTTGGTGCATCAATTGGTAAGGAGCCATATACGCTTTTATATATAAAAGTAACTCATTAGATTACTCTAAATAGGTCCAAAGACTACAAAGTGCAACTTAAAAGAAGAAATACAGCATTTGGATCTTGAATCGTATGTTACCCAGTTAACTATCACTCAGACCCCAGATGTACCTGCCGGAAGTTCTTTCTTTGTCAACACAAGAACATGTATTTCTTCAGCAGGCCAAGGAAAAGTACGTGTGCTGGTCACTGTACTTATTGACTTTGTAAAGTCTTCCTGGTTGCGCTGTAAGTTCCATTATTATTATTACTATTACTACTACTATTAACATTTATCATGAAATCACATCGCATCTATTGGTGCATATGAACATATATATATATATATATATATATTATTAATCTCAATATATAGCTACGATTGAAAAGGCTTGTATCGAAGGCCAGACAAACTATTACCGATCCCTCGACACTTTTATCCGTCAACAGATTGGCACCACTAAATCGGACAAGAAGAAGAAGCGTAGTCACCGACCTCACCACCACACCGAACATGAATCTCTCAAATCAATCTCAACCACATCAACAGATAACGGAGGAATTATTAATTGGATTACGAATAATGTTGGAACCCCAAATGCGTCTCAACTCACTGTCTTGTGCATGGTTATAATGGTCTGCAGTAATCTTTACATTGCCAACAAGATAGCAGTCGTCAACAAAAAGCTCAATACAACTGAACATCCCTCTGTTGCCGCAATATCATCAGCATCACAAGGAAACCTCCGTGAGTGGCGTCAGGATCATGCAAATGAAGCACGCGAATTGTGGCAGTGGCTGGGTGGATTAGATCCTGAAGAAAAGGAACGTGAGCGGTTTGAACGATGGCAACCCGACAATACTCCAGTAGTCGAGGATCTTGGGGTGGTCGAGAGTCATATGGGAGCCAAAGAGCAGTTGGACCGACACATGGTTGCTCTTGAGAGAATGGTTCAAAAGGCGGGTCAAAGTATGGAAGAAGCAACAAAGATTGTAGAAGAGCAGCGTCAGAGACTTCATTTAGAATGGTCTGAATGATTTCATTATCATTAATCACTATTCATTTTTATTATTATTATTATTACTTAAAAAAAAAGAATCTATTATCAATGTTTGAGCTGAATTTGGTACGAATAATAATAATACTAATAATAAAAAAAGAAAGAAAGAAAGATTGACTATGTGCGTATTGTGTGCATATGCAAGGATACTATTTCCATATAGACCATCTATTCCGTAGATGGCAATACCTCGGTCAGTATTCTTATAAGTTGGTGGCAAATGCAAAAGAAACATTGGCCCACAATCTTCAAGGTTGAATTTCATACACGCATTATATATATATATATCTTGTTAGAATTGGAATTTTAGGTCGAAATAGAGACTAAATAGAGTTCTGCTCTTCTTTAACCAAGATAAATGAATTTAACTGAGATTTGCCGAAATTCAGTCCTTTTTGGATCACTACTTATTATATATATATATATTTAACCACAAGAAAAGTAAGAGTCGCAAATACTATCAATGTTAAGATAAATTGATCGCATTCGGCCCAGTCACACTAAACCACAAAGTTCCCACGGTAACGAGCTTGTCTTTCTTATCCTCTCTCCTTCTCTTTCTTTTCTTCTTCTTCCTTTTAATATCACTATTACTCTTATTCCTATTTTTTTTAATACGGTTCTTCTTGTTTCTTATATTATTTACCACACCTATAAAGAAAAATGCAAAGAATTTCTAGTGTGTATCGAGGCCCCTTGCTGGCAAAGGCCTTGAAAGTGAGTCAATACTCTCTTTTTTTTGTTTTGGTTTTTGTTTTTGGGTGTATATTTTTTTTGTGAGCTCAAATTAATTCTTTATTACATTGTCTGATAGCAAAACATTCGAGGATATGCAGCTACAGCAGCTTCCCCGGATGGTATCAAGCAAGGTGTCAGCCATTCGCTACTACTCAAGCAGACACCAGAAGATGCCTTTCGTTCTCCAGAACTGGCTCACATGAGTGCCAACGATAGTAAGAAATGGCTATTAATACTAATACATATATATACATATAATATTATTTAAGAAGAATAAGGGACAAAACAACAAAACAACAAAACAAAATTGCTTATTTATAGTGTTTTTTTAGCCCAAACCAAGAAAATGAACTTATTTCAAGCTGTCAATGATGCCATGTCAATTGCACTCACCACAGATAGTACTGCAGGTAAAGCACAACAGACCTAACAAATAAAACCATGATATACATACACCAGTGGTAGAATGTAAACTGATTTTTGTTCGCCCTTCAATTTTTTTTCTGGATCTAGTTGTTTTTGGTGAAGATGTATCATTTGGTGGTGTATTCAGAGCTACAAGCGGACTTGCAGAACAATTTGGAAAAGATAGAGTATTCAATACACCTTTGACTGAACAAGGTATTGCCGGATTTGCAGTAGGTATGGCATCGGTTGGCCATACTGCAATTGCCGAAATTCAGTTTGCAGACTATATCTTCCCTGCTTTTGATCAGGTATGTTAGAACGAAGAAAAAAATAAAGAGAAAAAAAATTCTTATATTTGTATCCACACCTATTATTTTGGCAGATTGTCAATGAAGCAGCAAAGTACAGATATCGATCTGGAAATCTGTTTAATGTTGGAGGCATGACAGTTCGATCCCCTTGTTCAGCTGTAGGACATGGTGGTCTTTATCACAGTCAAAACCCAGAAGGTTTCTTTGCTCACTGTCCTGGAATCAAGGTATAAAAAGAAAAATACATCTTCCCCTTCTTTTTTTTTGTTTTTTGGTTGTTGCTATATAAATGTATTTGTGGAACAGAATTTGGGCCTTCATTTTCTATCATTTTCTCACGCTCCCAAACCAATTCAAATATATAAATATATTATAACTACAACAGGTTGTTACACCGCGTAGCCCAATTCAAGCCAAAGGACTTTTGTTGGCATCAATCCGAGACCGAAACCCCGTCATTTTCTTTGAACCAAAGGTTCTTTACCGAGCCGCAGGTAAGCTAAATAATACATAACTCAACAATATATATATATATATATTAACTTTATTTCATTTTCCTTTTTCTTCTTCTTTTTTTTTGTAGTTGAGGAAGTACCTATTGGAGACTATGAATTGCCACTTGGAAAAGCAGAAGTATTGAAGCGTGGTACAGATGTTACTATTGTGGGTTATGGATCTCAGATTTATGCTCTCGAAAATGCAATCCAACTTGCTGAGAAGCGATTACCAGGAATTAGCTGTGAGCTTATCGATCTGCGTACAATCTTACCTATGGATATTGAAACAGTCGTTGCATCGGTCAAGAAGACAGGACGTCTTGTAATTGCTCACGAAGCACCAAAGACAGCTGGTGTAGCAGCCGAATTGTCTGCGAGTGTGATGGAACATTGTTTCCTAAATCTCGAAGCACCTATACAGCGTGTTTGCGGTTGGGACACACCGTTCCCGCTTGCCTTTGAACATTTTTATCTGCCTAATATGGTTCGATGCTACGATGCCATCAAAACCGCAGTAGAGTATTAGATTAGTGTATTCATATTCACATACACACACACACACACACATATATATACTAAATAAATTACAATTACAATTACACCTCTTCTTTAGTAAAGGAAATACACAATATATACGTGTGTAATTTTCTTATTAATAAGCCTGGTTCAGATATATTTTGCTATTAAGGATTCTTATTCACACACACATTCATACATATATACATATCATCAATTCAAAATGATTCAACTGGATAAATGACTGCTATTTTATAATAAAGCATAATCTCAAACAAAAAAAATCTTAGACAGTAAGAAATAAGAAGAAGAAAAAAAAAGAAAATCCCGCCTCTACTCCTCCTTACTCAACATCACATTTCTCTAAATGTTCCATCCATCGCGTGGAGGTAACATTCTCTAAATTATGTCATTTAAACGCTTGAAACTTATTAACCATATTCTTCTTCTTCCTTTTGTTTGTTTGTTAATAAAGGTGTTCGTGGCGGTAAAGACCAGGTACTAAACGATAAAATAGATTGATCACATCACATCACATCACAAAGCATCCTTTTATTCGATTCTTCAACGATTAGTTACTCTGTTTTAACCATTTACAAATCATAGTTTAGCTGGGATTCCGTTAAAGAAGATAAGCATCGTGAAAACTATCTCGGTCATTCGTTAATGGCTCCCGTGGGTCGTTGGCAAAAGGGTAATATTCATTATGCGTATACTCACTTTTACGCAAACGAACACACGCACACACACAAAAGAAGATACTTATTTAATATTTAAATAACCTTTTATTATATATATTCTTAGGAAAGGATTTGACATGGTATGCCAAAGAAAAGAATGACGAAAATCAAGCAAAGGCTGTATCCGAAGAAGTTATGCGTATCAAAGAAGCCGAAGCCGATGCCATGGCTGTTGCATTGTTAGTTTCATTAAAATTCGATTCGACTTATTCAATCAAGCTATTTAAAATTAATCAAATAATTTTAATATTGTTTGGTCATCAAGTACAAATCAACAATCCAACTCATCGTCCTTATTTCTATTATTATTATTATTATTATTCTATACATAGAGGCGTTAAAAAGAAAAAGACGATCGAGAGTAATGTAACCCAAGAAGAATTGAGATTTGCTCTCAAGAAGAATGATTCCGATGATGATGATGATCGCGGTAGAGATAATGAAGAAAAAGGTCTAGGATATGGCAGGTAAAATAAACAATTTTTGATACTGATAGTAGTAATTATTAAATGAAAATACACATACATACATATGCTTTCGTTTGCTAAAAAAGAAATCATAATCATAATCATAACCCTAATAATATTCTATGTAAATCCATGCTTTAGATCTGCTCGTTTGTTACCACCTGCATCTCAACACATGGAAGTCATGAATGCCACAAGTAGCAACGCAGAACCTCTTGCACGCTCTAACAACTTTAGTCGGCCGCTGCAGACAGAGAAAGAAGAAAAACCCGAAAAGCCGGAAAAGTCAAAGAAGCACAAGCGCCATCGTTCAGATCGAAAGCACAAACACAACAAGGAGCGTCGTCATCGTCACCGCTCTGCCTCTCCAGATGATAAACGACGTAAAAGTCGGTCAAGGTCACCAACACGCCGACATCGCCAACACCGCCGTTCAGACTCTAAAGAGAAAAATAGACGCCGGAGCCCTTCTGCATCTCCAGTTCGTCGTTCAGATTCCAAGGAGAGAAACAGACGCAGAAGCCCTTCTGAATCTCCGGTCCGTCGTTCGGATCCTAAAGAGAGAAACAGACGCCAAAGTCCTTCTGCCTCCCCAGTTCGTCGTCCAAATATTAAAGAGAACAACAGACGCCGGAGTCCTTCTGCCTCTCCAATTCGCCGTTCAGATCTTAAAGAGAGCAGCAGACGCCGGAGTCCATCGGCCTCTCCAATTCGTCGTTCAGATCTTAAAGAGAGCAACAGACGCCGGAGTCCTTCTGCCTCCCCAGTTCGTCGTCCAGATATTAAAGAGAGCAGCAGACGCCGGAGTCCTTCTGCCTCCCCAGTTCGTCGTTCAGATATTAAAGAAAGCAGCAGACGCCGGAGTCCTTCTGCCTCCCCAGTTCGTCGTTCAGATCTTCAAGAGAGAAGCAAACGCCGGAGTCCATCGGCCTCTCCAGTCCGCCGTTCTCGCCGTTAAAAATATTAATAAAAAAATAGGAATCCTACAATGAGCAGAATAAAAGTTTCGCTCTCGCTGTATTAAATAACCGTGATTTGTAGAGAAAGTTTATCAATATTATTACTCTCTTCTTTTATTATACTTTATATTATTACAAGCAAGCATCACAACAGCAACAGCAACAGCAAAATAACAAACATATATACACATTAATAAAATACTCACGCAAAAGTTTAAATAAACAATTCTATTTACAAAGTTATTGCTAAGCCTTTGGGCAGTGATTTTTACATGTACTTTGTTCTCTTTTGCCCTTTTCTGATAAATGCTTAATGATGTATTAAAGCCATTAATCCTGCAAAACACAACCTTGGAGCAAACATATGAACCTCACCAAGAAAAAAGGGCATAATATAACAAGAAGTTTAAAGTCCAGGTTACTAAAGGTGGGGAGAAAGAAGAGGAAACTCTACGAGAGATTTTCGTCCGCTTACTGTAAAGACCAAAAAGAAAGAAAAAAAAAGGTGTATTGATCGTTCAACTTTCTATCGAACGTCATTGCTCTATTTCTCCGAATGAATAGAATAAGATAAAAGAAAGAAAGAAAGAACAATAAAAATAGAGTCCGTCCGTTTCTTTCGTCCACCATAAAGGTACATCTAAATCCCACAAGATGTCAATCAGCAAGATAAAGAATAAATAATAAAGAGTTGGATCGCCTGTGTTTGGTAGCCTCCTGTAACCTTTACTATACTCCTAGACCACTGTAGCCACAAACAAACATGAAAATTGAATCCTAAAAAGGATCAAATCAAGAACGGGTCGATTTTTTTTCTCCTTAAAATAAGCGAATTGAAATAACCAACCAAAACTTTCATGTTGACTGCATATTTATATATATATATATAATAAGTCCAACATAAAACAACTCAAATAACTCTAGAAACCCAAATAATAAAACTTCCCAAGAATATAAAGAAAATAGAGTAAAGAAAAAGGATGTATGCATCGTGTTTAATACAAGGCGAGAAGAGATAATGAACAAGTGGACTGCACTGAAAACAGTAACCAGTTAAAGAGGGGTCTGCACCATATTTTTTTTTAAAAAAGGGAAAAAAAATAGTAATCTAAGATTCAATCTTAAACTTGAAGTAATCGGGGTCAAAGTGATGGACACGGACATAACCATCCTCACCACCGCTTGAATAACTATAACAATGATACAGAAAGAAGACATACACATGCATGAATAAACCAAAAAAGAAATTACATTTTCCACCCCTTCCCTCTTTAATACATATATATATATATTCTCTTTGATAACACAATAACTGGCCAAAGAACAATAATAACAATAAAGATTCTTACCTCTTGCCATCGGGGTGAACTGCAATAGTGTTGATAGGACCGAAGTGACCACGTACACGACCAACTTCCTCTTCGAGAATCTTGTGATAGAATCTGCTCTCGAACTTACCAGCACGGGCAGAGGTTGTGGTGACGCTCATGGCATCCTGACCACCACCAACAATCACAAACTCCTGGTACTTTGGTGTGAAGCTTGCAGAGTTGAGGGGAGTATCGGTAGTGTAGGTCTTCTTGTGAGCAAGAGATTCACTCTCGAAGATCTGTGCGGTCTTGTCCTTGGACGAGGTGATGAAGTAAGTGCGATCGGGGCTGAACTGAATATCGGTGATCAAGTCACTGTGGGGCTTAATAGAGAGGTTCTTCTCGTTGTTCTTCCAGTCCCACTGGATAATAGAACCGTCGACGTGACCGCTGATGATGTACTTGTTCAAGTTTCCCCAGCCAGCCACAACGGCCTTGGGTCCACCAGTGTTGACGATGGTTGCGATTGGCTCATCTGACTGAGAAGCCTCGACATTGGGGTTGACGGCCAACACAGTAACAGTGCCAGAGAAACCCATACGTTCCTCAGTAACGCACAGGACCATTGTGTCGTCTTCGTTAAAATCAACACGCTTTACTGCAGTTTTGAATTCCCAAGTCTTGAGACAACGACCTGTTCGGACATCCCACAGCTTGGCAGAGTTATCGGCGGAACCAGTGACAATCATCGTTGAGGTAGCTGCATGATGAAGAAAGAAGAGAAGATTTAAGTATATGCAAAAAAAAAAGAAAAATAATAATTGCAATATAATTGTTGAGTTGATGGAATCGTTGATGAGTTTTTCTTTCTTTGTTATATATTGGTATTATTGTTCCTTTTGCCTCTTTTTTTTTCTTTTTTTTTTATATTTATTTTATATTATCATCCAATCCAAATTTTTGTTTTTGTTGTTGTTGTTGTTTCTGGTAGTGTTTGTGATTTTGGTGGTAGTGGGTGATGTTGCAATAATTGTGAAAGATTCTTACAGTTGACATCGACTGTCCACACACTGCCTTGATGACCGCTGTAGGTACCAAGGCGCTCGCCATTGTGAGAATACCACACATTGACAACCTTGTCTTTTGAGACCGAGAAGATCAAATCACCCTCGCGGTTGTACTTGATCTGTGTCAGGGAACGCGTGTGGCCTTGGAGGAGAATCGGTCTCATGGCGTAACTTTAAGGAAAAGTGGTCTGGAAAAAAAAAATAGCCAGCACAAAAACATCAAAGTTGCCCAGCGAGATTTTTTTTTTCGGACGGCGAAAAAAAGAGGGTTGTGATGTCAGCAATATCAAGCGCACAGTAGTAAGCTTTTTCTTTTTTTTTTCTTTTGCCCTTTCTAATCCGAATTTTTGTTTTTTTTTATCTTTTAAGCAAAAAGACGCAAAGAGTCAAAAAAGAAGAAGAAGAAGAAGAAGAAAGGAATAGTTTAATGAAGGCCGTTAAGGACAAAGGAAAAGAAAAAAATCAGTTTAAAGAATAACCTTAATAGAATTGAAATTTGAAGCAAGTAATAATGTTAATTATGATATAAAATATAGCCAAGTTTTTATTTTTATCTTTAAATAAATAAATAAAAAAGGTTTTGCTTGTTTGCTAGTACAATAATTATCAATGAAAATTGTACTTGTATGGGTTTTTGGGATAGTAGCTGAAAATCTTTGTTTCGATATTATTGGTTTGGTTGTATTCATATTATTCTACACTTCTTTATTAATTAATGCATAATTCGTATAGATATCCACAGAATATTTGCGTTGAATAGCCTCAATAAAATTCTTGTTTAATGTATTTTGTCGGAGCCTATAATATTTTGTGTGTGTATGTCTACGCACACACACTTCCCAAGGGCTTGGTGTAGATTGGCTGGTTAGAAAGAGAGAGAGAAAAAAAGAAGAAAAAAAGGGAAGAATGAGCGGGCGGTGAGCGGTGGACGGTGGACGGTGGCGGCGGCATTGAAATGGAGTCAAGCCAATCGAGCAAACGCCAACCAAAAACCACCCCCTTTCATTGACACCATGGTGAGTCTCGCCTATCCATCCATCCATCCGACCTATGGATCCATCCATCTACCCACATAATTACTCACCATGCGTGTTGTAGGCTGACCAGGAGCAGACTAACCTCAGAAAGAGAACCTTCCGCAAGTTCACCTACCGTGGTATTGACCTCGAGCAGCTCTTGGACTTGTCCTCTGAGCAGTTCATGGCTCTCGTGCACTCCCGTGCCCGCAGAAGATTCCAGCGTGGACTTAAGCGCAAGCACATGGGCCTCATCAAGAAGCTCCGCAATGCCAAGAAGGAGGCTACCCCTGGTGAGAAGCCTGCTACCGTCAAGACCCATCTCCGTGACATGATCATTGTCCCCGAGATGATTGGTTCCGTCGTCGGTGTCTACAACGGCAAGACCTTCAACCAGGTTGAGATCAAGCCCGAGATGACCGCTCACTACCTTGCCGAGTTCTCCATCTCTTACAAGCCTGTTAAGCACGGTCGCCCCGGTATTGGTGCCACCCACTCTTCCAGATTCGTCCCCCTCAAGTAAAGAACTTACTCAAGGCGACAGCAGCAGCGACAACAACAAAAAACAACAACAAAGAAAAACAACAACAATATATTGTTTTGTTTTATTTCGCGTAATGATGGGACAAACTGCTGTTATTTCTATTGGAATGAGAAGAAGAAAAAAAAAGATAATAAAGATAAAAAAACAAACCAAATTGATGAGAGCAAAGTAAAATAATTGTTCTTTCATGAGAAGAGAGAGTTGGGAGGGATGTGTTGAGGTCAAAGGTGAAAGTGATAGGGAAAGCTGTAGTGAAAGTGAATATGGTGATTAAGATTAGGATTTTAAAAATTAAGAGCGAAATATATAGGATATGGTCTAGGGAGAAGGAATAACGGGTGTGATTTTGGAACGATATGTGAGAGTTACCAAGACACAACCTGCCAATGTCATCAATCCACATATAGCAAACATTGTTGCTGTAGATAGATCCTCGACCTACAAAATAGACGGATCAATAAATAAATAAGTAATCAGTATTGGAGACATGGTCTTGTATATATATAAAAGAGAGTGACTTACATGCCACATTAAGAATCCAACGCCAAGATTCATTGGAATTCGAAGTAGTGTCATTACACCTGCTCTTGTCTCTTCAGGGATCACATCAGCCTTGAGGGAAGAGATTGCGGGATAATAGAGACCAGTTGTGAATTCAAAGATGTGGTAAGAAGATACCAACAATACAATCTATCAAGTAAATAAATAAAAGGATAAAGCACATATCAGTCTTCTTTTCTCTTTCTCTTTTTTTTTTCTTTTTTGGTTACCGAAGTTGGTTCAAAGTAGCTCATGACACCGAATGAAAAGCTTGCTAAGCCAAGAGCAAGGGCCAGTATGTGGCTATAATCCAAAAAGGCAATAATCTTGACCTGGCGTTCAATGACCCGGAAAGTGAGAGAACCCATCATGACAGCAAACATTAACGTCGAAAAAAGCATTCCTAGAGGAAGCTCTGATTTATTTTTAGATAGGAAAACAAGTAAGTTTAATGCTGTTTCTGGTACTGCTATATCCACAGAACTTTATACTAAAGTTTACTCACCTCTTGCTCCAACGGCATTTTCAACAGCAGGTGTATAAAGTAAGACAAACACATACATTGAGCATTCAAAGAAGGTTTGAGCAGTACCCAAAATTATGATGTTGGTGTCTATTTGAATGTGTTGTATTATGAGCAATCTTGAAATAATTAGCCAGATATACTTCTTTTTTTACTTTACCATTCCAGAGTGTACGACATCCTTCTTTGAGGGTATGTATCAACTGTGTATCCGTCTAATCCAATATATAAGTAAATTTGGGCCGAATAGTTTATGGGAAAGGGTAATTCCCATTATATATATATATGTATTTGTTACCTTTCCATCTCCTTCACCGTAATTCTCTGTCCAAATTGATTGGATAACGACGGCTGCAGTAGCAAGTAAGACAATTGCGCCATAATATGGTGCACCATATCCCCACCACGACACCAATCCATTGGCGGACACACCAGCCAAGATAGCAACAAGACCATTCAAGAAAGTGCCTGTTGCAAAAGTGCGTGCACGCCACTCGTTTGGGAACCCACGCGATGTGTGTTCAGATACATACCATGCTTCGAATACACTATATAATAATGCTGTGCAGAGACCAGACAATATATGCGATAGAAACAATACACTGTAGGAATCAATCTGTCGTAGAAATAATCCACAAATTGACATTGTACAAAATCCAAGACACATTTTTCGTCTTCCACTAAATACATAACAATAACAACAGTAGTAACAGTAGCAAAAAAAAAACAAAGCACAAAAAAGGAGATGTCAGGGCATTGATTTAGTGGATAGTTTTTTTGTTTTTGTTTTTGTTTTGTTATTTATTTTATATTTTGCTTACATTGTATCAGCAGCACTTCCCATGGCTGTCCCTGCAATAGCACCACTAAAGAATCCAGTCAAGAATAGACATGCAATTTGAGATAGGTCAAGACCGTATGATCGATACAACTTGTAGAGATAAGGGCCCTGAAGCCAATCGGCACCTGTGCGAATAAATCAAATCAAATCAAGAAAAGAAAAAAAAAATATTCAAACTGTTGGTCATCGTTACATTTCTCGCTTTTTTTTTTTGGATCCTACCCATTACCAACAGGTAAACTATTAGGTATTGCTTTTGCAATTTTTTGAATTCTATTGGATTAGCATTTGAGATTGTCATCATTACAATTTAAAAAAAAAAATGAATGGAAGAGAGATGAACCCTAGTCTTGTAAATTTATTTATTTTTTGTTCGAGAACTCACTTTGTTTCACTGTAATGCGACTTTGGTCTGCAAAACGGCACTTCTTACACTCTAATTGATCTATTTTTAGAGTTAGAGCGTATTTTTAGAGCTCAATCTTCTTAATTAGGCAGTTAAATAAAGTCGGTACTTGCAACTTTGAACAAAAAAAAACCTTGCTCGCAAGTAACCAAACGTAAAATTAAATTTTAGCTTCTGTTTTCTTTAATTTATTAATTTTAGTTTTTTTATTGGCAAATAAGAGCCGTGGTAATTATAATGTAATTTGAACCTCATTTAATTTCATTTCATTTAAAGCTAATAACAATAGTAGTTGAACTTGTATTAGCTGGCTATTCAAAATAAAGAAGACCTTTATAGTAAGCTTTTGTTATAGAGATTACTATATTGAATTCATTGGCCATTCTAGTTTTGGTTTTTTTTTATAGATTTTTTTTTATTAATCGATTTATCTATATATTTTTTCTTATTCATTCGTATATTCACATTCTAAAAAAGTAGGATAATCATATTTCCTGTGATCACAGACCATACTTTCTTCAACTTCATATTCGTCCAGGCTTCCGAGTAGAAGTTTAGCGTATCCGCGATAAAGATCTTTTTTCCAGTCTTCTCTAATGACTCTTCTATTCCACATCATGTCCGGATGACAGGATGATTCTTTATCAAATAAGGCGAGCATGGAATCAAAGTATTCTTTAACACCATCAGATCCGCTCGGAGTCTCGGCCTCCCTTCTAGCTTGGAAGTTTCTAAAGTAATCCTTGGCAATTCTGATTTCATCTTCATCCAAGACTCGTCTGTGATGTGCTGTATCTCTTAATCCATTCACAATTATATAGTCGTGAATCCAGGTTATATCTATATCTTCTTCCTCTTCCTCTTCTTCATCATCATTATATACTGATGGTTTGTCCTCCCCTTTGGTATTATTGTCTGATTCCTCATCGAGTACAGGTAGGTGAGCACGTTGTTGAATTGCTGTAGTATGAATACTAGCAACGACATTTGGATAGCTATTCATCGAGCAAATGTCGTTGCCACACCAATGAAGGTACTTAAGGTGGGTGTGATGCATGTCAATGAGAAAAGCCCCGGTTTCTGGGGATATCATTCCGGTTATGTTGGAATTGTATATACACAAAGTCTGAAGCTTTCTACAACGGCTAGATATGTAGCTGAGTGTTTTGTCATAAAGATCCACTGAGTTAAATGAGATCTCAGTTAGATTGTGTAGCTTTTCCGGTGAGGTACCAGCTAAATGTTCAGTGATTTTTGAATCGACAAATGAGATATTTCTTAAAGCTTCACAGTTGTCCAAGAGCATGTCCAATTCAATCTCGAATTGACCGGCAATGTGCAAAAGCACCAGATTTGAACAAGTGCCAAATCTTATGGGCTTGAACGAGGTGTCCTCCCACCCCAGAAAACATGATATGTGCATCTCTTTGATTGTCTTTGAGAATATGTCAATTGCTAATTGCACAGCTTTCGCGGAATTCCTGCTAGAGGCTGCTTTTGGGCTGTCTAGTTTGTAAGCCAGACGCTTAAGCGGAATATTACAACGAGCAAGCATGTTCCAAAAACAAAAGGGTGAATCGCCGATATCTTCACTGGAATTTACGGCCATGACTTCCAGATGGGAAAATGCATGATCTTTGTAAGCAGAAAGTGATGTTATATCACAGAATAACCCTCTGGGTATAAGGCTGGATTCAGTTGACACTAGGATTTTACGAACATTTGGGTACTTTATACCAAAGTAAAAAAGCCAGTGTGGATCCATGTGAGTACAATCGAGCGTAATTTCTTTTACATTGTCTGCAGGAGGGGCGAATGCCATGGCAGCCATATCAGAGAAGTTGAAAGGAACGAAGTTCCCTTTTATTTTCAGGTACTCGAGAAGTGGCGCGCGCTCTTGAATGGCCTCGAATACGTCAATTCTTAATTCCATTCCGTCGTTATCGATAGGAATAATCTCCAATCGCTTCAAGGAAGGTAAAATGGAAAGGTCGCTGATGAAATTTTCTGATACAGTAGGTCCTTCTTGATCGAGGTAAAAGACTGCGGTTTGTAAGGCAGTCCAGGCGTCCCAGTTTGAAAGACCTTTAAATGAAAACTTTTCGAGGACGTTGTGCGGAACAGAAATATAGCGTATATTCGGAAACTCTCGTTGAAGGACCTGCCATTCAGAGGTTTGTACTTCGACATATTCATCCAAGTTAATTTTCTTGACATATTTTCCATTCTTTTGGTATATTGATTTCTCTCCAGATGATTGTTCTTTGATCGATTGAATGACAAATGAATCTATCTCGATCGAACTCCATGCCGCAATTTGAAAAATTTTAGTCCAATGTTTACAGACGCATGAGCAAGCAAGTTTCTCTTCGGTATTAAGGGAATCAGCAATAATTGAAAGGACTTCAAGAGGAAGAGTTGATGACATCTTTTTTTTTTAAAGAAAAAAAAATCGGAAAGGAGTAATGAGTGAGTTCTGTTTAGGGCAATAAAATAAAATAGAATAAAGAAGAGAAACCCTTTTTGTATAATGGTAGGTCAATCCCTTTTCTTTTGTGTCTGTAACCAAATATTCAGATCCAGTAATTCAAATCAAGAGTGTCAATGAAAATATGTATATATAAGACAACATTTGTTTTTTTTTGGGTAGGTAATTATTACCATGCTTAAGTAATTTACTTTGAATTTTATCAGACCAGCACACTTGGTATAAATATCAAAATTAGAAATGCCTACTGCTGTGTGTGCCTTCTAAAACCTACATTTAATATTCTTCAACATCTTTAAAAGCAAATTCAATTAAAAACTCTATTGGTCTCTATAACGTGCTTTCAGATGAGCCAAAAAAAAAAGACAGCATGACCTTAATACTCTGGACTTTACTTGAACCAATTCTTCTGTATACAAAAAGCTTCCCGTGTCTTCTTTTATATCAATAAATCTTCATGCATAACTACAAATATGCTACTGCTTTATTATATCCCACGTTTCGCAGCAGTAAATTTACCAAAAAAAGCTGAACACATTTATTAACATAATTCCACATCATTAATTTTTCTTATTTTCAAGGAACATTATTCACATTAATGGCTAGTTGCTTGTACAGCCCTTGGTCTTGATTGAGTTTTGACATTAATTTTAAAGGGTTTCTTTGATCAAATAGATGTATAACATGTCTACTTGCAAATCACTGGCAAATTAACCAAAATGTCAGGTCATCCTAGTATGTGAATTGATCATTTTTTAAACTAAAATGCTGTATTCTTTGGCTAAAAATGTATTAAGATCGTACTTTTTATGTTCACACAAGTTCATTCTGTCAGATTTACATTGCTCCAAGCTTCCAAGTCGAAATTCAGCGTACCCATGGCGTAGTTTTTTTTTTCAAATTCTCCTTAGCTACCCTTTTACCCTATACTATCTCGACATCTTCTTGAGAAAAATCGTCTGTTTTGTTTTGTTTTTTTTTTTTAGTAATTAATGTAATCCGCCACACTTTTGGGTTTGTCAGATGGTTTAGCATTTCTTCTCGTCTGAAAATTACAAAAGTAATCTCTGGAAACTGCAATCTCATTCTCATCCAGGACTCTTTTCTCAAATAGTCCTTTTTTCGGATTCGTCCAGTACGACATGATCATGAAGCCCGGATCGAATTTTCATTATCTGTTGGTTTCTCGTATTCAAGGATCACGATTTCAGATTTTTTGCTAGTATTGTCGCATGAGTCTTGGTTGGCCAAAGGAGGGTTAACAGGACTGGGGATTTCTACGATTTGGACAAGAGATTTGGTATCGAAAGGATCGTTTGTTGACAGAGTTTGACAGCTGCTTAAGTGCAGGTGGTTGAGGTGGCTGCAAGTCATGTCAATTGTGAGACAGCCGGTTCCTTCATATATGGCTCATGTTATGCTTGAATTGCAAAGGCCCAGACTTTGAATGTTTCCAAATTTGATGGATATGTAGTTGAGTGCGTAAATACTAACTTCTGTGTCAAGAAACGATATAACAGAAATAGCAAAAGATAAGTCTGGTTCGTCATTATATCTATAGCAATCAATATTTGTATGCTCAAACCTGATCTTTTATAAGGCTTTACAGTCAGAGAATATCTTGCCCAGGTTAATTGAGATTTGACCGGAAATATTTAAAAGTACCAAGGACACTAGATGACCAGTGTCTATGTCTATATAATATGGGTGACTCGGCTTCAGATAACACGGTATAGCCAACGTTTTTAATGTAGATGTAAAAATTTGATATGTTTGGTTAAAATTCTACTGTATTGGTCCTTCTTGAAAGTGTTGTAGATAACTTGTTTGTAAATTACATTGTAGATTGGGATATTACAAATAGAGTATGATGCCAAAATACGGTCTTCTGGACTGTGCATAACATGGTAATAGTTATTGATGCTCTCTCCAAATCGTAAAATTTCAATGAGGTGTAAAATAGGCTTTTCTGCATACACATGAAATCTTTGATATCTTCACTGTTCGAATTCAAGTCCAAAATGAGTGTTCGGATATTTGGGTATTTCTGGGAAAAATAATGCACCCAACATCCCCGAAAGTTTCTACAGGAAAGCTTGAGTGTAGTTAGATTTTTTGTCTTGCCATTATCCATCGAATTCATGTTTCTGATGTAAAAAATCGTAGAATTTTCCTCTTATACAAAAGTATTCCAAGAGTGGTAGGGACTTTGACATGCGTTCAAAAATGTCATGTTTGGCCTATACGAGCTTTTGAAGGGTATAACAATCTCCAAATGCCTCAAGAAAGATAACGAGGAAAGAGGTCTAAGAAGTAATTTAAACGAGAAAGGATTACAATGCTCCATAGCAATAGCCACAGCCTTTAAAAGATCCCAGCTAGATAATCTTTCGCAGCCATAAATATGTGGGTATGTAATCGGAATACGGTGTATGTTCGGAAACATAACTTGGAGAGAGTCTCGGTCATGCGCTTCAATTTTCAGGCGCTTGTCCGAAATAAGACGCTTGACCTTTTTGCCATTCTTTTGGCAGATTAATTTTTCAGTTGATTGTTTGTCGATTTAGCAAATGCCATTCCGAGTTATCGTGATCTCTGTCTATGCTGCGTCTTGAAAAATGTGTTTCCATTGTCTGTAGACTCCCAAACATACAATCTTTTCATCGAAAGAAAGAAAATCAGCAATACCAGAAAGGATTTTATGAGATAAATCTAATGACATTGTAGACGACGAAAAAGTTGTTTTGTTCGCTAGCAATAGAACCTTCAAGTATTTGGTGGGAGGTTAAAGGTCATTGTGTGTAACAAGGTATCTAAACCCAAGGTGAAGTGAGCAGAAGAGACTTTTGCTCTTTTGCCCTCCACTCTTATTTTATTCGTTTTAGTAGTCTGGGTGTTATTTTTCTTGTTGTTTTATTACAAGATTTTTGGTGTGTGCTTTGCAGGATTGACGATTTGAAATGTAGTATTGAATTTTCTTATATCTTTAAAAATAAAAGGAGATACTCTGTACATGACTTGGACTCTGCCTTTAAATTCTCTGAAAATCTTCTTACCATTTTACAACCACATCACTTAAAGTCTACTAACCATTCAATAAACTGCTCAACTCATTTTTCACACATTAATTGTAATATATAGTCGTTAAACTTCTCATAGCAAAGATGTACATAAAACTTGAGGGAAGGTGGGGAGTTCTACTTCCAAAAGTATGTTAATTATTTATTAAGTTATTCTTTATATATGTCTATAAATTCATCACAAAAAAGATATGTGTGTGTGTCCTGGAGAATTTGTGTGTGTGGGTGGATTTGTATGTGTGTCCGGGGAATTTGTGTGTATGTGGGTAGATTTGTGTGTGTGTGGGTAGATTTGCGTACCTGGGTAGATTTTGTGTGTGTAGGTAGATTTATGTGTGCCTGGGTGGATTTTGAGTACCAGGCGTGGCATAGCGGAAGTACAAATGTTAAGGGAGGCAAATTGAATACTAAGAAAAAGAGCGTCTTTATGGATTGGTATATATAAGCATATTATTCTATCTCTTTAATAAACAACACTCTCACAGTATCTACTTTTTCTAATCTTAAGATACTAACCCAAGATTAGTTCCGAACATCTCGTATATTTTTTTATTTTTTTTTAATAGATAACACTCTCACAGTATCTATTTTTTCTAAAATTGAGATACTAATCCAAAATCAATCCCAAATACCTTAATTGCAATACAGTATAATATTTAAATAAAATTATAGTTGGAATAAGAGGGTCAATTACTTGTTATAAAATAATAATAAAAAATCAAAAACTAATTGAAAGCTTATAAAAAAGCAAAAAAGTAAAGTAAAATAAAATAATTAACTTAAATTTCAAATGCCCAGTCTTTTTGGTAGATTGTAGAGCATGTTTGGAACTCAAACGGTCTAAGCTGTTTTTAGTAATTTAAAAACACCTGGGAGCGTGGCATTTTTGTGAGGCTAGCAATTCTCCTACACAAAAAAAAATGCGGCGGTGTTTCAATATTTTATTTCTCCTAATGTCGTATAATCAAAAAAGCAAAATTTTATGACTTCGGGATTAGAAGCTTACTTTAGAAAAAAATAGTACTAAACGGCCTATTTTTTATGTGCTACAAATAAAGTAGCAAAAAAAGATCGGCAAATGAAAATTAAATAATTGGATTTCACATATATTTTTATTTGGAATTAGGACCTTGGATACATCATATAAAATATTATAAAATATACACTCTTAAACATAGAAATGCTCCATGTTAATAAATAAATATAAATATTTGGATTTGTGGGTTTGACATCTGTTTAATTCCCAAATACAGCTGTCGATTCCACATGTAATTTTTTTTTCTCAATTGTGTGAAATAAAACCCGCATGTTTATTTTTTTTATTATATACTTTGGTATTATTGATTTACTATCATAATAATTAATTGGATAAATGGGAATTATTATTATTATTAAAAAAAAAAGAGAGAGAGAGAGAAAAGCCATGTTTGATGTATATATAGATTATCGATTCGTTTTCTTGCTTTTATTCGTCTTCTTTTCTCTTGAATATTAATATTATAAATTTTTATTTAAAGAAAGATAAAATATGTTACAGATTTTATATTATATTATGTAGGTTACTAATGAATGCCATTCACAATCCTACGGTGATAATAATAAGAATGGTAATAATAACGCCAACACCAAACCACAGTAAGAGTAACAACAATAAAGATGCCGGTTCTCTCTCTTTTTTTTTTTTTTTTTTCTGTAGCTGTAACAGAAAGAGAAAAAAAAACCGCGGCTTAAAGAAATAAGGATTAGTCTGACCAGAAACTGAATTAAAGAAAGCCTCTTTTGTTAATTTGTTCCATAGAAAAGGACACAAGATTTCAATTTAATTTAATTTAATTTAATTTAATTTTTGTCTCTCTTGGCTGTTGTTGGTGTGCAAAAAAAAAAAAAAAAAAAAAAAAAACAGTAAATAAAATAAAATAAAGACAACCAATAAAAGTACACGCCATAACTTTTTCTTATGAAATTCCATTTTGTCTTTATGTTTCTTGTACCTTTTTTATCCTAAGAGAGAGGATGATTGGTGGTTGATAAAAAAATATGTATGTAATATATATATATATATATATTTCTTTCTTTCTTCTATATGTACAAATCACACGCATAAAATTAAAATAACATCGTAGGTTGTAAAAATATTCGGAATCTTCTTTTAAAAGAGTCAAAGATTTATCTGGCCTGACTTGTTTGATTTCTTGATGTCTCTCTCTTTAAATGGCAACACTGCTCAATCTACACACTATACTACACTAACACTATTAATAAAAATAATATAAATATAAATATAATTGGCTTCTAACGAATTCAATTTTATAATAAATATATCTTTTTTTATTTATTTAATAGATAGTAAAAAAAAATAAAAAATAAAAAAAATGGAGTAATACAAGTACACAGGTACAAATATATACATACACATAAAAGAAAAAATAAATATTAAATCAAAGCATTTGCAAGATTCTTATAAAATCTTACCAAAACAAAGAACATTTGATCAAATTACTATGAATTTTGTATAAAAAAAAAAAGAGAGAGAGAGAAAGATAGTTGTATATATAATTATCATCATTATTACACTTTGATAATATTGTATCAGATAATATTAAATAGTACTGTTGTTATTGTTACTGAGTGGATATTGATATGGATTTTAATCTAGTTCATTTTCCAACTATAGTGTGTGTGTGTGTGTTTGGATTTAATATATCTTAGGCTTGTATACTATAGAAATGACATCAAATAACCAGTTTGATACATGTTTTAATACTGTTTTTTCTTTCTTTCTTTCTGCTAAGCCCAAGCTATCCTTTTTATGTGTCTATTGTGTGTGTGAATTGGTAAATTAGTATTATTTGCTTATGAACTATATGGCTTTATTTATTTATTATTATTTTTGGAGAGGAGATATATTGAATATTTTGTTCAAATAAATGCGGATTGAGCAAGTGTTAATTATACCTACATATCATGTACCTGCGCAAAGTCCAACAAGAAATAAACAAAGAAGACGCTAACATAGCTACATAGCTACACAAATGAGCAAATACGCCCTCGTCCTGGCCCCTCCTCCTCCCTTTCTTTTTTTTTGTTTTGCCTCACATTCCCTTTCTTTTCTTCTTACCCTATCATCTCCCATTTCCTCCTCTCTTCTCTTACCCTGTAGGAATAGGGAATGGGGAAAAAAAAGGGTTATATATCAAAAGAAGGTTTGCATGAATGCATTTAGTTTCCCTTTATAAATTTGTTCTTTTAAGGCTGTCAACTTTTATATACTATGCTTTTTTATTGGCTGGAATAAAAACAAAAAAAAAAAAAAGGTAGAAATGAGGGGAGGCATAAATGTGGGGTTTATTCTTTATTTTTTCTAGTCTTTTTGCAATTAGCTTTAATGTTCATAAAGGGGATTTTACAACAATTGCAAGGGTCTTTTTTGTGTATCTATATAAATATAAAGTATGCCCGTTTGTTTGCTATGTATTTGTTAGTCTATTTTTAAAAAAAAAGATATAGCAACAAACAAGAAAAGGTTCATTCCGGAAATGGTATTCTTCTATTGATCTATTGATAGAGGCAATACATTAAATATCCTTTTTTATTTGTTTTAGCAAAAATTGAAAATACATAAATAATATGCATGGAGTATATAAGAAAAGGAAAGCTAATCCATCAACCATTCATGTCCTACTCCAGTAAAATCGACTCTGCATAGTCCTGATACTGCTCCACTCGCAAGCCAAGGAGAAGCAAATCTATTAGGGTTCCAGGCAACCTATTTATTTCAATCAATCAATCAATCAATCAATCAATCAATCAATCAGTTGATAAAGACTTACTCTGCTTATGAGATAATAAGCTTCGACAAATCGGTTACGTGTAGGAAGAAACTTGTTAAAATCACATTCCTGCAAAATAAATAATAATAAGAAAATCATGCTATCATTTGTATATAATGTTTATTACCATAGCACGAACGCCATCTACATAAGTATACTTGTTTGTATCTTTATCATAAAGCAGTGCGTAGACCATTCTTTGAGTTTGTTGCTATAAGAATATAAATAAATAAAGAGTAAATATATGCATATAATGCATCTCTATGTATGTACGGAATGAATGACTTTTTTTTTTATTTACCATTCCTTTTCTTCGAAGTTGATGTACATTGAGGATTCGAACCATTCCATCTGCACTCGAGGCAGCAAGGAATGTGTGTGGCTCGCAAGTGCTCATGTCCCACAATTTCCCAACACTGTCGAAAAAGCGAGTGCCGGTTTTGAAATAATCAGTATTGCCTGTGTGCGTAGCATGCAACATATTATCTGCATCATTGTGACAGATATTATCTGATTGTGGCATCCATACAGCTTTATACATAATAGCTACACAAATTTATTTATTTTTAAAAAAAAAAAAGATTTGAGAAGTTTGAGTGATTAAACTTTATTTTGTATTATTATTCAAACTTACCTCTTGAACGTGCAAAAGTCATGTTGATAAAAGGATCTTTAGAGTTGCAGATCTTCATATAGCCGTCCAGACTAGTACTGATGTATTCAACCGGATCTACCATGCCACGCCAAACCAGACCACTGATTGCAGAATCATGAACAATCGTGTTCAAGATAATACTATCCGATTGAGCCGCCTTGTCGTCTTTCTTTAATCCCTTTTTCAAAGCCGTCTTTGCATCCCAGATAATAATTTGTCCTAGATATTTTTTTTTATTTTTATTTTTATTTATTTATTTATTTATTTAATTATTTTGGTTATAAATTCTCACCAGAATAGGTACCACAGGATATACGAGAATCTCCAGCCCATGAGAGAACAGTGGGTTTAATGGCTGGGGCATGGAATACACACCGAGCCTCTCTGATCTGCACTTTATTTATTTATTTGATATTGAATTTTTTTTTGTTTTTTTTTTTATTATTATTTCGTTGTGCTTACTGTAAACTGTTTGTGAGTCTTTTACTTTCGGGTGGAGTGCTCTGATGGCCTCTGGATGTGGAATAACCAAAGCTCGAGGCATTGAATCGCCAAATGCTGCAGCCAAGATACCCAGTTTTGGCAGCACATTTGGATCAGTACTTTCTACAGTCTTTTAAATATAAACATAAATATAAATAAAGACAAATAAAGATTATACCTCTTCATAGGCACCGTATGGACACCATTTTGCATCAATTACAACACCATAGTCATGAAGTAAACACATATCAAGCACAGGTACTCTCTGGGCTCCTTTGACAGAAAGATCAAAGCGCCAGATTTGGATACAATTGAGATATGATCCGGTTGGTTGGTGTAAATCAAGAGAGTGTAGTTCAGGATATGGAGACTTGTAGCCAGCAACGGCAAGATAATGAATATCCGGATGGCTATCTTTTGATGGTGTCTTTGGACAGAAATCAAGACTCCAGATTGAACAGCCGGTATTCAATACAAAGCCCTTTTTGTAATCCATATAACTATCTACATTTTAGCCAAAAGATTAAGTAAAACACTAAATATAAATAAATAAATAAATAAATAAATAAATTTACCTAAGCATACTGATTCTCTGGTCTTTATCTTGATATTTGCTTTGGTTGATATACCCACAGTGACATCAATAGGTTCTGTTTCTTCTGGTAGATAAGCAAGTGCTTCACTTGTAAAAATATTATTTTATTTTATCTTTATTTCTTAAAGAGGGTTGGATAATAAACTCTGCAATAAACATAAATTATTTGGCTAACCTGTGAGAGACGACTTTGTAATCAGTTGCTAATGCATGTACATTGTCATAAGTTGTGTATTGGCCATCCAGAAGATCCGGCAAGAGACGTTCTTTTGCTGGACCTTCATAGTCAGTTTCAATCGATGATCCTGGTGTTTTGCTTCTAAAGAGTCTTTCTACCGTCAACTTTTTCTTTTTTGGTAGTGTTTGTGATGTCATTTGTCTCTCTGTGATGTACAATGTACAATATAATATGTGTGTTTATAGATGGATATAATATTTGACGTGTTGTCTGTGTATTGTATATATGATTTACAATACAATAAATAACTATATTATAAAATTATAAACGAATAGTGTTGTAGTATTGTATGTCAAATATAATTTTATTCATTCAATCAAAGTGACTTGCAAAAGTTGAAATAATTTTTTTTTATTGTATAAAAGATTGTTGGGTTCAAAATAAATAAATAAATAAATAAAAACACCACTTTTGATTTCATTTTCTTCTATTCTTTCTTTCTATTATTCTTCTTTTTGGCTTGATGATTTTGTTCTTTACATGAATTAATGATAGCAAAAAAATAAAATAAAATGCTGTTTTGTAATGGGTAAGCAAATCATTTCTTTTTCTTTTTTTCTTTATATAAAACCAAAACCCACAAGTTTTGTCAGGTGGATCATCGAGTTTACTTTCTTTTCTTTATTTTCTCTCTCTTTTTCTCTTTTGAGCCAAAGAACAGAAGATGTAAAGAAAAGATAAAAAAACTCAACTTACCAGATGGTTCACCGTTACACTCGTGGAATAATAAAAATGGTCGTCTCGACTGCCGGCCTACTGTTCTAGCGGGCTTGCGACTGAGATGGCTTCGCTTCAATAGAGTTGAAGCCGGTTCTTTTACGGTGAAGTCACCCTAAAATTTTGTGGCCGTCTTCTTAGTTATGAAGCAAACATCTTTCTCTTTAAAAAAAATTTTTTTTTTATTTATTTTATTATGAAATGTAAAGAAAAAAAAAAAGCTCATTTTGTCTTTATAGGTCCTTTTTTTCCCATCAACTCATCAAAATGAAAACAAGCCACACTACACTGGAAAGAAGAGAGATAGATAGATAGATAGATAGATAAAAAATTAATTAATTAATTAGCTGTAATTTTTCTTTTATTTCAATGAAATAAAAATAATAAAAAATTGTTTATTTATTTTCTCGGCCCTTGCATAAAATAAGGAATTTTGTATTTATATATATATATATATTTTAAGTATTTCCCTATCTATATTCAAGGTGTGTGCCTGTTTATGAGTCTGTGCTGTTTGTCTTTCTTGATTGAGTGAATGAATGGGTTGGCGTTCGTTCATATGTTGTGCTGTTTTGAGTGCTTTACTTGTTTGTGCCTGTGCTTGTGCTTGTGTTTGTGTTTGTGGTTGATTATTTATACATACAAAATTACAATAATAGTAATAAATATATATAGAATAACGAATACACGATTGTCACCCATTTTTTTTTTATTTTATTTTATTTATTTTAAACTACAATATAAAATATAAAAAATATTAAGCAATCGGTGCACCTGTAATCTGTACAACACTCAAAAATCCCAATAAAGAAAGAACGGGATACGTCAAGATTTAATTTTTTTTTTCTTTTTATTATATATTTCTTTACTGTTGTCTTTATTTATATACAAAATATACAAAATATATATATATTTGCCACTCGCACGCACACAGATAGCACATTCTCTCTCTCTCTTTTTTTTTTTTTTTTTTTTTTTTTTTAAAATAAATAAATAAAAGATCCAAGTTTATCTACAAAAGCATCAAAACACAAAGTTCTTTTTCTTCTTCTATTTTTTATTTCTTTCTTCTTTCACTCACCTTTCTGTTAAACGATTGCCTAACTTTGTATGCCATTGTCACTGCACAACTACGACACCCAACCATGGTCCCTAACCAATGTACCCGAATTAAAGTCTCTGCTTACCTTTCCAGTCCACCAAATTGAGATTCCAGACGACTGCCTAGATGGCGGAACAGACAGCGACACCTCATCAAGAAAATCGGATTCAGGAATGGACATCGTCGCAGCAATCCCAACCTCACAAACCAAACCCAACACACAAACATACACCAATGACTCTCTGAGTGATATCATTTGTGGCGAGAATATTATGCACCACCATCAAGAGGATGTCAATAATAATAATATTCTTATCTCAGATCAATCGATTGAATTCAAATCTGACCTCTTGACCACAATGCCGAAACCGCCCTATTCACACCAATTGGAATCAAACCACACCACAACCAACACTGCCCATAGTCATAGTCATAGCACTCAAAAGCCTTTTACAGTCAAATCAAAAAAGGACACGCCTGATGTATTATGGTAAGTCCTTTTTTTTTATATTTATTTATTGTTATCTAATTATATATATATTTAAAAAAAAATATTATTATTATATTAGGGTTCCTGCAAATAAACATCCTCAGATCGCCCCAGCCGAGTACGCTACTTGGATAAAGACCCACGATCACATACAATCAAAAGGTGCAGATGTTCGTCGCCAACGTTCCAAATTATCGGCATCTTTTGTGACCGCCACTGATTCTCAAATCACTTTGGACAATACAACCATCTCAATCAACAATGGTATACATACATACATACATACATACACAGTGCATTCAGCCACAGCATTAAAATCAATCAATCAATAAGTGAATGAAACTAAAGTAAATCTTATTTTATTTGCTCTAGAACCTTTGGACGATTGTGCACATCCACCTCGGGTACTGTGTCATTCAGCCCCACCTGAATCTGCAGGGGCTACCTTAAAAGTACAATCAACGCCAGACCTATTAACCTCAAATTCTTCTTCTTCTTCTTCTTCTTCTGCTGCTGCTGCTGCTGTTGCTGTTGCTGCTTCTTTGAATACAAATGCAGATGCAGATACAAATGCAGATGCAAATGCAGATGCAAATATAAATGTTGCTGATTCATTTGTTGATACTGCTGCTGCTTTTATTACCTATGGCGAATTGGCTGACTGGGCTACAGCGGTTTCCGAGTGGGCAGACAAAGTAGAACAAGATAATGTAGAACAAATAGAAAACCCAAAAAGTGATGAAAATCTTACCCCCCAAAAAAGTATTACATGTGAGCAAGTGGATCTATCCCGATTACACACACCCATCCATATTCATACAGACTCCCGCCCACCGTTACACCGTCCAGTGTCTGCACCTCCACTATCAACATCATCCACATCATCCACATCATCAACCTCATCAACCTCATCCACATCCTCTACATCAACCTTTTGTTCTGATTCTACATCATTGCCATCACAATCATCACAATCATTGGATTCAGTGTCATCTGGCCCAAATTCATCCACAACCTTATTAAACTCATCATCGTCTCTATCCAGTAACAATACACCGACATCCTCATGCACGTCTATATCAACATCAGCCTCATTAAACACAGAGAGTACAGAAATCCTGGTCCGCAAACCTAAAAACCTCTGTCGCTCCTTTTCTGACCGTCTCTCGATTTCAACTCACTCCAAATCATCTTCTGGCCTCCAATGGCTTAAAAATATCTTTTCCGAAAAAAACAAGGCCGTCCTCGGATCTCGTCCACCCTCAATACACTCAATACACTCAATCGAGACCAAAAAGTCAAGAAACAGCTATGCCAACAACAAGAAAAATATTAATGATAATGATAATGACAAAACACAGTTGCTACAAACTAGCCCTAAAAACAATGAACCAAAGAAAAAAGGTGGGTTGGCGGCCTTCTTTTTCCCTATTCTTCGGAAACCACCCGCCCCTTCAAAGTCAAGGCCAACAATACCCAAGAGCCGTCCGGTATCCTACGCATCAACAATCGCCAACCCAAGCACCTATCGACAGATACCGGTGTACGGAGGAAGCAACCGGCTGGCAACCCACGTCGAACGTGCCATGTACCGGCTCTCGCACAAGAAACTGACGAGTACCAGCAGTATCCGCCGCCCGCTTCACGACCAAGTCCTTATATCCAATCTGATGTTCTGGTATCTGTCGATCGTCAGCCCCAACTATACACCATCCCATTCCACGACCTCCAACCACACCAATCATCAAACGACCACCTATTATCCTCGTCGTAGACCACAATACAACGCTAACAACAACAACAGCGGGGGTATTATTATTATTGGTATGGGTACTGCTGCTGATGTTCCTCCTCATCACAGACCTGGCGCGAGTGCCAATAGCCTTGGAGTCACTGGAACAATCCTGAATCGTAAAAAGAAAGAAGATCGCTACAAACCAATCCCAAACATCCAATACACCAAACCAACTCCTCCTCCACGCAAGACACCGATCCGAACAAAAATGGCCAATGACCTTTACACTACTTGTAATGATTACAATACTACCAACCTTAATAGTGTCCGTACTCCCCGTACATATCCCTACACCCATAATAATTCTAATTCTAATGACAAGGATAATGAAGACAATGAGGAGGATGAGGAGGATGATGAACTAGCATTAGTGTATTATAAAAACAGACATCAAAATCATACATCATAAAAAAAAACACCTATACATGTATATATTAAATATATAAAAGTTGTATACCATTACTTTTACAACTCTATGTATACAATTATATTAATCCTTCTTTTCATTTTACTTTAATTTGCTTTCTAATATATATATATATATATATATATATATAAATACATACACTCACTCGACTACTTTATTTTTTTATTTTTTTTTACAATTTTTCTTTATCATGGTCAATTTCCTGTTTGGTTATCAATACCCATGGAGATACCTATATTTCTTCTTTCTTTTTCTTTTTCTTTTATATATATATATATTTTTTTATATATATTTTTGCATAATAAAATCATATTAATATCAAAGCAAAGAACAAGTAAAGAAGAAAAACAAAACAGAAATCTTAATTTTTTGAAACATTACATTGGACTTCAATATGAATGCCCTTTTTTGTATATATATATATTTTATCTGGCTGAGCGCCAAAAGATTTTTCCCAATAAAAAAAAAAAAAAAAAAAAAAAGCACACACACATATGTAAATGACGTAAAATAAAATATAGGGTTTACATATGTATGTATATTAGAGTGTGTATATATACTTCTTCTTCTTCTTTTTGACTAGAGTGGACTGTAGTGGACTGTAGTGGAGTTGAAAAGAAAGAAGAAAGAGAGGGAATAGAGGGAGGTAAGAAAGGGGGAGGGAGTAGGAGGAGGAGTTGTGAAGTAATAAAATAAAATAATTAATAATATTATTATACAATATTTTGTATTTGTATTATAATTTCATTTTATTGTTATTACTATAGCTATTTTTATTTTATTTTATTTTATTTTTTCTATTGTTATTTATTTTTATTTTTATTTTTTTTTGGTAATCCATCCTTCATCATGGGTAATAGTGCATCCAAGAAGAGCAGCAAGAAAGATAGACGTGCGACAAAGAGCATGCCCCCGCCCACTCGGCTGGAGCATCATCTTGCACCAGACAATGAAAACAGCACAAACACCACACACTCCGTGAGCTCTATCCTCATCACCTCACAACACCGCCAATCCCTACCTGCCCGATCTGGATCAACTCAACAACAACCATCCGCACTCTCAGCCCTCAATCCAGACTACCCTGTTCACAACAAAGACATACCCAAGATCCTTACCTCTCCTCCCACATCCGCCGGCTCAGACGACCAGACCAATCAACAGCAGAACCAAGACACTGTGCATGCCCAGGATCCTTTTCATGGCAAGGTGGCCCATCCTCAGCAACACAAGCTTCTTTCGCAATCAGACTTCTGGCCCCCACAGCAGCCGAATGGAACCAATGCCGGAGGTTCACAGACCCTGGGCTCAGATACCCTAGACGTCGACGCTAACCAACTCACGGTTGGATCGATCAACCAACTGACGGCCACATCTATGGCCAGTGTCGGTGCACGCTATGCAACAACTGCCCAGATTGACGACTACATCTCTCGTCTCCTTGAGGCCGGATACACTTCAAAAGTGCCAAAGCAACTCTGTCTCAAGAACGCCGAAGTCAATGCCATCTGTCGCACCTCTATGGAAATCTTCCTTAGTCAGCCGGTATGTAACAATAACAATAACAAATTCATAATCTAACACTTGATACTTAACAATTTAATTTTTTTTTTAAAAAAAAAAAAATATATATATATAATGCTTCGTTTTGATATAAACGATACATAAAGTCGTTATTGGAGTTGTCACCTCCAGTAAAGGTTGTTGGAGACACTCATGGTCAATACACTGATTTGATCCGACTATTTGAAATGGGTGGATTCCCTCCAAGCTCAAACTACCTCTTTCTCGGTGATTATGTCGATCGTGGCAAACAAAGTCTGGAAACCATGCTTCTATTGCTGTGCTACAAGATTAAATATCCCGAAAACTTCTTTTTGCTGCGCGGCAATCACGAATGTGCCAATGTTACAAAAGGTATATTAAACCATACAAGGAATATGGTGGTGATAATGAATATACATATCCTATGTATTTGTTACAAAAGAAAGAGAAGGAAGCCATTATCATCATTGTTGTTATTTGGGGGGATTTTGTGTGGGGTTATAATGTTTGACAAGCTCAAAAACCAAAAAAATTAAACTAGTAATACAAAATGATTAACAACAACAACAAAAAATATATATATTCTTTTTTGATTTTGATTTTAGTGTATGGATTTTATGATGAATGCAAGCGACGATTGAGCCCAAAGATGTGGCGTACATTTATCGACGTCTTCAATACCCTGCCCATTGCTGGCCTGGTAGCTGGAAAGATCTTCTGTGTTCACGGCGGCCTGTCTCCATCGCTACACAACATGGATGAGATCCGCAGTATCCAACGCCCGACAGATGTACCAGATTATGGACTGCTCAATGATCTGCTCTGGGCCGATCCTTCAGAAGTCACGGTCGACTGGGAAGACAACGAGCGCGGTGTGTCCTATTGCTTTGGTAAGAAGGTGATCAACGAGTTCCTGGCCAAGTTCGATCTCGACCTTGTGTGTCGTGCGCACATGGTGGTCGAGGATGGATACGAGTTCTTCAACGACCGTACATTGGTCACCGTCTTCTCCGCCCCAAACTATTGCGGCGAGTTTGACAACTTTGGTGCAATCATGAGCGTCAGTGAAGAACTCTTGTGTAGCTTTGAGCTCCTCACACCTGCAGACCACCCACTTGCAAAAGAGCGCCTGAAGAATAAGAACAAAAGGTAAGATATAAATCTATGGAAATTGAAGACTTGGAAAATCTTCATATATACTAACTGTCATCTTAACCTATTCTCATGCTCTATAGTGCAATTACTCAGGGAAGTCGATAAAAAAAAATTCACCAACCCACACATTTTTCTTTTTCTTCTTCTTCTTTTTTATACAAACCCACCTCTTTACCTCTTTACCTCTTTACCTACACAGAAAGAAAGAAAAGAAAGAACAAGATACAATACACCTTACACAATTACATGTATATATGTATCTATCTATATATCTATCTATCTATCTATCACACCAAACCTTTTTACTTTTTTTTTTTTGAATTTTTTTCTGAAAAGAAAAAAAAAAAGAATATATATCACTACTACTATTACTTTTATTACTTTTATTACTACTATTATTTTTATTTTTATTTATTATTTGTTTTTTATTTTTACTTAATATACAGACCCATATACAAAACACACATCTATATATTAAATTGAATTTATACTGAATTCCAATGGCCTACCTACCTATCTGTGTGTGTATTAGGTAGGAATACGTAAAATTTTCTTTATAAAAAGAAAGAATAATATCTGATTTAACCTTTTCTTCTTTAAATAAATAAATAAATAAATAATAGTAAAATAGGTTATCTTTATAGAATTGATAGAAGGAAGGAAAATGAAATCTTATTTTAAAATCAAGTATTTCAGAATCACATATTTTATTGTATTGTACACTTATTTGCATGCACCAAATACATAAAGTACAAGTCTTTTCGAACACACAAGATATACATATAATAATATTTCTTGTTTATTCATTTCCTTAATAGAGCACAACTGAACGAATTACTAAAGAGGGAAGCGATTTAACCCTATCTATGTACTCAGACCTTGCTCTTCTTGATAATACACAAAAAAAAAGAAATTATATAAATAAAGTTTCTTTCTTTATTCTTATTCAATTGCATGCTTTTGATATCCATGTATTGTGGTTTCGAGCGAAATTATTAATAATTATATACATTTTACCGGAGACACTTCCGGTTACACATTTCTATCAAACTGCTTCCTTTTATATAATTATCTAATTATATTTTGAGTAGCTTTTGACAGTTACAATCTGGTCATGCAAGATATACATATTTAGATAGATAGTTTTTTTTTTATAAAGAAAGGGATGGGCGTTGATCTTCGTCTACATTTATAGCCTTTCCCGTTATCTATACCAACAAGAGATATAACATAGAATTTGTTGCAGAACACCGTGCTCTATCTGTGTTTGGTGTTTGGTTTGTCAAGAGTATGGCTGCAGCTTTAATGGTTTGTAAGGAACATCTAAAAATAACTGTCTATCTATCTATCAATCAATAAATCAATTTAGTTATATATTTATAAGTCAATGTCGATACCAAAATGGAGTTGCATCGACTCCTCTATAGTTTGCCTTTGATTTTGATTATATCAAACCTGTTTGTTTAAATAAATAAATAAATAAATATATACTTCCCCCCCCTTGAAAAACAGAAATAGCAAAAAAATGCAAGCCTCACAAGTGCGCTGTTTTGAGGTAAAAGTCGGGTAACCTAATAAAAAAAAACATAGTCCATTGACCTTTTGTTCATCAAATCAGCCACTCGTTATTTATTCCATGTGTTACTCTATCTAACGATCTCTCTCTCTCTCTATACTTATTTATTTATTTTTACTATCATTATTCAATTGAATAAACTGGTTCAAAATAAATTAACTGACTGACTAATTGTATCTATTCTTTCTTAAAGAAATAAATAAGCTTATCCCTGTAATAGAGAGACCGATACTTGAAATAGTTCCAGCTATATTTACTATACAGGAAAGGCAAAACATTAGTGCAGAGCATCGCAACTTTTTTGGTCCTGGGGATTCCTACCTGCAACTAAGCATGATATCAAGTCTCCAACAAGTCCATGACTGTGAAAAATTTCTGATAAATTGATCTGAACAAAGATACAAACGGGTTGATATTCATAAGAACAGACTATATATATATATATATATATATATTATCTTAATTTATCCACATCAAGGTTCTGCAGTATTAACATTTTACGTTCATAAGCCTTTGATTGTCAACGGCTGGCTTAGAATATACAGACAGTCGCGTAATGTTGCAAGTGCTTAGAACATTTATTCTTGATCTGCGACCAAGTCTGTACCTTCCTGTTGCTGGGATATCTTAGGCTGTTAACTCGGCGATGGTCTGTTCCGGAACAACCGGGACATTGACTAGAAACAGTGTTCACGTCCATAGTCACAATCTCTTCTTCTTATTCGTCAAGGATAATGAACAACACAGTACCTTTGTCGATTCTCATTCTCAAAGCAACAGTTAAATATGCCAGTGTTGCAATAAAATAAATAAATAAATTAAAATCTGCATTTTCTGCTTAATTATAATAATGAGTATTAAGTAATTTATTGATTAATAATTTAGTGTTTCATCTGCTATTCTCTGCAGAAGATTCTTCAGTAAACCTAAACATGATCATTCTTTTCTGAGGAACATCAAGAGTAACTTTTTCTTGTTCAATGGGAAAAGTGCGTTGGATCTATGGATATGGCCAATCAAGCTGCATAAAAGTCATGATAGTCTGCCATTCTGAGGGTGTCTTAAAGGCATCACAAGTATGAGAGGATTCAAATAGAATTGAAACAAAAGTATATGCGGTGTATGGGAAAAAGGAAAGAGATGGAAATGAAGAATATAATAAAATCGATCCAAGCAAGGGCGCTTAAACAAAACACATACACATACATCTATCTTTACCAAGCACACTTGGGTTGATTTTATTGCATTTTCCCATCCATTGTACATACTCTTGTCTCAACTCTATTCTAATTCACTCATCATTTTGAAGCCTTCAAGACACCCACAAGAATTATTGACTATCATTATGAGTGACTAAGTATGGACTAATACAATTGCTTGACATCAAACTCTAAAATAATGATTTTAATTGTTAAAATGACTGTAGAATTTTGTGGATCTTTGTGTCTGAATATTGTGCACACACGTATATATAATGTGCGGGTGTAGCGAATTATCCTCCTGCAAGAAAAAGAAGAAACACTTTCTTTGTCTTTTTTTTTTTGTTGGTGGTTGTCTCTCTGCTTTTTAATGTAAAAGATATATATATATATTAGCCGATGTTTATTCTGCCTTTAGGAATCGTTCGTAAGTATCTCGAGTACATTCGCCACCTTTCCGTGGATCGAAATAGAACTTATAACAGCTTCCATCAGCACAGATTGCTAATAACAATATATGTTAGGTACGGGCGCAATAAATATTGTTATAAGCCTACCAAGAATAGTGTTCTTCTGGTCTCCAAATGCTACAATACATCGGCTCTCGGTAACTATTTTGGCATGAGCAAAACTCCATTCACTACTAAAGTATTTTGGAAGGAGATCCTTCATAAAGCTTAGACTACTTCCTCGATTTCCAGAGTGAGTGAGACCAAAGTGAGAAGGTGATTGGGAAGGGTTGATGACAACTTCGCCATAGGTGGGCCCGCGTGGTCTGTGATCGCACATGGTTACAACTGAAGGATCAAGGTTAAAGACGTGAATGGTACCCTTGTCCGAAGACACACACAGGCGGGTAGATTCTTGGTTGAATGCTATGGAGAATATCTCTGCCCGATCCATGCCTCTTCTGAGCTCATTCAAGAGAGTTGCCGTGGCAGTATTAAATACTCGAATAAGAGTGCCTTTATCGCTAGCCGTAGCACATTTAGAGCCATCATGGTTAAGTGCTATACAGCTTAATTTGCCTGAATGTGCTGGGATCAGACTAACATTCACGGTCTGTCTGGCAGTTATAGTAGCAGCAGCGACTGATGTGATGATAGCTGGTTCACCTAAATTAGAGCGATATGGATCGTCTGTTGATGATAATGGTCTGCTGAAATCGAGTGAATCAAGGTCGATAATCTTGAGATGTCCTCTTTGCTGTCCAGGGATCACCAGGACCGCGTGGTTTTGAGACGCGGATACGGCTGCAAGACCTATTATATACAAGATTATATATATATATATATATGTGTGTGTGTGTGTTGTAAATGCATAAAACAATGTTAGAATATGGAAACAAAATTTGTTTATTATCTTACCCTTCTCGTTATCTGCTGTCTCAAATGTATGCAGGAGTTGAGGATGAATACTGAAATGATAAACAAACACCTTGTTTGCCAGGACGACTGTCAATCTATTGCAAAAAGGAAGAGGGGAACATGCCTGAGTATGAAAAAAGGAAGCCCAGGATAACTCAGCATTCAAGCAAAAAGAAAAATAGAAGAAGAACTATCGTAAAGCCAAACTTCACCTCTCTCTTCGCAGCTTTGCATTCTTTACTTCGCTCTTGTATTCCAATTCGACTACCGGCTTTCCCTTGATACTATCCCAGATCACAACTTTGTTAGGAGGATAGCGAGGGTTTCGTCCTCCTCCAACAAGTGCTAGGTAATTCGTCCGATATAGCATCTCAACTAACGCAACCCCGCCATCACCCGTCTCTACTCTGCTTTGTTAGTTTTTAAACTATAGAACTTCAATATATTTTTTTTAGAAAAAAAAGAGAGAGAGAGACAATTAACCTCACCATTACGGGCTTGCTCAATGAGAGGATCGCAGTTATAAACACGGAATCCTTTGTCGAGACCAATAGCAAAGCAGCCAAAGTCTTGGTTAAACCCAGCGTAGAGTAGACCAGGTGCGTCATGAGGACTTGAAGATGTACGTGTCAAGTTCATTGCAGCTTCAAAAAAAAACAGGGTTGTAAAAAGAGAATAAAAGAGTAAGAAAGAGGCTACTATGCGTAGTCCCTCTTTTGGTCACGCAACAGACACCGGCCAGAGACGAGTCACTCGCTCCACATGATGACAAGGACGATTTGTACGCTGTATTCACCAAGTGTTTAATATATATATATTTTTATTACTATTTTTAAAATTATATATTTATATATTTGAATGAATTAATGATATTATTGGTATGCTTTACTACTTTTATTTATTTATTTATTTTATTATTCTTCTTCTTCTTCTTCTTCTTGGTCGATTTCATATTCCATAGCAATATCCCAACGAGCACCTGGTGCACGAGCGCTGATATATTTAACAAAGCGTAAAACACCTTCATCTCTTAATACAATTGCCATCTCATTCCACCCAGCTGGCATAGTTAGTAGTGCTCCATCATCCTCTGAAGAAGCCTTGTAGATTGCAGGATCATCCTGTCCCTCATGAGGTGCCATGTAGCATTCATACCCTCCATATTCACCGCTCTCCCACTGTTCTGCCGCAGATTCTGTGGGACAAGTGGCTAAACAAAGTGTAATATCCAAAACACTTCCCTTGGAGTGTGCGGTCGCAAGAGTGTAATCATGACCGGGTCGGAACCGGCGAGTCATTCCCCGGCAACCAATTGGAAGCAGCTGGCTCACCGTTGCTAGCCATCGTCGGAACGCCCCACTTTGTAACTTGGATTGTAGACCATTCAAGTTAGATGTGGATGTCGAGCGGAGGAACCGTTGGCGGACAGGCGGACCATTTGCAATCCAATCTTTATGTATTCCAGAACCATGAGGGGGCATATTACTGGTTGTGAAGCCATCCTGTTGGTCTTGGTCTAGACAATGCTTTTTGAGAGATTCGGCTAGATCTGGTCGCAGAATATCCTTAAGCTGGACTGCAGAAGTGTCCATAAACCTTTCCGAGATCTGGCCGAGACATTTTGTTTCAAGATAAATAGGGTTCATCCACTCCGACAGTACTGATATATCTTCTTGTCCTAGTGCGCAATCTTGTTCTTCAAGAGGATCTTTATATAATACAAATGGTTCTTCTTCTTCTTCGGTCTAATATGATTTATGTATATATATATATATATGGTTAGGGCTGTCCTTTACTCTTTTACTTTTGGCTTTTAGTTTAAATTAATCTTACCTCGAGCATTTCAAGTGAGGATTTTTCGGCTGTTGTTTTGGTCTCATAGCCCTTTTCACCTAATTGTGGTACATGAAACCATCCTTGGATACTCAATCTTGATTTATTTTGTCCCACGACCTCTTCAACGGAGTGAAACGAATAACCCGGCAGTACAGTAAACATTGCAAACTGATTCCATTTAGGTGGTAATGATACAGTTGGCTCAATTGCCGGTGTACCTTTTGATACAACTGGATAGAGTTCAAGGGCACCGCCCCATGATGGATCCCACTCTTCATCTGGACTGGGCATATAAAGAATAAATGATACCCGTCGTGTTCCAATCACATCATCATGGTTGAGAAGATGACAGCCGCTATTGTAGGTATTGATTGACATATCGAACTTGCTTGGAGACAGAGGGCCGCAGCCGGTAACTTGGGATACAAAAGAACGGAACTCGTCGGAATAAATAGCGTTTCTTAATTCAAAAAGGTGCCTGAGCCTATTCTTTTCTTCCAACGGCAATCCATCCATGTTGACCAGATCACCCGTTTGATTGACCTTGTAGATATCAGTCTCTTTAAGCGTGAACCGTAGACTGGCTCCTATTTCTTCGTACACTTTACGCAGCAACTCATCATTCACCAGGCGCTCAATTGCACAATGTTTGTAAGGTTCTGATTCTTGACATGCTTTCTGGAGCCTGTCACGGTTCTGGGGATCCATAAGCCCTTTGTGAAACACTTCTTGAACTGTCTTGAACTTTTTTTCCGGAAGTTCCTGAATGGCTTCTGCCTTACGCTTTGTGGCAACGGTCATGATAAGCAAAGATATGAAGTTCAAAAAAAAAAGTGCAAGAAGGATAAAGAGAGATTGTTTATTTTATTAAAAAAAAATTTATGCTTATAAAGTATCTGCTAGATTTAGACTATTTGAAGAGATGAAAAAAAAATCAGGTTACTTTTTTTTCTTTTTCTTTCTTTCTTTTCTTAATTGTTTTCATTCAGAGCTTGAGCCTCAGCCATTGGTTTCTAATTTGAGTGTAAAGGAGGAATCGACTCATATTTTTATTTTTTGAAAAGACAACTCAATCATTTTCCAATAAAAAAAAAAAAAAAGATGTCTTATTGTGTGCTAAAGTCAAATATCAGTTTACTACCAAGTGTTTTTTGATTCATTCGATTAAATGTTAGTAAAATTTAAGCAAGGAAAGAATATCAATCCTTTGAAAGACCATTAAATAAAGTAAGAACTAGAAACCAAGTCACTTTAGTGATCAACCTCTTTTTCTTCTTCTTCTTCTTCATAACTGCAAAATAATGGCAGACAACGATTCACTGATTCTCAAGGGTCTCCAATCCCTCTCCAAGGCCCAAGATACTCGCTTGGAACTATACAAGGAATTTGACGAGTAAATACACAAAAGTTATCAACTCCATTTTTTCTTGTTACTTATGGAACATGGCAGTGCATACAAGGATTACCTAGTCGATGCATGTCCTCCTGAACAATATCATTCCATCTGCAAAATCGTCACAGAGGGATTCCAAGAAGTGTCATTAGATGTCCAAGCAATTGAACGCGCAATGTTGGACGCATTTAACCGTAAAGATATTGCAACCATGATTCGCCGTCTTCAAGAAGCTGAAAAAGAAAAACTTCGTGAGGTATGATACAAATCCAAATATGTAATATATATATATATATATACTAGAATCTTTACTTGTATATAATAACTTATCATCATAATTTCTTTTTATGCACTGAATATATAGACTGCAACCCTTCAAATTCTTTCAATTGAGGCACGCAAGGGAGACAAGGATTACGATGACACAATCCAAGAGAAAACCTCTTTGTTAAAACAGATCCAAGCTAATATCCAAGATATATGGGATGAGATTCGACAAGAAACAGCCGAACTATCCTTTCAACTCGCAGATAATTCGAAATAAACCATTCTCCAATATATACATACACACATTATATGCACCATAAATAATAATAACAGTAGGCGAAACAATTCCTCTGTGGATCGTTTGAATCAACATTTATACATTTGCATTATCTTTCACATTTGCACAATCAAGCATCTCCTTTCTTTTCCTTCGTGGTCATTTTTTTTGTCTTTGAATTATTATTATTTTTTATACATCTTTTCAATTTCTTGTAAAGTAGATAGGTCTATAAATTTAGATTTTGTCTTTGGGTTTGCTTAAACGCCGGAACCACGCATGCTCTCGAGGCGGTTGACAATGAAAAGACTGGTGTCGAGGAAACGCTCGACACAGTTGGCCAAACAAGTCTCCTCACTGCGATCCATCTTGTTGTTAACCTTGAAAATGCACTTATCCTATAATATTAAGTGTACATATAAGATATATTAGATATCTTTCTAAACGCGTTTCCTTTATTTCTCGTTTCTGCGTATTACCCAGCAAGTGTCAGCCAAGGTGTGGACGGTTTCTTGAATTTCCGCTCTAGCCTTTTCGACTTGGATAAACTGTTGGAGACAATGTTAGAGAGAGAGAGAAAAAAAAAGGCTCCATTAGGATTCCTTGAGGGCTAATGCCACTTACCTGGGCGAGTTCGCGCTGGTCGCTTTCTGTCAATTGAGCCTGCTGAGACATGATGTGGGAGAAGATGCTTGTTGTCTTGAGAACCAGGCATAGTTTTTAGAGTCAGTGGCTTGAAAATAGTCACACAGCCCTGCGTGAAGGCAAGGAAACAGTCACGAACAAGGCTAGTGCATTTCGGTTACGACGAGAAATGTTAAAGGACAGTAGGGGCAGTCAAGCGAAGAAGGTCAAAGGAAGTTCCATTAATATTAATGGATGTCCGAGCATTTTTTTTTTATTTTCATTTTTTTTTATACCAAATACTATTCCTTGAACTATTTTTTCTTTTTCTTTTTTTTTTTAAAAAAAAAGGTATATAGCTACCAGTATTTGAACATAAGTTTATGCCAATTTGAAATATATGCATTGGATAACTGTGGAGTCTAACAGAAATTCCAAATCGCCCCAATTTTAAATTGGAATACTTTTAACCAGTTTAAAAGCCGAGTTTTCTTTCATAGCACGCAGGAAACGCCAAAAAGCAAACATCCACAGCCAACCATTACTGTCAACCCATTATAGATTGTGTTACCATATCTGTCTGTTTCAAGGAACACAGCTTTGTCATGACTTTTCACACTCTCATATGGTTAACAGATCTTATTTTTTTATCTTAAGAAATACGAATTTATTTGTCTGCATTTGTTACTCTCCCCTTTCTTTCTTTCTTTCTTTCTTTTGTTCTTCAACTTCTTTCACAACTCCACTCTATGCATATCTTACCTGAAATCGCTGAAAAGTATAAAGCCTTGGCCGAAATTGCCAACGCCGTTATCCAGAGCAAAGGCGAGGACATCTGCTGGGACAATACAATCAACGAAAACTTAACAGTCATTGGAGTGGATACAAACAGAGTTGTCTGGGAATTCAAAGTCCAAAGATCCCACTGCAACTTGTTAGTCATGTTGCTGTAGAATACGTTGTGAAATAATATTGACTTTTGTTTCTTTTTGATTTCTTTCTTTTTTTTTTTAAAAAAAAAAAAAAAAAAGGCTGGGTAGTTTGCACGGTGGTTGTGTGGCAACCATCATTGATGTCTGCAGTTCTTTCTCTCTTCTGACATTTGATGGTTAGTATACTCACATATGACTGATTTAGCGAGTATACAAAAGTGGTGCTTTTGAAATAATGATATTTTACTATTCCATTGACTTATCTGATTAGGCAAGGAAAAATGGAAGTATGTCGGGGTCTCAACCGATCTTGCGATCAGTTACATGCGTGGGATTTCAGCAGGTGGTCTGGCCCGTATAGAATGCAACATACAAAGAGTGGGCAAGAACATGGCTAATATCCATACATCAATATACGACGAGAAAAACAACCTGTGCTACACTGGATCCCACACAAAGTTCTGCATCGATTCTAAGATGTAAAGCCACTGAGCTTGAGCTACAATTGTGTGCAGGACACATACAAGTTTAGCTGTAACTTGTATACATATTATAAGAAGCGACCTTAACAGCTATATCTTATTTAATTTATAAGAAAAATATTTTATAAAACAATAGAATAAATACGACACGCTATACAGAAGCAGGACTACTGTTATTAATACAATATCACAAGCTTCAAAACATCAAATTATATCGGATTATACAATAAAAGCTTTAATTATAATTATCCGTAACATATAAACAGAAATCCTTATAGTAATTTACTAGCATACTATGATGATATATACAAGCATGTCTTCTTGAGAAGACAAAAATATTCTTCTGGTAAACCACACATGCTAAACAAAACTCTTTGAGAACATTAAGGTACAATCGGTGCGAACAGACTAAAAGATCAAAAAAAGGGTAAAAAGAAGGGGGGTGTTCAAACTTAGCTCAAATACATATTAGATAGAACAAAGTGCTCACGGTACCATCACTTCCATCACGTTAAAATCTTTTACTAGAAAAGTCTTATAGGCTTTGTATCCTAAAAAAATCTTTTATCAAAAACATGTACTTCTTTCTCTATCTAATTGGCAGCGAAAAAAGAACTATCCAGTCAGAGTCATTTAAACTTTTTTTTCTGAACTTTTTTGAACTTTTAACCTGTCCATAATAACTCTTCCATTTTACACTATTGGGGGTACTCAGCCAGATTGATCGATCAAATTTTGATCGAAAAACGTACGGCTCTCTGATTAACCTAATCTTTACTTTTTTATATGCAATACGACACTGTTTTTATCTTTCTCCTTAATAAATCATAGAATTTATTGCCAACAGTCATATAATACTTCTTTCTCTCCATCTTACATGCCAAAATATAGTACAAAGCAGCAAGCAATTGATGCCTTGAAGAAATCGCATAAAATCAGGGAATTTATCGTGAAAAAAAAAACACTGGTAGAGTCTTTATCAGCAAGTGCAGACGAGCTTATTAAAGATATTTTAGAAGTAATCAAAAAGGAAGTTAATATAAAGTTGGAGCAGATGGCTGCCGCGAAGGAGCTTAAACAAACACTTAAAGCCAATAAATACATACACAAGGTTGACAATGTATTGCCAGATGTTGAGTACAGGGAAAGAGCACTTGACTTCTTCGAGAGTCTAGATGCCTACAGGTTCAAAGAAGAAATCAGAATGTGCAAAGATTATTCTATAAATGCTATAAAAATCTATGAATTTTGTACGAATTTTGTACTTTTGTCTTTTGGTGTCCTCAACTACAAATTGATACCATTGGCCAAGATTCACACAAGAATTTGATCGATCAATCTGGCTGAGTACCCCCATTAGTTTGCTTCACAAGTGCTAAAACATCTGCATTGATATTTCATCTTTTCTTCTTATTAGACCTTGTCAGCTTTACTCGCATGCCTTTTCTTTTGATCCCAATTAGCCACTTTTATTATAGTGACAGACATTTTCGCAGTACCTGTACTGATTCTGAACTAATTAATCGTATCCAATATAACTTGTACCTATATATGTATGCTTAATTTATGAACAGAAAAAAAAAGGGAATGTACTGTAATTAATTAGTCATAAATGCACTATATCAATATCTGGTTATCCAGAAGATCATAAAGAGTTGCTGTCCTTAGAGTGTGGCGCAATCCTGCTGAATATTTTACTATTTATTGGCCTTCTTACGCGTATCGTGTCTTTCTCTTTCTTTCACCTACTTATATTCCCAGAGTCAGACAACACCAGCCTGTAAGTAACCCCCACCGTTTCTTTTTTGAAAAGCACAAAAGAGAGTCTTTATACGAATATTATGCGTCCTTAGGGAACAAATAGAATTATTTCATGCTGGCAAAAAGATCACGATTTGTGGTCCGGTATGAGGTATTCGGGATTGATTTAGGGCTAATATGTCGATATGGGAAAAGTAGATACTGTGAGAGTGTTATTTATTAAAGAGACAAATTAATATTGTTTATATCTGTTATTATTAAAATCCCTGTAATTAAAATCCCTGTAGTGTAATGGTTAGTTTACACTGTATGAGTGTGTAGTGTACGTGTGCCTGGTGTGTAATAGTTCCGGAGATTGTTAACTTGCCAGGTTCATTAACAAGAAAGAAGCTGAGGATTGAGTAGCTTGCTGATTTGACCAAAGTATGAAAAGAAAAAGTCGGTGACGTTAATGAAATCGGCTGGACATTCATAACATGGTTTGTTTTGCATCAAAGACATTCGGGTGTTGGGTTTTGTGATCCAGAAGAATCCGACAAAACTTGCCACTTTTAAGATCAACTCTTATTTTATTGTTATTATTGTTATTATTATTATTTGGGCAGGAGAGGTATATATAGCAGCCTCACCTAACCGCAGTAGAGTCCACATGAATGCAGTATAACATGTTTACTCTTCTAGGATCGATTAAAGCACAAAGTCTACGAGATTCTTTTGTGATTGTCTCATGAATGCAAGGAAAGTTTTCTGTGTCAATAATTGTAGTCCTTTTAGGGTTGTATCCTTGGGTAGTGTTAATGACCTGCTTAATAATTGAAACACGAACACGAACACGATCTGGATGTATTGTTCTTCTGAACTTTGAATATCTCGCTGGTTAAGTTGGTCATCCTTTTCGCAAAAAATGTCTAGCTTTGTTCATGAATATTCTCCATACTTCCGTCAAGGCTTGAAGACACAGAATAAATGCTAATATACCCACATCATTAAAGGCTAGCTCTGACAAGCATAAGACGTCAAATATTTGCCATTCAGATACAGCACTAAGAACTGCGATAAATTTAGTGAAAAGAAATAGGTAAAGTAAAGTATCGATATATAGCTTTAGATAGAGTCTTTTGGTAGAGACTATATTAATGTTGATCTATAAAACACTGCAAAAGTATATCCAAGAAGTGTTCCAGAGACAGTGTAACTAGGCAACAAAAGCAGACAAACTGCTTTAGGAGGATGGGTCGAATACGTATTCAACTGGCTAGAGGGTAGGCGAAAAGACTCGTTTGGGGTTTAAACATCCGTCACATGTAAATCAAATCAATATATTCACCCAATAGCTCTATGATGTCTTATTATAAAAACTTGTATGTTTTGCATCAAAAGGCGTATCTACGGAGATTACAAGACCCAAGTTACCCTGTTCTTTTTTCTTTTTTCTTTTTTTTTTCACACACGCCGTCTGTATAAAGGCATATTATATTTAATGGCTGAATACCATCCCCCTAAAAAATAAATTGTTGTTTGAAATATTAGATTCCCGTTTTAAATTTTTCCCACCCATCTTAATACTCACTCCCCCTCTCACCTAAAGAGAGTCCTTTTTTCTTTCTTTTTTACATATATAATATTTTAAAGAAGAAGTGTAGGTACAGATATCATATTTTGGTATCTTCTTTAGCTGTTTGGTGTAGACTTTAGAGTGTTATAGATAGTCTTTTGTGAGTTCATTTATCGATCGCAAGCCATACTATGTTTGATTGATTGATTGATTGTTTGTTTGTTTTTCTTTCTTTATACAGCCTTCATATGATTGTGCAACATTTTTTAAAAGCCAATTTGATTGATGCTAAAATTTGATTGGCTATTAATGGCACTAGATATATGAGCCCATGTAATTTGATTCAAAATCCAAGTATTTATGAAATCCTCTACTATCATCAAACTAATGAGTTGTTCTGGCCATTAAAATAATTTCTATTGATTTATATCCTCACAGTAATTATGAACCCCCCCTCCCCATCAAGGTGGCCAAACTAATGAATTCTATTGGCTAAACCAAAATTATTATTATAAGTTTTTATTTAGTCTTCACATGCTAATTGCAACACAGCCCTTGCCAATAAACTACTACATACTGTGGTTACTGATTTTTTTGATACAGACAAATGATAGCTAAAGAGAGACAGAACAAGAGAAAAAGAAAAAGAAAACAAAAAAAAGTAATAAAAGGACAAGGAAATGTATGGCAGTATTTTTTTTTTCTCTTTTCTTTTCTTTGCACAGCTTCAACATAATGAGCAACATCAGCGACATCAGCAGCATCAGCAGCAACAACCGCAACAACAGCTTCAACAGCATTAGCAGCATTAGCAGCAACAACAGCTTCAACAGCTTCAACAACAACAACAACAACAACAACAGCTTCAACAGCAACAACAGCGACAATGGAATCTTCAACAGATCCATTAGCACAATCTCCCCCCTCCCATCCGTGGGAGGTTATAATCCTTCCCCCTCCCCCTCTCCTTCCCCCTCCCCCTCTCCTTCCCCCTCTCCCTCACCTTCTACAATTTTTTCCGTTTCCTCCCCCTCCTCATCACCCCCCTCCTCATATTCCGTTCGTTCGTCTGCTTCGTCGCTGGAGTCACGCCAGCGTTCGAATGCCCCCTCCCCCTCCTCTCTCTCTCGCTCACCTTCCTCTTCTTTCTCTTCCTCCTCCTCCTCGTCTTCTTTCTCTCTCTCCTCCTCTTCCTCATTCGTTCCTTACTCCTCCTCCTCGTCATCTTATCTCTCTTCTCCTCTTCCTTCCTCTTCCTCCTCTTCTTCTCTTTCTTCTCTTCCATCCTCTCTCTCCTCCTCCTCTTCATCTTCTTCATACGTTCCTTCATCTTTTGAAGAAGATGAAGTTTGTTCGGGTAAGTCTTGATTTATGTGTATATATGTATATAATATTAGATAAATGATAAAATCCTAATCACAGCTTTATATACATATATACATATATAGCCCCAGTTGTACCAAAAGGTACAAAGAGAAAGTTGGATGAGTTGGAGGAGCTTGCCGAGTTGGCAATGGAGTACCGCCGTGTGTACAAGCGCACGGCGGTTAACAAACCGTTCAAGAAGTCTCCCCTCGGTTGTGAAGAAGACGGGGATCTCGGGCAGGCGCCAAAGAAACCTGCGCAAGTACTTTCAGTTGGTGGTAAGTAACTACTTATCTTTATACATATTTGTGTGTTTATTTATATATATATATGTCTAACAAATGCCTTTTCTTTTCTTCATTAGCGGTAACCACTGGAACGAAGCGGGGCTGCCCCGAGGACTTTGACGAAGACGAACGCGTCCCAAAGCGCGTCCTTCGTCAGATCCTCGCTGATTACGAGGAACCCGTCCAGAAGGGCAAGACGGGCCTTCCATTGTCGAAGGCCCTCTACAGACGGGTTCTGAGTCAGGAGACCCAGGCGGCGGCGGTCCTGGCTATCACAGGGTGCCTCCACCCTAGAAAGTGTGAGGCAGTAAAGCCAGAAGAGGACGCCGCCGCTGTTACCGCCGTCTTCCAGGTGCCACCATCAGCAGCATCATCATCAGCAGCAGCAGCATCATCAGCAGCAGCAGCAACAGCAACAGCAGCAGCATCATCAGCAGCAGCAGCATCATCGGCAGCAGCAGCATCATCGGCAGCAGCAGCATCATCGGCAGCAGCAGCATCATCAGCGGCAGCAGCATCATCAGCGGCAGCAGCATCATCAGCGGCAGCAGCATCATCGGCAGCAGCAGCATCATCAGCGGCAGCAGCAGCATCAGCGGAAGCAGCAGCATCAACAACATAAAAACCAGCGCTTTTGGTCTGGAGATTCTTTTCTCAAGAGCGGGAAAAAAAAGATGAAGAATCTCCAGACCATCCCCGGCAGAAGCAGAAGTTACTCCAATTAACTTCTTTATATACCTTATAGCAACAGGAAGCAACAGATACCAATCTACTAACAAGCAACAGACTAATCTACTAACAAGCAACAGTTACTAATTTACTAACAAGCAACGGGAACTAACCTACTAACAAGCAACGAGAACTAACCTTACTGGCAACTAACTTGATTAGCAGAAACAGAAACAAAATCCGAAACCTGGATCAGTATTAGGATCAGTATTAGGATCAGTATTAGGATCAGTATCAGGATCAGTATCAGGATCAGTATCAAGATCAGTATTAGGATCAGTATCAAGATCAAGATCAATGCCAGGGTCATGGATAAGGATATGATTAGGATCAGGGTCAGGGTCAGGGTCAGGACCAGAAGGAAGGAAGGATAGATAAAATAAAAAAATTAGAATGTATATATATATATAAATAAATAAATATTATTTATTTTATTATTTATTTTATTATTATTATTATGAGAGAAATATATCTATTTTACAATTGCGGCAACATAAGAATCGTTGGATTTACTATTGATACTATATTGTAATATGAATTAAGAGAATATTAATACTAATGAAGACCTAGAAGACCATAATATATGACTATATAAAAGTAGCTATTGTACGGCACCAATAGTGCTAGCATTGGCATTGGCATTGGCATTGGCATTAATATAATAAATTTATACAAGAGCCACACACACACACACACATATATATATATATATATAGAAAAGCATATACGGCCGTTTATAAGAAAGTTCTTGAAAATGGAGCAACTTTACTTACCTAATGTTCTGGATGACACGAAACAAGAAATAATAATAACCAAAAAAGTTAATTTGTCATTTCATAAAAGCTAAGGATATCTTGATATAAATTACTACTTGCTTTGTCAGTTACGACTGTCCGTGCTGTGCTCGGTACAACAAGTAAAGTTGACGGCGAAGGGTTATGAGCAGAAAGGATACGGTATCTAAAGGGAATCCGAGGCACTATCGATATTCTACTGCGAAAAACAACATAAGATAGTAGTGCTCTATACTGGCAGCATTTTGTGCCATTCGAAAATGATGACGAAGAAGAAGAACAAAGGGGAGTTGGAGTTTATGGTATACACACCACAATTGAGTGAAGAACAGACTCCACAACCAAACACTGGTTCCTTATTGCTAATGAACCTGGCAAATTAACAATCTCCAGAACCGTTACTCACCAGACACATATACACTACACACTTACACGGCAAATATTTGGATAGTAACAGATATAAGCAATATTATTTTATCTACTTAATAAATAACACTCTCACAGTATCTACTTTTCCTATTATTGAGATACTAACCCATAAACAATCCCGAATACCTCAGAATATACGATAGGTTATGTAAAAAAAAATTCAATTGTATTTCGATTATATGTTTTATTTGCTATACTTTGCTATAGGCTGATTTTAGACTTTATTTATTTTTTTACTACTCTTTTTGCTATACTCAATAATACTCTTTGGATCTTCGTCACATTTCCTCACCCAGTGTCGAGCTACTCTTGGATTAATGTTCAATTTCTTGCCCTTGAGCTTAAAGGACTTGATGATATATTTATCAGTGTAGGAGATTTTCTGATGAGTACCCTCGTCTTTCCTTGCACTTTTTTTTGTAGTTTATTGAATGTATTATATACACAAAGGTCAGTTGGTCAAGACATCAAGCGGTGAGCTCAAGAGAGTCTAATAATGTTTAGGATGACAATTGCAGCAACTCGGTTGTTGACAATGGGAACTTCTTTAAATATATTTTGGAAGTGAGCCTCCCAGATAACACTGAGAGCTTCCGAACAATGCTTGGGAATACTGTGGTATTGCGGACTGTGACTGACTACAAAAAAAAGGGAAGGAGATCGGAATGGACATTGTGGGCCTGGCTTGTCTTTAAAACATCCGTTTACAAACATTTCTTATAATTATAGTGTATTCCCTTTTTTTCTGTTCATAAATTAAGCACATGTGTATATGTACACATCAGATTGCATAAGATTTATTAATCTAGAATCAGCACAGGTGCTGAGAAAACGTTCGTCACTACGATAAAGTAACTAATTGGGATCAAAAGAAAAGGTAGATGAGTAAAGCTGACAAGGTCTAATAAGAAGAAAAGGTGAAATATCAATGCAAAGGTTTTAGCACTTGTGAAGCAAACTAACAGCGTAAAATGGAATAGTTGGTCTGAGAAGCCCAAAAGCTCAAAAAAAAATCCAAACAACTCTGAATGGCTAGTTCTTCTTTCATTGCCAATTGTATTGGAAAGATCATACCTTTGATTGAAGAAATGATATTATAAACATTTAATTTGATCTAATATGCATTTGAACTAATTTTGATCTTTGTTTTTGAGATTTTCGTCTGTCCAAACCACGTTTTGAAAGTTCAAAAGTTTTGATCTTTTTTTTTGTTCTTTTATTAAAACTCTGATCCAATAATACGGCTAACATTTTTGAACCTTTTTTTTGTCTGTCCACACCAAATAACATCGTATAGTCTACTTTCATTATTATTATTATAATTCCAAGATTAATTACAATATGTACATGTGTACCTCAAAAACATCTTGATTACTACTATAATGTTTGGGTTACTTATTTTTCTTAGCAAATAGACTGTTTTGTACCATGCAATTCAAATAATCAGGTCAAAAACCTTATTTTCAATATGATTTATGCCGTTGGCCCTCAACAATTAAACAATCAAAAATAATAATAACTAAAAACTAAAAAGTTCTATTATGTATATATAAAAATGAAAGGTGTAGCGGTTTTATTAGTTAAACTGTAGCTGTCACAATCATATTTATTGTTGTCCGACACTTACATTGGTTATAAGGCATCTGATTTAATTGTCAAAATCGAACTCATCATGACATATCAAAAGAAAGCAAATGTGTTTATATTTGATGTTGGCTATTCTTGGAAGGATGTAATTCCAGGACATTCTAAGAGTATGCTTGAAGAAGCGCGACAAGTTATCAGAAAAAAACTTGAGGATAAGGTTGGCTCATACAAAATCATTGCCAAAGTTGCCAATCGGCGATTCTTATAATTAATAGATTTCGATTGGAAGAAAAACTGACATGACGGGTCTCATAGCAATAGGCACACCAGGTAAGAAAATAAAAGAAATTATGCATACACATATATCATCCAAATAACTAATTACAAACCACACTTTCCGTACGTCTATGTGTGTTTTCTTTTATTTATTTGCATCAGAAACGGATAATTCACTGGCAAGTCAATTTCCAGGCGAATATAAGAATATTTCCACAATTGAAGAAATAAAGCAACCCACAGTCAAGACAGTACAAAAACTATTCAATATAGAATTATCTGAAAGCAAGGAAACAACTGCTGATGGTAATATTAAATTGAACGGTGTTTTTGTGAATATATATATGAAATGATCTACAACATAATATTGTTATGTATCTATAGCTCTGGATGCTCTTATTTTGGCTATCGACATGATCGTCTGCTATTGCAGGAAGCTCAAATACGATAAGCATATATATTTAATGACAGATACAAGAGTCCCGATCAGCTGGATGGAAAATCACGAAATTATATCAATGCTGGAAACACATTCCATAAGTTTAACCGTTGTGTAAGTTTATATATACATAAGGAAGCATTTAAATAAAGAGTTAGATATTCACTATGGTATATTTTAGCTGCGCTGGGTCCAACATGCCTTACACAAACCAAGTATGTATATGTATATGTATATTCTCCTTTAATATACTTATTCATTTATATATATATATAGAATATGAATGAAAATGAGAAAAAATGGATAGAGATTATATCTAGACTAGGACCACCGTCTTCTTTTTGCAGCTTCGAAAAAGAATATGAGTTTGCGGACACTATCAACAAAAAAATCGTAAGAGCTTCACCATGCTTCCGTGGTAACATAATATTAGGTGATCCAGCAAATAGCCCTGATAATGGATTATACGTGAGCGCCCATATGTTTATACGCTCGGATCTCATTTCACGCAAGAGTGGAACAAAATGTTACGTTCCTTCATATCCGGTCGATGCAGAAGATGGAAAAAACATACACCCAGTGAAAGCAGAAACCAACTACAGAACTATTACGCTCGAGGAACTGGAAAAGAAATTCAATGCTCAAAATGATTTTGATCCAGAAGAAGAGCAACAAGGGGAAGATGAAGAAGGCCTGACGAGCAGTGACTCGGATAATCAGCAAAAGGACACTGTAAACTCAAAAGATATTATGAAAGCATATATTCTTGGCAAAACACTGGTTCCGGTCTCCAAAGAGCAACAGGATATGTTCAAGGTGGTTACATCACCTGGATTATATGTTATTAAATTCATTGATTCAGAAAAGGTATATTTTGAAAACAAAATATATGGTTTAAGCTATCTTAATTTCCCTGCTGGTCAATTTCTATTGCATAAATCATAAATAGTTTCCTGAAACCTATAAACTGTCCAAAGTATACACAGTTACAGCAGGATCAGTAGATGCCAAGGAGGCTGCCACTGTTATCACGGCTTTGGCAAAGGCCATGGAGGAAACAAAATCTGTTGCAGTAGTCAGATTTACTAATAAGCCTGAGTCTCCTCCAAAGCTCGGCGTTCTGTTTCCTTTGGTTGAAGAAAAGGTGGCTACATTATACTTTGTAGAGGTAAGAATAACAGCAAAAAAATTAAATAAAAAGTAATACCAAAGTTGAATACAAAGAATTTATTATTATTGTTATTATTTTCTTAGGCACCATTTAGTAATGATCTAAAGCCTATTCCTGAAGCAATAGAAGAGGCTCTTAAACCCAAAGATAATGAAGAAAGCAAAAATGCGTCAAATATAGCCAAGTTGGAGATCATGGAGAAACTTGTTGAGAGTATGTCACTTATGGAAGTCAGAAAAGACAAGGATGGGTATGTTAAAGTATATAGATACAAAAGAACTTTTGTTGACTGATTTTTGGTTTTGTAAAGAAATCCGTGTGAGCATGTAGTACCAGAGAATATCTTCAATCCGAATATTTGGAGAGTTTCAGAAACAATCCGTAGAAGGGCTATTGATGGGAAAGCAACTATTCCTGATCTCCATCACAGTATTAAAGAGCAAATTACGGTCTTACCAGAATTTGTCGAAAAAACAAAAGAATTGGGAAAACAAATTAAGGAAATTTTCAATATTGAAAAAGGTAAGCAACAACTGTTAATTTTTCTTATATATATATATTATAAAATACGATGTTTATTGACAAGTACATTTAAAAGTGGAAACTCCTGACGATACTAAGGAAAGGCATTACGGTGCTCTGAGAGAAGAGAAGATCAAAACGAGAAAGGAAGATGAAGACCACATCTCCCCTACCGATACTGGCGACATTGAACAAAACCAGCATATTACCAAGAAAATGAAGATGGATAATGGAAGTGCATTTGATACCAAAAACTATGAAGTCTTGCGTAAAGATGTGAAAGAGGTTTCTATTGAAGATCCAGTCGACGACTTTAAGGCAATGGTTGCAAATCCAGACCAGGATTTGGTAGAAGAAGGTTAGAGAGATGAATATGCACTATAAATTAGCGAAATACACACACATGTATGAAAGTTACTGATATTTATGGGTGTATGTATTTTGCGTACAACCTTTTCTTTCTTTCTTTTTAGCCTTTAAGCAAATAAGTGATATAGTGATTCACTTGGTTTCTACATCTTTTGGTGACCAATACTATAAAAAAGTAATCAGTTGCCTTGACTGTATGCGCAATGTAGCTATACAGGTAGTTACAATATATATTGCTTATATATACATATACATACATATATATATATAATAGTACCTACCCTAACCAATGTGCTCTAAGGATTTCGAGGGAGAATCGTTTAACAGGTGTTTGCATAAAATAAAGTCAATTTGTGATCTTTCAAATCCAGCCTCAAAACGTCTAGATTTCTGGGAAATGCTCAAGAAAACAGACATTACTCCTCTTACCAAAGATGAGACTGGATCTTCCAATGTGACCGAAGCGGAGGCAAAGAAGGTAAATTTGCTCCCATAATAATACATATATTCTTTACTAACTAACTGTACCTTCTAGTTTATGGAAGAAATTGATACCACAGATATGGAACCAAATATTCAGACTAAAAAATCGTACATTGCCACCGATGATCTTGTAAGACGAAAAATTATATTAAAAAGCATACATAAAACTAATCATAATAATAATAATCGATTCCAAATTATGTTTAGCTTGATCTATTCTAGTGTTCTTTCCTATTGCCAACAAGACGTATGATTTCCTTGTCTTTATGCACGTTGAAAGTGAAAAATAAAACTAAAAATATTATTGGTAGCAAAACCCTTTTTTTTCTTTTTAAAAAAAATCCAATAAATTACAAGCAACACTTTGCTTTGCTAAATCTTAAATTTGATAGCCGTCAAACTCAATACACAATTTATTTCATTATTTTATTTCTCTTTAAAATCTTGTCATGGAATTGACAAATGGGCTCGTGAATACATTGTTGGCAAATACAACATGTGGATCATTTGCATTGATTTACATTGCCGGCTTTTATCTTTTTCGGGATGCATCAGCTAATCTTTCTCGAGATCATCCAAAAACTATTGCCTCCCGTATAAAGTCAGTCATCCTAGCATCTATTGTCATTCCAATAATCGTATGGAGTGAGCTTTATATGAGTGGTACATTTGGAAATGTAATACGATCATTCGAGATCAATATTTGCTTATTCTATTAGTTGTAAAATGTTATCTTTTTTTTTCCTTGTCTCACAATCATTTTCTTTTTTAGATGTCTATTAAGAATCAGATCTCATCAATGTCCATCAGATTGGGTCTTTATGACCCAACTAATTCATGGCACATTATTCATATAATTTCTCCACTTTTACTGACTATGATTCTGTTTCTCGGGCCATTAACTTTGTTGTGGTTTGAGGAAGAACTTCCATTCCAACAAAACTTCAACTTTCAAAAAGATGCTGTCGAACATCTCCGTTCATTAGAAGGTCAACGAAATTATATCGCTGTAAGTGTGATTAAAGATATATATATATATAGAATATTACTTTTTTTTCTTCAAAAAATATATTGAACGATGACATTTTCTAGGCTCCTTTTACAGAAGAGTTTGTCTTTCGTGCTTGTGAGATTGCATTGTTATATCAAGCCGGGCATTCAAAAAAGTATCTGATTTTCATCTCGCCCATTTGGTTTGGAACAGGTAATAGATATAGATATGGATTTGCGGTTGTGATTATCAAATACATGTATATTTATGTATTTGGATGGACTTTAGCTCACTTGCACCACGTATGGGAAAAGTATCGCCAGTATGGATCTAATAAGAAAGCTTTGAAGCGAGCACTCCTGTCTTCCAGTAAGTAATCTGTATATAAGTATATAGATGAAATTTTTCTGACAAATGTCTTGGTAATCTAGGTTTTCAGTTTGCCTATACCACTGTATTTGGATGGTATGCAAGTTTTGTTTTTGTGCGCACGGGCAGTGTGTGGCCTCCCTTCTTGTGCCATTCGTTTTGCAATATGATGGGATTTCCTAACGTTGAGGGTATTTCGTACCAAAAGAAATGGGAGCAGATAGGTAAGTTAAGTTAATATATGTGGGCAAGATAAATTATTATTACTATTATTATTATTATTTTGCCTATTTAGCCCAAGTTATTGTCTATTTACATGTACATATGGTTGATCTAGTTATTTGGGCAAACTATATTGTCGGCGTAATTTTGTTTTATAATCTTATTTATTATCTTACTCCTTCTGCTTCTCAGAGCGGGTCTATTTACTGGTAAAGAAGCATTATTATTATGCTACCTTCTTTTTATTATTATTATCGTTTCATTTTCATTTTCATTTTAATTTTTTCATTTTATATCAAGCAAGTCCTTCATATATTATTATTACTATTATTATTTGTTACGGTTCCTGTTGTCTTTACTTGTTTGGGTCCTTCTTGTTATCATTGTCACTCTCATCACTAGATTTCTTGATATTGTAAAGCGCACTGTCAATCATTTTCTTGGTATTGTCTTTCACCAGAATAAACGCATCTCCTCGTTGGGAGCTCTCCCAGAACCTATTGAAGAATGCTTTTTGAGTGCCATCCTTCCAAGAGTCCATATATCGTTTTGTGAAGTTTTGTACAGGTGTGAAAGATCCAAGCACCATCTTTTTCACTATACATTATACCAAAAATGTTTAATTCATTTTCTTTTTTTTTTTTAAAAAAAAATTCTTTTTCGCTTTTTCTCCTCCTTTACCTCCTTGACCAAGCTGATCAACGTATTCTCCTAACTCAATTGACCGGTATCCTGGGCTAGAACAATAAACCACCTGATGAATTCATTCGATCTAGTCATACAAATCCAATTTAAACTCACATCACTTTTTTTACAGGAAGCTTTTCTATATCCAACCAACAAATATACCACATGTTAAAAATAATAATAATAATAATAATAATATATATATATATATCTAATTCAAAATTCCAGCAGAAAAAGAAAGCTTAGCAAGCTCTCTACTTACCAGCAAGGTGTTCCATTGACATGTCTAATCTTGTAGAAGCAATAATCCATCTTCCATAAAATGGATTCCATGAATTGGGTATCTTTAATTCTTCTAATTTTGACTTTCGTCGTTCTTCACTCTCCTTTAGAAAACAAAGCATACTACAAGATTGATTCAGCTTTTTTTCGTCTTTGTCAATTGGTGTTCCAATCTCCCCTTTCCCTTTTGAGCGCTTGAAATATTCGTTGGGTGCAAGAAAGATACAGAATTCCGTCCACTCGTCCGATTGGTTTCCTGTTTTCTTTCCATCCGGCCCAAGTTCTTCTCGTACAGCTTTCCGATTGAATGTCAACATAATTTTGTCTCCTCCTGGCTTCGTAGGTTGGCCAGCTGGTACTTCGGCAGACCACCATGGAGAAAGGATATCGTTTGACTCTTGCTCAGTTGGTGGTGGTGTAATGGGTGGTGGTGGTGGAAGCGACGATACGTCTGGGTTATTATTGTTGTCGTTGTTTGGGTCATTTGAAGAATCAGCAGTTGAATGTTCTTGTGGTTTTTTTTCACTGTTGTTTTTCATTTGAAATTTGAATGAAGCGATTGAATTTATATTAAAAGAAAAAAAGTGGCGGCAGTGGTGCTAAAGTTGCAGTCAAAAAAAAAGGGCTCTGCATGGACAGGATCCCCAAGACGGAGAGAATATTAGTGAATTGTGTGACCGTCGCTTTTCGTATCAATTTCGGGATTTCTAGCTGGTCCACTGAATAGCAATAGGTTCAAGCAAGTAAACAAGCAAAAAAAGAGAACATTTTGTTCGTTCGTTTTCCTTTAAAAAATATTTAGTATATGAAGAATATTCAAAGATATATCCAGTTCTATCTACTAGATACTTTTGGAGAAGAGTATAGTCAGGATCATTTCTGTATATATTTCCGTCCAAACAGTTGGCTATTTTATGCAAATATTACTACTAAAATAAAGGTTGGTGTTCTGTACATTGCTTTATTTCTCACGCAAAAAAAAATGTTAGTTCTCAAAAAAATGAACTCATAAAAAGTCATATAAGTCAAGTACTTTGCTTTGTTTTTCTGGAATTTAACACAATAAATAGATAGGTTTTTGTGGGATTTACAGGTAATTAGAATGTCATTTTGTTTTCATATAAAAAAATAAGCAAATTATTTATTTGCATTATGGGAAATGAGTGGTGATTTAATACACTGAGTAGCAGAAAACACACATCTTGCATTAAGCTCTGCCATTATAGCTCTTTCTGCTTTTATTCCTTGAGAAGTCAATCATTCCTATTAATCTTAATAATGATGTACTAAAATATAAAGCCTTTGAATACTATTTGGAAATGACAATAATATAATATCCTTCATACTCTTCCTCTTCCTCTTCTTTTGATGTATGCGTTTAACACACCGCTTTAATTTGGCAGCGTTCCTAATCGGGGTTTGCTTTTTCTTAAGGGGTTTGTCCCATTAAGCTTGAAGTTTGGAAATAGCGTTGACTATACATACACAATACTTGCTCCTTTCCTACTTTGATAAACAATTTAGAACCAAGAATAATGAAAAAAGAGGTGATGCAGTGCACACCCTTATTTAATTTGACAGTTCTCTTCAATTAGCCTAGTTCTTAATCAATTTATCCATACAAATATCCAATAAACTTCACAAGCTATTTAGGTCTATATTATTATTCTTTTTACATTTATATATCAAACTGTTAAAGATGTTCGGAAGGTCATTTCTTTTGGATCCTGCATCTCTTCAAATAGAAATAATAAGGGAAGATGTCTTCTTTCTGTAATTATTTTTTCTTTATGTATGTATGTTTCTTTTTTTTGACAAACAATCCCCCTCTCTTTATCTCTCTCGGAGGACTAAATCTACCACAACTCCTTTCTTCTCTCTCTGTTCTTTTTGATCAACTGGCGTCTGTAACCGTATTCTTTTGTAGGTTCTTGCTCGGCTGCGACAGCACGCTTGACGGTGGTTGGTGCATTGATACCGACAAAAATTTCAGAACATCCAAATTTCTCTGCCAAACGTTTCCGTGTCCACCGTGCGGGATCCTGTGCTCTCAATTGGCGCATTTCCTCTTTCTCACTCTCTGAAAGAACCTTTGTTTCCGTAGCAGCCTTCTTTAATACAGGGGCGGTGCTCTGGACAGCAGGTGAGACAGGAGGTTGACGGGTCACAAACAAACTGCCATCAGCCAATTGACATTCTTGAATGGGCAGACGAGAAGTCATTTTGAGGTTGGTGGTTTTACTTTTGGTGGCATAGGTGCGTGCGCTGACGAATGGTCTTACGAGACCGAATGAGCGGGAGAACATGGTGATTAATGGACAGACAGGGCCAACAGAAGACGACAAGAGCGTGAGGAGGGGTAGGAAGGTGCGGCTTTCTTTATTCAGTAATACCAGGGCTCCATTTGGTCTCTGTTACTATTTTGCGTGACGCGCCTATGCAAGCCACCCCTTCTGAAAGGGATATGTCTTTGCGGAGATTAGATAAACCATATGCTTTAGACAATGGAAAGGAACCAAGGATACAAAAAAATCAAATTCAATCAAATTAAATATAAAAGAAAAAAAAGTGTAGAAAAGCGAAAATGTTTATTAGAAATAGTGTTTTATTTGTTTAGTCAAGATGATGATAGAGCAACGCGTTCCTTGACAAGTTCCTCAACAAGAGTCAGATCGGGTCTTCCGAGTGCTGACTTCTTGCGATCCCAGTCAATTACAAATGGTCTCTCGAGTAATGAAGAATCGCCTTCGATTATCTTGTAAACCTCTTCCCATGAACTGGATTTTCCCTGTGCTTCTGGCCGCAGCAAGTAGTCCCATGGGTTGGAAGCATATTTCTCTGGAAATTCCAGGGAGTTTCTCAAAGTTTCGAGAACTTCTTTGCTTGGAGGGCTCTTTTTGTACAGAACAATTTCGAGGTCATACATTTTTTTGCCATCTTTTGTCTCATTTTCCTCGAGGATTACGACAGACTTGCGAGACTTTGTGCATTGTGGGTTATGATAGACTGAGAGACGTGCCATTTGGGATAATCGGGGTAAAAGAGGCATCAGCTTACAATCAAAATAGTCTTCCCCATGTATACTATACATATCACGTGTAGTGTTTAATTTTTTTTTTATGAGACAAAGTTTTATTATTAAATCAGCAATCTTACGGGAACGACGTTTCATGGTGGGGCACGACATTTCTATCTAACCGGGCTACTCAATTGTGGCTACATTTCTGGGGCCCGGTGTCTTTCTCTAATCCTTCAGGATAAAATGGTGTCTTGAAAAAACACAATATATTTATTGTATGCATTAGCGTTACTACTTTGTCCCCACAATTTGTGCTTATCTATATCTCCCAAGGCACTTAACTCTCGTTGTTTTAAGAGTTACAGTCTGTATTTGGGCAACTTAATAATTAAATACGGTCTCACGCGAAAAACAAATCCTATATATTCAATTAATAGCTGTTTGCGTCCTAAGGTTAGACTTGACAATAAAGAAATAATAATTAGTCCCAAATACACTATATCAATAGTCAGTTATACAGAAGATCATAAGAAGTTGCTATCATTGGATTGTGACACAATCTTATCGAATACCTTACTATGTATTGGCCTTCTTACGCGTATCATGTCTTTCTCTTTCTGTCATCTACATATTACCAGAGTTCAGCAGCATTAGCTGGTAAGTAATCCCCATCAACTTTCTTTTTGAAAAGCACAAAAGAAAAGTCTTTATGCGAATATTTCGTATCCTGTTTTACCAACTATTATAACAAGAATGAATCTTTAGGGACCAGATAAAGTTATTCCATGCCAGCCAAAAAGTCTCGACTTGTGGTCCGGTAGAATCAAAATGCCACCACCGCCAGGAAATGTCGTTCCCCTAAATTTAGCGATTATTTAGAGCATTGCAATGAAAACGATATCGAAAGTAGAAACAATCGAGGTTGGTAGTGCAAGTGGAAAGAGAAAGCCCCAGGCTCGGCATGATATCACAAGATCATCACCAAAACTCAAGAAACTTAGGAAAACCGCTTATTCTTCTTCGGAGTAAATAATAATATTGATTTATATATTTTTGAACCACTTCTTACACAAATGAATTGGACAATCTTTTTCAAAAAAGTAGTCGGACTTTTCAAACATTTGGTAAATTGAGTGAAAGCACTGTATCTTCTAGAATAGCATCTTCTAGAATAGGGTCTTCTAGAACTATTGGGGATTCAATACTCCAGTTCGCTATAGCACAAACGTAGGATTGTGACGTCCTCTTCGTCTTATAATTGTAAAGCTCAATAGAAGATTTGAAGCTCAGACCCTTTACAAAAAAAAATAAGCTAGTTACCGAAGACAAGCAACCTCTTGTGCATCACTTTTTTCATTGACATGAATCCACAAATTTCTGAGCAGGAGGAGGAGGCAGTATGCTACAAGTCAGAGACTTGTAACTTTAACTACTGCAAAGAAAGAGAAAGTTGTGTTACTTCTCCTGAGTGTGATTATGATTACTGCATCAAACCAAGTGATTACCAATCAATGGTACCTGAAGAGGATCTAAAGGGATCTGGTAAGTCATTTTGATAATCGAAAATAAAATAAAATAAAATAAAATAAAATAAAGTAAAGTAAAAAAATATTGTCGACTTATAAGTACATACATATGTGTTTCTAATAAATCTATTAAATAGTTCTACTGAAACGCCTAAGCTTCCTTGATAGATTCCTCGTAGTCTGGATTCTACTCGCAATGGTGACTGGTGTATTGATTGGATATTACGTACCAAATGTACAACCTGCATTTGCAACAGTACAGTTTGGATCAGTGTCTGTTCCTATTGCCGTTGGATTGCTTGTAATGATGTACCCTGTTCTGTGCAAAGTTCAGTACGAACGTCTTCCTGCCCTCTTGACAGACAAAAATGTTTGGATTCAGATCGGAATCTCAGTCTTCATCAATTGGATTATTGGGCCAATCGTTATGACAGCTGTTGCATGGGCTACGCTTCCCGACCTTCCTGGATTTAGAACTGGCGTTATCATGGTCGGTCTTGCCAGGTATGATATATTATATATTATATACTATTTATGATATATTGTATTTTTTTAGATGTATTGCAATGGTCTTGATTTGGAACCAATTGGCTGGTGGTGATGCCGATTATTGTGCAATCCTTGTAGCTATCAACTCGGTGCTTCAGATTGCCTTATATTCCCCTTATGCGGTGCTTTTTATCAACATCATTCCCGGGTGGTTTGGTGCTCCAGTAGATACCACAATTGATGCATCGATCTGGCCTGTTGCTCAGTCTGTCTTGATCTACCTCGGTATTCCTTTGGCAGCTGGCTTTTTGACACGCTTGGTTTTGTGTTACCTCAAAGGAAAACAATGGTACAATGCCAAATTTGTTCCTCACGTCGGACCTTTTGCTCTCCTCGGACTCATTTATACCATCATTGTCATGTTTGCCAACCAGGGCCATCATATTATTGACAATATTGGATCTGTCTTTAGAGTGGCAGTTCCACTTGTACTTTACTTTGCGATCATGTTCTTTTTGCCTTTCTTTATTCTTAAGCGTCTCAGAGTCCCTTATCCGCTTGTTGTTACCCAGTCATTTACGGCTGGAAGTAACAACTTTGAGCTTGCTATTGCTGTAGCAGTTGGTACCTATGGTATCGAGTCCGAGCAGGCATTGGCTGCCACTATGGGCCCTCTCATCGAAGTACCGGGTAAATTACATATTGGGAAGTTTGGGAATACCAATTTACAACTATATTAACACACACACACACATATATATATATATATATTATTTTTATTTTTAGTGCTGTTGGCTTTGGTGTACTTGTCTTTATTGTTCAAGAAGAAGCTGGCATGGAACCAGAAGCCTAGTACATGCACATCATGCTAAATATACCAGAAGGGGTGTATTACTGGACAATAGTCCTCTCTGCATCTTTGCTATTGTAGAGTATTAAATTGAAATAAAAGAAGTGAAATATTATATCTGGTCAGGACAGGTCAGGACAAGACTGCCTTGCATCACCGATTCTTCCTATCACTAAGCTTAACATTATACCTGATGCCTTTTAGTTTTACATGACAAAACAAAATGTCAAGATAAACCTGCATATATTACCCCCTTTATCCCAGTCCTCTTTATTTTATTTTTTTAAAATAAAAACCTCCTCCTCCATTTAATTTACGCGATAGTATTACTGTATACTTCCCCCCCTTATTTTTTGTTTTGTTTTTAGATACCCAAGGTCTGTAGAGTTGGTTTTTCCTTCCTTTATAAAAGCCATTCAATGCAAATTAACTTGATAAGTTTTTTCTTTCTTTCATTCATTTCATTTCACACCTTGCTCTCATGAAGTTCACTTCTATTTCAATTTTGCTATTTGCTCTTTGTGTCTCTGTAAAGACCGTTTCAGGAAACGTTGCCTGCCATGCTGCTGAAGAGGCTAGAGTCCAGTCTGCATGCCAAGATCATTGTGGAAGTACCGGTTATACAGCGGGTGAATGTGGTGATCGTGGAATCTGTATTTGCAGTTCTTAAAAAAACTTACTAGTCTGGTTCTCGAAAATCAAGTAAATAATCTGTCACTTTATTTGATGCTCTTCACAGACACTAACAATTATGTTCCTTTAGATTAAATACATCTTTGCTTTTGTTCCAAACAGACTGGAAGCATAAATAAACAATAAAAAGAACAAAAACACTCGCAAAACAACTTTTCTTCTTCTTTTTTTTTACACAAAAAATATTTCTTTAAAGAAGAAGGAAATGAATGCTACATATACTCCTGATTACAAACTCTATAAAACAAGTCAATAAAGTCATCAAAAACTATCCTCCAAATTATTATTATATATTATATTATCCCTGTTATTAATATTTCGCCCTTTTTTTTTTAACAAATCATGATCATAATAGATATCTTCATTAGTCTCCTTACTTATGATCAAGTAAGTTTATTCTAAATCATACTCTTATGTATATTTGCAAGTTTAGATACCGTATCAACAGTAGATTTGCATCCAAGTTTCTTCAAGGAGAGACCAGAATAATAAACTTTACACATATGTTTAATAATTAATCAACCGATAAATTAAGTCATTAACTAGCTTAAACATCATATATTGATGTATATATGTGGGTATGTTTGGACTAGCGCTTCATTTTATTTTTTTTAAAAGAAATCTGATGCTTCGTAGGAGTGTGGCGTAACTTAAGAAGTATTGGAAAGTAATTAGCAGGTTAAAGGTTTAATATATAAAAAGAAACCTTGCCCTAAAACAATGATAAAAGAGCTAGGCCTTAATTTTGATAGAATAATAAGCAAAACTAAAGCGACCATCCATAAATTGTTTTTAGTGTACACCTTTATGAGATGATATAAGATGAGATGAGATGAGATTTGTTCCGGACCTTTATGATACTCGGATACAGCTACAGGGAGACTCTCCTGCAAAGTATATATATATATATAAATGTATATTTATAACTCTATATTAATAAATTAGTCAAAACTAAGCAAAAATAGCTCTATAACTTACATAAATTGAGATGGTCTGATCTGAATATTAAAAATAAAAAAAGTGAACTTAAGGGCACATCCTGTTCAGATAATATAGTTGAGCTGTAATATTATAAATTTCAATATTTCAATATTTTTATAGCTAATATATTCCTATGTACACGGGCATATATATAACAATTTATACTCAACAAACTGCCCTTTCCTTTAATTGAAAAAAAAATACAAAGGTACAAATTCGGGATTAATCCAGTTTGCGTGGATAGACTAAAAATTCCAAAAAAAAGCCAAATTTGTTGAACGTCTCTGACTGGCTAGTTCTTCTTTCATTCCCAATTGTATTGAGAAGATCATGATTTTAATGGAAGCGACATTATTACGAGCACTTGATTTTATCTAATATTCATTTGAACTACTTTTGAACTTTTTTTTTACTGTCTGTCCACACCACTTACATATAATAAGTCAAAATACTTGCTTTTTTAGACAAGCCGTAGTGTTTAAGAGGTATATATATATATATAAAAGTAAATGAAGGATCATATTTGATTAAAGTCTTACAAGCTATCAGAGATATACTGGTGTAAATCAAGTATTAAAGCAGTAAAAAACTAAAGAAAAGAATATTTCTTAACTATTACTTGAACAAGGAGTTTAAACATGCGAGTTTACAGTATAGATACTTATAGACTGGAGCGAATGTGCCGCAAAAGCACTCAGAAAAAGAATACCTAAAGTTGTATCGAAATCGATAGTACAATAGCATGTCAATCGGTTAAACTATAATGAAAAGTGCAGTAAAACACGTTATACAAAGCCTAGAATTTGAAAATTCAAGTCGCATAATTGAATATGTGGTATACACACCACAATTGAGTGAAAAACAGACCCCACAACCAAACACTGGTTCCTTCTTGCTGATGAATCTGGCAGGTTAACAGTCTCCGGAAATGTTACACACCAGGCACACGTACACTACACACTCATACAGTGTAAACTAACCATTACATATCAGGGATTTGAATTACAGGGATTTGAATAGTAACAGATATAAACAATATTGTTTTGTCTCTTTAATAAATAACACTCTCACAGTATCTACTTTTCCTATTATTGAGATACTAACCCATAAACAATCCCGAATACCTCAGAATATACGATAGGTTATGTAAAAAAAAAGATTTTCAATTGTATTTCGATTATATGTTTTATTTGCTATACTTTGTTATAGGCTGATTTTAGACTTTATTTATTTTTTTACTACTCTTTTTGCTATACTCAATAATACTCTTTGGATCTTCGTCACACTTCCTCACCCAGTGTCGAGCTACTCTTGGATTAATGTTCAATTTCTTTTCTGCAGCTGATGCTGCTACTGAAATTAACAATTTCTTGCTCTTGAGCTTAAAAGACTTGATGATATATTTATCAGTGTAGGAGATTTTCTGATGAGTACCCTCGTCTTTCCTTGCACTTTTTTTTTGTAGTTTATTGAATGTATTATATACACAAAGGTCAGTTGGTCAAGACATCAAGCGGTGAGCTCAAGAGAGTCTAATAATGTTTAGGATGACAATTGCAGCAACTCGGTTGTTGACAATGGGAACTTCTTTAAATATATTTTGGAAGTGAGCCTCCCAGATAACACTGAGGGCTTCCGAACAATGCTTGAGAATATTGTGGTATTGCGGACTGTGGCTGACTACAGAAAAAAGGGAAGGAGATCGGAATAGACCTTGTAGGCCTGGCTTGTCTTTGCTTGAGACCGGTGGTCTAAACCCTGCTATTTGTACCACTGTTAGGCCGGAATTTCTGGGTTTTGGAGAAAATTGGCAAAAATGCCCGACCGAGGGATTCGAGCCCCCAATTTGTCGATTGCTAGTCCGGCGTCCTAACAACTGAGCTATCAGTCGGGTTGCTATACTATATCAAATTTTAGGGAGTTTGCACTATCAGTTTTGATGACGTCATCACTTTTTACTTTTCATTTTCTCAACCATTTTTTCCCTTTCTTTTGATTCCTGGATTTACACCTTAATATTTATCCAAGCAACATACTCCTTTTTAAACCTTTCACCCCCCCTTTTTTCATTTTCCCAAGCTCTTCCTTAGATTACCATTTTTGTAATTCATTTACATTAATGCATTTTTTACCTTTTCTTTACTTTTACTTTCCCAAACATATTACGCTTCTTTTTATTTTTTGTATTAGCTTCATTTCTTTTATAATATATTATCTTTTTACTATATTATATTTTTTGTTTGTAACATTAATAGGGTATACACACCACAATTGAGTGAAGAACAGACTCCACAACCAAACACTGGTTCTTTCTTGCTAATGAAAATGGCGAGTTAATAATATGGAACTGTAACACAGCAGGCACACGTACACTATACTCTCATACAGTGTAAATCAACCATTATACATCAGGGATTTGCATTACAGGAATTTTAATAGTAGCAGATATAAACAATATTATTTTGTCTCTAATAAATAACACTATCACAGTATTTACATTTCTCTATATTGAGATATTAACCTAATAACAATCCCGAACACTTCACCACAAAAGCACTCAGAAAAAGAATACCTAAAATTGTATCAGAATTGAGAGTACAATAGCATGTCACTCGTTTAAACTAGAATGAAAAGTAGAGTAAAACACATTATATAAAACCTAAAATTTGAAAATTCAAATCGCATAAATGATTATATGATAGGTTATGTAAAAAAGAAACTTTCAATTGTATCTCGATTGTATGTTATCTTTGCTATACTTTGCTATAGGCTGTTTTTAGACGTTTTTTTTTATTGCTCTTCTTGCTATACTCAAAATTACTCTTTGGGTCTTCGTCACACTTCTTTACTCAATATCGAGCTACTATTGGTTTACTGTTTAATTTCTTTTCTGTTGCTGCTGCTGTTGCTGCTGCTGCAACTGCAATCAACAATTTCTCGCCCTTGAGCTTAAAGGACTTGATGATATATCTACCAGTGTAGGGGGGTTTCTGACAAGTACTCTCGCCTTTCCTAACACTTTTTTTGTGGTTTATTGAATGTATTATATACACAATAGTCAGTTGGTCAAGACATCAAGCTGTGAGTTCAACAGGGTCTCCTAATGTTTAGGATGCCAATTGAACCAACTTGGTTGTTGACAATGAGAACTTCTTTAAATATAGGTTGGAAGTGAGCTTCCCATATAACACTGAAAGCTTCCAAACAATGCTTGAGAATACTGTGGTATTGCGGACTGTGGCTGACTACAGAAAAAAGGGAAGGAGATTGGAATGGACCTTGTAGGCCTGGCTTGTCTTTGCTTAAGACCGGTAGTCTAAACCCTGCTATTTGTACCACTGTTAGGCCGAAATTTCTGGGTTTTTGTGAAAAATTGGAAAAAATGCCCGACCGAGGGATTCGAGCCCCCAATTTGTCGATTGCTAGTCCGGCGTCCTAACAACTGAGCTATCAGTCGGGTTGCTATACTATATCAAATTTTAGGGAGTTTGCACTATCAGTTTTGATGACGTCATCACTTTTTACTTTTCATTTTTATTTTCTCAGCCATTTTTCCCTTTCTTTTGATTTTCGAATCTACACTTTAATATTTAACCAAGCAACATACTCCTTTTTAAATCTTTTACACTCATCTTTTACCCTTTTTTCATTTTCCCAAGCGCTTCCTTAACTTACCATTTTTGTAACTCCTTTACATTAATGCATTTTTTACCTTTTTCTTTACTTTTACTTTCCCAAACATATTACACTTCTTTTTATTTTTTGTATTAGCTTCATTTCTTTTATAATTTATTATCTTTTTACTATATTATATTTTTTATTTGTAACACTAATGTGGTATACACACCACAATTGAGTGAAGAACAGACTCCACTGTGGTATTCGGAATTGTTTATGGGTTAGTATCTCATTAATGAGAAAAGTAGATACTGTGAGAGTTATTTATTAAAAAGACAAAATAATATTGTTTATATCTGTTACTATTAAAATCCCTTGATTCAAATCCCTGTTATGTAATGGTTGGTTTACACTGTATGAGTGTGTAGTGTGCGTGTACCTAGTGTGTAGCAGTTCCAGAGATTGTTAACTTGTCAGGTTTATTAGCTAGAAAGAATCAGTGTTTGGTTGTGGAATCTGTTCTTCACTCATTTGTAGTTTGTATATTGTTTGCTGCTGTCATAGTCGACCATTAGCAATTGATATGGAACTACATTATTCTTGATGCGATAAAGTCAGAGAGAGAATGATGATATCAAGTAGAAAGTAGCTAATACTGTTAATTAAGAAACCAATTATTATCATTAGTTTCTTTGGTAAGGATTTTATTCAACAAGCTCAATTTAATTCAAACAAAGGCTTGTGCCTTTTGTTTCTTTTACTCATATGGCTAAAAAAGAAAAAATTCGGCCAGATTATGGAGTTTTCCTTTAAAGATACCTAAATTTTTCTAAACAAGCGGAATACAACTTAACTTGAGTAGCTCAATAATACTTGACCAGAGCTATTACTCATATCTTGGATATTCCTCCTTTTTTTTTTGAGAGTGAACCGAATGGTCGTGTCCCTAGATTTAATGCTCTCAAACAAACACTGACAACCGTTGTTATTTATTTATTTATTTATTTATAAAAAGAGAATAATACATTTGAAACAAATACACATATTCTTTCTTCTGCAATTTCAACCTACAGAGCTTATGTTTTGATAAAATAGATCCAATCTTTATCACAAATTCTCTTCTTCATCTTCTTTTATTTTAATATAAATAAATAAGTAAATACATCCTCAAGTTACAATAAGCCACGACTATCAGTCAACCTTTACAACAATCATCAAACTGACTGCGGATTCAAAAGAGTGCCCTTACTGTCACTTTTTTTTCTCTCTTTTTTTTTTCTTTTTCTTTTTCTTTTTGACGTAATACAAAAAAGCAAAGCAAAGCAGTAGCAAAAGCAAAATCTACTGCGAAAAAAAAATCACTTTGAATGCAATTTACAGCTGCAGAACGCGAAAGGATCTCTGATTCTCTTTCAAAGGGATTAGGACCTGAATTCCTCAGCAAGAGACCCGGACCATGTATGTAAAATGCGATGGGTCGATGAGTAATGTTGAACGAATCGATGAGATCAATTTCTGATTTTCTTTTTATACCCTAGCCGGTTCATTTACTTATGTCGAAGGTTGGATGCTCATCGATCTTGCAAACAAAGTGTTTGGATTTGATGGTTGGAATTCAGAAATAAAAAGTATAGCTATTGACTATGTAGGTTATAACTTTAGCCGCAGCTAAAACCAACCAACCAACCAACCAACTAAAAAAAAGAAGGGCAAAAGTTTTGATTATGTAGTGTATTAATATATTTATGCATTTTGTTTTAACTTTTGTTAAGATGGATGAATTGGATGGTAATAGATATAATGTATCGGCATCTGCTCATGTGCGGGTTACTCTTAAAGACGGCACATTCCATGAGGTAAAGCTTATCATTTAATTTTAATCATCCCACCAAATTTAAAGGTGCAAAAAAAAAGAGGGTATTTCTTGTGTCTCACAACCTTTGTGTGTTTGTGTGCCAGGATGTTGGATGCGGTTCTGTAGAAAATATGCGAATGAAATCTGCAGCCTTGGAAAAGGCAAGTGGCTTTGCTTTGATAATAATAAAATATATTTATTTAAGATACATAGGCAAGAAAGGCAGCAGTTACTGATGGGTTAAAGAGAGCACTGCGGCTTTTTGGAAGAGTCTTGGGAAATTGCTTATATGATCAAGCATTCCTCAGAGCCAACAATCACAGAGGCACACAAAAAGTAAATACAATGATATTGTGCGTGTGTGTAAAAAGGCATTTTTAGGTTTTTTTTTTTTTTTTTTTTTTTTTTTTTTAAAAAAAAGAGTCTAAATATGAAAATCTGTATTCACATCAAACAATAGGTAAATGCTACCAAAGAGCAACTTTATCGCCATCAACAATTCCAACCAGAAAAACCTCCTGCACCTACAGCGGTATCCAATGGTTCTAGAAATACAAACAGCACCAGTACACCTACTGCCACATCTACCAAACCTCTTACTACCCCAACCCCAATGAGTATCATATCTTCTCGTGTTGTTTCGCCGACCACTGCTATTCCTGCTGCTCCTAATCTGGTTTCTGAGGAACCAAAGACCTCTGCACTTGTTGAGAATGAAGAAAGCTTTTCGTATGGTAAGCATTGTGTTGTATTGTCTTACAAGCTTCTTTTCTCTCAATCATATATCTTTTATAGACTATGATGATGACTTTTTTGCTCATATGGCAGAGTTGGACGAAATTGATAAACCAGATTCAGAGCTTATCAAGTTAGAAGGCGATTCACATTTGTAAGTTGAACAATATCGAATGACTATTATTTTTCTTATTTGCTGTTATAATAATCTTTTTTTTTTATTATTTTTTTATTTAATAAAAAAAAATGACGAACATTTTTTATCTTTAATTTTGCAATAGAACCCTGGATTCATCAGTATATGGTTCTGATGGTAAGTATATATAAATATTTTTTTTTGATTTTGATCAATCGATATTAATCAATCAACCAACCAATTAAATTAAATTAAATTAAATTAAATTAAATTAAAGCCTCATTAGCCACAGCAAATGACTCAAAGCGCCAGAGACTTGGAGAGTAAAATGGGCCCAAAACATTTAAATTTATAAAATTGCACATAAACACATCAACATATAAACTCCATATTTCATCATCATGCTTCATTCACTAGAGACTCTGGCTGTGTTGCCATCAATTCTTTATTGAAACGAAAATATCAAATAATAAAATAAAATTAAAAAAAGAAAAAGCCGCATTTAAAAGAGATGATTTAGACCATCCACAGCAGTCTGGGTAAAATTAGCAGTATATAAAAAAAAACAAGCCGGTAATTATTATTATTGAAGAAATAATCAATTAAAAACTTTTAGTTAAGCAATCCGCTAGGGATAAAAAAAAATTCTAAATTTAAAATATTGTTAGATTTAGACAGACCGCTGTGGATGCTCTTATATATACTCACCCTTTGTCAAAGAATGTTGCATATATCCTAGCAACCTGTCCACTGGATGTAAAGCATCATATAACCCCACATAACCCTCCAAACAAATAGTTTAATGTCTCAATGTAATAATCAACTTTTGAGACTCTATCAATAGCTCCATACAAACAAAGTCTCACTGCAGAAAATGTGAAGCAGAAATCTCAGAATATAAAACGTCTTTCTTGATATAGACCTGTGTCTGCATCAAGACGAGCTCTTTTTATTTGTTTGTTTGCTTGTTTGCTTGTAGGGAAGCTTTGTGTTCAAGAGGATTGGTGAGCCTCACACAAATGTTCAAAAGATTTCAGGAAACTAAGCGGAGATTTGAAACATCTGGTAAATTGAGAGTAAATCACACAGTAATATCATTTGTTTTTATTACTGCTTTGTGCTTATTGTATTGTATTTTGGTTTACTATACTTTTGAGACATGTGCCCACAATTATTATGACCAATTGGATCTATAAAGGAGTATTTTACCAATAGCTATAAAAAATAAAATAAAAAAAAAAGTAAAAAGAACAGTAAGAATAATAAAATTGGCATTTATCAGATCTTTGACTTTCCGATGTGAAAGATCTGATAAAGATTGAGCGGGTTATCGATTGAATGATTCTTTTTTTTTTTTTTTTGTGTGTATTTATTAACAGTGCTCTATATGCCTGAAGTTTTGTATTACACTAATTATATAAGAAAAGAAAGAAAATGCTTTATCACCACAAGTGCATTGGCTTGCTATAATGCCAGCAAGGAAGGGCCATGTTCGTCCATGACAAAGGCACTGATGAGCTTATCAAATGACATGAATTGTGGAGGTCAAGACCAGTATCGATTGAATGGTGATTATTTGTGTTAAGAAAAAATAATATTATAAGGCCACTTGGTTTGTCGGAGCCAAAGGATATGGTATACTATAGCGTAATATGGGTTTTGTGTAAGAATAGATGTGTACTCTTCTTTTGTTTAATAAAAAACAATATCAAAGTTCAATTGTTGGTTCTACAGGTTCAAACCTTGTTGTAATATAAAAAATATATATATATATTTTAGCCAGTAGCGGTGTTTAAAAAAACTGATGAACTCTCTTTTTTTTTTTTCAAGGTTACGAAAATAGACACAAAAAAAAAAATACAGGAAAATAGATAGAAATGGTGCGGGAGGAAGGGGAGGAAGATTTGTAAGAAAAATAAAAAATAAAATAAAAAATAAAAATAAAAGTCAATTCTTGTTCTTCTTGTTCTTGTTCTTGTTCTTTCTCTTTCTGTACTTCTTCTTGTTCTTTATTATTTTGGAGCCATGACAACGACTGTTCTGCCTGTCAAAGGCATGACATGCAAGGTACATACTTCTTTATAATAACAACGACAACAATAACAACATAACCCCTAAGAAATATTTATATGATAATTATATTATGTATTATATCCTTACATATCCACCCCCTCTTTTATTATTATGTGTTTTTCTATTAAAAAATAAATAAATAAATAAATAAATTTTTATTATAGTCTTGCGTGCATGCCATTACGATAACACTTTCTGGAATGCCTGGGCTAATCTCTCTTGACGTCAGTCTAGAGCAAGAACAGGCAACAATCGTCCATCGTCTATCACTCCCACAACAAAACCTCATCGACGCGATTGAAGACTGCGGATTCGACGTACCAATGCCAATCACTACACGACTACCGGTCGAAGGCATGACATGCCAGTCATGCGTGCGTGCAATTCACAATGCGCTTGACCCATTACCTGGCCTAGTATCTCTTGATGTCAGTCTCGACCCTGGTCAAATAACCGCCGCTCACGATTTACGCCTAAATATATCAACCTTGATGGAAGCTATCGAAGACTGTGGGTTTGACTTACCCACCCATGCCTCACCACTTCCTCTCTCACCCGCAACCCCCACAGACACAGACAATTGTTCTTTGGAACAAGAACCTCTGTTAGCCCAAAACTTTATCGAGCCTGCCAAGATCAATATTACATCTACATGCACAGGCACAGACGTAGATGCAGACATAGCCACATCCACATCCACATCTACAGCCACCGTGCAGCTCGAGGTGCATGGAATGACATGTGCCAGCTGCGTCCATGCAATTGAGAAATCTGTAGGTCAACAACCAGGAGTCGTATCCGTCACAGTGGCCCTATTGGCCGAACGTGCGACAGTCGAGTACGATGCAGAATTGTGTGGGCCGGCCGATATTGTCAAGTGGGTTCAAGATGCCGGATTCGACTGTCAGATCGTCCAGGTGCTTGCATCTGACGAAATCCAGCTTCAGGTGTTTGGAATGACATGCGCCAGCTGTGTACATGCAATCGAACAAGGCCTTTCCAAAGTCCCTGGTATTCTGTCGGCCTCGGTAAATCTTATGACCGAGACAGCAAAGGTGCGCTATGACCCAGCCGAGATTGGCATTCGGACGATCGTGGAAGCAATCGAAGGTCTTGGATTCAACGCTCTTGTCGCCGATACCACCAAGAATGCTCAGCTCGAATCGCTCTCAAAGGTCCGCGACATCATGGCCTGGAGAAGAGCCTTTTTTCAGAGTCTTGTGTTTGCATTTCCGGTCTTTATCCTGGGCATGGTGATGCCACAGTTTGAGTGGGGTCAAAAGGCAGCACACTTTACTATCATAAAGGGGTTGTACTGTACAGACGTTATCCAGATGATCCTGACGATCCCCGTCCAGTTTGTGATCGGAGGGCGTTTTCTGGTATCTGCCTACCGTTCAATGTGTCATCTTGCGCCCACAATGGATCTCCTGGTTTCAATTTCTACCCTGGCCGCATTCGTCTTTTCGGTCGTCTCGATGATCAGAGCATTTGTCACCGGAGCAGAACAACCACCAACCGTGTTCTTTGAGACCTCGTCTATGCTGATTACCTTTATTGTCCTCGGCCGTTACCTCGAGAACCTGGCCAAAGGCCAATCCTCCACGGCTCTGTCCAAACTCATGTCTCTCACACCCTCCACGGCCCTTTTGCTGACATTCGATCCCAGCACACAGACCATCGTTTCCGAAAAGCGCATCCCATCCGAGCTCATCCAGAAAAATGACCTCGTCAAGATCGTACCCGGCGACAAAATCCCCACAGACGGAACTGTTTACTCGGGGTCTTCTACGGTAGACGAAAGCATGGTTACTGGTGAAGTCGATGCGGTCAACAAGTCAACCGGCGACGCCGTCATTGGCGGCACGGTCAATGGATTGGGAACCTTTATCTTGCAGGCCACACGTGTAGGATCCGATACTGCACTCAGTCAGATCGTCAAGCTAGTCGAGGAAGCCCAGGTCAACAAGGCGCCCATCCAAGGCTTTACGGATCTCATAGCCGGATACTTTGTCCCGACTGTCATCTTCCTGGGCGTCAGTACTCTTGTCCTGTGGTCTGTGCTGGTGAATGTCTTGGGTGTCGAGCACATGCCAAAGATGTTGCAGATGGCGATTGAGCAAGAAGCCAACAACGACTGGTTCTTTGTTTGCCTCAAGCTCTGCATCAGTGTTATTATTGTGGCGTGCCCCTGTGCGCTCGGTTTGGCCACCCCCACGGCAGTTATGGTAGGCACAGGCCTTGGTGCTGAGCATGGCGTGCTGTTCAAAGGTGGCGCTGTTCTTGAGAATGGCCAGAAAGTCAACCGGGTTGTGTTTGACAAGACGGGTACTCTGACGATTGGTAAACTAGATGTCGTAGCAACCGTCTCTTGGGATCCTAGTGTGGACGGCAAGGACGTGTTGGTCTTGGCTGGCCTAGCAGAGTCCAGCAGTGAGCACCCCCTTGGCCGTGCTGTAGTCAACCACACCAAGGCTATTCTGGGAGTTTCTGTACTTGAACCGATTGGAAAGGTTACCGATTTTAGAAGCACTACTGGCTATGGTATCGAATGCAACATCGAACTTGTCAACAAAACTCGCCCGACTCAGCAGCATGTTGTGATTGGCAATCAGGCTTGGCTGGAGGAGTATCACGGTATCTTGCTCGACGAGGCTCAGTTGGCGCAATTTAAGGTCGAGGTTGGCAAAGGAAACACATGTATCCTGATCGGCGCGGACGGTCTGGCCCTGGGTTTCATTTCTCTTTCGGATGTGATCAAGCCTGAAGCCCGTGCGGTTATTGCCACTCTCCACAGCATGTCTATTGAGACCGCGATGATTACGGGTGACAATGAACTGACGGCTCGGTACATTGCCAAACAGCTGGGAATCGATGAGATTTATGCGGGCGTGTCTCCGAATGGCAAGACCCAGATTGTCCAGCGCATGCAATCTCAGCCAGGACCTGTGTCTGGCCGGTTTTGTTGGCAATCACGCCCTCCGACCAGTGTTGTGGCCATGGTTGGGGACGGCATTAACGATTCACCGGCTCTTGTTCAGTCAGACTTTGGTATTGCGCTGTGCAGTGGAACGGATATTGCAATGGAGGCTGCAGATGTGGTTCTGATGCGCAATGATCTCTCGGATGTCGTTGCTGCTCTTGATCTGTCGCGCACAATCTTCCGTCGTATCAAGATCAACCTTGCCTGGGCGTGTATCTACAATGTGATCGGTATCCCGCTTGCGATGGGTGTGCTTATGCCCTGGGGGTATTATCTGCATCCCATGATGGCGGGTCTAGCCATGGCAGCCAGTTCTACCAGCGTTGTCGTCAGTAGTTTGATGCTCAAATGGTTCTGGCGCAAACCAACTCTTGTTAACACATCTCATCCGTCTCAGTCTGGGCCAGGCTTCTTACGTCGATTCAACCGATTCTTTGGTTTAAGACGCGCCGAATATGATGCAGTACCTCCAAGTTATGATCTTGAGAGCATTCCTTCCCCTATCTAAACAAACAAACAAACAAAAAATCAGAGACTTCCTCTCCTGCACTTCCTTTGTCTCACATTCACATTCACACTCTCACTTACACGTACACCATCTTAAAAAAAATATTTCATCTCTTTATTGTTTTTCTTTGTTTATTATGTAAAATCAGCCTCATAACTCTGTCTTTATCTCTCTTACTTATATCTATATTTCCACTTTCAATTTTCTCTGTAAACCCTCCCCCTCCGTCTGTTATACTTCATTGTTCTTTATTACTTTCATCTTATTAATCTTATAATTTACCAAACCATCTAATAAAATACATCTAAACGATCTTGTTTCTAATGATATGAATATAAGAAATAATGAAAAGTCTTGATTTTTTTATATATTTATTTATTTATTTATTTAATGATGTATAAAAAAATGATGACAAGGAAAGAACTATATGTATTACATGCGTATATATATAAAAGAATTAAAAGCCTCTTTTTTTTTAAATCTTCTTGTTGTTGTTTGGATGAAATGATAGACAGATTAGAACTTGGGAGTGTTGGTTCTTTCGGCAACGGGAGGGTATGTGGGACCGACGCGACGGATGACAAGACCAGCCATGTAGTGACCAGCCTGGACACAGCGAGCAGTGTCAGTAACACCCTGGGCAAGAAGTCCCATGAAACCACCGCAGAAACCATCGCCAGCACCGTTGGTGTCGACGATTTCGGCATCGGTGGCCTTGGTGACTGGGAAAGCAGTGACGGTCTGGCCGACTGCAACAACGGTCTCCTCAGAACCCTGGGTGATCACAACAACACGGGGACGGCTGTTAGACTTGGGCAACTCAGAGAGCTTCTTGGCGATCTCCTTGATGTCGGTGGTGTTCCAGCCAGCCTGGGCAGCGTAGGTGGTGGCCTCATCCTCATTACCGAACAAGACGTCGGTGTTCTTGATGACGCTGTCCAGACGCTCCTTGAAGAACTGGGACAAGAAGGGAGCGCTCAAGTTGAGAGCAAAGGTCTTGTTGTTCTTGGCAGCGTGCTCGGAGATGGCAGTGGCAGAAGCGAAACCGCCGTCGTGGGTCAAGAAGAACGAACCGGCATAGTAGTACTCGGCATCCTCGACCAACTTCCAGTTCTCGGCCTGCTTGAGGAACTCGAGCTGGAACTTTTCGGCAGCAGCCAGGTTGGCAACCAAAGAACGGTCATGGCCAGTGATCAAGACAGCGCAGGTACCGGTGGGTGCGTCCTTGGTGACCATGTAGCGGGTGGCAATGCCATCAGCCTCAGCAGCAGCCTTCATGGTGGCAGCGAACTTGTCGTCAGAAACACAGCCGATGTAGACAGTAGAGTTGGCGGGCAAAAGGTACTGAGCACCACGAGCAGTGTTCTGGGCGGCACCACCGGCAACGTAGACAACATCAAAGTTTTCGACAATCTCGTTGTACCTATATAGATTCATGAGTTTTTTTTTTCTCTCTCTCTCTCGCTATCCCCAAAGTACGTGTACACAAGCGCGTTCTTATTCCTCAACCCAAAGAACACTACCCCCCCAAGAAAGAAAGAGGGACTTACAAAGGCTGGTGAGACTCGTCAGCGAGGATTGCATTGTTAGCCTTGAGCTGGTACTTGTCCAACAAGGCCTGGGTGGCATTGCACTGGATATCCAACAAAGGGTTCTCGATAGCAAGGAACTTGTAGCCGGCCATAGTTAAAATAAAAAATTAAGATAAAGCAAAAGCAAAAGCAAAAGCAAAAGCAAAGACCGATCTTATTCTCTCTTTATGGACAGCTTTATTTATCCCACCAATCTGTTCTTCAAAAAAAAAAAAAAAAAAAAATTAAAGAAAAGATGGTCCCCAAAATTTTTCAGTTCAGACAGACAAAGAACCAAAAGGGTTACTATAGATGATGAGAAAAGCTACATCTGAAAAAAGGGAGGGGGTTAATGCCAGGATTGAAAGAAGAGGATCTGGTGTGACACACAGGATTGAAAGAAAATCTACGTTTGCCTTATTCACATGCTGTAAGCCAAAGTAGAAAAAGAAAATAATATTATATTATATTATATTATATTATATTATATTCTTCCCCATTTCTTTGGATCCTGCTGATATGTTATACAAGATGAGATTTCATCTAAGTTTTTTTATTTTTTATTTTATTTTTTATATGTGAGATTTTCCTTGTAACTCAATCTTGAATATCATATTTAACAATCAACTATAACTAACTAACTAACTAACTTTCTTTTTACACTGCAACCAAAAATCTTACTATTAATCTATCTTTTTTTTGTTTTAATTATTTCTACCAAGCCACGATGTACTCCATGTTTTTTTCTATAAAAAAAGAGAGACATAAAAACTCCGTTTATTTATTTAGTTTTCTTAATAAAAGATTCAAACCTAGCAAGTTCAAAAAACAGAAAGCTTTTTATTGCTTTAGATATTTTTCATCAAAGATATCAAAAAATGTGATTATACTTATTAGCCTCAAAATCTTGTATACATTAAAGAAATAAAGAAAATGCAATTGACTTGAACCCCTAAATTAACACTATAGGGTACGCCCCCCCTTTTTTTTTTCTTTTTTTTTTCTTTTGAATAAAAACCTCAATTCCATAAATAGTAATTTAGAGTCGTTTATGTAACTCAATACATTATAAAAACTGTATTTAAAACTACGGGACAAATATCATTGGCTGAAAAAAATAATAAAAGGAATCTTACATTTGTTGCCATGCTTAAACACCAAGACTTTTTACCTTGTCTAAAAGCATTTTTTTTTTTTTTTTTTGCAGAAAAATAGCAGATTTCTCACCGCAGAGAGTTTCTAAATAAAATCAAGAACGTCTCAGAGCAGACAGAGCTCAAAACAACCAAGATCCCAGAAAGCCTTATGGTTTTCTGATTTTACATATAGAAATTGTAGATTATAAAAAAAAGAGGGTCACAGCATGAATTATACCAGCAGCTTGGACCAGGTGTTAATTACAAGACTATAGTTTATACTTGATAGAACCAACTGTAATCAAGATTTACTAATTTATCTATCCAAAGTAGAATACAATGTTTGCTTGCCTGTTTGACATTTGTATATCACAAAGAAACTCGCCTGTAGTTTATTTTACTTTATTTTATTTTGTTAAGAAAAATGGTACATGTAGTTGGAGTGGTCAACACTCAAGAAACATTTGCTCCTTTTATTCTTTCTTTCTCCTATCAGCTAAATTCTTGTTCATTTTCCATTTTGTATTTATAAATAAAAAAAAAAGATCATATTATACCTTGACATTCAACATCAATGATACTAACAATAAATAAATAAATACATACATACATACAATGTGAGAATAATAACAATAATAGTAATAAAAATAATAGTAATAATAACAGTGGTTGGTAGTGTAGTGTAGTGTAGTGTAGTGCAGACAATTTCTGCTTTTGTTTTTCTTATCCACGGATCTCAAGAATCAAATTGATGATGGTGCAGATCAAATAGATTCCTATCCATGAATAGCCAAAGATTCGAGACATCCGATATCCATTCAATGGCACCAGTATAAGAGAAGATATCAAAACCACCAAGAGTCCTATCGCAGATACAAGAATGGTCGAAGACACTTCTATTGCATACGGTACTCCATGTTTTGAAGTAACATATGTAGCCCCAATACCGACTCCAAGCATAATATCTTTTTTTTTAAAAAAAATAAAATTCCAGTCAATACTTTTTTATTTTATGTTATAATTTTGTATAATAGACTTACTCAACATAGGACCACCAAAGCAAGCGCTCATTGCCATCATAGGATAACCAAGTTTGGCCATGGTTATATTGGCTACAAAGTCACCCAAACTATTTCCCTAATATCCAACATATACATATATCAAATGATATGTTTAATACCTTTTAGATCACCACTACTCAATTTTATATATATATGTACGTTACCAGAGCAAAAACAGTGAGACCCAAGATAGCATCACTTACACCTACAGCCATTCCGATGGTCTGTAGAACACTAACAACCTCGTTTGCAATCACAAAGATCCAGACCACAGCAATACCGAATCCAATAAAACACATCATCCAATAGAGTCTCGGTTGGCGTACCGAGTTTGTCGTTAATCTGAAGAGGATTGAAGTACCAACACCTATTCCTGCCCCAATAGGAAGAATTATTGCTGGGTGAACAACCTTGTTTACTGCAAACACAATGGCCACAAACATTGGCGCACAGATCAGCTGGGTGGCAGTAAGCCACTGGCTCCACTTTGATGTGCTTTCATGTAAATCATTCATCTCCATCGGATCCTGATCTTCTTCGCCGATATCTTCGAGCATTGTCATGGCATCCTCATCTAACACTACACCACCACCACCACTACCACTTCCAGTACCACTTTGTTTGACCAAACTTTCTCTTACAACCGGAAGTGTAATAGCGAGTAAGAATATGACAGGTGCTGACACAATCGAGCTTGCTTTGTTAAATATCGACTTTTGCTCAAAGTTTTGCAGTGAAGGAAAAAGATGAAATCCGACATCATGGAAATCCACACCCAGTACTTTTTCTGGCATTAACAACCGAATCTTCTTAAACCGACTCGGTAACGACTGGAGTATAGACTGGGCCGAAGTTGTGTTTACAGAAATGGTATCAGACTCGGCATCGTTGGGGTGGTTACTGTCTGGAGCCTGGGAGCGAGTTGAAAGAGGCACGCTGTTTGATGCATTCTCTGCTGTCTGTGCTGATACTTGTCTACTGTGTCGGTTACGTCCATGGATATTGTAGTATCTTGCATTGGCACTCTGTAAAGAATTTACTACATCTTGAAACTATAGTGTGGCTTTAGTGTCTTCCTCAAAGGTAAGTTGTACACACTTGAATCTAGTAAGTTATATATATATATATATAAAGTAAGGTAAGGTACCTCAATAGCAGAAAACAAAGAGGTACGGATCCGAAGTTTGGGGTGGGTTGCATTACGATGACCATTATAATCACTATGGAAACCTTCCGTTTCAAATCCCTCATCATAAAGTTCCATTTCATCCTCAGAGGCTTCTGGTTCTAAAAAAAAAAGCACACACAAACACATCAATATAGAAATATAAGATATATCTATATGTATTATTTCTCAACTCAGCCTTACCATCCCATGTGTTTCCACGTAACAAATTATCCACTTCTGCTCCTGTCTCTTCATATTCAAGTCTTGCTCGCTGGATAAGGTTCATATACGTAGATCTCCGCTTCATATAATAATTTCCTCCAACAACCACAAGCACATAAACAACGTAAAATACTATTAGTATCACTGCTTCGTAAAGGTGGATAAGACCATCTGCCACAATGCTCATGACCAAGATGATAGCAATAGTAAAAAATGAGACATCTCGAAGGAAACTGAGTCGTTTTGCACGGAATGGCTTGATTGCGCACATGGATCTAAACAAGAAAAACCAACAATTTTAATTTAATATATATATATATAATTTATTCATATTGGTTTCAGAAACACAATTTATTGATCAATTACCCTGCAATGACACTGACGATAAATGAGGCAGCACCTATCAGTTCACCAAGTGCCAAAGATCCCATATTCGATTTCATTGCACTAAAAAAATTAATTTTTTTTGGGGATTTAATTAAACAGATCAAGGATGGGCATTTAACCCCCCAACTCACCTAAATGTAGAGAACAGATCGGGACTTCCATTTCCCAAAGCCAAAAAAGTGACACCAGTCTATATGTCCCAAGTGGCTTCTAATTAGCCCTTATTCCAAATGTTTGTGATTTGCCTACCAAACTCTCTGACAGGTTCATAACCGATGCAATTGTCTGCAAGTTTGGACCTTTGTGTGTTTTGTAAATACATTTACTTTCTTAAAACCATAATGAACTTTGAAGTATTGCTTTTTTTTTGCTTGATAAAACTTACAGAAAAAATCAGAAGCAGCAATTCCGACAAATCCAAAGAGAAACAATAGCCAAGCACACTGAAAAAAAATAATATGAAACAATATTTTGGTCAATACCTTTTCTTTTTACTTTCTTTACTTTTTTTTTTTTTTTACTTTTTAAGCCATAATAAGCTCTATTTATGTATGTATGTATACCAGTGATATGAATACAATAGGCTTCACTGCTGCAGAAGCACAGTAGTACAATGGAATGTAGTTAATCAATCCGGGGGTAATTCCTATGCAGTGCTCGATTGCATAGGCGCATTGGTCTTCCTGAAGTTGAATTTGATCACACTAGTATGGTAACCAGAATTGAATTGGTATTTGTTGTTTCAACATGAGGTAATTTCTTTTTTTTTCTTTTCCTTTTAATTCTGAGCTACCTCTCGAGCAATGGGCAGCTCTGTTGTGTCACGCTTTGATAATGAAGAGTGTAGACCGACATGAGAGTTCTGCCATGAGTATGAAACTATCTTTGCAACCAAAACTAGTGATAGTAAGAGCACAGTATTACGTCCGAGTGACATTGAAGGGAAAGGTAATGAAAAAGAAAGAAAGAAAGAGAGAGAGAGAGAAAAAAAAAGCACAAGCCAAGGGGTGAAAGGTCGCATATGGCAGAATAGACAAGATCTAAAATAAAAAACCAAGTTCCGCTCACACACTTATTCTACGCGTCACAGCCCTGACACAAACACACACACACACCCTCATACACTCACTCACAAAAGCTACTCACATTTTATTAATACTCAATATATATATATATATATATTGGGGGGTCTAAATGCTACTACAAAAAGATATCAAACAACAGCAAAAAAAGGAAACAAGTTGAATGTATTTATTTTAATTAAATAACAAGATCATTTCCAGTTTATAGGGATAGATTTGTATAAATGTATATCGATGGTCTGTCTACCCTCTGCTAGCCATGATTGTATTGAGATGTTTTTTTTTTGGCTAAAACTTTATTGAGTATTTGTTTTGGCGTAAATAAGTCTAATGGTGTCCAATATTACAAATCAATTTATTTTTGATACCATTGTGTATTATATATTACCAGGAAATAGGCTTACTGTCTATAAGAAAGAAAGAGAAGAAAGATCCGTCTACTGACTGGTTCTTACAGAAACAAAGGTATGTACATTGTGCCGAATATATTAAAAACAAAGCGCTCTTTACCACAGAATAAAACATCTTTTGGTATGACAATTTTGATCATCAGGGTGTAACCCAAAAAGAAAGAAAAAAGAAACCATTTTGTGGGAATATGTAGATAAGACAAAGGAGTGAAATTCCAGTAAAAAGTAAACTAAGCCAAGCCAAGCCAAGCTAAGCCAAACCAAACCAAACCAAGCTATAGTAAAGTAAGGCAAAATAAAATATTGTTATCAGAGTCTTCAGGGCAAAGGAATATCTTTCTTATCCTTTATCTCTCTTTTGTGGATAACAACAGCTCAAATCAAAACCATGAATGTCCAAGTATCTTGAGGGCATAACTTGGTTGGTACACTAATGCAACCACATCTACACAGACACACAAAGATACAAAGATACACTGTAAATAAGATCAATTGCTTTGTTCTTCTTTTATTTTTGCTCAAGTTCAAATAACCTTTTTTTTGTTCAATTATCAATACTATTGGTAATTATTAAACATTTATTGCTTGTTTGTACACTTCAAAACAAGACACAACACAAAAGAGCAAAATAAATTAATATCTATTGGAATTTTATTTGCTGTTACTTAATATACAGCACAGTACAATAGTATTATGTTATATATATATATATATATATATTGGTCTTGCGCTATTTATTAAATATATGTCTTGTATGATTGGAACGCATAATTAGATATAACTTCAAAAATTTACCGAGGATATCATCGTTTCCAAGTATTGAGATATATTCAACCACAAGCTTGGTATGTAATTAAAATAGAGAAGAAATACATACTACCTACCATTGTATATATATATATATCAAAAATTAGATATATTTTTCTTTCTTCCTTTCTTTCTTTTCCTGTATATACATATATACATATATATTAGCATCTCCATTTAGTGCTATAATAAGAGTATCTTATATCTCAAACCCCACACTATTAATCCTCTGCCAAAAGAAGAAGAAAACTAAAAGTTATATACAAATTTATATAAGATACGCAGATACTTCTTTTAATTATGGTGGTAAGAAGCATCCCAAACTCCTAAAGTGTAAAGATAAATAAATATGTATATGTGTGTGTATATATACTTAAAGAAAGAAAAACAAATACATTTTGTGTACTAGGAACTGATTCCAGTTATATACTTTGATGATGAAATAGACGATCCGGCGCAAAAGATACATAGAATCATGCCAGGGACCATGGCCAGCGGCATATTGAATATAAAGTCGTCTCACTCTATTTCACTGGATTCTATTACCATTGGATTTCAAGAATGCTGTAAGTATAGCTTCAATAGCCAAATGAACACAACTATACAATTATATATAATATAACCATATTGTTTTTGTCAAATCCAAGTTTATTACAAAACAGGAGTGTTTGACTGGGACGAAGACAAAATAATGTTACTTCAACAACCTATTCTGAGAGGAGGTTCCGAATCGATCAAGTGTCTCAGTGGCGATAACCTATTTCCTTTCTCACTACACATTCCCGCCTACTCTTCCTCTTCCTCTTCTGTCAGAGGAAGAGACTTTAAGTTTTCATTCGAGATCGTCGTAAGCTGTAGGGTCTCTCTTTGTAAATTTCCATTTAAAACAACTATCGAGGTTGATTATGATCCGGCGGTTGCAACACACCCATCATTTTATCCAGAAGTAGCAAATTCCGAACCCTGGGTGCCAATAAAAAGTGATGAAGAGAGATATGGGCGTGACCCTCAAGGTACTAGAGACAGCCCTGGTGTTGCGAGCAACGGCGGAAACAATGAAAACAGTGGTTCCAGCTCAAATACAAGTAGAAATGAATATCCAAGCTCGAACGTAAATATGAACGCACCTATTGGGAATACTAGTGAGCATTCACCACTGCGTAATTTGGACACTATTTCACCGGAAGATCCTTCAAATATTCAAGCAGGCGAAGTTGGTAAGATATTTAGACACTCAATACATAAGATATAATATATATATATCATTAAAGTAACAGAAAAACTATAGAAATGCAAATTATAAACGCACCTACCGGGAATACTACGGAGCCTTCACCACTGCCCAATGTTAGCACTATTTCTCCAGAAGATCCTCTAACCAGTTCAGCAGAGGATGTTGGTAAGCTATTCAGACTCTCAACATATGAAGAGTGATACATATATCATGAAAATAACAGAAAAACAATAGAAATACAAAATATAAACGCGCCTATCGAGAATACTAGGGAGCCTTCCCCATTGCGCAATTTTAGCTCTGTTTCACCAGAAGGTCTTTTAGCTAGTCTAGCAGAGTATACTGGTAAGCTATTTAGACTCTCAACCCATGAAATAAGTAATATATATATATAATGAAAATAACAGAAAAACAATAGAAATTCAAAGTATAAACGAACCTATCGAGAATACTAGGGAGCATTCACCACTGCGCAATGTGGACACTATTTCACCAGAAGATCCTCTAATCAGTCCAGCCGAGGATTCTGGTAAGCTATTCAGACTCTCAATCTACGAAGAAAGTGATACATATATCATGAAAATAACAGAGAAATAATAGAAATGCAAAGTATAAACGCACCTATTGGGAATGCTAGGGAGCATTCACTACTGCGCAATTTTAGCTCTGTTTCTCCAGAAGATCTTCTAGCTAGTATAGCGGAGAATTCTGGTAAGCCATTTAGACTCTCAACCCATGAAATAAGTAATATATATATATACATATATCATGGAAGTAACAGAAAAACAATAGAAATGCAAATTATAAATACGTTTATCGAGAATATTGGGGAGCATTCACCACCGCGCAATGTTAGCACTATTTCACCAGAAGATCCTCTAACCAGTTCAGCAGAGGATGTTGGTAAGCTATTTAGACTCTCAACCCATGAAATAAGTAATACATATATCATGAAAGTAACAGAAAATTAATAGAAGTGCAAATTATAAGTACGTTTATCGAGAATATTGGGGAGCATTCACCACCGCGCAATGTTAGCACTATTTCACCAGAAGATCCTCTAACCAGTTCAGCAGAGGATGTTGGTAAGCTATTTAGACTCTCAACCCATGAAATAAGTAATACATATATCATGAAAGTAACAGAAAATTAATAGAAGTGCAAATTATAAGTACGTTTATCGAGAATATTGGGGAGCATTCACCACCGCGCAATGTTAGCACTATTTCACCAGAAGATCCTCTAACCAGTTCAGCAGAGGATGTTGGTAAGCTATTTAGACTCTCAACCCATGAAATAAGTAATACATATATCATGAAAGTAACAGAAAATTAATAGAAGTGCAAATTATAAACGCGCCTATCGAGAATACTAGGGAACCTTCACCATTGCTCAATGTTAGCGCTATTTCACCAGAAGGTATTCTAGTTAGTCTAGCAGAGTATACTGGTAAGCTATTTAGACTCTTAGCCCATAAAATAAGTAATATATATATATATTATGAAAGTAACTAAAATGCAATAGAGTTACAAAATATAAACATAGATACAAACACACCTATCAGGAATAGCGGAGAGTCTTCACCACTACACAACAGTAGCCCTCATTTATCAGATATTCCGCTAACCAGTCAAGCAGAGGGAATTGGTATGACAATACGCTTAACTTTCACTAGATAAAATGTACAGTGTATAAATTGATAGTAACATAAAGACAATAGAGTTCAAAAATAAAAGTAGGGTATCTCTCGGAAACACTTTTCTCAGAGTGATTTCGTTGCTTCGTAATATATTACCTGTTTATCCACGACCATCTCGTAACAATCAAGCTTCAGAAAGAAATCATTCTTATGAGCCACAAATCCCATCATCATCATCACCACAACCACCACCACCGCCACCACCACATCCATCAGATACAGATAGAGCAAATGAAAACTCCGGGAGATTTCCTCGTACATATCCAATGGTACAGATGGCCCGATACTTTGGATCAGATATGCCACCTTCATTCGAGGAGAGTCGCCAGATCGCAACCTATGAAAAGATCGTCGACAGAGGCACGGCAGTTGTTTCGCTCAAGAGAACGTACTACAATATATATGATCCAAGGCGTATTCTGGTCACAGTCACATTTCATTCTGCTTTCTACGAAAATGTTTGGCTAAATGGTCCACCAAAGGTACATGCGGTCTTGAGACGACTTGTGAAAGTGACTCACCATGTGCACAACCGCACAACGTGCAAGAAAGTATCCGAGAATTCGGATTACATGAGTCCTACACAAGTATTCAAGATTGTCGGCGAAGAAGCGTATACCCTTGAAGCCGAAGACCCGGCGCTTTATGCCAGATTATGTTTGTCGGTGCCAGTAAAAGAAAGATTTGTGATCGGAATCGAAAGCCCTCTGTGCAAAGTTGAATATACTCTGACCGTATACATGAAAGAATTTCTGTGGGATATCCGCTCGTCGAACTGGGGATTCCATAAGAGTAAACTTGTAGAAGTCCCGATTTTCTTCAGTACTCTCAAAGATGGGGAGATATGCCATCCATCGTCTTTACTTAGCCACTCACCACCTTTGGTCCCAGGAGTTAGGGTGCTGAATATAAGGGATCAGGGAGCCGAGCTTATTTCAGATACAGAAACTGTACCTAGCTATGCATCCGAGTAGCCCTATACATGTTTATATCTACTAAAGTCAATTAGTAATAGTAATAGTAATAGAAGTAGTAATGAATATATGTGTTTATATGCATGTAATTTTCTTTATTGTACGGTATATATTTTTTAAAGAAAAGAATATGAAAAAAAAGAGTTTTTTTTTTTTTAAAAAAAAAATTATATATGCAGTGTAAATCAAATGGATAAGTTTTTACACTTCTTTAAAACACAAAACATTATAAAATCATTATGATATACAATCTTTGTTATTCAAGATATGGAAGGGTTTTGTTTTTAATATCGGATATATCCACCACTATCATTTTTCTTTTTTTTTTTAAAAAAAAAAAAGCAGTAAAAATACCTTGTTGGACATGCTATTACAATAGATATATATATAATATTCTCGTATAACTTATCAATTCTCGTTTTCTATTTCATCCGCTAAAAGTCTGCAATATTTATGCTGTTTTGTATATTGATTGTTACTTGTGTTTAAAAGCAATATGCTTAGATTATTTAAGAGAATGAATGTTAGATACACACATATATAAAGAAGAGCATTGCAAGAAGTATATAGGGACAACGCACACACACACACACACATATATACACAAAAACCCGCGCTTAGGTGGGACATTCCGACAGATAATTCAGTCTAATACTCAAGGTAAATCGCTCCGCGTAGTATTATTACTATTATTATTCTTGTTTTTTCGATTTTTACTATTAGAGGAAAGGAAAATAACAATAGTAATGATAATTGTAGGTGAGAATGGTATGTAGACTCTAATTGATTATCTTCTTTTCTTAAACCCCCCCCCCCCTGTCTTATATAAATATGTATATGTATCCAAACTAGAGATGATGTTTTTTTTTTGCTCTAATAAAGATAATATCTTTGTACTGGAATCGAACAAATGGCTCGTTTGATTTCAGTATCAAAGGCTATTGCTTTCTCTCGACCAAGCTTCAAGTACCAAGAAGTTTATAGAAAACCCAAAGTTGGTCTTACTTTGCATAGTGCTCCTAGGATAACAAGCAGAGGGGAACAATACTACCAGCCTGGAGACACTGTCAATGGTGCGCTAGATGTATTGGTACTCACTGGCCGCTACTGTACTGGGTTCAAAGTCAAGCTCTCTATCAAAGGTAAGCATCTAGATGTATATGTGTATATGAGTATACCGGATACCAAGAGCACAGTAACCATCGACTTGGCTTTTATTAGGTTATATTGCCAACTTGTATTATTACTAATATATATATAAATATATATAAAGAGAAAATCGATCTGTCTAAACTAGGTATACCAAACTGTACCAAAGAAAAGTGTTTGCTTTCACACACTCTAAGCCTATATCACGGTCCAAACGACAAAGAATTAAATAAAGGTCCATTCTTGTTTATGGAGCCTAAGCCAGGAAAGCTTTCTTTATCGTTTTCATTTGTTTTGCCAAATGTCAACTATCCTCCTTCGTTTAGTATTGGTGTGATATCATGTTCGATGGTCATCGAGGGTTGGTTTGAGGAATTCGATGAGCCAAAGATCTACGGTCCCCCAATCGAGCTCAATTTTCTTCCGGCTACGCAAATGATGCTCAGCGACCGGACACCGACGGTCACTGACCTAGTCCTGCCTGATCGGTCTACTCTAAAGATGGCGTTCCTAAAGGTTTATGATCATACCAAGTTGCCTCACTCGATAATTGTCCGCCTCGCCGACACCACAGACGGGTTTTACAATTACTTGACACAGCAGAAACACGAGTTCCATATTTCGCTGAAACGAGTGGCTCTGATTAAGTGGCGCAAAAAGGCCTATAGGATCGAGACGGTCGTATGTAAGCAGAACTGCAGCCTCAGCCGAGTGCTTCATGACGGACCCAGTTGGGAGGAGGTCAAGGCAGTCGAGGTGTCGCTCGATATACCACCCAACAGAGGGATGATGGCCTTGAATTATTCAAAGCTCTACACAATCAAATATGAGCTTTGTTTGAAGATATCTGTGCCCTTTGGATATTTCTTTGTTTTTGAAAGGGATCTGATCAGTATTCCAGTCGAGTTTGGCACACTCAAGGCCGAGCCATCTGACCAAACTGGCCTTTTGAGTTATGCGGACAAGAGAGTGACTCTTGGTAACCAGATTATGGAACCAGATGAGATCAAGCAAATGTGTCTATTCGCAGAATCCTCGAAAAAAGGAGAGCCTGAGAACCTTCTGGGACTTCAATATTCAGTATTAAGATAGTAAAGTATTATTATTAAAAAAAAATACTGGCATTTTACTTGATTTATTAAATAAAATAAAAAGGTTGAGAGATTGAGATCCAGGTATAGATTTCCTATTGTTATGTATTTTTTTTCTTTATGAATGATCTATTACTACAATGAAGCCATCTTCATCGTGCTCGAAATGAACTTGCAATTCATACTCGTTCTCCTCAACTTCTCCGCATTGAACATGAGCTTGCCACCATACAATTGTCTCGGGCCTCCACCTTGGCTGCCAGATCTGGTGCTAAATGGTGTGAAGCTGGCGAGACTTCTTCGAAATATTTCTTTCGTGTGCTCAAACAGCGAGCCGCTGCAAAAACTATCTCCTCTCTTGTCGACCCTGTCACTGGCGCGATCTACACCTCTCCCGCGGATTTGCTTGGCCATACTCGCTCTTTCTACCAATCTCTTTACTCGCCGGAACCCATTGACTATCCTGCTGCACACTCTCTTATCGACAAATTCCCACCTTCTGCCCGTCTGTCTTCCACTGACTCTGCCTACCTCATTGCTGATGTCACCTTGGATGACATTCTGTCTGTCCTTAAAGCCACCCCCATCAACTCTAGTCCTGGGATGGATGGTTTGCCCTACCCATTATGGGCTCGGCTCTTCTGTCACCCAACGGTCCAAAATCTTGCAGTTCAAGTCTATAATAATGCATTGCATGGTGTTTTTCCTCCATCTTGGCTGGAAACCGTACTTGTTCTCCTACCAAAAGCCGGTGACACTACCTCTCTCCGCAACTGGCGACCCATATCTCTTATAAACTGTGACGCCAAGTTGTTCACCAAAATGCTTACGTCCCGTTTACGATATGGTATCGACACACTCATAACACCATTCCAAACGGGTTTTATGGCAGATCGGTTTATTGCTGACAATGGTTTGCTGACACGTCTTGCCATGTCACATGCACAAATAACCCAAGACCCATGTGTTGCCCTTCTTTTGGATCAGGAGAAGGCCTATGACCGTGTCCACCCTGTGTATCTTCGTCTTGTCCTGGCCAGAGCCGGTTTCCCCACAATTTTTGTTGACTCCATCTGTGGTCTCTTCTTTTCTACTCAAATCCACGTGAATGTGAATGGGCACATATCTTCTTCTTTTCTACAAATCCGGGGGCTACGTCAAGGTGATCCTCTCTCCCCCTTGCTGTTTAACCTGGCCTTCGAACCTTTGCTTAGATCCATTCTCGCTTCTCCTGCCATCCGTGGTTTCCGATTTCTGGTTCCGCCATCTCTCTCATCGTCCTCTCCTGAGCTCTCACCACCTCCACTCAAACTTCTTGCTTATGCAGATGACCTTCTCGTCTTTCTTTCTCTGCCTGCCGAGATGAGTGGTCTACTCAACCTTTTGCGTATATTTGGCTTAGCCTCTAACGCGAAAGTCAATCTCCATAAGACAGTTGCTGTTGCTATGTCTGGACAATTTCATCCGGATTGGGGCCCTGTATTGGATGCTGCTGATATTCACAGTCGACATGACCGTCACTCCGCCACTGTCATCCGTTACCTAGGCTTCCCATTGAGCTCACATCCGTCCCAGCTTGAGACCTTCCGTGCGGCTTTACTGGTCAAGCTTAGGAACCATTGCACACTACTTTCTCAAAGATGCTTGTCCGTTCGTGGTAAAAGTATTGTGGCAAACTCACTTCTTCTCAGCTCAGTATGGCATATGCTATACGTGACTCCTGCACCGCTATCTTTCTTTGCTGCCATTCGCACTCATATTTGCTCGTTCCTGCGACTGGGTTTCGGTAGCCCTGGCTGGCCGCTTCTCTGTCTGCCACGCAAATCAGGCGGTTTGGGCCTGATTGATCCTGATCATCAACAACGAGCTCTTCAATTGCGCTGGATTCTCCCTATCTTGCATTCTCACTCTTTTTCTTCTACTTCCTTTATACTGCCATACCTCGAATTTATACTTCCTCTAAACTTTCGCGCTCCTTCTGCCAGTATTGCACTTTTGTTTCCCTGTAGTAGTGCAACTTGCCCGACTTCACTTCTTCCACTGCATCGCGCTTGTACCTCACTTCTTCCAGCTTCTCTCCCATCCAACTTGCAATTGCCGCCAACTGTGGTCCAACACTTCCCATTAACTTCAATATGGATGAACGTGCCACCCTTTGTTGACTCTTCTCTGAACCTGAAAACAATTCTGGTTTCTGACGCATTTTCTCTGGAGACTGATGACCGTCTTGTCCGCAAGGTTCGTGGTATGTTTTCTCGGGCACGTAATCGTATCGGTCATTTCTTCCAACAGATTGATTCTGGCAGGATGGTCCTCTGTCCTTGGTTTATCTCTTGCCTTGAACATCGACCTTCTACTGACACCCCTTCCCCCGATCTTTCCTCACTTCTTTCTTTGGTACGGTTGGACAACACTAGTTTGGGTAAAGCTAGCACCGGATCTCTTCGACGCCATCTTCGCCCGCAAGTGCCCTCATCTCTAAATTCGTCTGTCCAATGGCGTAAATTCTGGTCTGTCTCTATACCCCACCACTGTCGCACAGTCTGGTGGAAAATGCTTTGGGATAGAACGCCAACCCGAAAACGTCTCAATCTATTTATACCTCGACGCTTCCCCAGCTCATCTTGCATCTTTTGTCAAGATGCTACTGAAGATCAGTATCACTTTTTCTTTGGCTGTTCTATCAAACGGCAGGTGTGGAACGTCATTCTCTCTCGCTTTTGCCCGGCCTGGAACCTTGCTGAAATCTGCCTTCTCCTTACCAGAGGCAGCTTCCCACCACGTTCCTCCCATCAAGGCCTTTGGATTATCCTTTCCGCTGTCACTGCTAAAGCGATTTGGAGTGCTCATTGGAAATTTGTTTTTGATGACCAACCCTTTCTGTCAGGCGTTGTGGCACAAAAAGCGTCCACTGTAATAGAAAAACACATCGGTACACTAGCTTAAGTATTTCCTGTCTAATTTCCTCTCCTGTTTCATTCCGTTTTTTCTTATATTTTCGTATTTCCTCCCCCTTGTCTCTCTATCTCTTATCTGTTCAATTAAGTCCACTTTGATGGCATTTTAAAAGCTGCACGCAGAGCGTGACAGCAGATCAATAAAATACTAAAAAAAAAAAATTACTACAATAAATTGACTATGTGGTGCCACACTATTTTATGTTGGGAAGCAATAATGTTTAAATTTGAATAAATCACCAAACATATAAAAGATGATTTATATATATAGAAAGAATCAAAAGAATCAAAAGAATAAGAAGAAGACCTGATAGAAAGGTTATTATATGTACGCCATTGATTTATTCTTATGCTTCTATGATCGCTTGATTGTTAGCTGTTCTTCAGATAAGGTAGATTCACAAGAGCCCTATAGTTGAACTGTGTAACATCGACCCCCCATATTATATTTTGTGTGCAACAAAGATAGGTGTTGTTAATTCCTGATAAAAATGTAAACTCATATTCCGATACAAGACCATACACACAATTTTTTTTTGTTCTATAGAAGAATAAAAAAAAATTGGAGCAACTTAGCATATGGGAAAAGCTTCCTTTTCTTTCTCTTTTTTTTTTGAAAAAAGAAATTAAGATAAAGAAGTATCGACCTTAAATAATGTATTTCTTTAGCTTAGTTTGTGTATTCAAAAGAAATTGACATGTATGCAAGATCATTCTATTGATTAAAAACTATATCCGAGTCGATAGTTTAAATAAAATAAAGAAGAGTAATATAGAGATATTGGGAAGTATATGATATAAAAGGCAGTTAATATATATATATTTCATTTTGTTGTTTGAGAGGGGATTTGACTGTTGTGTTGCACAGAGATAATAGGTTCGGTAAAATCTTTTAAAACAAAGAAGAGGAACAAAAGAGATCGGCCTAAACTATACGGAATAGAATTGATTAGATTTGGAATGCCATTTGCCCAATACAAGTTCAAGTAAAAAAAAACGTCCCCCACTTGATTCCCTTAATTTATTTGCTGCCGGAGTGATTGACAGAATTGATTACAAATTACTTGAATCCCCGGTTTGTATGTGTAGATATATACACATTTAAAGAAGTTGAATTGAATTGAATTGAATTGAATTGAATTGAATTGAATTTTATTCTTGAATATTTTGGTAGTCAAAATGAACAAACCAATAGATGAAATTAAATTCGAGGTTACTGGTAAAAGCACTATAATTTTATTTTTTGAGAATAACCAGCCGTCTAACTTTGGTCTTGTTTCTTTGGTTTTTCTTCTTCTTTTTTTTTGTTTCGTTTTGCCAGTAAATAAGTTCATTTATTCTACTCCATTCATTCTTCCGTCGGATCACTGATTAGCCACATCTGTAGCAAACTCATCCAGAACTATACAATTTACCCTAACCAATAATAATTATGATATTCATGACTAGTTGATACATTCACACACCTATATATATATATAGATATTAAAGAATCATCCCAATCTTTCCTAGTTATGTCCTTCTATATTCTACAAGTGCACCTTGGGTACTAAAGTTTCTTTACATTACTTTCCGAGACAATTTTCTTTTGGGTTGGGAAAAGAAGAGGAGTTTGGGATATTTCAATATATTTATATATAAATCTTTCGGGTCGGAGACATGCTTATACTGAACACTTGTCTAAACTCTGTATATTTTTTAAAGAAAAAAAAAGTGGTCAAAAGTATAGACGTGCTACTAACTTAAAAATTGGCTCGAGTGCAAATTGAATGGCTCGATGATGAAGATGAGCCACTTTAATTAATACACAATCCAATATATATTTATATATATTTATATATATATTAGTGCAACTATCTGTTTTGTGCTGTTGTTGTTTGCTATCGTGAGTTACCTGTCATTAATTATATTAGACTATTTGTGTACAGATTGAGTTGTACCTACTGAATGGGCTCTCTTTTCCTCCCAATAATTTTTTTAAAGAAAAAATATAAGAAGCAGAGATTATTGGTAGTATTATCTTTACACAAGCTTACGGGTATCGTAGCTACTAATTGTATTGTATTTTCTTATAGATTTGAAATTATTGAATGGAGACCAAAAATGAATTATTATTATTTTTTTGGGAAGAGATATTTTGCCTTGTTTCTTACGAATATTAGGAATAAATTTCCTAATTGGCTATTCAAAAAAAAATACATGCATATATATATATACTCTTGTAAAGCCCAGATTATACATACACAAAACACACAAAATACATACACACGCACATGTATATAGCTATATAGATACGTATGTAGAGAATAGTAAGATAGACTCTTAATAGCATTAAGGTCCTATTGTAAAGGTATATTTGGGACTACAGCGTGTATAGGGAGAACAAGATAAAAGGGAAGAGGGGCGGGATAAAGCTTGGTTCTACAATATCTTTGGAGAAATACTCTGTTCTTATCGTAGTTATGATTGTTATTACGGTTTCTTTATAGTAAATGGTGCAGTGATTTGTGAATGTGATTTTCTTTAAAAGACATTACTTCTTTTGTAAAATTGTCACAGGCTTCCAGTGATTCTATTCTAACCATAAATTATACACAACCAAAGGAACCTGGGGATATGGTCTATAAAGGGAGAAGGAGGGAGAGAAAGAGGGGTGGGTGGTCTGGTTGCAGATTATACAAGTGATACATTAACTTTGATCTTGCTTTTGGATCCAATTCCCATGGTCAGCGAACTTGTATTTCTTTCTTAACCTTGCCTGAAAAATGGTGCCACTCCAGATTGATGGTTTTGCTTTCCTTCTTGCTTGGTTGCTTCTCTCTTATAGATAAATCTCTAATTTTTCTTTATACCTAACATCTGATGTGTTTTTATTTGGTTTCTTGTTTTACAAGAAAAAAAAACTAAATCAAATAAATTAGGGCTGGTTCATGCGCATAAAATACACTAAGCACATCAAATAGACATTTCTATTTTATCTATTTAATTTTATATTATGTATTCAGTAAAATATACAGTATACAAATAAGATTATCAGCAAATGTTTTAGATTTATAAGGATTCTCATGTGGGTCAAGCATTGGACCTTTTCTTTAAACTAGTATACAATAGGTCGCAATATCTTTTTCATTTACACAAATCACACCTTATTTCTTTATTATAAAACCAAAAAGAAGAAGAAGAAGAATATATATATAAAAAAGCTTGATCTGACAGGGATACAGACTACATAAGCTCGAGGTCTTCATTCGGTTTAGTGTAAGATTATGCTGAGAAACCCTCTTCATTCATATTATTTCTTTACGAAATAAAAGTACCAGGGCATCAATTGTTTTATTTTACGGTCTAATTCTTTATTGCGGCCTATAATGGATTTCATATATTTGCCTTATTCTTGTTCATTAGAAAGAGTAATATAATACAACATCTTTGATTGACTGACTGACTGATTGACTGACTGACTGACTGATAAATTGACTGATTGACTGATTGGTTTGAATTGAATAGGGTTTAATGTGCTATCTATGATCGGAGTGTTCATTCATTTATTCATTTTCTCTCTATACACTTTTTCTGGAAATTATTGGTGCAAAAATAAAAAATTATTTGGTGCAAAAATGGAATGCACCAAATGCACCAAAAAAGATGAATTAAGCAGAGAAATTGTAGAAAATTGCACCAAATTTTATCTTTATTTTTGCACCAAATAATTTCCGGAAAGAGTGTATATATATGATTTATTCATATGACTAACAATAACGTAACTGTGAACAGCCAGGTCGTGGGCCGCCCATCCCGTACATATGGTGCAATCGGCTGTGCGACCAACCAATAACGAAACAAAACCAGAAGAAAAAAAAAAGACTTAAAATATGTATGTATAATATATAAGGGAGTAGTCCTTGTTCTTTTTTTCTTCTTTTCTCTCTTTCTCTTTCTCTCTTTAGCACTGCTTCTACTTTTAATACATCATCTTTCTATCAACCTCCTCTTCTTCTCTTTACGTCACTGCCTTCATTTATATTATTTAAGAAATAAGCAAATAAAGAAATACATAATTAAACCTATTAAGAATAATAATGAAGAAATTTATATCCCTTGCAAAGCCATCTCATGTTGCTGCTGCTATCAGTGAATCTTATAAATCATCATTCCCACCTGCCAGTCTAGAAATTCATCTAAATCCCGATCCTATCAACCCAGATATCGACCCACACGCCTGTAGTCCGGGCTCAACAATCTCAGGCACCGTATTTCTAAAAGTCTACAGAGACTTCAACGCTCAATCAATAAAGATCCTATTTGTTGGAGCAGGTAAATAATTTACACGCACTACATGCTTACATCAATATCACCTGCATGTCTTGTCTTGAAAGGCTAATCGCTTCTCGTCTTGTTTCTATAGAAAGCATAAACTTTTTACTCCTTGGATGGAACGGAGATGACGACAATGGACGGATATTCACATCTAGATCACCAGTCTGGACTGCACCTCCACCCTCGCCACCCTCATCGCCAACCACAGATACAAACGCATCCAACACTAGCAACAATACCAGACCAAACCTTGAAGTCGGAGAAATGATGTTCCCATTTGCATTTGAGATGCCAATGGTCAATTATCCACCCCTGGCTGAACTTCAGCGAATAACTAGCACAATGACCATCGTGGCATGTCTCGAACAACAGGGTGGCAGAATAACCTACAGTCCGCCTTGTGTCCTCAATTTCCAGCCCATAATCGAGACACCTGTCAACAACAATTCTTCGGGGCCAAAGGTCATTGAGTCCAAAGAAATTGGAAAGGGCGACATCATAAACTTCTCGGTCGAAAAGCTATTCTACAACATCAACGAATCCCCAGTCATATCAGCAAAGGTGTGGATGGATTCTTGTAGCACCTACAACAAACAACAGACCGAAAATAATGCCCCTGAAGTACGAGTCTACCTGAACCGATGCCTAACGGTACGGCACGGTAAGAAAGAATCAAAAGAGTACACAGCAGTAAGCGAGGTCACAGCCTTTCTGGCACCAAAAAATGCCGACGGTTCGGGCACCAGGAGAAGTAGCAATAGTAGCAATGTTAATAAAGGCAGAAGAAGTAGAGACAGCACGAATTCTACTACAGTCCCCACTACAGCTACAGCTACAGCTACGTCTACATCTACGACCGCAGCAACGGCTTTAGTTGTATCTCCATCCGCTGCTACCGGACCACTGGAACTTGACGTCAATATTCAAATCACACCAGATATGATACCATCCTTGACATACTCCAAGAGATGTTCTATCCATTACGAGCTCTGCGTTAGTGTCAGAGACACCACGTCTTTTTTTTCTTTTGGAAAGAAGGACGTATTTTCAGTCGGTCTCTTTTTTGGGACACTTTCTTGTGGGACTCGATCACCTGTTGACCTACTAGCCTTTACAGACGAAGTAGTCACGCCCGATAACCCTGTTACAAAACCAAGGCGTGTGGACAGAAGACCCATTTCTGCTCCTCCGCCAGCCTATGACGACTTTAGCCCACCTGTCTACACAGAAGAGGCTCTCTCAACACCAGGATAAAATAATTATAATAATTAATAATTATGGTTAATTGTCAATACCAATACCAAAACCAAAACCAACACCAATGCCAATGCCAATGCCAATAGCTATAAAAAAATATTGATTAATATTCTTTTATTCATCTTCATCTTCATCTGCACCTGCATATTCTATGTATCTTTCTATTCATTACTGAGGATGAATGAAAATAACCTCTCTTCATTCTCCTCCTTTTCTCACCCCCAAAAGAAAATCATTTATTTTAAAACTATAGTATCTTGTTTGAGTAGATATTTGAGAAACGCTGTAGAATAGCATAGTGTAGAAACACCCAGACTTACTCTATACTCTGTCATGTGCTTTTGATCGTCCAATGATATGCCTAAAGCTTATCTTGACGTAGCACAGAATGTACATTCTCATTTTTTTATAATACAAAAAAGTAAATAAAATATAAACTCCGTCATATTCTGTGAGTACACAGTAATATATATATAAATCTACTGTATATAATAATTACATATAAAAGTATGGAATACCATTGAATTCAAAACCTATTATATGTATGACGTAAGCTTTGTTTCTCTACATAAGAAATAGTAGTGACGGAATACAAAACAATTTCTCAGGGACAAAACACTAGGGACAGGTAAAATTTGGACAGGTTGACACGACCTTTTCTTTCATATAGCAATCACGACATTTTCAGGATGGGGCACTACCTTTTTTTTTTACCGGACTAATTTACTGTGACTACTTGCCCGAGGTCCGAGGTCTTTTCTTCAATCCTTCAAAGCAAAACGATGTGCCCTGAAATTCTTAATTCAATAATATTTGAATATAAAACTTTGTTTTTTATTGTATACTCATCTCATAAGAACTAATAATCAATTGTATTGAAAAGGTATTATTTTTCTCGGAGATAGCAAAGAGACTACTTTATCCATTGAATATTAGCAAGTAAAAGCCATGATGTTAATAAGTACCTTTTAGAAATCACTTCAATGTGAATCCTATCAATAAAAAAAATCTGTTTTTTTTCAATGGAAAGGAGTATTTTTTTTTTGTTCAAGAACCTCTTCCTGTCTCACCAGTTAAAGTTTACAGTTGAATCACAATGGTAATTGCAAAGATGAAGGAGTTTACACTTGTAACTAGAGAGAGTAAACCGACTCGAGTGTACTTGAAATGTGCCATAAGGAAAGGGTACGACGTTTCCAAGGTAGGGCACTATATTTACTGTTATGGTGTGCTGTCTTGAAGTAACATGTTAGGGAACTATTTTCTTATTTTCTATATACCAGTTAATTCATTACAGGTAGTATAAAGCTTCAAGCATGGCATTACATATTTAAGAAAATCCTTTTACACATAACCAAAGCTATTATCCTGCCTTATACAGGATTTTAACTGCAAAATAGTGACTTTTCCTTTTAATATAGTGACATTCCCAAATTAACTTAGGCAAACTCCCAAGTTGATTTAGGCAAATTCCCAAGTTAATTTAGTGAAAAGCCCAAATTGATTTAGGCAACCTCCCAAGTTGTTTTTTTTTTGGCTGTTACATGTAAAATCAATATTGTATAGCTAATATCAAAATGATATTAGCTATCAAACATTTTAAAGCTGAAATAAAAATAAATGATATGAAAGACGATATTAATTATTATACAAAATACAGAACAAGAAGTCTTTTTTTTAAAAAAAAATAAACAAAATAAAATGAAGCAAAACTAAATGAAGCAAAACTAAATGAAGCAAAATCTATATAAACATCCAACTAAAGATTCATCTATACTTTATATCTTTTCATTATTCCTGTGGTAAAATAACTCTTAAAACACGATACATCAGATTTACTTGTTATTTATTAATTTTGTAAGAATAAAAAACCAACTTCTGCTAAAGTGTTTGATCACTCTTTAAATACTAAATCAATTTATGTTACACCTATCAGTGGCGTGTAGCACATGTCATATACGTACGCCTTGTCAAATGACTGGCATTTTTTCTTATCAAACTTATATACAATGGTGTTTCAACACAATTCCTATTCTTCTTTCTCTTACCTTTTATTATGAATCCTACATCCCAAAGTATCTCAGCCCAAAGCTCAAGTGGCGAACAGAAGTCTAGAAGAAGAACAAAGCAGAAGAATGAAAGAATTCCCATGACTTTACGCAAGAGAATCTTCAACTTGACCGTAAAAACAGATCATAAGCCAGTTTCAGAAGTTGCTTCTATGTTTGGCCTTTCTAGATCTACTGTAGATAACATAAAGGACAGTTTCAGGGATAATGGAGAGGTCGTGGTCAAGCAAAGAGGTGGCAGAAAGAAGGAATGTACAAAAATCACGGAAGAACATTTAGAATATCGCATTGAGATCCTAGACGAAGATTGCACATTGACTCTTGAGATGATGAGAGAAAAGCTTTACGAACGCTTTGACGACTTACAAGAAAAAGGCATAACGTTCAGCGGACTATACCGTCATATAATGAACAATATTGGGTTCACCTTAAAGCGAACCAAGGCTGTGGAGGAGAGGAGAAACGACCCGGATGTTATTGAAGCAAGGAGAAAATTTGTGGAGTCTCTTCCGGAACTTGGGGTTGCATATGTAGCCAATTGCATTTTTATTGACGAAGCTGGATTTAATGTTAATCTCATACGTCAACAAGGGTGGTCGAAGAAGGGGAAGAACGCCATTGTACGTACTAAGACCAAGAGGGCACTCAACATCAGCATCTTGGTAGCAATATCAAACAATGGTGTCGAGAGCATGTCAGCCAAGCTTGTTCCAAAAGGCACCAACGCTGAACTTTTCATCGAGTTCTTAAAGCCAATCATAAAAACACTGGACGATACCAATGCTGTTCCCCAGTGGTTCATCCTGGACAATGCTCCCATCCACAGATCCCATTTGGTCAGGGACTTTATGGCAACAACACGACACCACATCAAGTTCTTGCCACCTTACTTGCCATTCTTGGATCCAGTAGAAGAGAGCTTCTCGAAGCTAAAGGGTTTGGCCAAGAGAAAGCCAGGGTTAGATACTGATGACTTTCTGGTATACTTGTCAGAATGTAGCTCACAAATAACAAGAGAAAACTGCCAAGGCTGGGTCCAACACAGCATTAGTTTTTTTAACAGTTGCCAATATTGTAAAGAAATTTATTAAAATAAAAACATCTTGCATTGATATTACTTTTTGCATTCTTTATAATTTACATTAATTTTACATGTAACAGCCAAAAAAAACAACTTGGAGGTTGCCTAAATCAATTTGGGCTTTTCACTAAATTAACTTGGGAATTTGCCTAAATCAACTTGGGAGTTTGCCTAAGTTAATTTGGGAATGTCACTATATTAAAAGGAAAAGTCACTATTTTGCAGTTAAAATCCTGTATTAAAGTATATTTTTTATGATAAGTGTGAGTCCTTAGGGACCAGATATAATTATTTGATACCTGACAGCAAGTCACAATTTGTGGTTCAATCAGATCAAAACATCATTTCCTATCAGAAAATGTCGTCCCCCTAATATTAGCGATTAGCAATATACAGAATTTGATTTTCGTATGCGACAGTATTTTATTATTAAGTTGCTTGAATACAGACTGTGGCTCTTAAAATAATGAGAGTTAAATTCCTAGGGAGATATATATAAAGAAAGAGTGTGGGGTCAAGGTAGTAAAGCTAATGCATACAATGAATATATTGTGTTTTTTCAAGCGTAAATCTTAGGGGACAGGGAGTTTTTGGATGATGGGACAGGGTGTCACACAGACTTATAGTGAGTAGCACTGTAGGAAATGGCACAATTTGTAATTCCGTAGTGCACATTTCGAGCGATTAGGGACCTTGGACACATCATATAAAATTTATTTAGACGGAGATTGTGCTCTTAAAAAGGAATAGTGTGTTTCAAAATCGCGTTATTTTATATGATATAAAAACATGATATAAAATATTTTACATCATATAAAAAGATGATATAAAATGTGTTGACCAATCATCTTTCGATATTTTATGTTGTTAAACTAACGATGACATAAAACTTGAAATAAAGAACAAATTATGTTTTCAAGTAAGCATATAAAGAAGTCCATATAGCCCCAGCATTAGGTTTTTTCCCCTTTATTTGCGCAAGCATTCTACATATACAAATATTAATTAATGTCTATTAGCTTTAATGTCTAAAAAATTAAACAGCTATTACAGTTTGAGGGTAAAAAGTAACAAACTTTGGTTCGCACTAATTACATGATTTTAAGTTCGTGAGTTTAGTAAATTAACATGGCCAATAAATGCAATATCACACATTTTCATTGTATATGGAAGCCTTGGATGTGAAACATGAGACCGTATAAAATTACATATATGGTTAAATGTTTCAAAAAAAAATTATATGATGTGTCCAAGGTCCCTATTTTCTATAGTGCAGTCCTACAAATAATTATAGGCGTGACTACTTTTAACTTGTCTGGTAAGCACCCATCGTTTTTCTGTGTAACACCCTGTCCCCAAAAGACAGCCATCCCCCTGTCCCCATCCAGTATAATTAGGTGTTTGTACATGTCATCTAGAGCCATTCTTTAAGAAACTAATATAGTGATTTTTTACAGTTCCTGAGCTAATGTATCCTTTAGTCGGTCTCTTTGTTGAGCTCGTCATGAAATAGTAGCATAAAGATTAGCATCAAATGTAATTCATGACTGTCACTTTATGTCCTTCCGTCAAGATAAACTTTTGATCTACTTATCCTACAGCTCTAAAAAAAATGCTATCAGGATACACATTGCAATATACTATTTAATCCATCTAAGTACAGCTCGAACATTAATGCCCTAACTGTTTCGCTGTAGCTGATGCACTCATAATTTTTTTTTAACCTTCACATCGAAAAAGAAAATTTAGATTTATTCTGGGCGATGTAACGAGCATAATCCCTTTTTTTTTATGTTTGCTTCCTTCATACGGGTGTCTCATTCTAATTTTTCTACCAGCATTAAATA